TATTATATATCAGATTGGCTGTCATCTACTTATATATATACTAAATCAGCTGTCATTTACTTATATATATAGCAGATCAGCTATCATCTACTTATATATATAGCAAATCAGTTGTCATCCACTTATATGTATAGCAGATCAACTGTCATCCACTTATATATATATCAGATCAGCTATCATTCACTTATATATATATCAGATCAGCTGTCATCCACTTATATATATATCAGACTGGCTGTTATCGACTTATATATATAGCAGACCAGCTGTCATCCACTTATATATATAGCAGATCAGCTATCATTCACTTATATATATAGCAGATCAGCTGTTATCTACATATATATAGCAGACTGACTGTCATCCATTTATATATATACCAGATTAGCTGTCATCCACTTATATATATATCAGACCAGCTGTCATCCACTTATATATATAGCAGATCAGCTATCATTCACTTATATATATAGCAGATCAGCTGTTATCTACATATATATAGCAGACTGACTGTCATCCATTTATATATATACCAGATTAGCTGTCATCCACTTATATATATAGCACTGGAAAAATAGGGTAATTTCATCTGGATCAAATGTACCAAAAATGTAGATGATTGAGCTGATATCATCACAATTTTTGTGATATATCATTTTGAGCAATGGTACGATATCATCTATGGTACTGATGCATATCATCATAACAACGGGTACACGAAAACCCAATGTAGAACGATTGTCAGTCCGCAAACTATGGAAACTGAATAAATATTGTAGTTACGCTTTACTCCTATCGAGTCTACCTCTTTATGTATTATATTTTGAGGTCTATAAAGAGCTAGCGTCCTATATTATTATTTTTACTAGGTTTTTTTATTGGCTGCAGAAATGCTTTAAAAACTATCAAAGAGATGATTGTAGGTTTTTTACAATATAAAGAAATGATGATAGTTGGTTTTTTATACATGCTCAAAGTGATGAAACTAGGTTTTTTATACACACAAAAGCAATGAAACTAGGTTTTTTTACAATGGAAAAGAGAAACAAAGCATGGGTAGATTTTTATAAACAAGCCTCTTTGGTTTGTTTATTTATTTTACTTTTATTTATTTATTTTTTGGAAAAAATTGGGTTATACATTTTTTGTTCAATTTTGTTTTATTTGATAGGAAAATCTTTTCTAGATAAAAATCCTAATTTCGCGACAGTTTTGATACTATTACTATTATAATCGCTAATACTTCTTGCTCGCTATATATAATTTAAAGCCTTCCGGGAGTAGACATGGAATACATACTTTAATAGCGGGAATGCTATTAAAAAATGATTAATAGAAAAGAAGAATTAGTAAATAATTTAAATTGAAATTTCTTCATAAATACTTACAAGGCGGAGAAGACTTGACATAAAATTGATATAAACATGTTCTTCAGAATTATCAAGACAATACCAGTAGTCTTTGAATAGAGATACATTCTAAAAATGAATAATTATTAATATTGTGCATAGTAAAGGCGTATTTATTAAATATATTGTAGTTAACTTACCAAATATTACTGATTATACGTCTTCGTGCATAATATTAGACATAACTAATAAATCATAATAAAAATAAATATATATCTATGAGGAAGACAAAAGAATAATTTGAATTTTTTTTAAGAAAAAAACTTACCATCATGTTCGATTAAGAGATGATGAGACTCAATGGAAATGAGTAGCAATGGCTAGACAAACAATATGATGAGTAACAAAGATCTGTAAGATAATGATATCTTACCTTGATATATCAGACAGAGTATAGCCAAACAAAGAGACACATATTTGGTATTGAGCTATAAAAGAAAGAAAAAATTATAAGTGAAATTGTAAAAACATAAGCAAAAGAGAAACAAAGAAAATATCAATAATAAATGTTGTTAAAAGAAAAAAAAAGGAAAAAAAAAGACTTGTCTTAAAATCCAGTTTGACCCTGACAAAATGCGGGCTGTAAAAAGTAATACTCCAAAAGAAGATGACCACCGTCATCTTGAAATACTACTTTGTGCCTCATTGAGTTAGAAAAGAAGTTGTCTAAATGTGGATCAAGCGGTTGGGAGATGTGCTTAAATATCAAATGAAAGGTAGAGAGTTAATCTGCACCGCTTATCCTCTTTACTAGTATGTGAATTTTAAATATGATATAACAAGTGTAGTGAATTGTACAATATTAGTTGAAAATTATTAATATTTATTTTATTAACAGAAAATGACAAAGCGTATTCCTACTGCTCCCCGCCGACCCAACCTACGCATGAATGCTGTTCTTAATAGCACAATTGCAGGTGTTGTTGCTCCAATTGATACACCAACTCCAGAAGTAGCAGTTGACACAGCCCCTGAAGTTCAAGTCGCTGTGACCCCAATGGATCACGTCCTTACCTTGTTGGCAGCCAACAATGTGTCGATGCAATCCTTGCAAGAAAATGCAAAAGGAGTGACTGATGCAATAACTCATTTGAAGAATGGCCTGGATTTGTCCAACAAGACAAATGAATTTTTGAAGAACTCGGTCCTTCAGCTCATGACTGAAAATGCTGAAATAAAAAAGGCAATGACCAGCCAAAATTCCGTGATGCCTTCTGCTGTACCAGCGGATTCTTCTTCTTCCATGGATGATGATCTTGACCTTGGAGCGAAACATCATCCCTTAATTTCTGTAAGTAAATTGATAATAATAACATTACTGATTAATATATCTAATACTGTTTTTATAGCAACTTATCAATAGTTACATCAAGAAACCGAACTTTGTTAGCACAGACCCGCTCAAAGTTGCTGAGAATAATAATAGATCAGCATGGTCAATGACTGGCACGTATGGCGACAAGTACAACAAGACACTTGCACTGGCTCTCTTCAAGTACCTGAGACCTCAAAGATGTTGCACAAATGTGTCAAAGAGTGTCATTATGAATATAATAAAGAATCACTACCAAAATCAAGTGCGAGTCTTCCGGACCTCAGCAGAGAAGATTATGGCTAGAAATAAAGCTGGAAGAAGACGCAACAGAAAGAAGACCGTAAGTTTTAAAATAAAGTTAATTTACTATTGATTTAATGTTTTAATACAATACTCTTTGGTAGCTTCTTGACCGTCGTATTATCACGTACCAGACATACACAGAGGCTATTCATGAGGGCATGAATCGATATGATTGCGGAAATATTCTTTCTATTGACGTGATGTCTGATGGCGAGTCGGATGGAGATAACAAAGTGCGGGCATATCGTCCCAGCTGGAGAACTGATGAGGTAATGTTAAACATCTATTTATGTTTTAAAGAAAATAATAATACTTTATTAATACTATTTATTCTTTAAACCAGCTCCAGACGTTTATTAGTACTATTGATGAACTTACTGTTATCCGTTTGAAGAAAAATTCAGAAAGCTTGAAAAAGTGCATCCCTTATGAGAAAGAAGTGAGCATTCCCGAGAATTTGGCAGTCACTACCAGATTGGTGCTTTTCAAAATAAATCATTTTTTTCTTGCCAACTATTTTAGAGTCTTTTTTCTACTTGTTTATGTTTACGGATTAGCATGATGTATACAGATGCATGTATAGCATGCCAAGTACAAACAAAAATTTATAGAAATAATAAAAAATAAACGTGCAGCTATATATATTAGTCTGTATTAATTAATATTTCTTTTTTATACGTGTTTTATTTTTGTATTTGAATCTAAATATATATTTTTCGTGGCAAAGGAACTACACACATCTGAACTTCGCCTTCTAGACCAAGGTGCTCGCCTACTGCGACTGGATAGCAGATTCTATGCACTGGGAGAATGCTGTTCATGCTGTCATCTTCGAACCCCACCTCATTCACCTCAACTCCTTCTCCTGCTCTGGGCTGAAGTAAAACTTCCTTGTACCATCGTACATATGCAAATACATGCTGACTCGCATGACCAGCAAACGAGTTTACAGCAGTATTGACAAAGAGGTACTGAATTTGGCCCGCGTATGGCTTGGTACTTCTACCATCACTTGTCTCAAACAAGGCTTGCATGAACGACCCACACTGATTCTTCGTTTTGCTCTTGTAGATTTGCCCAAGAAGATTGATTGATTCAAACTTCTGTATCCGATTGTTAACAAAATTATCGGAATGACCAGCCTGACGATAATGAACAAGAGTTTGATCATCGTATGTCTTGCGATAGTATTCCAACAAATGCTCATACTCGGATTCATCCATGGAAATCTCCCCCTTTAGAGCTAAAGGAAGTGCGGAAGGGGGCAAAGGCTCGTTTCCCTTGACGATATCAAAGTTGATCTCAGGAGAATCAAGAAAAGCATTGATATCGAATTGGATTGAGGTGGCAGTGGAAGTGGAAGTGGCTATGGAATTGGCAGTGGATGCAGTGAGCTCAAGGATGATTGCCAAATGCTCAGGTCGAATTATTGGCAAAGTTTGGCGAATAAGATCTCTCTGGTATGCTTCTTCAAGATACTTCTTCATATAGATTCCCTCAAACCCGTCTTTTCTATTTGTCGCATAGTTTTTCAAGATACCATTGCATCTTTCGAAACTAAAAAGCCAATAGCCATAAACCGGGCCAAAGTTCAGTACAGTCTCTCGCAGATGAAGATGGAGATGCATGTTTGGCGAAAGGAATGGGGCTTTATACAACTTCTCGCACTCTCTGCAGAAAGCCTCCAAAGATTGATGGGCTTCATCAAGGTGAGCCATGGATATGCTTGGCATTGAGAGGTACTGGCATGCATTGACAAACGTTGTCCAGTTACCGAGATGAGCTTCAGGTAGACGACCACGCAGGAGAACAGGAGAGTACACCAAGCACCAAGACTTCCACTCGTCGGCCTTCATGAATGGGAAGCCACGCCCGATCTTTGTCCCTAATGGCGTGTAGTCCTCTGGCAGTACAAGCTTGTCAGCATCCAACTGCATTTCGGCCAAGTGTGCATCTGTGATGAGACCTGAAGATCTCCATTTCTCCATTATCCTCTTTGCTGTTCCGAGGTACAGGTTGTGCATCGGATCGATGACAGTGCACTCCACGAGGTTAAAGTAAACCAGGTCATGCAATTCTGACCATCGGACACCATTTTCCCTCTCCAATCTCTTTCTCTGTGCATCACTGCTGGCCATTCTCCACAACTCAGCATCACGGCGGTTTTCGGCATCAGTGCGAGGCACCCACTCAGAAAACACGAACCCAGAGTAGTCCACAGCATTGGAGTCTGGAAGGCGAGGGAACTGTCGGTTGCACTTATTGCATGCACATGTGCTTGAATGAGAGGTGAACCCACAAGTCTTACGGGCAGCAGGAATGTCGCAGGCAACAAGAAGAAGGGCAGCACAGACAAGAGCACCAGATGGGCACTGTACGGTAGGCATCACCACACCGCCATACAACTGGTTGAGTTCCGCGACAAGGGGACGGAGGTAGTGATTGATCTCACTTGTCTTTGCTTCCTTGGGCCCTGGCATGAGACCAACGAGAACAACATTCTCCTTCTTGTACCGTTCCGATCTTGGCAAGTTGTTGATGCAAAGGTATATCGCACCACAGGAGTAAGTGACCCCATCGAAAGGTTGAAACCAATCGATGTTCATGGTAAGCATTATGGAGCGCTCATGATTCACAAACGGTAAACCATTGCTATCCTTCAGACTGTTCCACTTCGTACCGTCGTAAATGTCAAACATCATGCCTGGAACTTGCACTCTGATTCTCCAATGGTTGATGGTGTCTTCGAATCCAGGGCGGCAAAAAGGATAGACAATGTTTTGATTATGGAGTTATACATGTAGATCTTTTTGGGAATAGTCAAGGCTCTTGATGTTGCAAAAGAGCATTTTCACATTCTCTACCAGAGAGTCTCTCGAAATTACAGCACTCTGGAACAACATCGGACTCTTTGTATACTTTGTTACAATTGCCACATGCAATAAACCGCTGGACACCTCGAGTCACGTCGCTGAGACCGGTCATAGAGTTGACACCGCTTATACTGAGGGGAAGACGGAAAGACTGTCCAAAGTGTGCCAATACTTCGTTAAGAAACTTTAACAGAACAGCACCACCAGAATTGACAACATATTTGGATATGAAGAAGGCAGCAAAAGAAGCAATGAAAGCATGAGTAGGATCGACTGGCATATTGGATGAAGAAAAGTGCTCTATTTGAAAAAAAAATCAATACTTGTTGACTTTATTGATTTATATGTGCTTTTTGTACTAACCTCTAACATCATCAGATTCATTGTCAGAAATATCCAAAATGGTTGCTTCAATGACACCCTCATCTTCGCTTTCAGAATCAAACAAGGAATCAATGCCAAAAAGAGGTAAGTCTTCGGCTGTTTTGTTAGGTAAAAAAGAATCAAATTATTAGATATTATAAATGATTATAAAACTTTAATAAAAATACTATGCATACCTTCAACTTGATCTTCGGCATCAACATTGTATTCAAAGTCAATCTCCATGTCATTGTCATTCGACATTACTTCTATAACTGAGGCTATATTATATGAAAATAAATATTTAATTAAAATTGTCTCAATAATAATTTTCTTAAATTTGAACTTACAAGAAGATCCTGACTGATATTGTCTCACGATATCCTGTTGTGCATGTCTTCTGAGTGTTTGGGTAGACACCAAAACAAATCCCATGCTATTGGAAGAGCATTTAGAGCACTTGCATTCTGAATTGTTGTTGTTGTTTGACATATTGTGTGCGTATGTTTTATTTTTTAAGTTTTTAGAATTGACAAGAATAGAAAATTGTTCAGGAACACAATTTAATATATATCTTTCCAAATTACACCAGCTTCCAAAATGACATAGTTTATTCCGGCTGTTAAAATGGGCAGTTCTCTAAACAGTAATTGATTGCCTCATTCTAAAATACAATAATACACACTTTTGTTAAAACATGTCGTCATGTACATTTTATTAGCTGTAGAGCATATACAACAAAAATATTTGTAGTAATATCACGACCATTAACCTCATCATACTTATAAATAAATATTACAACAATAAAAAGCTTTATTATCTCACTCAAAAGATATCATTTGGTTTAAGTTTCCTACAACTATTGACTCTGCGACATGGCTACAAGTCCCAAAAAGAAATCTCGCAGACATTTTTTACAAAAAAGAGTAAACTCGTTTTTTTATCCAATAAAACAGACCGAGCATTATCATCGCCGTCAAAAATAAAAAAGACAAAAGTGATGGAAATTTAAGCTACCACTCCACAAATAATAGTACCCTACGCCATAGATGAAATTACCCTATTTTTCCAGTGTATTGTCGGTTTGTCCTTGATTACACTAAGGTGGCGCAACCTTTGGTGAAGATGCTAAAGAAAGATGTGTCTTTCGTTTGGGGCCCCGAGCAAGAAAAGACGTTTTTGGCACTCAGGTCTGCTGTGGTGAGTCCACCGATTTTGGCTTTTTGGGATCGTGGTCAGGTGCAAATCCTGACAACTGATGCATCAACCCGTGGCCTTGGGGCGGTTTTGTCACAAGCTCCAGGCGATTGCTTGTAGGAGGAGACCGTAATTGCTTACAGATCGAGAGAGCTAAGGGGACCAGAGAGATATTATGCTGCAACTCATCTGGAAGCCTTGGCACTCATTTGGGGCGTTGTGAGGTACCGCCATTACCTTGCTGGGCGTTGTTTCATCCTGTGGACAGACCATGCTGTGCTTGTCTACATTATCAAGAACCCAAACCCTTCACTAAAACTGTCAAGATGGGCTGCCGCCCTCATGGAGTATGACTTCATAATCCAACACCAGCCTGGCCGTGACAATCCAGCAGATGCTCTCTCTTGTCTTCTCCCTCTGTAAACCCAGTGCAAGTTTTCTAAAAAAATATGTATTGGCTGGCTTTTTCTTGACATTTCTTTTTTCAGATTCTTTTCTTTTGGCACCTTTTCTATTTCCTTCTGCAGCAACTTCACTTATATTTTTTTATTTCCCCCTATCTTATATTAGTTAAATTTTCAATTTCGTTAATTTTTAAATTGTTTCAATTATTCTCGATTTTTTCCCCTACTCTATTATCTTTTCTTAATTTAACACCTTAGACTTAATTAGCAAACGCTATTTTTCAAAAAGGGGAAAGAATTATTACCATTTATTTTATTCAATAAACTATCTCTTTACACTCTTATTAAAATTATTTCAAAACTATCACCAAATATTGTATTAATTCCTATTATCACCCACTATGAGAAAAAATGGTGGTTTTTTGCTTTTGTCGCTATGTTTTTGGCCTATAATAATTAAAAAATTACTAAAAATCCAATTTGAAACTAGAAAATCTCTGTTTTTTGAAAAGGTTGACAAAAAGCAAATTAACCACCTAAAATTAAATCCCCTGATAGACAAAAGTAAGATTTAACTACAGACTTTACATTTTTAGTAAATGTAGATTGCATTTGATGACTATTAAAAGTCAGAAGAAAAAGAAAAGAAAATATCTAAACTTTCTGCTGAGAAAATAAAATATGTTAAGACAATTTGAAAAAAAAAAATGTATTACAAAAAAAACAAATTATAGGTCTGCAAGAGAACCAAGTGACAATTTTGGACCGCAGTTAAGCTCTGGTCACACTATGTATGTTGTTGTTGTTGTTGTTGTTGTATTTATAGTCATGTCCGACTTCACCAAACCAACCAATTCTTTGACATCTGCCAGGTGAACTACCTTTGGCTTCATTTGCCCATTGTTAACAACTGGTTTACTATTTACCAAACAGACTGCCACAATCTCTACAAGAGCAAGTGGCCATCTCTTCTTATTGAGCTTGTGCTCAAAGAAGACAACAACTTTTCCAAAGAAATCCTTGTAAACCGGGGAGTATGCAGAATTTATGTTGCGGTTTTCATCAATCTGAATCTGTAATCTGATGTTATGTGCCTCCCTTACACAATTTTGGTCGAGTGCAGAGTCAATCACACAACCATTGACAAATGCCTTGTGGCTAGTTTGTATAGCTGCTTCAATCATACTACACTCTTCTCCCTTTGATTCGTAGAAGTCTTCAAGAAGTTTCAAAAGACAAGAAATGCCTTCAAAACTATCTCGGATCGTTCTATTTCTCAAAGGCCCTCAGAACTCAATATCAGACTCAGCACCAACACGCTCACCCTCATCTGTCAACGGCCAACCAGCAGTGGAATCTTCATATTGTAAGTGTTGTGCTGTTCTTGCTTCTGTAATCATGACAGTGGCTCCGGCCTCTGCTTGTTGTATTTGTGCTAAGCCAAGCATGATATTGCCAGCATTAACATTTATAGCAGAATTACTCTTGATAGCCCTTGAGTATTCACCAATTGCCTGTTCCACGGATCTGGCACTATATGCATGAGGTGGGCTGTATGCGTCAATCATGAGAGGATAGTGCTGAAGAAGATGCTGATTTATAGTGAAAATATTGATTTTGATTTTTCCAGTTGTAAGCAGCGATTCCAGGTACATGTTCCATATTTCAAGTTTACTGAAGAAAAATAGTTAGAATAAATAATAGAATAACACATAGCTTTTACTAAAATATACCTTTTGATAGAGATTTGTTCATCTGCTGATAACTCCCAGCTCATGAGTAGGTTACATGCTTGAACCAAGCCAAGTAATGTGTTCTGGGCAGTTGCATCTCCAATACGCTCTGCCACCAGTGTAGGGACGATGAACAGAAGAAAGTCTGCCCAATCCACGGCCTTGAACAGCTCGGGGTTCTTGTATACATCCCTCCAATCGCCATGGAAGGATGTAGGGATGTTATTTCTTGTTTTGTACATTGCTGTACCGATCTCCTTCCAAACACCAGAAGAAAGAGCAAAACAATGATCTGTTCCATAGGTACCAGAAACCAAACCCCAGACCTGCTTGCTTATTCCATGGCAAAGTCTATGCATCTCATCGAGGGCAAAAAACAATTGTCCAGAGAATACCTTCAATGTTCCCAGGGGGGATTGTCCATTTAACCCTTTGCGGCTGGATGCACTGGCCTGGGAAAAATTCTGGAAACTTTCCAGCATACGGATATTGGTGCTGGGCAAAGTTCTGAAGTATTGTTCATGCTTGGGACATTGGCCAACAACATGACAGATATGGCAACCGTCTTTGCTCATATGTCCAGAATGACATGCCAACTTTGCTAAGGCGGGAATATCACCAGTGACCATTAAGACATGTATCTTGGCATGAATGGTCTCGTTTGGTGTCTTGACAACTATCCCTTCGCTCTCCAACACCAGGAGCTCTTTCATCATTGGTTCCATGAACGACCAGAAATTGGCAGGTGCACCTGGACCTGGGATCATTGCAATCTGGAGCATTCTGCTTCTTTCATACTGGACCATGAGATTCAGGTTAAGAATGGTGGCATGGAGGATCGTTACAGAACCAGAAACATTGTGTGGTGTGAATCCATCAACAGACAACGAAATTGCAATGTCATCTTTTCTGGAAAACAGATGTTTTGCTTGCTGGTAAACCTGGCCATCAAACACATCGGTTTTACTTCCATCCAAGCTTGACTCATAATTATGGTAGTAATGCATATCTGCTCTTGTATTCTTGTTGGCTAACGCAAGAGCCAGTTGTCTTGCCAATGGAAGCTGTATCATCGTGGCAGCAGCAACCAGATCACCACCCTTGGTTTCTCTATGTCTTGTTTTGTACTGGCTTTGTCTACAGTTGGAGCACTCAGTCTGGGATGGACTGGTAAAGAGCATACATCCCCTATGACAGATATCATGGACTGTCTCTTCCACACCCGAGAAACGCTTCAAAAGCTTTTTGCCAAGATGAGAAGTACATGCTCTATATGTAATACAAGTCGATGTTTCCAAAATGCTGTTGAAATGCTTGACTATCATTTCATGGGCATTGCGGGAGATACCAAAATCCTTAATGATCTTGAGAAACTCAAGGTTCTTTGCATCGTCTTTGTCAGGGGTAGATGCAGGCTGACTGAAGTCAAAAACCAAAGGAGATGTTTCGTTTTCAATGATATCCATATTGTTGCCAAGTTCCGCATCATACTTTAACAAGGTAAATAATAATTAGCATTATATAATAAGACATATATATATATATATCTTACCATAGACTCATCATTATTATCATTACTGAAGATATTCATAATTGGATCATCATTATCTTCGCTGTTGAGCGTATCCATGATCTGATCTTCGATTGCATCAGCACGTTCTCTGCTTGTTTATGAAGGTAACAATATTATTAATTACACTTTCTAATAGTATGTATGTGATTTGTAGTCTTACTCGATAGTGTCGTTTGAGACAGTATTCAAAACAACACTGACTTGTCCAGGAACAGGCGTGGTCTGTGAAGTCTGGATATCATTATGTCTTCTATGATGGTTCTTAAAGCATTGAGCTCTACAACTCTTGGCTTTTTTAAATTGGTGTGGCGCTCTTTGCATTGATTGCATTGGTAACTATCAAGGATTGAATTTGAAGACATTTTTTAGGTTGAAAATAAACACTTAAGAATAAATGTATGAATATTGATAATTTCTTTTAAATAATATGTCTTTATACTTAATAGCATTGAGATTTGTATAGACTTAATGACTACAAGTAGGCAATGACATAGATGATACAAATATAAACTTAGGAACAGAAGCTAAAACATTGCGTAATAGCTGTTATTAGAACTACAGTAGCCCAATAATAATATTGGCTGGACCAATAGGTTAAACTCATTTACATGAAACTAATAATAGACAATAGAAATTTTTTTTGGCCTTTATCTTTCTTTCACAACAATCCTTTTTCTCAGATAAACCAAACTCTCAACATGAATAACACAGATAATAATTCTATTTCTTTGCTACACGCCATGTACAATGAGATACTATCTTTGAAGGCAGGCCAAGAAAAGACCAAACTTGAAATGAAGGCCCAGATCAAAGAGTTGAAGCTCAAAATGAAGACAAGCATTGAAGATTTGAATTTGGAGATTACTGCTCTCCAGAGTCAACTGGAGAATAGAAACATTTCCAACAAACACATTTTGTTTTCTGTTTCTGCTACTATACAACAAAATAAAATGATTTGAATATATATTAATATATCCTTTAATAGTCTAGTACTAATATCATTTGCAAATCAGTGAGTGTATTCCATGAAATAATGTTAAAGTATATCTTTAAGATGATAAGTAAAGATCTTAGCATTGAAATAACAAGTAATAAAAAAGCCATACTCAATATGTGTACAAAGCTTATATGTGATGATATGGCTGTTCATTCTTCAGTGATTGCTCTTTGTTCTAATCCTAGCTGGAGGTCGATACCAGTAGCACTTAAGAAAGAAATATATACCAGACACGCAAATATAATAAAGGATTTTAGTATAAACTTCACCAGATGTCTTGGAAACTGGACATCAACTGCAAGAGTTACTTATCTCTGGAGAGACTACTATAAAAGATTACAGTCTAGTAAGTAATCTAGTGTAGTGGAATTGAATAGAATATTTTACTATGAAAACATACAATATTAAATAGTTTAAAGCCAATAAAGTGTATCTATAAATTTTTTATGCTTTAACAGACAATAAAATAAACAATATTATTTATTATTCTGTCATAATAACCAATAAAATGAACAATATGATTTTTTTGTGTCATAACAACCAATAAAAATGATTAATAAAAATGATTTTCTATTGTAAAAACCAATAAAAATTTGAATTTATTAAAATGATCAAACATTTACATATGTATTATCTAATAAAAAACTGTTGTCATAAAAGTAGAAATAAAAAAATTACTATTGTCCAATAGAATTTCTTCCTAAGCTATAATATTAAAGCAATAAATGACATTGAAGAGAGTACCTAATAAAAGTAATCAATTATATAATATATTTTATACAATAAAAAAATGCTGTCTAATAGAAAAGCCAACAAAGATGAATCAGAAAGTGGAAATCTGTAATATGTATTCAAACTCCAGAGGGGGGCAAAGTGCGTCAAAGCTAATTATAAATACTTTTCAGAAAGTCACAAAAATTAAAAAAGATTAACTTACTTTATATATGATAGATTTACTTCATATTTCTTTATCTACTATCTCTTATATAAATTTAATTAAAGTAAAGAATGATTGCTTAATTGGTTTGTCTAATAAAAAATATATCTTTGTTAATCAATTTCTCAAAAAATAATACATAAACTTTTTTTATGATATTTTTTCATTCTTTGAAAATTGCTCTCTTGATTGGCTGAATATGCCGTGACTTGCAAAACAGTACAGAATTTTCATATCAAATTGGCCATATGGGACAAAAATTTAGACGCAACCACAAAAAAATCGTCACAAATACACTATCAAATTTGCTATATGCAGTATTGAAATAGCCATGAATAGAAATTTATAATATGCAAGTTTATTAATTTGATTTGATTTACAATTGAAAATTCAAATGAATAAAAAGATGTGTAAAGCATATTATGATCTTCATGCCTTATGTAATTTACTGAATAGTATATGTTTTACTAATATAAAAAACATACAAGAAGCATAAATAAAAATCTGTACAACCTTCATATCTTTTTTTTTTTTATATTCAAAAACCAACTCTACACCTATCCCTCAAAAAGCTTACAATGTCTGATACAGAAAGAACTCTAGTCCTGCATACAAAATCCAGAAAGAAGATGAAATACAGTGATGTCACTTGTTCAACTCACATCCGTCACCTGATAATTGAAAAGAGCAAGAACCAGTTGAAAGCCCTATCAGAAATTTCCAAGAACTCAACATTTTGCATTTGATTATGAACTCGATAATTGAAAGATTTGAGAGAACTGGAAGTGTGGAGTACAAGTCTCTGGGTGGTAATTTTAGAACAATCAGCAAAGATCATCACAAACAGTTTATTATGGATGTGATTGATAGCAACAATACTATCACTCTAGCAGAGCTACAGCAAGAGCTAGTAAATCACTTTGATAACCTAAAAAAAATAAGTATCTCAACCCTGTGTAATCACCTGTGGTATTTCAGGTACAAAACAATAGAAAAATAAAATATTTAATAATAGAGACATATAGAAATACTTTGAGACTGTATATAAGTTGTCTTTATTCATAAATAAAAAGTGTTCTTTTTTATAAGAAAACACAATCTGCTCTTGTCATTACGTCTTAGTTTCTTAAGGCTTTCTTCCTTTACTATATTTGGTTATTAGAGTGTATTTACTGCTTAACTAGTGTCGGTGTTACAATTATGACATCAAGTCATAAATCGTACTTCTTTAGCTCTTAGCTATTCTTTTCTCTTTTATACTAGAGCTTTAGGACTTCCTACTAAATTAGCTTCATATCGATCTAACACAGTTTACCCAGCAGTATGATATAATTATCTTAACAATCTTTAAGATATTATCTACAGTACTAACTGTAATAATTATTGGGCTGATTACTTAATCGTTTATATATATTTTATACTGACAAGATGATAGCTAATATGCTATCCCAATATGAATATGTTCTTATATGTGATAAATCCAACATCCAAGTGTCTGGATCACCACATCACCTCTGCTACATTGAGAGAATCACTCTCAAAAAAGCAGTACCAATTGAGGTGAAGAGGAAAGACGAAGTTACTCTTAGAAAAAGATGCGACTTTATCTTAAGTCTGCAGCTGAAAGAAATCTTATACAGCCAAAACTGTATTTTTATTGATGAGGCCAGCTTTAATATTAACTTGATCCAGGGACGTGTCAGAGCGAAGGCAGAAGAGCATGCTCTTGTGCCAACAAAGTTTAAAAGAGCCAAAAATGTGACAATTCTTTTTGCTTTGTCATCTGAGGGAGTTGAATTGTGTCATACAAAGATAGTGGAAGGTGAAACAACTGGTAAAACTTTCTAGCACAAGTATTGCTTTGCTGTATATCTTACATATATACTTATGAGTACCTTCATCATTTTACTAACACTAATTTAGAGGCCCAATTTTCAAAGAATTTGTTCAACAGTTGGTTGAGAAGTTAGATGCAGTCAATGCTAAACCATATCATCTTGTTGTAGATAATGCAAGAATTCACTACAACCCTGGCCTTAGAGAGTGGTTGAAGCAAAGAAACTACCTACAAGCTAAAGTTTCTTCCTCCTTCTTCTCCTTTCCTTAACTCAGTAGAGAAGTGTTTTTCAAAATTGAAAATTTTTGTTAAAAAGCACCCTCTGGATGGCCAGGAAATGCTTGTAGAAAGAATCAAGGATGGAAGCAACACAATAACCAAGCAAGATTGTGAAGGTTGGGTGAGACACAACATCTCATTCTACAGTAGATGTATCAATATGGAGAAAAATCTATAATAAATGTTTTTTTTTTAATTTGCATCCATGACTATTTCAATACTGCATGTAGCAAATTTGATAGTGTATTTGTAACAATTTTTTTGTAGTTGTGTCTAAATTTTTGTCCCATACGGCGAATTTGATATGAAAATTCTATATAATCTTGCTATGAGAAAAGCAGCAGTCACATACAGCGGAGTTCTAATAGAACAGAAAATATTTAGAGTAAGAAAATATCACATTTGATTTAGTAATAGTAATAAAATTCTGCGACTTCTAACTAGGTGCTCACAGAGTGTCTAATTGATTAGAATAATTCTAATCAATTAGATTTTAAATTTCTTTTTGGTAACTTTTCAAAATACAAATTTGGTACTGTATATGTAATAATAAGTCGGTGTTATAATAAATACTATACTGAAAAGTATAACTTTGAATGCATAATAATTAAAAGTTCCTTCTTTTGCTTTTACCCTCAATAAATAAAGTATATTACTTTCAAAAATGTCGTCAACAACAAATACACTTTCCCCTATAGACCTTTCTGAAGTGGACGCGGCACTGATAAGCCTTATTGTTAAGAAGTCTGATGATATATTTAAAGAAGCATCCAAGACAGATGAGTTTGAGAACGAGGAATTTGATAAAGAACTTGATGAAGAGCTTATAAACGATCAAATATTGCCACAAAAGCGCAACAAAAGCAATAATTCTGCTCAACAAGAAAAAGTAGAATTTATTTCAGCTATCAATGAGCTCTATTTGCAACATACCTTGAAAGCAATGAAATTAATCAACCAAGACATCTTCTTCTTGATCTACATTGGCAGCATATCTATGATTCAGGAACGGGTAGTGATTCATAGATGAGCTAACCAAGATACATATCATTGGTGGACAATCAACCAACCAAACCTTACTGACAAAGAGACTGGAGAGCGTGCCTTTAAGACCCATTATCAAATTACACAATTAACTTGTGAGAACCTTGTGAATCTTCTAAAAAACACAGCTGCATACTCAAGGTTCAATGATGAACAAAGAAGCACTTGGAATGTTGCCTAACAGGTTGCTGTTGTTTTATGGAGATTCTGTAACACACACATTGGTTATACAATCGCTAAGACAACACTTGGTATTGATCACGGCTTCTACAATGAGTTTACAGTACGTTTTATCAATACAATGACAAAAGAAATTGCCAATAAGATCATTGTATGACCATCAACCATTCAAAAGCAGAGAGAAATTGCCAACAGTTTTGCTACTCATACAAGTACCAATATTCATGGCCATGACCACTTGAAAGACATTGTTGGTGCCATCGACGGGAAACTCGTACAGATAGAAAAGCCAAGAGTAGATGGAAATCGATATGTTGATCGCAAAAACCATACGTCAATAAACCTGATAGCAATTTGTGATCACAATAAAAAGTTTCTGAATATCTGTGTTGGTGCACCAGGTAATAAATCTATATAATCTGACTATACTACTTGAATACTTATCTATTAACCAAATCTCTTCAGGAATTTTTCACGATGCAAGAATTTTTAAACTTAGCCAGATATATCAGGATATGATCTCAGAAGATAAAGAAAGGAGACCATGTCTTAATGGTACCTATATTATTGGAGGTATAAACAATTTAAAGTTAAACAGTTTTTGTATCTGTTTTATATCATTATGTCACATTGTTTATGTTCAATATTTACCTAATAGATTTGGCATATCCTCTTCTCCCGCAGATGATGACTCCTTTCACAGAAAGAAACAGCACAGAAACCCCACTTACTGACCAAGAAATAGCAGCCCGTAAGAAATACAACAGCATGCAGTTCTCTACTCAACAAAAAATTGAGAACACCTTTTCTTTACTCGTACTTCGATGGCAATTTATGCACAAACACCTCTTTGTCTTAAAAACCGATAACATGGCATTGCTAATTACTTCTTGCTGTGTTCTTCACAATTTATGTATTGACAATAATGATTCCATCATTGTGGATGCTGAAGAGGATGTTGAGATGCGCAGATTTCTGGAAAATGATGTTGATGATGGCGTAGAGCTATTAATGGAACCAATGAGTAGAGATATGGAGACTGATACCCCTACAGTCAATGAATTTAGCACTAGAACTAGCCTTACTTCTCGCTTAAGACAACTCAAGAATCAGGAAGTAATAAAAAGAAATGAAGTTATGAGCAGCTTGTAAAGCTCATACTTCCAACAAGACTGCTTGACTTTTTTTTAAATTCTAATATATAAAATAGTGAAAACATGTACAGTTTTTATTTTATGCCTCACCATTGTCATTGCTTTGGGTGCTACTGTCTGCAATGTTTCTACTAACAAACTTAGACAGAAGGTCTGTCATCCTTTTGTGATTAGCAAGGAACTCGTCTTCTCTTGCCTTTCTTTCATGCTCCACTGCTCTCTCCTCATCCAGTCTTGCCCGTCTTGCACACTCCAGTGATCTCTCCTCATTCTTCTTCACAAACAAATTCACCTCCATCGTTCTCAACTCTAACTCCAAGACTACTCTTCTCTTCTTTTCTTCTCTTTCTTCAGCTGTACCAGGAAACGCTTCTGTAAGCTCCCATGTAGATACACGGATATCTTCTCTCATTGCTGCATATGCTGAGCCCATAAGCTTCAACATGGAATTATAATGATCACCAGCAGGCAATCAATCATGTGCAGGTGCTACATGCAAGGGCACATTGGGTGGGATGGAACTATAGCTGTTGGCTACTGGATCCTCAGCTGCAGGCTCCTCAGTTACTGGCTCCTCGGCTACAGGCTTCTCTGCTGCCAGCTCCTCAGCTGCCGCTTGTTCTTCCTCAAGAATTTCCAAAGGCTGGGAAGTTCCAACATGCTCTCTGATTATTCTTCCAGTCGTCAATGTACACGTGATTGTTACTCCTTGGGACATAGTTCTAGTCAAAACCAAGCATGGAATGCTGTACGTGGGATCGTTCAATGTAATCTCACACATTTCATTGGACCAGTGCATATGAGACAGGTATGCATTACGGCCTGTTTGAGTATATACTCTGTCCGAATCCGCTTTGAAACTAGTTTTCAACAACTTGAACTTCGTGTTGCATTTGTTGCTATCCACTGTTGACTTGAAGGATAATAGCAAGTTTTCAAAGTCAGTCTCAGCCTTGAAAGGTTCCACAAGAGTATTTCAAAGGTGACTAATTTTCTTCTTGTTTCTACCTGCAGCTTTAACCAAGTTATAATGGTCTGTTTGCAAAATAACTTTCAAGAGAAGACAGGTCGTGTCCATAGACCAGAATTGACTAGTGTTGACCTCAGGGACATCTTCCATACTAGCAGTTTGTTCTGCATCCTCATTGTCTTTGGAATGCAAAACGTCTTCTTCGTCAATGGCATCTTCCAGTTCACCATTTCCAGTTGCTTCAGCAGAAACAACATTTGGGAATGTGTCAAACACAGCCTCATTTGAAGTTTCTGGGAGGGATTGAATATTCTTTGTTGCAGGCTGAGCAGGGTTAACTGAAACAAATCAAGTTCTGTTGTATGATATTAGTAAAAAAGGGTTATGAAAAGAACAAGAGAGTGAAAATAAGATATGGTTGCAAAATAAAATGACTCTCAAAAGGGGTGTTGATAGCAATCAAAATCTGAACCATATATAGCAATAAAAAATATTTTATACCTCATAGACAGCAGAGATAAAATCCACGGATGTTAAAAATAAATTACCATATCTGACGGTGTAACCTTCTAACTATAAAAGATACATTCTAATCGATTAGACACTCCGTGAGCATCTACTATATCACTAAATCGAGCATTGACTGTAATTTCTAAAAATATCTCGTTTTCATATTTTATTTTATTTTATGATGAAATGGGAGATAAGTATTAATGTTTTTATATTTGTTTCAATTTCATTTCTGAAATTTCTTTATATAAGATATTAGGGATCTTGAACACATCATATAAAATTTATTTAGACAGAGATTGTGTTCTTAAAAAAATAGTGTATTTCAAAATCACATTTTTTATATGATATAAAAACATGATATAAAATGTGTTAGTCAATCATATTATTTTCTTGCTACAATTAGCCAATAAAATCTTGTTATTCTTACTGCTAAACTGACAGATATTTTACTGGCTTGTAAGTATACAATTATGAAAAAAATAATAAAGTCTATCAAACCTGGATTACAACTACTTTTTCAACAAAAATATATGAATGAAAAAAAAATTATAAAAGAGCTAAAATTATTTTTGCATAGCAAAATAGTTAACTAGTCTGTATCTGATAAAAACTAGATTAAAACAAAAGTTACTAAAAAATAAGCAATCGCTATCAAAGCATTTAATTGATGTTTATAATTTTTATTTAAATCATGTACACAGAGTATGACAGTAGATCAATAGAATTTTAAAGAAATAAAAGTAAAAAATTAAATAAATATAAGTAAAATTGTATATTAAAAGGTTGCACTTACTTATTTTACACTCTCAAAAATGAATATCAAAGAAATTTTCCAATCCACAGAGCCCCCAAAAAAAATAGACATATTACAGACAAGAGAAAAGAGGTCCTTGTCAGAGATATCATCATCTGTGATCCATTGCACAAGAACTATAAAGAAGCAAAGACTACCTGAGAAGATATCCTTAAGGTGATAAACAATGTTGACTGTGGTGCTGGTGATGTTGTGCTGGTATCAATCAAGAGGAAATACAAGGCTTTGATAAAGAAGTTCAAAGAAAGACAGACTTGTATGCCTGAGTTATCCCATTCGCAGATAGCACTTTCTGAGAAAGACAGGCTCATGATAGAGCTTATTAATCTGTTAATAAATACATATTTTTTTTGAGTACTGTCATGAGAAATAAAATTTGGGTGAAAATGATGATAAATCCAAGGAGCACATCTGGCATGTCAGTGCCAACAAAACCAAAATGGCCAAGGTGTATGCAGAGAAGGAACACACTATTAAAAAGAAATCAACTGGTGTGATCCTCTCAGTAGTAAAGGGTGGGCTGCACGCAGCAAAAAAGTTGCAAGTGGATAATAGTGAGGGACTCTCAACCCAGGTTTCAGTAAGCCCAGTTGTATCTCCAACTTCTGCGATCCATCTGTTCTTGTCCCTGAAGAGTAAGTGGTAGACGTGCTCAGCACAAAGGTGGATGAAAACATTCTTTCATCTATCTAGAGTGTTGAAGGGGCTGTCAAGAACATTTGAGATGATGAGAATATCTCAAACATTGATGGCAAACTAGACAAAATACTCAAAGAATTGTCCAGTATGAAAACTGAGATCAGAGAGGGCTCTCTCAGGGTTGAGAAGACAATAGAAAAGCTTGTAGCCTTTATTGCTGAATTTGTGTCTTCTACAACACAACCACCCCCACAATAAAAAAAATCATAAAATAAGTTAAACAGAATATTCTCATATTGATGTTATTTCTTGACCTCTAAAATAAAGTTTGCTTCCTGTAATAATAAGATGTTTAGTGATTTAAGAGGTTGGCAATATACTCTATTGATGTTGGAGGAGAGACTTTAAATCACATACTCATTTGATTTTCAAAGTTGTAGCAAACATGCAAGTTTTTGAAGAGCATTGTCACAATATAATAAGAGCTTACATTGCTCTGAAGAATCCTTTGTGTTTGTGTATAATTCACATAAGCAAACAAGTTTTCTGTATATACAAACTCATTCTCTATTATAACACAAGTACTTGACATATCTTGGTTGACGATATACTCCAGAGAGTCTTCTTTTGCTAAAACATTATAAATATTAAAAGACTTAATTAAATTAAAATGTATAATATTATATAACTTACTCTGCAAATAGACGCATCACAAATTCTGAGGATGCATATCCTCTGTCATCATAAAGGTAGTAACAAAGTTCACGAATACACCTGAAATCAAATATTTTGCACATATGCATTTGAATATCACATTCATGGAAGACAGTCATGACATGATGTCTTCCAGCTACTGAGTTATAAAAAAATGAAGTTATTCTATCTGAAGTAACTATAGCTTGGTAATTAAGACTGTGCTCTTTCTAATAAATTATTTGTGCCAAGTTAACAAATATAAAACGCAAACTAGTGTAAAAATGACTATAGTATTCAGCTTGCATGGTAATCACTATATACAGTCTTTTGGTCCTTGGTTGGCCTAGCAGTCTTCTTAAAGGTATCATCAAGAAACCCAACACAATGCTCAACTGGTGCACCTTTTTTAATTGATACACATATAATACTGTTAATCTTAATAGCATGTAATATATTAAAATTCGCTCTTATCTAGGGCTTTGATTGCATTACTAAATTTCATCAAATTTTCTGAACGAAATTGACAATAGTCAAATATCATAACTCTACTAAACTTGAGATGTAGTAGACACACAACATGGTTTGATATATGACTTACATCAGTTGAGTTTCTGCCAAAAAGCAAAGACAAATTTAATACAGTGGTCCCTCAATAATTTCAAGGCCTAGGGAAGGCCAGGTGCCTTGAAATTATTGAAGAGTAAAATTAACAAGTTTGGAGTATATATTTTCCGCCAACTATGGGCGGAGTTTACATTATTCTTTAATAGAAAAAAATATATCAAGTAATGATTCAATATGCTTCAATTCTCTGTTTAAATTCATTCTAGTTAAATATAACCCCTGGCTGCATTACTGTTTTCCATCCCCTCTGTCTTGTAACCAATTATTGTTTCAAATTCTTATTCAATCAAATAATAACAGCTTCTTGGTATGCTTTTAGCTTATTATATAATGCTTATCTAATATTATTTTCAATTTTTTGATACTTTCATGAAATCTATCAAATCCAGAACTAAACAATAAATATGACTAAAAAAAACGTTTCGCTTAATATTGCAAATCATTTTGAGATTTGCGATATGAAAAAGAAAAAGCTGTCTATGAGTAACCCTCAATTGGCTGACTGGGCAAAGGAAACCTTTGGCCTTCAGAAAGCTTCTGATGCTTCTACAATCTTGAAGATTTTGAAGAGAGAAGACCAGTACTTGATAATGCAAGCCGACGTAAAGAACAGAAAGTGTGTTAGAAAGAAAAAATAGCCTGTATGTAATATATCTCAACATTATGCATTTTTGCTCTATATAAAAAATAAAATTAACCTTATTATATTGTCACATAACTATAGCAAATCAAAGAAGCAGTGATTCTTTGGATGAACATTGCTGAAAATAATCAGATTCCCATCACTTGGAAATTGATTAAGACTAAAGCTACTATTTTTGCTGAAAGAATAGATATTAAATATTTTAATACTTCTCAAGGCTGGATGGAGAAGTTTGGAAAGCGTCATTGTATCAAGATGAATCGAATTCATGGTGAGGCTGATTCTACTGATATAGAATCACTTCAGATTGACAAGGCTGCCATCAAAGAGAAGATAGAGAGATATAGTGCTTGTGACATATATAACTTTGATGAAACAGCACTCTTTTATGCTGTTCCACCAAGAACAACAATTTCTCACCAGAAATTTTCTGGTTGGAAGGAAAATAAGAAGCGGCTTACAGTAGGCCTTTTGTGCAATGCCAATGGAACAGACAAGTAGTCTGACATATTGATGATTGGTCATGCAAGAAGACCAAACTGTTTAACAAAAACAGCAAAAAACAAGAGGCAGTAGATCATGGATTTTCTATGTATCATTACAACAGTAATACCTGGATGACACAATCAATCTTCCATGTTTTCCTCTGTTGCTTTGATCGTTCAATGAAAGTGCAAAACTGCAAAGTGCTTTTGATCCTCAATAATTTCTATGGCCATATAGTAGATTATGCGCCTACAAATGTTGAGCTTCTTTTTCTGCCTCCAAACACTACGTCCCACCTTCAGCCATTGGATGATGGTATCATTCAGGCTTTTAAGGCTTATTTCAAGCGTAAACAGTATGTCAAGGCATATCAGTATATTGACATGATTCAAAATGACCAACAAGATAAGATTGGGGCCATTGATAAAATCTTTGAAATTGATCAATTGTGGGCCATGAAATGAATAAGAGAGGCTTGGGAATCTGTCTCAGCAAAGACTATTGAGAACTGCTGGAATTCAACAATCTTTTGCTTCATTGAAGACGAAGATACTGAAGGTATTAGTAAAACAATTTATTGGTTATAATAGTACTATAATCTTTCAATTCCACTTTCTTAATATTCTAAATATAATTTATAGATGTAAACCAGGCTATGATTCAGCAAAGTCTGGCTGAAAAGATTCTGGTTGAGGGTTTGGAAGAAACCCTAGACAAGATTGCTGGATCAGGTCTTCTGTCTCTTGAAGATTGTCCGACCAGCGAATCAGATTCACTCTATGAGAGACAATGCACTCATAGAGTGATCAATGAGAATGAGATCGCTGACATTGTCATGGAAGAGTATGACGCAGACGACAATGCAGCCAACAACAACAGCAATGAAGAAATTACTGAAGTGGAATCAGCAGTTCCTTTCAAGAGAACTTATTCTGCTTTGGAAAAGTTTGAGTGTGCTTGCACGCTTTTGGATATCTTGAAAGATGAGAATATTGACAGAGACTTCGTCAGTAAGGTTGAAGGCCTTAGAAACAAGTTTCAGAAAACCGAGAACTCAAAGCAAACTAAAGTCACCAGCTTCTTCAAGTCTTTTTAAAATTTATTCTTTTTCAAATAAAATAAAAACAATTTTCTATAAGAAATATATTTTTCTTCATTTAAAAATAGAAAAAAAAAGTTAGCAGCCAAGTACAGTCAAAGCTTAATTTCGTAATATGTTTGTAAATAGTAACAATTGCAAATAACAATAAATAGTAATGACAGATAGAAATAATAAAATCTACAATAAAAACTTTTATAACAAACAAATTAGAATTATATTTATATTTTTCAAGTGAATAATCTTTACTAAACAATTAATAAATGAAACTTAATCAAAATATAGCACATATAGTTTTATTTTATTTCTGAAAAAAAAATGAAAAATTTTTTTTTAAAAAAAGTAAGCTAGATGACAACTTGATAACCCAGTGTTTGGCATGAAAACTTAACGCACTTGACATTGATGTCAATTACAAAATCGTGAAAAGCTAGAATAAAAAAATTTAAACCAAACTGCAACTATATTGCTCTCGTCTGATTGGCTAATTTTTTTTCTTTAAGGATTCAAGGCCAAAAAATTTCGTGAAAGTGAAATTAACAAGAATCGTGGAAGTTAAGCCCTATTTTTCGAGTTGGGTCTTCAGAGCCTTGAAATTATCAAAGCATGAAATTAAAGGGGCGTGAAATTATTGAGAGATCACTGTAATTGACAGGGAAAAGATATTTTGGGAAGTAGAATTGTCAGTGTTATATTTTTAGAAAAGAAAGAAAAACAAAGTGCAGATGAGAAGTACAGTGAGACTTTGTTTATTGATGAAAAGAGAGATGATCTTCTATTGCTATTTGCTATGTAAGTTTATATAGACATTGCGTGTGTATTTAGAATAATAATATGAGTATATCGTGTGATATCTGTTTTCTTATATCATAGATAATATATTGTTAAGTTATTACCCACGCTCTTGTTTGAGTGATTAGTGATGTTGACTAAGATGTGTGACCTTGTTATTAGTATATTCTTTATTTAATGATAGTGTGAGAAATAATGTATAATTGATACTGGTCACTCATTCAATATATCTTTGTCTTATTGTCTGTGCGCTCTATTTGAATCTACAATTATGTTGGATATAACAGCCAGTACCTCTGTGGCAGAAACAGACAACACAGTGGAAGAACCTCTCTGAATACAAACTTTGTCTCCCATTTCGAAAAGAATACACATTGATTGTATCTGTTCGTTTTTTTAATATACGCTTATTGTTATTTTTCTTTTTAGATTTTACAATTCTAATTTTTATCTCTGTGTAAGTGAATCTGAATAAGCACTTGCACTCTTCAGTTAGAACAGTGCTGATATCTAGATGACCTTGTTGATGTAAAGAAATTACAATGCATTTGGTCTCTTATATATGAAGCAGCTTCAGAGTTTCTATTTGATCATTAGCTTGATTAAGAGTTTCTCCAAGAATCTCATTGCGAAATGTTTGTTTGGATAATTCTAATACTATTGCAACATTGCTTATACAAGAGTTGAAAGGCATCTTCAAAATTTGTAAACAATAAAAAAGCAATAATGTTTTTTAGATCGATTTTTAATGCTATGTCTTTGCAGTAAAAATGATTTGGTAAGTTTAGGAAAAATACACCTCTGATAATGACGTAAACAGAACTTTGGCCCATATATAAAAGTTTTAGACGTGAAAAATAAAATCATATAAAATTACATATATGGTTAAATATTTCAAAAAAAATTATATGGTGTGACCAAGGCCTCTATTATTTAATCTCTGTAAATTATAAGAAAAAAAAGCTGTTAATTTAAAGTCTGGACATTTTTATGATCACATGACTTTCCTTTTAGAGATAAAATGTTTAAATATCATCTATGAGAGTTATTAAAATGTTTCAACTTTTTAAAAAAAACAAACTCTGCAATAAATCTGCCAGAGCACCTAAACTTTGAAATTGTAAAACCTTTTATTTAAGATATTTAGAACAATAGTAAACTTTTAGCTTGATAGAGAATTACTTTATCCATTAAATTAAAAATTCAAATTAAAAATAACTTTAGTTTTGCAAAAGTTATTAACTTTTAAAAAATACCCAAAAACTTAAATAGTTATCTCCAATTGCACCATATTTTCAATTCTCAAAGGTATATAAGACGTCTATTTTATAAATAATAAACATCATCAGTTATCTCTCTCTTAAAATCATCTTCCCTGAATTACTTTCTATCTGACTCACAGAAAAGCAATCATACATTGCATTAAAGTTTATATCTCTGTTCAAAACTCTATTTTCCTTTTTTTTTCTTTTCTGTTCCCTTGTATCCATGTGATTATCCTCAATAAAATCAACATTGTTGTTGTATCCAACATAATCGTAGATTCAAATAGAGCGCACAGACAATAAGACAAAGACATATTGAATAAGCGACCAGTATCAATTATACATTATTTCTCACACTATCATTAAATAAAGAATATACCGATAACAAGGTCACACACCTTAGTCAACATCACTAATCACTCAAACAAGAGCGTGGGTAATAACTTAACAATATATTATCTATGATATAAGAAAACAGACATCATATGATATACTCATATCATTATCCTAAATACACACGCAATGTCTATATAAACTTACATAGCAAATAGCAATAGAAGATCATCTCTCTTTTCATCAATAAACAAAGTCTCACCGTACTTCTCATCTGCACTTTGTTTTTCTTTCTTTTCTAAAAATATAACATTTTTTACAGTGAACTCTTATCACAATCAAAACATGTCTTCCGAAAACCAGTCTCCCGCCCCCAGTGTTCAGGGCAGCCTCAACACAAGTGAAATCGCAAGCAATGAACAGGCCAACAAGTCCATGTTGGCTATTACCAGACTTAGGGATCTCCTGGCTGCTGCTTCCATCGCCCTAGCCAATGCCATCGAACAAAATCAGCCTGAGGACACCAAGAATCAAATAAGGCTGACAATTGTGGCCACAGAAGGCGATCTGGCTATCCTCATGTCAGCACACACCCATTTGCTTCGTTCTGGTCCTGCCCGCGCTGAGCAAGTTGCTCCCCAATCCCGTGTTGTACCTCGCGAGCTACCAGTTCTTCAGTGGCAAGGAAACGAGTGGGACAACACCCAGAAGGTCTACTCGTCCATTGAAGAGTGTCTGGACAAATTCGAGGATGTGCTCCACTCATACAGTCTGGACCTTAATGTGGACTGGCACTGTCTACTCCCCATTGTTCTGTCAAGAGAACAGCGTTCCTGGTATGACAACTACCTTCGTAGTTCCCCCGAGCTTCCCTGGTCCTTTGTCCGCGACACCTTTATCAAGGTATATGGAATCAACGACCTTGAGCGTCAAGTACAGCTCACACATGAGCTGATGCTCATGAGAATGAGCCCTACAGAAACCGTCAGCAACTACACAGACCGTTACCAAAGGGTTCGTCGGGAAGCTGATGTGGCAGACAACATGCAGGCAGCCATTGCATACACTGCCACACTTCTGCCCGAGCTGGCAAGACAAGTCTCCTTGCTACAAGTCAACATGCCCAGGGAAAAATGGGACACCATTGACAAGGCTGCTTCCCTGGCCCGGTCCATCTATAGCAAGGTCTTTCTGATGAGCTTGCATAACGACCCTGTGCCCAAAGGCCGCCATCTCAGCCCAGAACAGACGACCCGCATGTCTGCTGCCACCTCTTCTGCCCGCTCCCCTGGTTCTCCCCGTGAAGCCACACAGAGCCGTGAGCGCTCTTCCAGCAAGAGGTGCTCGCTCCATGGCAAGGGCAGCCATGACTCTGAAGACTGCCGCATCCTCAAGAACGCACTGGCAGCAAAAGGGGGCAATTGGGTTGAAAAAGCCCCCTACATCAACAAGTACGTTGGTTCTGCTCCTTGCCGTTGGTGCGGTGAAGTTTGGTCCCACAAACATTGCTGTTCTTCCGTCGCTGGTTCCTCTAGCTCTTCCAGTTCTGCGTCTGGCTCTCCCAGGGGCTCTGCTCCCCACTTCGCCGTCTGTTCTGCCCACACTGTCTCTGACAACAGTTCTCCCTCAGATGTCAGCACATCTGAGGATGATCAGTCCATGCACATGGACTTTGAACAGTGCTCCCCATGTAAGTACACGGGCACTCACGTAGATCTCAGTAAACGGTCTACTCACTCCTATCTCGTTCCTATTTCTTTAGAAGAGGAAAAACTATGGGCACTGGTAGACACCGGGGCCACCATCAGCTCTGTCAACACCAAGCTCTGTAGCAAGTTTGGGTGGTCAATAATTCCTCACAAAGGGAAAATCGTGTTGGCCACTAGTAACGCTATAGCTCATAGACTAGGAGTAACAAAACCAATAAAAGTTTTTTATAACAACAAACACATTACACATTCTTTTGAAGTTTTGGATCTCGCTGAGAATATAGATGTTAGTATTGGTACAGATTTAATGCCAAGCCTTGGTATTCATTTACTGGGACTAGCAGAGAGTTGGTACGGTTCTAATACACCTCAGACCCCTACACCCATAGCTGAAATAGAAAAGCCCAATAATTCACCAGCTGGTACACCCACTGAACATTCTCAATTCATGAAGGCTCTACTACCCTTTATTAAAGCCAATGAAGCCATACCCATCACTTCATTTTGTACAGTTAAGGAATCTATTGTATGACTACCAACGCCCCCAGGTCAAGTAGTCTATAGACAACAATATCCTATTGCTTTACAACTTGTTCCACTGATGGCCAAACATATAAACCAATGGCTTACTGATGGCACCATACAAAGGGCACCTGTCAATACTAAGTGGAACAGCCCACTTACATTCGCTCCTAAAAAAGATGAGTTTGGTAATCCCACAGGCAAGCATCCTTGCTTAGATCCCAGAGCCATCAACACTCTGCTACCTGACGACAGATTCCCTTTGCCACTCATCTCTGAACTCTTTCACAGGCTATGGGGTGCAACAATCTTCACTACGCTAGACCTCAAGAGTGCCTTTCATCGATTCAAAATTCATGAAGACGATAGACACAAGACTACATTCACGTTTGAAGGCAATCAGTATATGTTTTGAGGATGTCCCTTTGGTCTCAAGCCATTGTCGTCCAAGTTTCAGCGAGTAGTCAATTTGATTTATCACGATACTCCATATGTCACTGCATTTGCTGATGATATTGTAGTTTTTTCCACCATCATGTCTGACCATGTTAGACATGTCCAAACAGCTATTCAAAAGCTCACGGATGTCAATCTCATTCTCAATCCGCAGAAATGTCACTTTGCACAAACTTCTGTATCGTTACTGGGTTTTACTGTAAGCACTAGAGGTATTGATCTTGATGCTCGCAAGGTTCACAATGCTACCATATGGCCACAACCCAAGTCTGGCAAAGACATTCAACGCTTCATGGGTCTCGTCAACTATTTTCATGAGCACATTCCCAACTTGTCGCAACTGTCTTCTCCTCTGGACAAACTACGCAATGCTGACTCACTACACGGGTTATGGACAGAAGAACAAACGCAAGCTTTTTCCAAGCTCAAAATTGCACTTACACACGCACCAGTCCTAAGCCACCCTGACACAACCCAACCATTTCTGGTTGCCACAGACGCCTCCAACACAGGTATTGGCGCCGTGCTCTATCAGATCATAGACAACCAATATTGCTACATTGGTTTTATGGCACGGTCACTTTCCAAATCTGAACGCAACTATCCTGTCACCAAACGTGAACTTTTGGGCATCGTTTATGCTTTGACTAAATTCCATAAGTTCTTGTGGGGTAACAAGTTTACGTTGTACACGGATCACAAGGCTCTCACGTACCTTCACACGCAAGAAATTGCCAACCCTATGATGATAAACTGGCTTGATGTACTCTGCGACTATACTTATGACATAGTCCACCGCCCTGGAATTGACAATATATTGCCAGATGTTTTATCGCGCCTTTTCACATCGGAAAAACCGCTGGGGGAGGGTAAAACCGTAGAAATCTTTACGAATCATCGAATAAAGAACACACAAAATACACATGCTATCCAACGCATGCACAACACAGGGGATATGATAACACCACCTATCAAAGACAGACAGCATCTACTCAACCAAGCACATCTACTCGGCCACTTTGGTACAGACACTATTGTCAACGCTATACATAGTGATGGACTACACTGGACTAATCTCAAGCAAGAGGCAACAGAAACAGTAAAGCGCTGCTTGAATTGCCAACGGTTCAATGTCTCAAAACACGGCTATCATCCGCTGAAGCCTATTACAGCCAGTCAACCAGGTGAACACTGGGCCATAGACTTAGCTGGCCCATACACCACCTCGCACAACGGCAATCATTACATGCTAGTAATGGTTGACATCTTTTCCCGATTCTGCATACTCCGTGCAATTCCAGATAAGACATCTTTAACAATTGCAAAACAACTCATTCAAATCTTTTGCGACTTCGGCCTACCCAAAGTTTTACAGTCAGATAATGGTACCGAGTTTGTCAACGAACTCGTCAAGACTTTCACAAATACAGCAGGAATTGATCATCGGCTTGTAACACCCTATCATCCGCGAGCAAATGGAGTTGCTGAAAAATGGGTACACACAGCTAAGGAAGTCATCAACAAGAGAACACAGGGAGCAAAGCGAGACTGGGACATATACATCCCAAGCACACAGCTAGCCATAAATAGCAAACATGCTAAGCTACATGGCACACGCCCATTCACTCTAATGTTTGCAAGACAACCAAACGATTTTGCTGATTACAGAAAAACAGAGAGCACACACAACGCTCCTAACAGTCTACCAGATATGAAAAAAAGAATTGAACAAATGGAGACTGTCGTATTCCCAGCAATCTGCGAACGCATCAAAGCTACACAAGCTGCTGATAAAGAAAAACACGACAAAGACCATAAAATAATAATGGAGTTCCTGAATGACAGCAACGTGATGATAAAGAACATATTAAGAAAGTCTAAGACGGACCCAAGATATGAAGGACCATTCACAGTCAAGGGCAGAACAAAGGGAGGCAGCTACATTTTGCAAGACGAAACGGGAGCACTTCTATCACGAAACATCCCACCTTCGCAGATAAAGCTGATCTCACAAGATACTGTTATATCTCCAGATAGCTTTTACGAGATACAGGCCATCATTGATCATCGTCAAGAAAAAGGCAACTATCTTTACAGAGTGCGCTGGAAAAACTATGCACCAGATCAAGACACTTGGGAGCCCACAAGCAATTTCAACGATCTGAGCATAATTGACAAATATTGGCAAAGACGAGGTCCAGAGAAACCCACCAATAAATCTACAATTATACATAACAAGCGTGCACATCCAACACAAGAACCTACACGCTTTAGCAAACGCATACGCAAATAAAGACATTTGCTCTCATACATGTACAGATACTACCCTAAGCAATTCAAACGGTTGTTCCAACCTGGAGGGGGGTAATGTTGTATCCAACATAATCGTAGATTCAAATAGAGCACACAGACAATAAGACAAAGACATATTGAATAAGCGACCAGTATCAATTATACATTATTTCTCACACTATCATTAAATAAAGAATATACCAATAACAAGGTCACACATCTTAGTCAACATCACTAATCACTCAAACAAGAGCGTGGGTAATAACTTAACAATATATTATCTATGATATAAGAAAACAGACATCACATGATATACTCATATCATTATCCTAAATACACACGCAATGTCTATATAAACTCACATAGCAAATAGCAATAGAAGATCATCTCTCTTTTCATCAATAAACAAAGTCTCACCGTACTTCTCGTCTGCACTTTGTTTTTCTTTCTTTTCTAAAAATATAACAATTGTTCTCTTCCTTTCCCTTCTACTTTATCTTTTTGTATATTGCTGTCTATCTGTCTTGATCGTCTTATATGAAATCAACAGTACTTTCATTTTCTTCTTCTATTTAATCTTCTTGTGTCTTGCTGTTTTACTTGTCTGGATTGTCCCAAGCGAAATCGACCATGTTCTTATATCTCTCTTCACCTTCTACCTTAACAGCTTTATTTCTTTTCTATTCTCAACTGTCCCAAGTGAAGTTGAACATTCAATCATCCTTATAAATACTCTGTATCTTTCTTATATTTAGCTTTATCTCTATAATCTTTTTTGGTGTTCCATATGAAGTTTACAGAGTTTGAAAGCCTAAGTAAAAGGTAAGATTGTAATAATTTTTATGTGCAGAGTTTGTTACAATTTTAAGCAGTGAGAGTTTGTGAAGATTTTAATAATAAAAGTGTAAACAAGTTAGATACATGACTTAATAAGATTTTCTTATAGCTATTTTATTTTTTATATATCAAAATAAATGCTGATACCAAAAAATATAGGCCAGTTATCTTATAATATAGAACGTCTATTACCTTTTGAACTTGTACTCTAAAGTTGTATTTGTAATTCATCTTCAATACATTTTTATTTATTTTTCTGACCAAGTTGCACACACAACAGACTCAAAACGCATCATTTTGAATATTTGATTTCTTTTTGATCCCCTCTCTTCCCCTCACTCCTGTGCTCTCTACAAAAGCTTAGAATCAAATTACATTTTTGAAACAAAGTGAAAGTGACTGACAAAAAATTGCTGTATAGAATATATGATAGCACTATAGAAAATGACAAAAATTGAAATCTCAGCCTGGTCAAAAGACATGGTCCTTAGTCAGGTCGATCAAGTTGTTTAAGTCAATAAAAATAGAGAATTATGTTGTTAGTGCTATCTATTTAACTAAATAAAATGTTCAGATTTATAGGTTCAAATTTTATGTCAGCAAATAATATTAGAGAATATTATATTTGTATAACACTGTTTTTCTTTTACTTTTGGGGAGCAATATTCTTATTAAGAAGTTATAAATACTCAAATTCATTGAAAAAAGAATTATTAAAAATAGAATTCTGCTGAGATTACAGTGAAAGATTTTTATTTATTTCATTTTTCAAAATTGAAAATATTGAGGCCAAAGAGCCACAGTATGTGTCTAAGTATTTGTAAAATTTTTAGTAATATTGTTAACTATTTAAAAGACACTTTTCAGAAAAGAGGCAGAGAAACAATAAAATTAACTGAGATTCTTTTAATCTATACATAAAAAATAGAAAGAAAGAAAGAATGACTTTAGTGTTTGTTATCTGAAAGAACTTATTTTAAATTGCATATGGTGCAATCAGAGATAAGAATCAATATTTTTGGATTTGTTTCAATTTTTTCTAGAAAAATCCGCCAGCCAATTATGATTTAATGTCCGACAGCCTTTAAAAAAATCAAAATTCAATGATATTTAGCACTCAAAACATAAAGAATAAGCCAAAAGTAAAATTGATATATTTAATAAAATAATAATTAAAGATAAAGATAATGTATAAGCAAAAATAATAAAAAATAAAGAAAGTACAGATAAAAATTCTATTCTCTTCCTTCATCATGGCAATGAGAAGTATATTTTTTTTTGTAAATTTTTTTACAACATCATTGACTTCTTTCACGTTCATCTCTTGGCTGTATGCCTCAATGTAACGCCACAAGTGATTGTAATACTGGCGGATATTTGGAAGCTTACCAGCGTGATCCAGGAAAGTATGGATATTCTTATCTAGGGACTTATATGTATAGTCACACTGGAGGCAAGCTTCACGCTTTGCAGCATCCCACTACCTCTCAATCCAATTTCATTCGAAATGGAACTTAGGGTAAAGTTTAAATATATGACCAGAGCCTTTGACAGACTCATGAAGAGCAGTTTTCTGTGACATAAAATCTGGTTGTGAAGCCAGAAAATGATGTGCACAGCACTTGCTATCTTCAGAGGTGTCTTTACTCTTACAGTCTAGTCGCCATTTCTTAATAAGATTATACAGATCCTTCTCAAGCCACAAATCAAGCTCCTCCAGAATATGACGGACATCTTTAACATATTTAATCTTATTTTGGACCCATTGTCCACTTTTCTTTGCAAATCATTTGTCCTTCTTGTAGTACATTGAATGTACTTTCTCTACATCATTCTGGACAAATATTGTATTCCGCAAAGAACAAGGATTGCCATCTTCAATCTCTTTGTCATTTAGATTCATTTTGCTTAAGATCAAAGCATTTTGATCATATACTTTGTGATTTGTGCTTTGGTCAAATGAAAAGACGTCCTTGCACTCTGGATGAATCAATTCAAAAAGAGGAATAACATTGTTTTTTAATTGCTTCAACATATCTGCACTCATCCAGTACCCATCTCTGTTGGCCCCAGGGCAGAATACCTCTTGTGATGACCATGCCCCTCTAGCCATTGTTCCATAGCATATGCACTTGAACTCACTGATTATGAGAGACATTCCTGGATCTTTCTTACAGATAGGATTTTCATCTTCCATTAGCCACATGTTATCTTTCCCATCGTTTGCATAGAATGTCAATTCATTGTGAGTAACAAGAACATGCTCTATTTCATCAGATCTAAGTACTGGCAAAACTACAGTTTCTTCATTTTCAGAAAAAGTTGTCATTTTCTTCTTGTACACCATCATTCTTTTTGCCCATTTCTGATGGTATGCAATTACATCCTCTTTTTCATGACCATTGTAATAAATGTCTTTAGAGTTTTTTCTAAACACATAACCCTATTTATGAAGGTATTTCCAGATTGTACTTGTGGAAGTATTTCCAGATATATCAAGCTTTCTTGTCAAAATCTCTCCATCAATATACTTCTTCACTTCAATAGGACTTCGACTTTCTGGTCTCTGGTTCTGAATCCATTTACAGATAGTAGACTTTATATCTTCATCCGAAAATAAAGAACGTCTTCTCAAATACTTTTCTTGTTAGTGTAAGGCAATTGAATGGAAATCAATATACTCTTTAGCATACTTTCTTATAGCAGCTGGACGATAAGTGTTTTTGTGAAGCCATATTTCTATCAATGCTTTCTCTGAAGCTTCCATAGTTTTGGCACCTGATATTCTGTATTGAAGATAGCATTCAACTGATTTAAGCTTACAGAGTTCAAAAGCATCAACTGACTGTGAAGAAGGACCTGTGTGAGTATAAGAGAGAATCTCTTTCTTAACATCTTCATGTGCAAGTTTAAGCACAGCAATTTTGTCAATCTGTATGTTCTCTAATTCACTATCAATAGATTCTTCTAATTCAATTGGAGCCTCTTTTGAACTTTAATAAATAAGTCTTTATCTGTAAGATGATAGCTTCCTTGCGTATTTAAAGGAGCATTATCTGCTTTTCTTTTTCTTCATTCAGTTGTTTGCGAATTTTTCTGATAAGTTTCACAAAGCAACTTATCAGTATCTTCATGCCATTTTAGCAGCTGAAGTAACTTTTTCTGACATTCCCTGGAGCTTTCTGTTGTCCAAAACAATATCGTCTTCATGATCAAACTCCAAATCCACATAATCTTCATTTTCCAATTGTATTTTTTTAATAAAAGCTTCACTACTAGCTGATCTGTTTATTTTCTTTGCTATTGTTGATCTCTTTTTTGGACAAGACATTTTAGAGTATTTTAAATATAAGTGTATTAAGCTTGAGTAGTAACACTTGAGGAAGACCAAAATAATAAAAGATAAGCAATAAAAGTCAAAGTCACATGCACGTCATTTTCCTTTTTAAGAAATTTAATTTTAATGTCCGTCAGTGACAGTCATTTAACTTGTTTCAATATTGTAAAAACCGGATAAACTCTATTGTAAATAGGCCAATACATCCCAACTTTGAAAGTCTAAGACTTTTTATTCAGAGTAGTTAGAGCAATTGTAAACTTTTAATTCTATAGATAATGATCATATCTATCAAATTAAGAGTTCAGAATTATATTAACTTAAGTTTTGCAAAAGTTATAAGCTTTTAAAAAATACCCAAAAACTTAGATAGTTATCTCCAATCGCACCATACAATTGATATTGAATAAATGTAGACTAATACAAAGCTTTATATTTGATGCTTTCTACGCTACGCCTATATTTTTATTTTATATATTCATAACTTTAATAGTTTACATGATGCGAATCTGATTATGATCGAAATGAAGTTTTATTAGTAATTGATCAATAACATTTTAAGCATTGATAATACCTTTTCACTGATCATCACATCTACGTAGCAGTATTTTTATATAGCAATGTTATTTAGTATATATTATAGATAAATGTACCATTGTTTTTATAATTTTCATTAAAGAAAAGAAAAAATATTAGTATAGTTAAAAAGGACTCAATGTTTACTTTTTTTTAAAAGTAAGTGCTAAGTCCCAATTCAATAACGGAATATCAGCATAAAATCATTGTAAATTATGCTAAGTCGTTTTTTACTACTAGAGAATTGTGTTATGATTTTGCTCATAAGTGCTGTATATCATAACATGCCTTAGAAGAGCATCCACAGTGGTATGTGGGAAATAAATGTGTATTTTGGAATGAAAAAACAAAATTTAATATAGAAATTTCAATTCAACTACATCGGTTTTGCCAAACTAAATATTTTATGACTTTTCTAACGTTAGGATTAAAATATTTCTATCAGCAACATATAAACATTTCAAATATCAATCATAAATCAAATATTTTTTTCTTAATATTATCAAAATACAAATAAAATCTTATACACCATGAGTGCTTATCAAAATACAATCAATCTGAATGAAGACTGTGAAGTTTTATAGAATAAAATCAACAGTAAAAAGATTGAGACGTATATAAGAATACTTTGAGACTGTATATAGGTTGTCTTTATTAAAGAATACAAAGTTGTCCTTTTTATATCAAAACACGATCTGCTTTGTCAGTCACATCTTAATTTCTTAAGTCTGAGTTCATTTAGCTATTAGAGAGCTGATACTGCTATGTTTATAATTTAATCTAATTACAGTGTCCTCATATTAACTCAGTGCTTACTGAGCTGTCATAATTACAGTACTTACTGTAATTAATTATTGGTCTTATTGATTTATCATAAGTAAAATAAATAAATTATTCATTTGTTCTTGTAATGATAGCTGTTTTACTATAATAATAGGAATATGTTCTTAGATGTAATAAATCCAACAACCAAGTGTCTGGATCACCACAAAGACACTGATGTCAAAGAATATGAGTACTTTCTCAACAATCCAGATATAGATTTTGGATTATTTGATTACTTATATGATGATAAAGAAGAGGAAGCAAGACGTGCAGCAAATAACGTATTTTTGTTGAACAATTTGGATGCCATTATGCCTTCAACTCGGATGAGTATAAACAGAGGACACATTGAAGGTAATGAAAGATTATATTCTGACTATTTTGCTGCAGATCCTTTCTACAACAAGAAAATCTTTTGAAGAAGGTTTAGAATGAAACATGATCTTTTCTTTCAGGTCTGTGAGGGAGTAAAGAACCAAGACTCCTATTTTGTCCAGAAATGAGATGCTTCTGGAGTACTTGGATACTTGACATTCCAAAAGGTTATTGCTGTACTGCGTATGCTCTGCTATGGAGCATCTGCCAATTCACTTGACGAATATTTGAGAATGAGCGAGACTGTTATCTTAAAAAGTATGAAACTCTTTTGCAAGACATTGACAGCTGTATTTGGAGATGAGTACCTTAGAAGGCCTAATCAAGCAGGTACGGATCGGCTACTGGTAGTTAGTGCCAAAAGAGGGTTCCCAAAGATGCTAGAATCTATAGACTGCATGCATTGAGCCTGGAAAAACTGCCCAATGGCTTGGCATGGCCAGTACACTGGCCATAAACATGAGCTAACTTTGATTCTTGAGGCCATTGCTTCTCAAGACTTCTGGCTGTGGCATTCATACTTTGGGCTCCCTGGCAGCCATAATGATATTAATGTTCTTGATCGATCTGATATCTTTCAAGAAGTCACTGAAGAGACAGGTTCTGTTGTGTATTACAACATTGGAGGCAAAACATATGACATCGGATACTATCTGGCTAATGGAATTTACCTAAGCTATGCAACATTGATAAAAACCATGTCAAATCCCATACTAGCAAAGGAAAAGATAACATATATTTGTGTATTCTTATATTTATTCTTATCTTTACTAAAATTTGCTACTTCAAATTTTATAATCTAGCTGTTTGCTCAAAAACAAGAGGCCACAAGAAAAGATGTTGAACGGGCTTTTGGAGTACTGCAGGCTAGATTCAACATTGTCAAGCTTCCTGCAAAGCTGTGGAGAATTACAGACTTAAATATGATAATGAAACCATGTATCATATTATATAACATGATAGTGAAAGACGAACGTGGCGTAGATGGCCTGGACATGGTCTATGAACAAAGCTTGGCAGCAATGACATTATCAGACAGAGCTAGTAGAAGAGCGACTAGTGAAGACGTTACCAGAGGAAGCTTTTCTGAATTTGTCACAAGATATTGTGAAGTTACAAGCCGAATCAACTATGCTGAGTTAGTAAAAAGCCTTGTGAGTAACTTGTGGAGTATGGCAGAAAATAATGAATAAATAAATAGTATAATAAAGTTTTATATTAGAAAAGTGCAAAAAAAACCATTTTATTCATCAGAAAAATTATATTCTTCATTGTTGTATCCAACATAATCGTAGATTTAAATTAAAAGTACAGACACTCAATAAATACGTACATTGAGTTACTGACAACTAGTAATGATACTAAAAGATATACCTTCCCTTATACAAGGAAATTATGTAAAGAACATACTAAGACAAATACTAAGACTCTAGTCAATAACACTAAAAACATAAGAACTAAATCATAGAAGATAATGGTAGAGAAACAGACATTACATGATATCATCATATCATCACCAAGCTAAATACAATGTCTATATAAACGCACAATACTAATAGCAATAGAACATGATCTCTTTTCTGATTCTTTCACTTCTTCTAATAAAACAAAGTCTCACCGTACTCTCGTCTGCACTTACTTTATTTTATATCTTATTTTTATCTCATACATAACACTGCCCACACGATTACCTAACTTCCTTGGATCTGTCCAATGCCTTCCTTCATATCTTAGGGCACAAGGCATCAAGAAAATACTTACATTTTTGTTGGGAGGGTCAAGATTACCAGTTTCATATAACTTCTTTTAGTCTATTAGTCGTCCCATAGTTGTTTATCAAAGTGACCCATCCAGTACTAGAATGGGCTCAAATCTTGGGAATACAAGTCAGTGCCTATCTCGATGATTGGATTATTATCAGCAACTCATACCAAGATGTTGATGAACAAGCTCACTTCTCTTGACTGGATATTAAATATAAAGAAATTGCTGCTCTAACCATCGCAACAACTGGAACATTTGAGTTATCTTTTGGACACCAAGAACATAATTTCCAAAATTCCAGGTGCCAAATTGAGAGATTTACAATGATCAATATGACAACTGATACAACACAAATCTCTAACTCCTCGTTTGGTCCACAGTCTCACAATGCGGATCCAGGCAGCCATGATCACACTCTTTCTGGCCAGACTCTACACGCAACACTTGATGTGGTTCAAGAATGGCTTTGTGAAGAAGAATGAAGGGTAGGATACACCACAGCCATTGCTTCAGACCTGCCTTTGGGAACTTTGCTAGTGGGAATGCAATATCCCACAATGGAATGACCAATCACGCCTACCACAACAAAACAAGCATGTTCTGTTTGTTGATGCAAGCAATACCAGATGGAGATGTGCACTAGGGGACAAGGCAATCTATAGATATTGGTCCCACCAGGAGGCCACAATGTCTATCAATTGGCAAGAAATGAAGGCAGTACATCTTGCACTACAAACCTTCCCCTCCCTACAGCACTCATCCATACTTGTCAGAATAGACAACACTACCTCAATGGCGTACCTGAACAAGCAGGATGGCTCCAAGGCCTTTTATCTAATGACACTGACTACCAAGATATAGAGGCTGTGTCTGCACCATGGGTTGAGGTTGACAGCCCAGTATATAGCAGGCAAGGAGAATGTGGAGGCGGATTTGGCATCTCATTGCACATTTACAAAGAACTTGTGAAAGCTGTCTTGTCCAGCTTTTCAAGCTATCTAACAGACATGGGGTCCTCATTCCATGGACTTATTTGCAGTCTGGCTGACCCACCTTCTCCCAACTTTTGTTTCATGGAGACCAGACCCAAAGGCAACAGTAACAGACGCAATGTTGATACCATGGTCTCAATGGGCTAATTGCTATCTGAATTCTCCTTAAAACCTGATTGGACAGTACTTGCACAAGATCTGGCAAGAGTACATAGTGACAACAGTAGTAGCATCAATTTGGCCAAGTGCATGGTGGTACCCATTGCTCCTCCAGATGAGTATAGGTCCCCCTCTCCTCTTGACATCCCAGGACATAATTCTGGCTTCCCCAAGACATCTTGGCTATTGAAGAACCCTCAGTGGAGACTAGGTGTATACAGAGTCTCAAGCGTTGGTTTCAAGATACAGGACTCAATGCAGAGTCAGTTAATATCTTCATGGTAGGCACTCTGGAGAACACACCAACGAACAGAGTTTACCAACGCAAATAACATATCTTCACTGCATGGACACTACAACATGACGTTTCTACCACCGAATTTTCAGTCTATGACCTCATTAACTTTTTGGTATACAATCACTCGTTAGGGTATAGTTTAGAGACTATTAAAAACTATCATACAGCAGCCCTCAAGTTACATAGAGATCCTACTTCCTTGCGTACTCATAAAGACATCCATTCCTTGTTTGCTTGCTTGGCTAAAATGGCTATTCTGACTCAACAACACAAGACCCACATGGACCTAACTCCAACTCTTTCCTTCCTTGCTTCGATTCCATCTCTTGCCTCCACATCCCTTGCAGCACTAGCATGGAAAACAGTCTTCCTGCTTGCCATGGCTGCCTTCCTCAGGCCCTCTGATTTGAACTGCTTGCAGCTTACCTCGGCTTACCTCCAGACCAACACGGGAGCACTTGTGTTTGATTTGCATGCACCAAAGGAATGCAGACGAGATTAACGGATTGTAAAGACCATTATGATTCGACTACATATCATGAAGTCACTATGCCCAATTCAAGCATTCTTAGTGCTCAGGGCTCAACCCCGAGCTGCCACCTGACCACCCACAGCTCTCTTTATGAAATCCCATTCACCATCTATCCCTGTTAAGGTTACAACTATCTCCACCTAGCTTTGGGATCTAGTACGTCTCTCAACAGATCAATTGATGTCTGTTTGGTCTCTTGTGTCTCCCTTTGTAATGGACAGAGGAATGCCTGTTGAAGAGATAGTCACACTTGGTAACTGGTCTTCGGACATAGTCTTTCACTGGCATTACTGACAAAATCACATCTCCACTGCCAACTTTACCAGCCTAGTCTTACAACTGCCAACGACTGCCTCCTCTGCTACTATAGACATGGATGGTAATATTACAGAGCAGTATATGGAGCAAGACGAAGATCAGGGCATTGAGGATGATGATGAGTTTTTCAACGCATTGGATATGGTGCCTCTCTGAAGTAGCAATTATTCCTTCCCTATTTTGGTTTGACAGTCTCACCAAATTTTGGGAGAGCTTTGGCTTGACCTATAAATTCACTGGATAGACTGTCGAATAAAAATAGGGGAGGAATAATTCACTCACCTTCCCTCATCTGTAATGACCAGCATATGATCAAAGAACAATAATATGTTTTACTTAGATTTTAAAAAACCTATTTTTTGCTATTTTAAATAAAAGACGATTACTAGCAATTATTCCTTCCCTATTTTGATTTCTCAGTCTATCCAGTGAAGTTTGAAATGAAGACACAGATTGAAAAGTTAAAGTTGGAGATCACTACTCTCAAGAATCAACCAGAAACTCAAAATACTCTAAACTAAGACACTTTGCCTTCTGTCACAACCATTGTAAGTCAAAAATAAAATAATGTAAGTATATATTAACATCTTATTTAATAGTCAGATGGTAATTATATTCATAAATCTGTGGACAATTTGCATAACATAACTTTGATGCTTATTTTCAAAATTATAAGTGAATATCTTATCGTTGAAGTAACCAGTCATGTAAAAGCCACACTCACTTTGATCACAAAGTTAATATGTGATGATATGACTGCCTATCCTTTGGTGATTGCTCTTGGTCATAACCTTAGCTGGAGGTCTATACCAGTAGCAGTTAAGAAAGAAATGTGTGTAAGCCACGCAAGTATAATAAAGGATTCTGATATAGACTTCACCAGACATCTTGGAAACTGAGCATAAACTGCAAGAGTTGCTTTTCTCTGGAGACATTTCCATGGAAGATTGCAGTCTTATAAGTAATCAAAATGCAATGGGATTGAATAGGATAATATACTTTAAAAACATAGAAGATCAAATGTTTTAATTACCAATAAAAGCATCTATTTTTTTGCATTAATAACTAATAAAATAAGTAATAAAAGCTACCTCTTCTTGTATAAGCTAATAAAATAAATTTAAAAAAGCTATTTTTATAAAAACAACCAATAAAAATTTGTATTTATTAAAATGAGCAAAAATATTGTTATACTTGACAGTCATATAAATTTTTATAAAACAAGTCCTATCAAAAACACATCATTAATCTCAGGAGCTAATGATAAATAGAAACCTGAGAGTAAAAGAGCCTTATAAAAAAGGCATAACTGTCATAGTTAGAACACCATCTTAACCAATACCAACTTTCTCTTTTTTTCTCTCAATAAAATCATTATACAGTCAAAGCTCGATATAATGATATTTGATATACACCACAGCGGATTTTTTTGTGTAATCTTGTTCCTTAAAAGGATTCTTGTATATGAAGCGAATTTTGCCCATAACAGGAAATTCATTTTTTGGGGGACTGAAAAGTGGGGGGATGGGGGAACTACTCTTGGCCAATAGATTTCGATTAAAAAATATACTGCACAATTTCAAAAATGGTTCAAATTTTTAATTTGTTTCAAATAATTTTGGGCTGTAAAAAATTTATTTTTTATTTTCAAAAAAAATTAAGCTAAAAAAAAAGCTAGACTGGACCATAAAATTCACAGGTAGTAGCACACCAGTATATCCATACCACTAGAAACACTAGTAGTATTGCTGTTTGTATTTGTGCCTGTAAATTACGCAATTGGTTTGCTACAAACTACTATGTCTAGCTAATCCAAGAGACCTAGTGCCAGAAATACCAATAAACCCAAAGAGCATAAAGATTTGAATTTCGAGAAAAGCTAAAGCAGAAGAACTAATAATTAGTAACTAAACTTAGTTATATATATTTAACAGAATTTTATCTTTGACTCTATTAAGGTATTTGCAATAAAAGGCAACCAAATCTCTGCAAGTGAGAAGTAAATAGTTAGTCTTCTGTTGCTTTGTAAGAGGAACATGTAGTTATTACCTCTTTATTGATTTACCAAGATGATGAAAAACTAATTTATAAACTAGAATTGTATGATTAATAAACACAATGACATAAAAAACTGATAGTATAAATACCTTTGAGCTTATGATCTTTAAACAAAATTCTGCTTCTATAAATACTATAAACATACTGGAATATCTTACAGATAGAAGCTCATGCAAATAATAAATATTTTGTGGAAAAGTAAAATGAAAAAAAAGACAAAAACACGTGATATTTTCTTAAAAGAAAAGAAGTAAAAAAATTCTAATTGGTCCGCTGACATTAAATATTGATCTTTGCACATTTTATAAATTCAATTATTTTCACAAAGTCATTTTACCCCCTTTGTTTTTACAATTAATTTACTATTATGCAAAAGAATACAAGACAAAAAACATATAAAATTGTTAAGACTTGCCCCCTAAAAGGCAAGGCGAACTTAACTTTAGCATCAATTCAGATGTTTTTATCTGCTCTAAATGTGAAAAAGAGTTTGAAAAGCCTTGGTTACTGAAAAAGCATTTGAAGGTTCACCATATAAGTAATCAAATGGCAACTAATACTATACTCGACAAACCCCAGCAGGCCAAATTGATAGTTGAGAACACTATTCTGGATGCTAATGCATTTGATTACTTGAGTGACAAAGATGACTCCTCCAGTATCGGGAATGAAGAAGACAACATTGTAGACAAGGAAAACAATATTGTCAATAATTTCTTTGATATTGAAATGAACAGTAATCCAGTTTTCAACGCATTCTCTGATATGTTTTCTTCTGTTGCTGCTGCTGATGAGGTATCAATGACTGATGATGACTCTGAGATCCCAAAAGAAGTCTTTGAGACAATTGTCACTGTAAATGACTCTACAAGCTGTTATCCTTTTCGCAATCTTCAAACCATGATCCTTTTTGCTTTTATTGATGGAGATAATGACATGATCTCCCAGCAAATGTTGAAGAAGATACTGCTTGTGATGAACTTGATCATTGAGATCCAGCAAGAAACTCCCATAGGAAGAACATTTAAGTTACCTCGTTTGGATACTCTTTTAAATTATCAGGCAAGAAAGAAGTCCAAGATGCCTGTCTTTCCTTCACAAAGAATATCAGTACCTGGATCAAATGGGAACGCATTCACCCACATTAACCTTCCATCCGACCACTTGAGATTTCTTATGGCAAACCCAAAGAAATCCAAGTTGATCTTGTCCATGCCCAATCGTACCCCAAACCAATCAATCTGTTTGGAGCAAGGTGAAAAGTGGAGAACCCACCATCTCTTTCAGCAGCCTATGCACACTGTAAATGGTATAGATGTCTGGTTTGGAAACATTGTTTACTTGAAGACAAACGATTGCAGCATCCGCTTTTTGATTGAATCATTCCACATGGCAAATAAAAACATTTTTGTGAGAGGGTATCTGGTCAGAGCGATTTTGATTGTATGCTATGGCATTGAGGTTGCTGTTACCAATCTTAGAGTAGAGCAGATCTCTCACGTTGACACCACTCCTGTTGAAAGAGATCACTACTACAGTATCTCAAGTAGCCTTACCAGATTGAGTCCTGCTCATGACTTTCTTCTTTTTGGAGTTCATCCAATGAAGAAGCCTATGTCTCTTTCTGTTTTGCCTGGTAATGTAGATCGCGATACAGTATTTTACAAAGTTAGGATTGTTTCAATCATCCTTTTTACAGACAGCACTTCCGGCAATTGTTCAAAGCAGTACAATCCGTTTGAAAGCTGGTTAGTGAGATGTGCTGCCTTGCCTTTTAAGGATCGAAATTCGATAGCAAACATTCAGTTTCTTTCTACAATCCCTAAGAAAGATGGTGAAAATGGTATGTCTCTTCTGCCAGCAATCGTTGATGACTTTAAGAAACTCGAGAAAGGTGTAAAAATGTTCTCTGCTGAAGACAATGAGTATATTCTGGTTGTTGCTCCCATCCTTTGGATTGAGGCTGACACACCATGTCATTTGGAACTATGCGGATTGCTTGGGCCGGCCACCACATTTCCTTGCAGAAGATGCTACATTGAACTTAGACGTGCAAAAGACTTTGTGAAGGACTTGTCCTACTTCCGTGAGTGCCATGAGAGACGAACTCAAGAGCACTATGTTCTTGCAAACTCGTCATCTGGCAGAGACACTGAGATCCCAAATGCTCTGAAAATTGGAATGAGCACGCCTGCAAACAAGATAAGCTTTAGAGATCATTTGACTGGCCGCTTATTAGAATTACAGTTGTTTGATCCAGAAAAGAATACATCAGTGGAAATCCTCCACACAATACTTCTTGGTGTTGCAAAGTATATGGTGATTGACTTGGTTAAGGTCATGCTTAAGAATGACACAGCCACAATAGCAAGACTTTCAGAATTCTTGACAGATTACACACAATCAACTGGTCTATCAAGAAAGTTTACCCAAAACTTGAGACATAGTGATTCATTCCTTGGTAGAGACTTCAAGGTTTTGCTTCAAATACTTCCTGTAATTCTGATTACAGAATTCTCTGGAAATCATGAGCTAGATCTTGTAATACCATGCTTTGTTGAACTTGGTCAATTGTGTTCTCTGGTATTCGTTTGTCAGGTGACATCAGACTTTGATAACTATATTATCAGAATAGATAATGCAGTGAAGCACTTGATCAGAGCATTGTTTGACTACAATAAAGGAACCAAGAACGAGCTCCACAAGGCGTATTGCACCAAGTCAAAAGTTCATTACTTGACACATCTCAAGGAAGATATAATTCGTTTTGGTCCAGCCCTCAATTATGAAACAGAAAAGGGCGAACAGTTCAATAAGCACATTTGCAAACATCTGTTTCATAAGAATTGCCAAAACACTTCCAGAAATGTTTGCCTAAAGTTTGCAAAGCAGATAGCATTGCAACATGTAATTGACGGTGGGTCATGAATTAATAGCTCTGGCAACCGAGAGAAGTCTGGAACTGGAATAGAGAGGTTCATTAAAGACAACAATAAATCCTTGTTCTATTACACCTCCTTTGGTGGCTCAAGAGAGCTAAAGGACAACAATGACACTGGAGATATTGAAGATGACACCATCCAAAACAACAGTTTTGGCACGTTTGTTTTTAGAGATGATCCAATCTCTTGCCCTTGTATAAGACTTGTCTCAGGCTCTGTTGTTAAGTTTCTTAGCATTGTTCCTCGTATGGATAATGATAAAAACAATAACTATGCCAAGGCTGTAATAACAGGTGAGCATTCTTATGTTGCTAACATAAATCTCATTTGTAAGTTAGATTTGCACATTTTCTGCAACCCATTTTACATTGTAAATTTGAGCAAGTTTGGTTCCTACTGGTTCATTCCCAATAATCTTCTTTTTGATAAATAAAATGATGCTACTTCTTTATTATTATTATAATTATTATTTGAACCTTCTGTTTTCTTCTTCTCAACATCAATTTTTTTGTGTAATTTCTGTGAAGTCATTTTTTGGTTACTCAAACCAATCCCCAACTTTCCTTAATAAATCCTTTGTCTCACTTGAACACTTTCTGACTTCTCTAACAGTTTTTTTTCTTACTTTAAAAGTCCACAAGTAGTACTGAACTTAATTTTATTCTTTATTTGGATGAAAAAAATTGAGTACAAAAACAAATTACAATATTTTGGTCTCTAAGCCAATCATATTGCTTAGGTGCCAATTTTCATCTAAAATGATATGAAAAATCTCTGATGGTATAGTGATAATTGCGATATAGTGATAATTTTTTGGAAAATTTAGGCCCGTGCCTGCTTATTATCACTATTTTTTAATATAGTGATAGTAATAAAATTTGAATCCACCAGTATCACTATATCGAGCTCTGACTTTATTTATATACTATAAAAAATAAATGTAATATATATTTTATTTAGTATTTTAAAGCAAGTTTACTTTATTAGACAAAATACTATGAATCCTATTAGAAAACAGTAGTCACTTACAGCAGCATTAGAAATATCACTAAATAATGCATAAAGTAAGAAAAACACACATTTGATATAGTGATAGTAATAAAATTGTGAGCGTGCTGGTTAGCCTTTCCGTTACACTAGTAGATATTCAATTAGAACTAACTAGGTGTTCAATGAGGGTGTGATTATAAGGGTTTTTAAGATAGAAACAATTATATAGAATTTGAGAATCAAGGTGTAAGATAGTATTTTTTTCATGTTATTTGCCTTTGCTTTTATATTGTTTCTATCCTATTTTTTACATCATTGTTTTATCATTTTCTAAGGTTTGCTAAGAGCATCCACAGTGATATGTGAGAAATAAATGTGTATTTTGGAATGAAAAAACAAATTTAATATAGAAATTTCAATCCAACCACATTGGTTTTGCCAAACTAAATATTTCATGACTTTTCTAATGTTAGAATTGAAATATTTCTATCAGCAACATATAAACATTTCAAATATCAATCTTAAATCAAATGTTTCTTTCTTAATATTATCAAAATACAAATAAAATCTTATATGCCATGAGTGCTGATCAAAATACAATCAATCTGAACGAAGACTCTGATATCAAAGAATACAAGTACTTTCTCAACAATCCAGTTGTAGATTTTAGATTATTTGATTACTTGTATGATGATAAAAAAGAGGAAGCAAGACGTACAGCAAATAACGTATTTTTGTTGAACAATTTAGATGCAATTATGCCTTCAACTCGGACGAGTATAAACAGAGGATGTATTGAAGGCAATGAAAGATTGTATTCTGACTATTTTGCTGCAGATCCTGTCTACAACAAGAAAATCTTCGAAGAAGGTTTAGAATAAGACATGGTCTTTTATTCCAGGTCTGTGAAGGAGTAAATAACCAAGACTCCTATTTTGTCCAAAAAAGAAATGCTTCTGGAATACTTGGATACTCAACATTCCAAAAGGTTACCATTGCACTGCGTATGCTCTGCTATAGAGTGTCCGCCAATTCACTTGACAAATATCTGAGAATGAGCAAGACTGTTGCCTTAAAAAGTATGAAACTCTTTTGCAAGACATTGACAGCTGTATTTAGAGATGAGTATCTTAGAAGGCCGAATCAAGCAGATACAGATTGGATACTGGCAGTTGGTGCCAAAAGAGAGTTCCAAGAGATGCTAGGATCTATAGACTGTATGCATTAGGCCTGGAAAAACTGCTCAACGGCTTGGCATGGCCAGTACACTGGCCATAAACATGAGCTAACTTTGATTCTTGAGGCTATTGCTTCTCAAGACTTCTGGCTGTGGCATTCATACTTTGGGCTCCCTGGCAGCCATAATGATATTAATGTTCTTGATCGATCTGATGTCTTTCAAGAAGTCACTGAAGAGACAGGTTCTGTTGTGTATTACAACATTGGAGGCAAAACATATGACATCGGATACTATCTGGCCAATGGAATTTACCTAAGCTATGCAACATTGATAAAAACCATGTCAAATCCCATACTAGCAAAGGAAAAGATAACATATATTTGTGTATTCTTATATTTATTCTTATCTTTACTAAAATTTGCTACTTCAAATTTTATAATCTAGCTGTTTGCTCAAAAACAAGAGGCCACAAGAAAAGATGTTGAACGGGCTTTTGGAGTACTGCAGGCTAGATTCAACATTGTCAAGCTTCCTACAAAGCTGTGGAGAATTACAGACTTAAATATGATAATGAAACCATGTATCATATTATATAACATGATAGTGAAAGACGAACGTGGCGTAGATGGCCTGGACATGGTCTATGAACAAAGCTTGGCAGCAATGACATTATCAGACAGAGCTAGTAGAAGAGCGACTAGTGAAGACGTTACCAGAGGAAGCTTTTCTGAATTTGTCACAAGATATTGTGAAGTTACAAGCCGAATCAACTATGCCGAGTTAGTAAAAAGCCTTGTGAATAACTTGTGGAGTATGGCAGGAAATAATGAATAAATAAAGTGTAATAAAGTTTTATGTTAAAAAAGTGCAAAAAAAAATATTTTATTCATCAGAAAAATTATATTCTTCATCACTTTGAAGCTCTTCAACTTCTTCTTCTTCATCATCACTACTCTCATCCTCATCTTCAAAACCCCTTTCTATTTCTTCTGCTTGGCGCAGGGCTTGCTTTTGCTTCAAGAGAACACAGCAGCGTCTTACTGGATTGCTGATAGTGTCTGCATCCATCATGATATACTTCATGTCCAGCATCTCTCTGAAATTTTTGTCCTTTCCACTACCAGAACGCTGGGCTTTTCTTTGATCATTCACCAGATCAAAAAGAGCCTCCTGGACCTTTCTCTTCCCCTGGGATCCGGCCTTGCTTTGTTTGCAACCTATTGGATGGACAATCTCTTATTGAGAAGACATTTCATTGTTTCCCTGAACATTCCCACTGGACGGAGTGATTGACACAACAATCTGGCTTCTGTTTTCTTGTCCTCTTGTTGAACCTTCTAAGCCGTTCATTCACTTGGGAGCAAGAGAAAGGACGGAGTAGCAATGATCCAAGTTAAATGTCTTGTTGTTTTGGACCTTGAACAGGATTCTTGCTTCAGAAATCTAGTTTTTGTATATATAGAGATTAGACATCAATAATAAATTAACCAAATTTTTAACTAGGATATTACCATATCTAGGACATTGGCCCCACTTTGATTGCGTCACTCAACTTGAGCCACACAGCCACAAAACTTTGCTACTTTACTTTGTATATGATTCCAGCAGGATGTCAAAGAACTAGTAGAGCGGAACATACAGCTTGGATCGATGTTTTCAAGATAGTGCAATCCAATTCTTTTCTACATAGTAATACCCCTTTGATCTTTTCCCGTTATTGCGTCTTGAGAAATAGCCAGCCACGACTTACAAAGCTGAATGTCCTTCAAGTAGTTCTAATTGGCATTACGGCCACTGGTAGATGTGGAAACAGGTTCACTCGAAGAGACATTGTCAGTGGAGGATTGGAAAATATTGCTGTTCATTTCAAAGAGTAAAGCTAGATATAAAGAAAATAATACTCAAAATTTGTATTAAAGTCTGCCTTCAATTTATATCAAAATATGACTTCAATTTTTATTAAAATATGACTTCAATTTTTATTGCCAAAGGTTTTAGTAAAGTTCAAAACATCTACATTCACTAAACATTTCTCACAAAAATTTTAGTTTCGCACATCGTATAGCAAAACCACTGTGGATGAAAAAATCTAAATAATTTGTCAAATTCCCATATTTTTTTAATTCCTACATACCATTGTGGATGCTCTAAAGATTTTTATTTTTTTAATATAAGACGGCAGAGTGATATTCAATAATCAATAGTTTTACCAGACCAATAATATAGTTTATAAGTTATTGACTTCTTAATATAGCTTTAATAGTGTGACGTACGACGTTTGGTTGTAAAGAGTGTTTGTTCAGATGACAGCTAGAAATTCGAAGTATAGTTCCAGATTCTCACTCTCAGTGCAGGCAGTGCCAAGGAGCAGAGCAAAATCTTCCAAGAAGTTTTACAATAAAAAAATAGAGTAGACTTTAGATACTGTTTATTAATTGAGATTTTGAAATATTTATACTCGTAATTATTGATAAAAAAATGATAAGATATAGATGTAGATGAACGAGACTGGAAATTTGTGAGCTTGGTTAAACAAAGGGAAATCTTGTAACACTGAAAAGAGAAGATAAGATTCGAGATCTAACAATTTGGGGAGATCAGAATGAGGTCTGTGCTTCACAAGTACAATGATAAAATTAATGGCTGAAGCCAAAAAAGACAATAACTGTTCATTACAGTCACAATAATCTTCTATGATAAACTTTTATTTCAACATCAGTATCAGTGTGCCTAATTAGAATTTAAAAAGACTGAATATGATAAAGTATATAGACAATTAAAAAATTTATCAGGCATTGCCAGATTTTCTCAAATAATTGGTTAATATTTTTCTATAGTAGAGAAGTTTGTGGACTCAGATTTGTAGACACAAGAATGACTTTGGCTACTTAATTTGGTCTGTTTGTGTAATTGTGTTACTTTGTATTACTTGAAATTTTGAAAAAATCATTTTATTTTGTCAAAAAATATGGCAAAGTGAAATCAAATTTTCAATCAATAATATTCTCTCAATTTTTACTCTAAACTGACAGCATAATTTATGATTATGTAACTGAAAAAGACTGTAATTAAATCAAATTAAAGAAATATAAGTTTTGGCTAAGTATACATTTTATTTTGTTTACTCTTTTATTCAATTAAAAACAATGAACACAACCACTCTAAGAGACAGGACTATCAGCTACAGAGACCAGAGTAGTGTAATTGTCCGTAGAGACAAAGTGATGCTTGAAGCAATGATATTCAAGCATCCAAAGTACAGTCAAAGCTCGGTATAGTGATAATTTTTGAAAAATTTGGGCCCATGCCTGCTTATTATCACTATATCGAGCTCTGAGTATATTTTTGTACTATAAAAAAATCTAGTATATATTTTATTTTGCATTTTAAAGCAAGCCCAGTTTCTTAGACAAAATAATACGAATCCTATTAGAAAACAGTAGCCACTCACAGCGGCATTAGAAATATCACTAAATAATGCGCGGAGTAAGAAAAAAACACGCTCAATATAGTGATAGTGATAAAATTTCTGTCCACCATCCATATCACTATATCAAGCTTTGACTGTATCAAGGACATGGCAATATTGGAGGAGCCTGGGATGAGATTGTCCAAAAAGTCAACGCCATCGAATTTGATGATGGGAAAGTGGGTCTTTCAACTATAAAAGATCAGTACAGGGCAAGAAAAAACCAAGAAAGACAAATGACAGATACAAATGAGAGACATATCAAAGTTGATAACCTTCTTTATCAGCTTATTAGTTTGGTAATATCTTTATCATGTAAAGTATACTTTGAATATTTGGGTATTTAATATTATGTCTTTTCAAAGAAAGAAGAGGAGGCTTGCAGAGCAAATGATGCTTGTCAAAAGAAGAGTATTTGCGAGGCAGAGAAAGCTTAGACTGCTGAGAACTTTTTGGTGCTTGTGAAGAGGGCCAGACATGAATATATCAGGCCTGCGTACCAGCAGAGACAGCAGGCCGCTGATCCTGGAGAAGGCTTCTCTACATTTTGGCTGGAACAGACTTTTGTTTGCATGAACAGTGTTATGCATGTGTTGAAAGGATTCCATGGTAACCTCTTCAATATTGTGGACAGAGTTGGGGACAATGATGTTCTTCTTGTCATTGAAAGATTGGAGCAAAAGTTTAATGAAAGAATGACACGTCTGGAGGAAGACTTGGTGACAAGTCAATTGCGAATTGAAGAATCAATCATAAGACTTTTCTCTCAATAATTCTTTTAGTATTAATCTGAAATAAAAAAAAACTTTATTGATTCAAGAGATCATATATATATCTTTCTGGGGTTAGAGGAGCAACATCAAACTTCATACTTGTTTGGTTGCCACCATTGAAACAAACATGAACGTTCTTTAATAAGGTTTTAATAATGTAGTAAAGTCCAACAGAACAATAACAACTTTGTTAGGTTTGAGAATACTTCAAAAAAGTATACAAACTTCTAACATGAGCAAACTCATGCTCAACTACAATTCGCACAGCAGACACGTCCTTGTTAATATCTAGGTCTACTTCATTCGATGACACTGAAACAAAGTTATAATGATTATATATCAATTATGAAAAAAGTTAAATTTATTTACTTTCGTCTGTTAAATAGTACTATCATAAAGTCTGATGCAGTATAAGCTGGATCGCCATACAAAAAATAACAAGGACCGTTGTTTATATCTCTGAAATCAAATGTTTGACGCATTTTCTCCTCTAGACCACTCTCTAGATATAGGTGCGTATCATGTCGGTCGCCTGTCTCAGACCCCATAATAGAAGAAGTGATACCATCAGGTGTTACTACTGCCTGATACTTAATACCATGTCCTCTCTACATAAAGCATATTTATTGAGCTAACTAGAAGTAGAGTAAACTTAAGACTGCTCTTTACTTACATAATGTTCATTATAGACAACATCCTGACCAACTATTGGCCTAGCTATTTTGTTAAATGTGCTGTTAATGAAGCCAACACAGTCATCGACTGGGGCTTTTTATACAGATAAAAGAGATTAAGATTATTAGTGAAATTGTTAACAGATAACAAAAGTTTTTCTCATATAATCGCTTTATTGCGCTACTAAAACACGCAAGGTTTTATTCGCAGAATTGATTAGTATCGAACTCAAAAGCAGTATGGAATTTCATATAAATTTTCTCTATTATTCCATTGAATATGACACTGAGAATAGGTATTGGTCTCCTAAATAGCAAAGACAAATCTGTTAAGCGAGCAGGGAAAGATATTCTCCGGAGCATGATAGTCATACCCTTCATAGTTGGAATAGAAAACTCACTCTTTGAGCCTTCTCAGAAGTACACTTTGTCACCCAATTGAAGAAGAAAGCACAAAGATGAGATCTGATAATAAAGTCATGTATTAATACTTATAGCTGCTGAAAAAAAACCAGTGCATGTACCTCAGACATAGTGAACCTAAACAAGATCTTACAATCCTTGTCAGATAAAGTGTTTATATTCAAACAACCCTGTATATGCAAAGAGATACAGATACAATCGAACTCTTGTTGATACTGTTGTGCTATCTCAGCTTCTTCTTCTATGACATATTCAGATACATGATAAAGCATTGAGTCTGCAATTTCAATAAGGCGTTCTATAGCAGACATAACCGAGATTTATTAAATAAAAGCGAACAGTAATGCCCCTGTAAAACAGTATACTGTTTTTTAAAATAATGTTAAGTACCATTTTGTATGTTTAGTTGGAATATGCTTCCGACAGCATTTTGTGAAAGTGAAAACTTGATATGGAAACTTCTTTGAAAAAATGATTTTTTGGGAGGTTTGCATTTTTTCAGTTGGTGTTTTTGTACAACTCTGAAAATTTGAGTCCACAAACTTTTCTAGTGTAATCTATATATGTAGTTTATGACATTTTTTTATTCCTGAACGAATTTGCGCTGTATGCTAAAGAGTGACGCGTGTTGAGTTTGTTGTGTGTGCAACTTGATCAAAAATATGAATAAAAATGTATTGAAGATGAATTACGAATATAACTCTAGAGTACAAGTTCGAAGGGTAAAAAAGATTATAGAGAGAAAGATAAATATAAGAAAGGTACAGAGTATTTAAAAAGGCAATTAAATGTTCAACTTCACTTGGGACAGTTGAAAATAGAAAAGAAATAAAGATGTTAAGGTAGAAGGTGAAGAGAGATATAAGAACACGGTCGATTTCGCTTGGGACAATCCAGACAAGTGAAACAGCAAGACACAAGAAGATGAACTAGAAGAAGAAAATGAAAGTACTGTTGATTTCATATAGGACAATCAAGACAGATAGACAGCAAGGTACAAAAAGATAAAGTAGAAGAGGAGAATTTAAGAGAATACTGTTGACTTCCCTCAGGAAAATCACACAGATACAAAAGAACGGAAAGGAGAAAAAGGGAAAGAGGGCTTTGAATAGAGATATAAACTTTAATGCGATATTTGATTGCTTTCCTATGGGTCAGGCAGAAAGCAATTCAGGGACGGTGATTTTTAAGAGAGAGATAACTGATCATGTTTATTGTTGTAAAATAGGTCTCTTATATACCTTTGAGAATTGAAAATAAAATATGAAAATGGGATGTTTTTAGAGATTAGAGATGTGACTTATAGCGTGAGAAGAGGTAGTGGTAAAGGCGGGTAGATGACAATGTCAAAGGAAAGAATGGGATAATGTTTGTGCTTTTGGTAAAATGTAAGGGTAAGATGTTAGAATATAATAGGAGTGGTAATAAAAAGATAATAAAAATGGGATACAAGATGAGAAATGAATAGCAGTAATAATGGAAGATAAATAGTGTGAGAAAAAGGGAACTGGAAGTATAAATGGGTAAAATAATGCAAGAGGTACAAGTATGTTCAAGAGATGTGGATGGAGGTAAATTACAATGAAAAATATGTGCGATGTGTATATACGAGAATGTGGGGAAAAGCTGGAAAAGGAAAAGGGAAAATGTATGTATAAAAAGTAAAAATGCCAAAAGGAGAATATATGCAGGAAAAGTAGGAGTGATAATAAAAGTAAATATATATATATATATATAAATGTGACTAGGAAGAGATGTGATAATATTTAAAGTGATAATGTAAATGATGATGAGGAAAAATGGAAGAGAAAATGGTCGGAGAAGAAGAAAAATAAATTAGTGTGGGCGAAACTGGAGAACCCACAACACCCGTGTCAAGAGCACTATAAATAATTTGGCCTGTATGCTGGAGAAGACCATAACTCGAACTAGCATTAAACTTTACAGGGAGTCCCAAGAAAAAAAAGATACTGTAAACCCATATTAACATGTTAACTTTCTGAAAGTCCATGTTGGGTCTGGGATAGATTGAACAATCTTTGCAAAATGACAAACGCTCTTTTAAAAGAATCAGCTTGCTCTTCTGAATCATTTGTCAATTAGAAAATCTAAGGGAAAGTATTGGATAATGCTTGTGAAAATCCTTCGCCCCCTCCCCCTCATCCTCCAAGAACAGTGTCAATACCGTATTTTTAGCTTACTGTTGTTTTGTTTTGATAAAAATATTGCAAAATAATGAGTGTAAGAAATAATACAAAAAAAAGCACGCACTATAATAGCATTTTAGAGATCAAGTACTCCAAATATATCCTGAGTAAGGTCTGGAGGTTGTAAAGAGCACTCCGTGTGTCTTCTCGACACTACTTGGTATGACCAACAAATATTGACATCAAAAAATCTTCTAGCATGGTATATATTTAACTGCTTATTATAATAAGAGTAATTGGCCGACTGGGAGGAGAAAAGAAGAAACCAGGAGGATTAGCATAGTCAGTTCAAACCTAGCTACGTGGTTCTTGTTAAACAACAGCCGCCACGCTCGGACATATTGTACATCGAAATAAAGCCACCATTAAAAACAGTTTTGTTTCTCATTAAAGATCTCATGCGTTGTACACTGACCTATTAGCAACATTTTTCAGCTGTGTTTCACGAATCGGATCTGGTGAAGATTAGGCAATAAATGAAGTGGACTTTGAACAAGTTTGTTGTTGATAGTGTTCTTATAACTGGTCTTACAATGTCCATGTACAAGATGCAATTTCTCGGTTCTGGAGTTTACCGAATGGTTGAGTTGAGCAAGTCCTCACTCTTCCAAAACCTCCAGTGCCTCGCCTCACTTCCTTCCATTGTCACCAACCTTCTGCAGCTTAATATATGAAATCTTGTCATGCAATGTAAAGCAATATCAATTCAAATAAAAAGAAATCATTCGTAAGGCAGACAAGCTGGTTAAGGATCGGCTGCTAGATAGCTCCAACGCTATGGCCACAACTTACAGCCCCCTCTTCTTTCATAGCTTCGGAAAAATGAAGTTAGTTCGATAAAAGTAACAAAAAATAATATTTATTTACCATTCTATTCCTATCCTTATAAAACTTATTATATGCAATATACCCTCTTCATATATTTCTTGTCAATATCACTATGATCAATATTAGTACTACTTTAAAGATTATTATTGCAATGTCTGATTGGAGACGGATACCGTATTTATCACAAAAATACACAATTGTTTTATTATGAAAGGAATAAGCAAGTTTCTCATTTTTTTTTAAAAAAAAAGATATTATAGATAAAAAGGCTCTACTAACGGGTTAGCTGATAATCGCTCTTGGGACATTGTGCACCGATCAAAATGCTCAAGCTATTTATTATTATTATCTTTGTAATTTGTTGCCAAGGCAATAAGAATACTCGTCTTCTCCAAAAGCTTTCCAGTTCCCTTTTTTTTAAGGACACGTTTAAACATATTCTTATGTTGAATGTATTGGCCTATTAGAAATCCTTTATGTTGTTAAGTTTCTGATGCAACCAACTCCTACTTGATCTACTTTTAGGAATTATACTTCCAGATGAGCCCTAAAATCAAAATCATTAAGCACACCGGGGGGGGGGGGGGGGGGGGGGGGGGAACTTTGCTCTATAACTCGTTTATCTGCAGATTTTGTAATTGCACAAGCTAGAATCCCAAAAAAATAAACCTTGTCTATTTCAACAACACGAACACACCAAAAAAATAAATAGAAGAGATAAATAAACCTTTCTTAGTAAATTGAATTTATCAATTTTTTTTTATAGGACTGATACTTTACTAGCTAATTTACCATAATCATTCTCAAGTCTACAGCGCATTCTTTTTTCTTCATTTTTTTTATTAAAGTATAAATATAATATTGGCAATAATTAACGTAATACTAGTAGGTTTCAAATTGAGACACATCCCGAAATAAATTAAAAAAAAATGAAACATGCTTTTGCCACTGTTAACACACTATAAATTGAAGTGGTCGTGATCACGACTCCCAGTGTGTTTTTTTTTTAAAAAAAAGAGACATTATAAGCTTAATCAATATATATCGCATTCTTATCTTATTGCAAAGAAACTTTATTGGTCGGCATTGGTTGCAAGTATTGTGGGCCCATTATATACCGACAGGATGAGCTAATGTCTAGCAGTTGAAAGCTGGGGGCGATAAACTACACCGCCGATATATATTGCAAGATACATTAAAAGAAGCTAAAAAAGAAAAAAAAGAAAAAAAGGGACCTTTTCTTTTCAAAGCAGTGTCGAAAAGATTATGCATATATATATGCGCCATAAATTGTAGTACATTGTACAGAGTGTTGTAAGACATATTATGCAACAGATTTATATGATTATAATAATGATAATGACAATAATACCAATGATAGATAATTAATAATAGTAGTAATAGTAATAGTATAATTAGGTTACATTAAGCACACACCCATATATAATATACATATCTGTATGTAAGTATGTAGGTATGTAGGTATATGTGTATGTAGGTATATATGTATGTATGTACATATGTATGCAAGGGAATGAAAAAACATAAAGGTTGATAGAAAATAAACAAGGTTCAGATCAAGATGAACTTTCTTTCTCCTTTCTCTCTCTCTCTCTCTCTCTCTCTTTTGATGCTTAAATGTAAAGAATAAATAAGCCTGAGATCAAACTAAGCCAGATGACCGTTACACATTTGTTTGCTGTGACACTCGTATGAGCACCACTTGTTTTACTGTTGCTGGTAGTACTCTCGGCACCTGAACCAACTCCTGATGATCCGACCGAAAGGGTAGCATCTTGGGTGGTAGAAGGAGACACAGAAGATATGCCGGCAGCAGAATCAGAGGATGAGGAGGCTGTAGGGTTACCGGGAGGATAGACAAAATTTTCTTCCCAGTAAGGATAGGCCATTTGGACGCATTCATTCCAGGGTACAAGACGGAAAGCTTCCTGAACCTGAGGTAGCCACTTCTCGGCCATTGAAACAGTGGCGTCGTTGAGTTCATGCTGAAGAACGATATGTCCGCGTTGGTTGTCTGTACCACTCTTGCGGGCGTTGATCCACTTTTCAAAGTATCCGTCCACAGTAGCAGGCGGCAGATTTCCGCCGCCACTGCCGGGCATGTTCCAGTCGTTGGTGTCTTGGTCCCACAAGACGGTTGTCATACCCATCTGCCAGGCAATAGCTCGTACACGATCGTCTACATCGCCGTAAGGAGGGCGCCAGCACCGAGGAGTGACTCCAGTGACTTCCTTGATTGCGCGCAAGGTCCAGTAAAATTGAGCAACTATCTGTTGATTGGTTTGAGAGGTCATGGCAGGATGAGACCAGGTGTGAACACAAATGGTGTGGCCATCTGCCAAGGCACGTTGTGCAGCGGCAGGGGCGTTGACAACATTAGATCCAATGTCTAGTCAGAGAAAAGAAAAAATGGTTTAGTGGAAATGAACTTTTTATTTATTTATTTATTTATGTAAGCAAGACTATTGTATAGTAAATAGCTAGATAGTGAGGTAATTGTACTTACAAAAGAGACCAGCCTTTTGATTATTGGCCGCTAAAGAGTCGTAAAGATTTGGCTCGGCCCATTGACCAGCATCTGCAGTAAGGGGTCCATCATCGTATGTCTAAGAGAGAAAATAAGAAGATGATACGAATAAGTTTTGCTTTTTTTTTGGGTTATTGAATATATATATATATATATATCATAAACATAAGATTAAATCTTAGGCACTAGTCATAATTTTATTTTATAAATATTTCTATAGAACTTACAAGTCCCCAATCGCCCGCGGTTGGACAGAATGCTACATCGGCAGGGATGTTGCTTCTCTTTGAAACAGTGCATCCAGAAGCGCTCCACCAACAATCAGGATCAGAAGCACTGTATCCGGTCATTTTGACACCGCCGCCCGAACCTGCCTGTCGGACAGCAGAGTTGGGAACCTGGGTCCAGTCAAGGCTATTGATTACAGCAACCACTTCGGCAGATGTTGGATCAGGGGCTTTCCAGGCTTGAGGATATCCGGTCAGTGGACCAACTGCTGCAGTAAATGGACCAGTTGGGACAGGGCCTGTAGGATAGCTCTGGACATTTCCGGCCATTGGTTGAATATCAGACAGCCAAGAAGGCGACACTTGTGCAGGAACACCACCGCTATTTGTATCTGTTGATGATGTAGTTGATGTAGTTGGTGAAGATGGGACTGCAGCACTAAGAGATTGAGCAGCCGGAGATGATGTTGCTCCGTTCATAGAAACAGCATCTTGACCACTAGGTGCGCCATTTACAGAAACTCCCAGCAGAAGAAGCACAAGAAGACGCTTGGTGCAAGTAATTCCCATCTGAAGAGAGAATGATATTATAGACAAAAGAAAAAGAAAAAAAAAGAAATAAAGAACAATAGAGAAAGAGAGAGAGAGAGAGATCAAGGGGAAGTTGAAGGGTGCTTTATAGAGAAAGCGAAATCTGTTCAAGAAACAGACATATAAATAGTACACATACACATACACATACGCACGCACACACACACACACATATTTATATATATATAATTGAAGAATTTTTTTACCAAGTGCGGGAGAACCCGTTCACTTAAATAACATATTCGATTGATCTCATAGTGTTTTGTTTTGTTTTGGTGAAATGAATGTGGGACAAGCAACGGTAGAGCTGTGTATTAAGATTGCATTTATTTTTATTCCAAATCTTGTTGGTTATTTTTTCTAATTTTGAATATATATTCTATATAATTAAATGATGATAATACTTCTTTTTATAGGTAATTTGAGTGTATTTCCCCTTTTATAGATATATAAAGACAAAATATAACTTTCGACACACCCACCCACACACACACACACATTAAGTTTGTTGTGTATTCAACTTGAATTTTTTGCTTATATTTATTTTAAAGATTATAATTTTTTTTTTTTAAAGAAAAAATCACAATCCTCTTTTGAAATATATATGTATAAAAAAGTATCACAGTATGTGGTGGGAATTACACATTAAAGAAACATAAGAAAAAAAATCATTTTAATTTATTGTATTGTATTGTATTGAGTTTTATTTTATTTTTGCTTGAATGCACAAGAAAAAAAGAAAAGATGAATAGTAAAGAGAAAGATCGAGATGTACAGGCAAGAAATGATAAAGGAATAGATAAACGTGAATTTGAAGCAAGACGTAAAGAAGTATTTCCGTTCAAATGTGTAAAAAATAAAATAAAAAAGAATAAGAACAAGTGGGTTGAACAGAAAAAGAGAGAAATGATTGTGATTTGTGTGATTTGTGTGATTTGTGTGATTTGTGTGATTTGTGATTTTGAAATGTGTGATAGTTTTCTTTTAAGAAAAAATCGCAAAAAAAAAGCTTTCTTTTACATATCTTTTCTACCTTTTTCTATCTATTTTTTTTTGGGGGGGATGGTTTTGGTTTTACTTTGTTCGTCGTCTTGCTTTTTTGTGCATGTCATTTCCATTGGCAATAATGTCCTGGTGGATCAATGGGAAGGACATGTCGTGCGTGCGAGGCAAGCAAAGGACAGGTGAGATACGTGAAGAGGTGGAGGACGCAGAGGAAGACGGAGGCGTGGGGCAGTTGAGAAGAACGCTATTATTGGCTCGTTTTGGACAGTAGCGGTATTCTGGAAAGGCTTCCTTGTGCGCCTGTTTTTCTTGCTCGGCCAGATCATGCCATGGTTTCTTTTCTTTCTCCGTCAGGCGAGCCCAGCGTCTCGAAGCACGTCTAGATACAGAATTTACATAATTAAATAGACGGTTATTATTGATATTAATGTTATGTGGTGTAAAAGTAGTATAAGTTCAGATTACAATAAAAGTAATGTATATGTGTGTGTGTATTGACTTTCTTTCTTTCTTTATTTCTTTATTTCTTACTTTGAAATTTCTTCTGCGCGAAGGGTCGGGTCTTCGGTCTTCAAGGCCTGGCCATAATGGCATCGGAACTAATTACAATCAAACACAAAATATATGTTTAATAATGGACAATGAATTGTGGACTTCTTTTGTTATATATGTATATTTAAAATAATAATAATAATAATAAAGGCTTACATGAATCCATGCATTTCTTGGGCGTTTGATGTGAGCATTTTTTGTCAGGAACATGCTCTGATCAAGACCAATTTGTGACTTATTCATTGCATGCACAGTAAAAGACACTCGGTCAAAAGTGCCGTGCGGTTGGCGGAGATCTACGGCTGTCTCTATAATGTTATCCAGACGCGTGGGTAGAAGAAGAAGACGATCTTGTCTGTGGTTGAGATAATTGTTATTGTTATTGTTTTTGTTATTGTTATTGTTATTGTTATTGTGGTCAGGGGTGTTTGTCATGGTTGCAGTAACAGCACGGGAAAGGTTTGGAGTAGCACTTTGGGTAGCACTATTATTGTTTGTAGCACTACTGACAGCACTTGCGGCAGCAGCCGAAGCAGCAGCCATGGTGGGAGATGTGGGCAAAGGAATATGATTGAGTGGATCAATCAGACCTTGTTGCTGGTTCTGCTCCTGTTCTTGATATTGATATTGTTCTACAGCTGGTCTAGGTAAAATTGGCATCGATCGACGCGGGATGGGTATCTGGAGTGCGGGTATCTTGTTGGTTTGTGTAAATGATAATTTACCACAAGGTATCATATAATTATGCTGATGCTGATGTTGATGTTGATGTTGATGTTGATGCTGATGCTGATGCTGATGCTGATTATGATTGTTATTGCTACTGTATTCTTCTTCTTTTTCTTCTTCTTTATCTTGTTTATACATTTGAAGTGTAGGCCGGGAATGGAGAATACCGGGGATTGTTGCCCGCCTGTCGCGCTTTGCCGTAGGAGGACAGACAAAAGAGGAGGGCAGTGAGAGCCGATGTCTTTCTTTCAGAGCTGGAAAAAAATCTGGACGAAAGGCAGACTCATACTCTTGCAGATGCATGCTGAGGAGTGGGACTGGTTCAAGAAAGGCCGGGAGTGGATGACTGGATGATGAGAGATGAGATTCGTCATCTGATGGATCTTCAGAGATGGTTGGTTTTGGTGAGGTTGGTGATGGAGAGCTTGTATCTATTGGTGTATTTGTGTTTTGTGTGTAGATGGAAGTAAGTTTTCTTTTGTTCTTGAATTCTGATGTGTTTTCATTTTGTCTTGTACAAGATAGATAAAATGGGTGCAGCATAAAAATATATATATATTTATACAATTTAAATATATTTATATTTATATTTGTATTTGTATTTATATATTTGAATGTGTATTTGTACAGATGATAATTTAAAGAAGTTATAGAATAAAGAAAGAGGCATGAACTTTTTATTTTATTTTAAAATAATAATAAAATTGTAATTGTTCTTATTTTCTATTAATTGCATATATATATTTATATTTATATATATTTTTATATGATTCTATAGGTTGATTTATTCATATATTTTGATTTGATTTGTTTTATTTATTTTGTATGTAAAGAAATATAGATATTATATATATTTTTTTAAATGATTTCAAGTGTGTAATAGTAATATTTTTTTTTCCTTTTTTTTAAAAAAAAAGATTATTGTTCTTTACCCATTAATTCTAGCATCGGTGGTAGTTCGAACGGAGAAGCTGATAATGGTGGAGTAGAAAAGGCTGTTGAGTAATGTTTTGGAGAGAAGGCAGGAGGCATGCTGACAAAAACGGGTGACATCAAAGGCATCGTAGCTAATTATTACTACTAGTACTACTATTCGTTTTCTTTATAGTTATCTATATACCTAGAGTTAATTTGTAAAGGAAGAGGGGAGAAGTATAGATACTATGAATTTGATATATAAAATGTATGTATGTATGTATGTATGTATGTATGTATGTATATATGTATGTATGTAGATATTGATAATATATGAATAATATATAGATAATAAAATATATGGATAATAATATAAGGAAAAAAAATAGAAGAAGAAAGAAAGAAAGAAAGAAAGAAAGTAAAAATAATAATAATAGAATGTCAAGCAAAAAAGCAAGGCACAGACGCGAAAACCAGTCAAAAAGGAAGAGAAGTGTAGTAGAAGGGGAAATAAGAAAAAAAAAAAAAAAAGGCAAAAATGGAAGACCCATCAAACATGGTCTTTTTGGACTGGGCTCACAACTGGCATTAAAATATCAATTTTAATAATAATTTTCTTTTGTGCTATGGTCAATTCAATTGATATTGCCACACACAACTCACAGCTCACAACTCACAACGCACAACGCACAACGCACAACGCACAATGCACGTACTAGAGTGTCACTTCTTTAACCAAGTCCGCCCACAAACCATTTTTATACTCAAAATTATGTGTATATATACAAAAAGAGGTAAAGAGGTAAAGAGGTAAAGAGGTAAAGAGGTAGATAGGTAGAGAGACAAAGCGTTCGCCATCTATTGTTAAAACATATTTTTTTCTTTGTGTTTCAACAATCTTTCAATCGATTGATTATTCTTATCCACCTCCCCTTTATATCTTTTGTAATCCGGCCCCTTGTTATATATATAAATATATTCCAACTCACTTGTGTCACTCTCCGCTCATCAAACAATGAGCGAGTGAAAACAACTCAAACATTTACACTGTCAAACACCCCCTCTCTCTTTCTCTCTCTTTCACCTCTCCTCTTCTTCTTCCTTTCCACCCCCAAACCCAGGCAATATAGTACTAAAGCTTATTTTATTTTGGATTTCCGCCACATTTTCTTTTAATTCTCTTATTGTCGTTATGCTATTATATTTGGGTGTGTGAGAGAGAAGTTCTTGCAAGTATCAAATAAAACAAAAAACATATCATATATGTATATATAATTATATGTATGTGTGATGCTCTTGTTTAATGCCTTGACCTGTCACCACATGAATAACAATCTTTGAGTGTCAAACATCAATTCCTTATGACACAACTCCTGCATCCCAGCCTTTTTTTTTAAAAAAAAAACCCTTATCCTGCCCTCTTTTCTTTCTTTCTCTTTCTCCCCTGCGGCTGTATGTATGTGTAGGTGTGTGTAGCTCATTATTCCTCTCAATCCTGGCGTCATCTCTTTCTAGTGATACAACATACCACAGACACATCAACATGCGTACTGATTGTAAAGCGTTTCAGGTTATAAGAATTGATAAAAGAAATGTTTGTAGAATTTGTTTTGGATTCATTATATAATGAATTATGGCTAGTACTAACAGCCTAACATTAAGCTTATTTCTGGGTATAGTAATTGAAAGCTCGAATAAAATCCATAGTATTAATGATAAGCAATTATCAAGTACAAATATCAGCTATCCTACAGCACATAGCGTTTCTATCTAACTGGACTAGTCTGTGATGACCTATCCGGGACGATGTCTTTCTTAAATCCTTTAGGTCAAAATGATGTATCCTAAAAAAAATACAATATATTCAATTAATAGTCCTTTGCACACTACATTTAGACTTGGTCAATAGCAAGTTATGTAGAAGATTATAAGGAGTTTTTGGCATTTAATTGTGATACAATCTTGGATTTTTTTTTACTATTCATTGACCTTCTTACGCGGATCATGTATTTCTTTTTCTTTCATCTACTTGTATTACCATAAAGTAGGCCAATCTTTGCCATTGAGAAAAATTAGAACCAAAGCTGTTTACCCTTTCCTCCAAAGATATTGAGTCATGTAATGCTGTACTTAGTATTCACGTTGTCAGTAGGTTCATATTATACCCTTCTTTTTCGTACCGAGCGTAAGTTAATCATCATGGGGGTTTTTTTTTGGGATCCAGGTTACAGTGTATCTTACATGCCAGTTAAATTATGGATTGTATGCTATGATTGAAATTTATTCAATCACTATACCCCAAGACATGTATAATCCCCGTAGATATATCAGTAGCTGTGAAGATTTGGTGCCCTTTAACGAATTCCACAAAAACTATTGTAAAAAAAATTACACAAGGAATCAGTAATTCTGTTTTCAAAGAATAATTTAACACAAGCAAAAACCGCAAACAGCTATACCCTTTCATCGTCAAAAATTAGAATGAAAAGGAGGAAATGTCCTTAGCCAAGCTTAAAGAAGCATTTAAGCTTTGAAAGCTATCAGACCCCTCAACATGACACAACAATTGAGAACGGAGTAGGAACAATAAAGCACAAAAAATATAGAATCCAAGTCCGAGAAAAGTTTAGCTTAGCTTTTAGAAAAAAAAAAGGCTTTCGAAAAATGGTGAGATCCATACAGATCCTACTCTTCTCCTGAACAAGTGCAAGTGCTCTTAGATAGTGTTGAGAGAGCCGCTCAGCATTATATCAAGAGGTACAAGGATGACGAATAAAAAGAAGAAGAAAAACGCCTGCCTGCTCGGAGACAACGAACCAAAATGACAATAGGAACTCAAGACTGAGCATACCTATTTTCTATGCGACTTCTTCAGCAAGACTCCAGAAACAATGCTTTGCTGATCAAGGGATGCGTTGATTGAGATGATTCGTGATATCAGCTCAATCACTGTGCTGTCATACACCCTTGCGTACCTTGCTCTGGATAATTTCTTGACACTCAAGAAATGAATCTGCTGCAAAACAAGAAGTAACTGGCAAACTTGGAGTAAAGATCCAATATTCTGAACTGTCTAAATTAAAGAATACTTTTTTTTTCTCCAAAAGAAGTAAGAAAATGTCTGCAGTTTAAAAATGAGCTTTGTCTGAAAATAAAATTGAGAACGTCCCAAAATTTGTATAAAAATATGGTATTGTTTAAGCATCATGTGACAAGAAGCACAATATTGTACAGATTTGCAACATTTGATCTATTGAACTGTTGCAGGCAAAAACAGTTATATAAATATAAATTGAATATGAATCTGGTTGCCACGGTAACAAAATATTGCCAGTGCAAAAAATTGCTACCATGGTAACAGACTATTGTCATGGTAACAAACTATTACATAGCAACACATTATTGTCATGGTAACAGATTATCGCCATAGTAACATATTATTGTCATGGTAACAAGTATGAACACTTTGTTTCCAATTGTAATATATTGTATTTCGTTGTATTTTACGGTATGACCAAGTTAATTAACCAGAAAGAACAAAGGGATATACGTATATATTTAGAGAGTGAGAGAAAAATTAAACAAAAGAGGGGGCAGGGGAAAGAAGATCTGTTTTGCTCCGTTTTGTTGATGATCGAATCACACGCTAAAGCTCATATCGCTCGGGAGTCCCGGAGATTGACCCAGTACCTTGATGTGACACGTACACACATTTATATAAACATCAATGGTTTTGTCCTCTCTTTCATTTATTTTATTTTATTCTTCTATACAATAATAGTAACAGTAATAGTAATAGACCGCGTTTCAAATATGCACCTCACGACTACTTTAAATAATACAAATACTAATAATAATGGTTTTGTACCTGTTCATTTTATTTATTTATTTATTTATCTTTTTAACGTTTCTGTTTCTGTTATTGTTACTGTTACTGTCTTTGTGTGGAAATTACATCAATCATACTTTACCTCATCCATAGCCGATTTTTTTTTGTTCTTCTTTCTTTATGACTTCTGATTTCTCCCCTCCCAACCAACCTGACTAAACTTTTTTTTATTCTTTTATTTTATATAAAAAGAATAAAAATACACGCTTAGCATATTTATAGCTTTTTTTTTTGTTTTGTTTTAGACGACCGCCATTTTGTGCCTCCCTCTTTCTTTTTATTTTTTTACTTTGTTACCTTTGTGAGCTATCTTGCACATGGTTTTCCTATTTTAGTATTCTCTGTATGTTCCACCCAGGATACTGTTCTTTTCAGATTTTTTTTTTTGATTCTTGATTTTTCAGCCTCCTGTTTATAATAGTATATATATAAATTCTCGCCTAGAGAAGTCGCAGCTCTTAAAATCCAGCACATGCGCCATCAAATAACAAATAACAACGAACAACGAACAAATAATTAAGAATTAAAAATTAAAAATTAAAAATTAAACAATTGGATTTTTTTTTAGGGTTTTTAAACCTTCACATTTTTCTCTATTTATTTTCTCTTCTTTTTATAAAAACAAAAAGGTGACTGTAAAATAGCTTATATCGAATAAATATTTTTTTCTTATTTTTTTTTTAAAAAAAAAGGAAACGCAAGCGGCTTAAACTATATGCCTCTATTAGATATCAACACATTAACATGCTTACATGCATATTTATGTATCTATATGCTTGTATATCGTTTTCAGTTTGTTGAATCGGAGCCATTCAAATATACAAAATATTGCAGCCTCAATATGTTTCTTTGTTTTTGATTATATATATAAATATATAAAATATTTCTAAGCGAGTTTGTCATTTATAAAAAAAAGTAAAGATATATGTTTCGTCATTTCATTTATATATATACATGTACGTTTGTTTATTTCTGGGTATAAATACATATAAATCAATAAAAATGGTAAAATACAAAAATAAGAAAAGAATATATCCTAGTTTGGGTATTAAAAAAAGAAACAAGTACCAACTCAACTCTATAGGAATATATATACATATATATATATATATACATATATATATATGTACAAAAGAAAACTAAAAATACAAAGTTAAATATTTTACCCACGAAAGGAAACATAAAGTATGAATAGTATAAATACTTAAATATCTAATGGGTTATTGTGTAGAATCCAGAAATAAGCACCCCTAATTATTACGTCTTTTTTAAATGTATGCTTTCTAGAAATCTACTTGTCTACTTGTTTTTACTTAAAGTGATAATAAAGGGAATGAATTGATGCTTTGTATGTAGCTCTATTTAACCCGTCAACCTATATACATAAATAATACTTATTTGAATTCAAAAATAGATAAATTATCAATGACTAAGCTTGGGTCTATTTTATGCTTATCTTATGTTTATGTTTATATCATTCATTAACTCTCAGTAAAAAAAATGGGTTTTTTTGTTCTCCTTTTTTTGTCCGTTTTATCCCACTGTACTGACCAATATTCCAGTATATATTATTTCTGTAAATATCTTTGGCGGTTAAACTCATAGACAATAGCCGGAGAAAACACAGACACACAGACACATACACAAACAAACAACATGTATATGTATATAATAAATTGAAACAGAAATAGAATATGAAAACTATTATTATTATACACTTATAGAAAATAAAATAAAAAAAAAAGCCATCTTCACGTCCGATTACTTAAAAGCTACACGACAGATTGAATACAAAAAAGTATAAAAAAGTATTATAAATATCATATTCTCTATAGTATAATATAATAAAAAGCTATAAAAAGGATATCCTCTTATCTGTCTTGTAACAAAAATAATATATATATATATATATATATATTCATCGTTTAGCTACCTTTCTTTTCTAATTTCTATATTTCTATATTTTCATACTTTTTCTTCTTCTTGTTGATTTACTATACATATAAATACTTATACATATTCATACATACATACACACTCGTATATATATATATATCATGCAACTCGCAATTATTGGTGCCATGGTACTTGCTACTGGCTCATTTGTCTCGGCAGCAACCCCAACATCATCTGGAATTCTGGCTGTCGCTTCTCCTACTTGGCTGCCTGATTTCCCCAAGCCTTCAAACGTCCTCAGCGGCTATCCAACCGGTCCTCTAGACACAACTTCAACACTCTCCCATGACTCGCTTGATCTCACAGTCTATCCTGAACCCTGGACATCTCCATCGACAACCCATGCCGAAGTGCAGGCTGTCTTCAATGCAATCGACTGGGACCATGTGCCGGCCGCATCAACCCACAAGGCAAAGTCAAACGGTGATCTTGATTTTGCAGGCTACGACGAAAACACTGATCCATACTGCTGGTGGTCTGACACCAACTGTGTCGATCCAAAGGTCACATATCTGCCAAGTGACATCTCTTACTGCCCCAACGCTGGCGACTGGGGCCTGACCTACGACGACGGTCCGTTCAACCCAACCGGAAACTCAGCCGTTGACAAGTACGCCGAGCCAAATCTCTACAACTTCCTGGCCACCACAAACCAAAAGTCGACCTTGTTCTACATTGGTTCCAATGTTGCAACTTTCCCAGCTGCCGCCCAGCGTGCCCTCAACGATGGTCATGTTCTGTGCGTTCACACCTGGTCCCATCCCCAGATGACCTCCCAGTCCAATATCCAGGTCGTTGCCGAACTTTACTGGACTCTGCGTGCCATCAAGGAGGCAACCGGTATTACTTCTCGCTGCTGGCGCCCTCCATATGGTGATGTCGACGATCGTGTACGCGCAATTGCCTGGCAAATGGGCTTGCGCACCATTCTCTGGGACGAAGACACCAACGACTGGGACATGCCCGGAGAAGGTGGAGGAAACCTGGCTCCCAGTAAGGTCGACAGTTACTTCCAAGGCTGGATCGATGCTCGAAACAGCGGCAAGGACAACAAGCGTGGTCACATTGTTCTCGAACATGAATTGAACAACTCTACTGTTTCCATGACCGAGAAGTGGCTTCCTAAGCTCCAGCAAGTATTCAACGTCGTCTCGGTTCACGCTTGCATGAACATTTCGCAGCCTTACTGGGAAGAAAACTGGGTCTACCCCACCGAAGCCAACAATATCACTACTTCTACTCCTGTTTCTGCTTCATCTGCTGCTTCTCAATCATTTTCAGCTACTCCCGTCCTGTCTCTTGCTCCTTCTGCTGTATCCTCTGCATCATCCTCTGCTGCTGACTCGTCCGACAAACAGTCAGATTCCGCTTCCTCAGCTGAAGGTCTCAAGAGTGCTTCCACTGACAGTGGAGCGTCTAATCTGTTTGTTTCTGGGTCCATTACTCTTGTTGCTATTGCCACAGCTCTTTGGCTGTCTTAAGATCTGTAGTTTTCATAACAGCTCTAATCTTTTAAACCACAATAATATATATATATAAATATATATAAAATTATATCTTTCTTTCTTTTTTCTTTTGGTTTCTTCCAACCATAATTGCCATTATAAAATAAAGAATTTAATTCAACGTATATGTCTGTCTGTCTGTCTGTATTTACACACACTGTTTGATTTTTTTTGCTGAGCTCTTTACACGCTACACATACAGATGTTTACGTTTTTAAATATATATCTTTGCGCAGCGCAGCGTATATTATATACTATTTGTTTATTTTGAATTGAATGACTAAAATATTATAGCTAAATAGATAGAAAGCTTATAGACATAGTTATATTTTGAATGCCGTATTTGAAATAATGTTCTTCCTTTATTTTATTTTCTTTTCTTTTTGATGTGCTTGTAAGTGGTTTACCCAGAGTAATGTACAGATGTCATTTTTGTACTTCTCCCAGAGTTACTCAGCTTTTGTGGTCCTGTACAACCCGCGGTATCGTTACACAGCTGTTTCTATTTATTTCTCGCTTTCTCTCTTTTCTTTTCTTTTTGTGTTACAAGCATGACAATACCTTCTTTATTTCTTTTCTTCTTTTTATATATAAAATATATTTATATATTCTTTATATTTTTACCTGCCAAACTATGAGATGATAAATTACTGTATGTATATTTGTCGTGAATGTTTTTATTTTATTTTATTTATTTATTTATTGTTTACTCCTTTTTTTTGTTTACTAATTTTAATATTATTTTAAAGCAGCTCTTATAATTGTGTATGCGTAAATGATTTGACGGGATATCTTGATCATCATCATCATCATACTTATAAGTATATGTGTATGTATTCTCCTATTCTCCTTCTACAGACCCACGGCATAGGCACACATCTATCTGCACAGGTGTGTATGTGTGTAAGAAATCTATAGAGAGATAGGCAGAGAATATAAATTCAGGCTAAACCCGAGCATTACTTGCTTTTATGGCAATATAAATAGTCTTTTTAAAGTAGAAATATTTTTTTTTTAGATATATATATATATATATATATTTAGCATTTTATAGACAGGATTGTTCCCGGGCATGGTAAACTATTAACCAAAAAAATAAATAAATTATATTGGGTTTGGAAATACAGATTCTATTGTGTGTGAAAATAGTAAATTATATACGTAGATTCCATTCTATAGATTTATAATCACACATATATACAATCTACCTATATTTCAAATATTATATATTTATAAGAGCATTAATTATATTCCTCTTGATCAACATAAAAACAAAAATAAATTAATAAATGAAATGAGTGTGATTTTGGTTTGTGGTTTTATATAAACCTGGAATCAAATATATTCAAACGTAACATTATGAAAAGGAAGAAAGAGAGAAGAACAAAAGAGGGTTTAACTTTCTTCAATTGGCTTCAATTGGTTTCAATTGGACTGAACCGAGTGTAATTGGAATTGGAATTTGGATTGGAATGGATTTGGAATGGATTTGAGTGTTCATATGCCTGTCTTTTCTTTTTTTTCATGGTTGTTCACAGGTACCGTACACAGCCCCGTTGTAACGTCGACAATAAAGGCCGTCCAAACAAACCAGATTCTGTGAGCATTCTATAAATGAAAGGCATATAAATAAGTGTAGGGATATTACTCTGCCAAATCCAATGTGTGTTTACACAAAGTAATAATACTATTTCTATTGTTTTGGTTTACAAACTCTTACCGTTGTGTAGTGTACGGAGATTTGGTAAATCGACTGCCTGAGTAGAGATAACAGCAGATAGTACCAAGAGCACAGAGATGAGCCACTTCATTTGATTATATGGGCTATATGTATTTATAGAATAAAAGATGATAAAGATGAAGAAGAAGAAAAGATGTTCAACAGAATGATATTTTCAAATATTTTATTCTTATTACTGGTATTGCACTTTTGATTTTATACCTGTAATTTCTATAAATCAAATGTATTAAATACTAATACTAATTTGGTCTTTTCGAATGCATTGACTACATCGACTACATTGAAACAAGAATTTTGAAGGCAACTGTACTGCAAGGTGTTCCATTAGCTTTTTTTTAGTACATATATATTTTTGATATCCATGATCTTGAGACATCAATAATATATCGTGTACGACATCTTCACCTATACCCAGCCATATATCTGTATGTATATTTATAATTCAAATTAAGTGCACAGGTAATATTCTACAAACCCCCTTTTTCATTTTTCTTTAAAGAATAAACAACAACAGCTAATAGTAATAGCTGGCGAGTGTAATTGTGTTTCCAAAATACCTTAGTCTATTTTCTTATTATTATCTTCAACGTCTTTTTACAAAGCTGCTTTTATGTAGTTGTATTGGTTATTCTGATACTTGGTCTTGTATTCCTATAAAATAAGTCTATATATGTACATAATCATAATTCATTCCAAAAATATATAATTTCTCTTTATAAATATAACTACAAAATACAAATATTCTTGATTTGGATCATTATGCACTTCATTTATGATTTTCATTTACACAGCATTTAAGCCTCTTTTTCTGTTTTATTTTATTTTGACTTATCTCAAACCAGTATATATATATAGAATATTTATAATACAAGGCAGAGAAAAAAAAAGAAAAGAAAAATAATCATGTGATTATTATATTGTCACCATCCCCTTCACAAGCAAACAGGTAACTGAAAAATATGATTTAAGAAAATAAAGATCAAGATCATTCTTATAAGAAATGCATCTATGTGTAGGTGTAAGGAGATTACTATTCTCTACCATGCTCTAGAGGCATGGGTCAATTGACCTATAGGTAAGAGTGTAAATCGAGTGGTTGTGGAGACCATAGGAAGTACATTGGGTTGGTTCTGCTGGACCAGTCCTTTGGTTACTGCCTTGTTACTATACAAATCATAAAGCATAAAATATAACAGATTAAATATTCAAATAATCCCCGAGTAAATAGATGGTAAGTTATTGCTGCTACACATAGCTATAAACTCTACATTTCATTATATACGTGAATTTGCTTACCTCTCAAATATTTCTCCATTGGAGCATGCAAGTGTGTGCAAGAACAATGTCTGCTTTAAATAAAACCGCTCTATCCGAACATCAAAGTGGGGAGAAAATGCAGCCCAGTTGATTGGATCAATCTAAACATTATTTGTAGTCAATCAATTGAGTAAGTATTACGATGGACATATAAAATAAAACGTAAGCTTTACAAACAAACACACACACACACACAGGTATATATATATATTACTAATGATGATAAAAGAAATCTTACATGTTTCTTAACGTTATCAAGATTAAGCCGTCCTCCTTGGCGTAGTACAAATCCCATGAATTGTAAATCAAACATCAACTGGAGTGCACCTCTTTCTGTCATTACTCGATCTTCCAAAAACACATCAAGTGTCTCTTGCAATACAGCTAATAATTGATTAACAAGCGTCTGTACAACCTTCTGTAGCATTGAAAAATCAAAGTTAAAAACAAAAGCGAAAATAAGTATATGGAGAACTTACTTTGTTCAGCAGCATCATCTGGATACGTTGCATTTCCTCACAAACACTAAACAGGGCCCGTACAGTTGGGTGTGTTGCCTGGCTTGGTAAAGGGCCCTCTCTCTGTTCTTCTTTGTCCTCTTCTGTGTCTTCCCACAACATAACTGCTGCACAGTGATCATCCCATGCTGTATTCTTGAGTGCCCCATCAACCAATATTTCAAAACAACTAGCCACCCTTTTGACCCAGGGAGTATGCGCCTCCTCGAATAACCGCATAAAATCATTTTGCAGACCAGTGTAGCTTGGATCTAATTTAGTATTTAGTATTTAGTATACAATATTATAATGGCAATTACACATTTATATATTCTTGGCTTTATTTTTAAAAAATGGTTTCAAGGAGATCTTGGAATGACGTTTGAAGGTTGTATGTACTATATTTTACCTTTATCGATTGCACTACGAAGCTTAAGGCTTGAAAGAGTGGTGAGGGCCAATGGAAGAGATTGGGAATGCTGAGCCAAAGACCGGGCCAATCTACCGATCAATAATGATGCATCACTCGCTAAGCGAATAAACACATTCATATATATGTACATTTTGAAACTTTGTTATTATCGCTATTATTATTTAGTGATCAAATTTTAATTTTTAATTTTTTTTTACCTTTCTTGTTGTCTTTCCATTCGGTTACTTGGTTTAATAAGGCACGTAGACTTGAGCAATATTGAGATATGGCTTGTATAACGTTTGATTGAAAGTAAGACCAGAGTTGCTGAGTACTCCTTAGTCATCAACAAAACAAAAAGGAAAGGCGCAAGATAAAGTCAATGGTTTAGATGATTGGATTATTGCAAGACAGTAGCAACATCAACAACAACACTAAGAAAACATATCTTGCCTTACTTTTTAGCATCAAACGAGTCTTGGCTGGCAAATGATGCATGAGCCTCCTGGTCTTTACGGATAGTGTCCAACGTAGTCTCAAACGCATTATATCCTTGCTCAATCCACGAAGTCTCGCCCTGGGCCAACTTGGTGAGAGTAAGTTTGAATGCACCCATGTCTGCAACAGAAGATAGACTCAGCAAACTATCGGATGCTGCGGACCGAGACTTATTGGAAGGCCAGAGGGATGTTGAGAAATCTCCACCTAGCAAAAGAAACAAACAAACAAACACACAGATACATATGCAGATAATGAGACAACCTTGCGCTACAGTTGAGAGGGGGTGGGGAGATTTGGAAGGAAAATAAAAACTGAGAATGAGTTTCTCTCAACTTTCTCCCTGTCTCCTTACATTGCTTAGTGACCAGAGATGGTGAAAGAATGATCGTGGGCTGATCGGACAAGGTTTTGAGAGCTTTGTCAATCAAATGTTTTGCATGCCCATCGAACGAATCTTTAAACAGGCAATCCCACAACGAATAAGAGTGACCTAGTACACGGGAACATACTTGCTTCCAAGACGAGTCTTGAGATTCAAGTAGTTGCCACACCTTTGAACGAGCCTGCACCAGCTTGTGCTGGGTATCCAGAGGCCCAAGCATTTCCGGTAGTGGGCTTGTCAGTACATTTTGTATTTCTTTAAGCCACTCTTCAGCCATCTGCCGGATTGAGCCAAGATCCAAAGGATCATCTGCCAATGTGGGCGTGTACTGCTGTACCGATTCTGGCAAGTATCGTACCAAGAGATGCGCGTTTGTACTAGGCGAAAATACAGACGTGATCGCAGGCAAGGGGGTATTGTTAGGAGACGAAGGGTTTGGAAGAGAAAAATTTGTTTCCATGTCGCGGGCATATAATTCAAAGGCGCTGGGGGAGCTAGTAAACGCAATAGTGTCAATGTGTGCAAGCGTGCGTTGGATGGCGTATATGATGTCTCGCAAATGGGAACCAAGACGCTGCTCAGCTGTTTCGGCTACAGAAGACTTAAGAGAAGTATGGATTGTGTCTTTAATTCCCTGAGTACGCATCCTAAACAGTTCTTCTAGACTTGTTGTATAAGTCCTTTGATCCAGTAGCATTAATACCAAAAGGTCTTCTGCTACATGCTTTTATACCAGCACACACACACAGAAAATGAATTTAGGTTGTTCGTTAATTTTCTGTTTTACATATACAATAGCCAGAATTTTCTTTCTTACTTCACCAGATTGTTCTGTAACTCGTAAATGAAGTGTGGCTTTGTGCACAATCTGAGGCATAAAGAAGTTTATGGCATCCCATTGGCGGCGAATAACTGGAAACGCAGCCTGATTACAACCATATAAGTATAAATATACATATACATTTTACCAAAGAAGAAAAAATCCAATCGTACGCTTATTTTCTCTCTATCGCTCTATTTCTATTTTAACTTACATTTGTATCAACAGGTTTGCAGTCAGATTCTTCCAAGAGGTAATCATGAACTACTTTTGCGAGTGTGTACAATCGGCCTGCTTGTAGATATCGGTGATGTTCTAATGCGTGCCATATCTAACAGTTGTAAGGTACGTGTGTATATACATATGCGTGCATATATTTGTATTTAACGATTTTGGTATTTTATTTATATCTTGCGGTTTTCATCCACTAATGTTTATTTCATCTTCAATTCATGAATCTTGCTTTTCTCTCTCCAAAATTGCTTTATTATAACAGTAACAGTAATAATAATAGTAATTATGTATATACGTGCGTGTGTAGGTGGGTACGAAACGTAAAATTCTCTAAAGCTTACTTGTTCAGGTACGTCTGCCAGTGACTTAATTAATGCAGCCAATGTGTACACTGGACGCTGTTGTCGACCTTAAATTTAAGTTGATAAATATACATACATACATACATACAAACATTTAATAGCTATTTTCTCTTTTTATTTTACTTGTATCTTTAAACATACCATACACACATATACGCATTTATCTATGTATATATGCATGTATATATATATATATATATTACCTGTAACCGGGTGACTGTCCCGTACAAGAGCTGCTTTTTGTCGCACAGCATGACCATCACACACTGATTGCATTCGTCGCAACTTTTCTTGTATCTTGTTAGCATTCTTGCTCATTGCAATAATGCAATCAGCTGCTGAGATGAGATCTAGATATTGTTCACTAGAACAGGAGCAATAACAATGTACATACAGTTGATCATGTAGTCGTTGGAAAATATAATGAGTTTGTTGTATTCATCGTTAAACCCCAATTTTATATACTCACCCAACTCTGGCTCGTAATTCTTTCTTTTGTGTCTCAATTGCCACTCTAATCAAACATGTTAATCAGCAATATATATATGTGTGTGGGTGTGTATTTAAAGAAATAGATAATAATAGTAGAAAACTTTAAAAAACAAAGTATAAAAAAGTTGAAAGGCTTCAATATATTCTCATTACCGTGTCTTTTTTTCAAGGGACCGTACCTGAGCTATACTAGCTTGTGATAGTACAGTGTCTGGGTCGCTGTTAAGCACGGCATCGTCCAAGATGACCATAATGTGAAAGTGTGAGTGAGTGAATGTATGTGTGTGTTTTAGAGATTGTCCAAAAGAAGACGTTCCAACCAGTCGGTCTCTTAATAATCTTTTTTCTTTCTTTCTATCGTTTCGTTCTTTTCAGTAACTAAATCAAATCAAATCAAGCCAAAAGTTTGTAGGATGAGGTTAATTGGTAGTTTATGAGAGAAAGTGTGGCTTGAGATTTGGAGGAGAGTTCTACTATGGTATAAGCACAATATTGAAAGTTCTTGTATCTAAAGAATTTATATACTGCCATGCTAACGATGATAATATTAGTAAGTACGGCACCAATACATATTTTATTGCTGTATTCTACACTTCATAACACACTGTTTGTGGGACTGTGCTTAATATTTTAGACCACTGGATATTAACTGACCACTAGAAAAGAGTATGAAAAGAAAAGAATACATTAAATGCTTTTATTTTAATATAACGAAATAAAGTGTATGAATAATATATATGTTTATATGCTTATAGCAACATAGACAAAGAGAAAGAATCAAGGGAAGAAACCTTGTAAAATTTTAAGTGTGAATGCGAGTTGTAAGATTAGGAATTATTGAGCTGAAGAAGTAAATAAATAGATAAATAAATAAATAGGTAAATAGGTAGGTAAGTGAGTAAATAGGTAAATAGGTAAATAGAAATAAAGAAAAGAGGTGAAAGGGAAGAGGATATTTGTAATGAACATCAATAAATAATCTATATCAATGAATAAAGGAATAAGACAAGATAAAGTAAGGTAGTATTATTCTTCAATTTCTTGAATGGTATCATTGTCTATGCCATTATCCGCATGTGATCTCTCAGACTCATACATTTCCTTGCGTTTATCCATGCTTTTTTCAAGGGCGTCGCAATAGTTTTGGTACTTGATGATTTCGTGCAGCATGTATTTTGATTTTGATTCCCAGTTGGACAACACCTTTGCGTGGTTCTGACTCTTTGCAGGAAACTTGAAAAAATAATAATATTAATATTAATATCATTATCATTTTTTTTGTAATAAAGATAAAAGTAAAGAAGAAGAACTGGTAAAAAGCTATATTAAACAAGTATATATGTATGCTTGTTTTCTCACCTTTATAAGAATCTTCTTTTTTAATTCACGGTGTTCATTAATATCACTGTTGAGTGTCGAGAGATGTTTCTGAAGAGAGTCGTACTGCTCTTTTTCGTTAAGAGGACTGGCAACCATTGGTGGAGCAGGTGGTTTCCAATCATAAATCGTCACAGCATCAGGATCAGACAGAGCACTTCCGGTAGGAACACGCTCAATTGTGTCGAGATCCAGAAAGACGTCGTTGAGACATGAATTCCATCCATACTCCATGTTGCTTACACCACCAGGAAGAGGCTCTTTACTCTCGCGTGCAGCCCAGTAGTTGGCTGTGGCTACCCACTCATTTACTTGTTCTTGTGAGGCAGCTTGAAACAAATACACTCCTCCATTAGGCTGCTGAATAGCAAAAACATGAGGTCTTTGGCGGTTGTATCCAGGAGGTGGTAAGACATTAGAGAGTGTGTGAGAAAATTGGATTGTACCCAATAGCTGTGAATGAGACTGAAATAATAATAAAAAAATAGTGAGACTTTTTTAAACAAAACAACACAAAAACAGCCCAACAATATCAAATGTCTTTAAAATTTGGTTGTTGACTTACGGCCCATTTATTCCCCACTTGCCCACTAGAAAAGGAGGCTGTCGCAGATTGTTTGGTAATAGAATCAGCAAAACTGGTAAAGCTTGCACTGCTGGCCCGCAGCATCGACCGTCTTTCAACTTCTCCAGAGTTATGAAGAGCGTACATTTTGATCTCTCCTTGGCCAATTGTCACAAAGATCTCTCTCCACTCACGATGCTTGGCCTTGTGTGTTGCACTCTCTAGTAAATGTTTGCGAATCAAGACACCTTCTTTGAGATAAGGCGGCTGGGAAGCAAACAAGGCCGAGCCATGAGTGTGCATAAATTGAACCATAGGGGGCTGTGGCGTCAGTTTTCGAGACTGACTCAAGGTGCGAGTGGTGACAAAAGATCCCATCGAAGTAGCCGAGGCAACCGAAGAAAATGAGTCTCGGCGTGGAGAACGGGGTGGTGGAGGTGGCGAAGATGATCGCATAACAGCTGCACTAACGCTTGTTTTGAGCTGTATGTCTTCTGGTAAAGTGCTTTCGCGCGTGCTCTTGCGAATCATCCCATTAACACTACGCTTCATGTCGGCAACACGCCTTCCACCTAAAATACTGCTTCGCTTCTCGAGAGTATGACCAGGTGCTGATAGTGGTTGTAAGATTTGGTGGTGTTTTACTGACACATACATATCCTAAAATATTATAATAAGTAACTTCGTACTAATGTAACAGAAACGCTTTACTTTATTTTAAATTATTAATATTACTACTGTTTACCTTGAGCCATATTTCCATATCTGCCTCCCACGCTTTTTCGTCAGAAACTCCACGACGTTGTTTGTTGTCACTTATTTTCTGTTCGTGAATTGTGCTCATTGTGTTCTTTACAAACGCTTGTCGAGTCATTCGGGCATAGTTTCCTTGTGCCACATGAAGATCAGTGTTAAGAAGCAAAAGAGAGTAAACCACAGCATAAACAATATCTAATGCATTTTTAATAAATATATTAATAATATGTTTTGGGGCGTGAGGTATCAATTGATATATATTTGCATACCTGCACTTCCAAATATACATCTTGGATTGCATGCCCAGTATCGTTGGGCAAACACTTCTAGAATACGATCAATCTGCTGAGCTTCGGCTTTAAAATAAAGCTTACTGCACAATTTACTAAATAATATATATATATATATATAATATAAAAGATTTTATTCGAATTATTGTCATTGGCATTGTCATTGTCATTATCATTGTCATTGTTTCTTTGCCTATTTATTTGCGTCTATCTGTCCATATGTCTCTTTTTTTAACTTACCGAAAGGCTCCGTCAAGGCGCATTCGAGAGAATTGGAAGTTATTAAGATAGTAATACAATGCCTTGCTGTTTGTTGTTTGACCTAACCACTCTGCCATACGCTCCTTGGGCACAAATGTCGCATCTTCTTCCCAAAGCCGTTTGGCAGCCTCTTTGGCTTCTGTATCGGCATCTAAATTTTCGATCGACGATTCACTTGTGGTAGTGTTTGTACTAATACTGGAATCGCTAGGAGATGTATTTGTGCGTGGATCTCTCACAAGTGCAACATGGCTAGTCTGGTGTGTCCAAGATTCTTGCAGAAATACATCTAGATAGCTGTGTGATCCGGCACGCTCATGGGTAAGATTCTCTTTGCTTGGAATTGGGGGTAGAGGCTGATGTTGAATCGGGAGATGAATCTCCGGGATTTTTACGACGGACGGAGTGGTGTTTGTGTTTGTAGAAGTGGTATTGATGGTTGAACTAGTAACAGTAGCAGTAGCAGTAGCAGTAGCAGTAGCAGTAGTAAATGTAGGAGCAGAAACGGAAATAAACATTGGAATCGTATTGGTACTTCCGCTAGTCTTGACTTTAGAAACTTGTGCAGGCAGAGAAGTAGGGGAGTCACTTGTGGAACTAGTTGCACCAGAAGATGAAGGTGGGAGCGGTAAAGGTACTTCCTCGGCAAAACTCTTTGAAGGATTAATTTGTCGTTTCGGAGCACTTCCACTTTGCCTTTTCCAATTTAGCATCGCTGCTGCAAGATCCTCAGGCGGACGACTGTTGCGTCTTTGTTGGATTTTACTATTTGGATTGGGCATTACACTAAACATCAGTCCACCCGCACTACCAAAATGTCCACCACTCAGCCGTTTTGCCAAGGTTGCCTCTTTTTTCTCCCGTTCCACATCCTCCTGAGATGGCCCTGTAGCATCTACAAACAAATCATCATCATCATCATCGTCGTCGTCATCGTCATCGTCATCATCATCATCAACGTTTTCGTCAGAGTCACTTCCGTCAGGGGAATCAGGTACCAGACGTGCCCCATGGCGCGGATTGACATTTTGTTGAACAATCTCTGCAAGTGTTTTTTTATCAATTTGTTTCTGGGTGGGTGTATCAGCCGTATCTTCCTCCTCATCCTCCTCTTCTTCATTGCCGTTTTTGCTTTCCTGGCCTCGAGCCTCGTTTTCTTCTATTTCTGCTACAATAATTTCATTTGAGTCATCCTCATCCTCATCGTCGTCGTCTTTTTCATCTCCATTTTTTGGCTCAATATATGCAATGTCTGTGGAATGATAAGATTCCGCAAAAGTACTATATATAGAATATGATCCTGATGATTTGCGTGTAGATGCTTGAGACCACCGGGAAGGCTGTTCTTCTGGTGAGGAGGGACAGGCAGTAGTTACCGGAACTGGCTGGGATATAGAAGCTGTGATTGGGATCTGAGGTAAAGTGTCTCTATAGCTTGATCGTTGTTTGTAGACAGATGGTGTACGGGAGCGATAGTCGGCTTGTATTGGTGGTTCTGGTGTTAGAGTTGGGGGTTCGGGGGTCAGGATTGGGCTCGAAAGACTCTGGGGTGGAGGAGGTGCGAGTGGAATATTATGATGCATGCGAGACGACCTGATAGAGTTGTGAGAGGCAGGACTGGCTACTGGTATAGGTCGAACCTGAGGTTGTAAATCCAGAATATCTTCTTCTACTGCCTGTTTTGGAGTAATTATATATTTTTATTTTCTTTTGTAACTATTATGTTTTTGAAGTTACCATTCCAAATTTCTTAAATAGACGACCAAAGCCTAGTAGAGTGCCTTTTGTGTTAGGCTAGTAGAGAAAGTTAAAATAAGCGCTTTTGAATTAAGAATACTGACTAGGAATATACCTTGCGATGATGGTCATCTAATGATCCTTCGAGAGATGAGGTCTTGTGTCTAGTGTCATGATCGGTTGTTTCGTAGTGATCTTGGTTATCGTTAATGGAGCGAGTGGTTCGGGGATGAGACTGGTTGATGTCGGCATGCCCAAATCGTGCAAACATTGTCTTTCTGTCTTGTGAAGGGCGATGGTGGTGGTCGTCTTTTGAAGGTGGGATAATGCGAGAATTAGGTACCATAGTGGACATATGCTGGTAAGTGTAGATAGATAATAGAAATAAGAATAAATATAAAACAAAACAAAACAAAGTAAATAAAATAAAAAATATATAGAGAGAGAAAGAGAGAAAGAGAAAGAAAGCCGATTGGATTCATTTCATACTCTTCACTAATAAAACAGACGGGCGCGTTTATTCAGGTTACACACCATGGCACAGGGTGGTGTTGAATTTGATACTTTTGGAGAATTGCCACATGGCTTAAACTAAATCTCACTTTATGCGGGGCCATTTCCTGATCTGGTAGGATTTGGCTTCCTTGAACTAAGATGATATTCGCATTGTCAAAACAGCTAATTTACACAGTGATTAATGTAAGTCAAGTCCATTCTTTGCCCTCAGGTTAGTTGGTTTATTATCATAAGAAGATATTAGAAAAAGGAAGGAAAAGAAGAAGAATAAGAAGCATTGTTTTAATCAGACAAAGGAAGTCCACACATATCACAATTTTCCTGTCCTCCGGGATTCGAATATGTACAGTAGCGACATGCTACTCGAGCTTGAACAGCCGCTGGTACGCCTGAGCCATGAGACGATGGCTGGCTATAATGTGGCGAGATATCTATCAAACACATTTTTTTTGTTTTAAATTAAAAATAATACCAATTAATTTAGTGAAATTCAGGCACAACAAAACCCTCCAAATTTAGCTTTTATAGTTCATTTATTTTCTTTCTTCTTACCTGGTTCTCCAAGAGACATTTTCAGTGTTTTCCAACCAGAAGTGTGTTCTAACTCGAATGTACTTTGGCCAGGTTGGGTTGCAATTGAACACAATAGCCCAAACTCCTCATCACTCAGCACATTAGTCGATTTAATGGCACACAATACATTGAAATCATTCAGACTCTGGGCAAGATCTCCATCTGTTTTTGACAAGTATTTAGCCAGTGCAGCCGTCTTTGACTGTCCTCCGGCCAGCTCATTCCACCCAGAAGCTTGGAATAATGGTGAAGGGATCTGAGGGAATCCATGTGTAACCTAAAGTGTAATAAACACGAAATCAAGATAATTTTTAATTAATATTCAAATATTTCTTTACACACACACACACATTACAGTTCCCTTTCCTTTCTATTTATCGGTTTAGCTATTGCTTACATTGACAAGGAGATATTCCACCGGGAAGGTAGGCTTGGCAGACTCCTTAACAACCACATTATACTTGTTTTTATACTTGTAAAACACTTCAGGCACATATCGCTCATGAGGAATGGATTCCTTGACACGCATAACTGATGGTTTGCGACTAGCCTCCACAATTCCGGCTTCGTGCATTGCAACCAGACTATTGGAAACCTGGTATGCCGAAACATCCACATTTCCTTCCAAGTCCCCTGAAATCACACAACTCACAAATTTGGACCCAAAGTGCCCAGTAGCTGACTGCCGGGTTATATTGGGATGACGGCGTTGCATCTCTGCTGCAAACAAACATTCTTGGGATGACAAAAAGTACGAGTCACCATGACGCTTGACAAGTACCTTTCCTGTACCAGAACCATCATCAACCAGATCCGTAAACACCATTCCTACCTGGACAAGTCCACACGCAGCAGCTACCTTATTCACTTGCTCTTCCTCAGCCCATGGCATGGCAACAGAAATACCATCCACGTGGTCTTCTTGAGTAGGCTCTACAATAGCCTCAACAACTGCCTTGATACCCAGAGGAACATCCAGATAGGGTTCGTAGCGGCCATATAGGTAGCCAAACCGCTGGCACCCAGATTTTCTCCACGCATTCAAAAAGTTATCTACAACAGAAGCCGATGAAAACTCTACATGATCTACCATACGGTAGGTCTGGCGTTGCAGTGTGATTGCACTCGGTTGACATTTTGTGCAGATACCCTCGGGCCACGCAGCGTGGGCACCTGTACAAGGTACCTTGACAGTGTAATGGGCCTCTTCTAGAAGTGGCAACTTTTGCTGTGTTGTTGCTGAAGGGGCTTTTGTTTGTTGCGCAGCATCTATTTTACGCAAGTACGAGTGGAACGACATGTGCTTGATTTTGTTTTCTTCCAAATAACCTGCATCGTATGGCTAAAATATACATACATATATATCGATCAAGCGAGTACACACAAATAATTTTTTTAAAAAGAGAATAAATGTGAGTTGCATTGTACAGATAACCAACGTACAGTAAGAGTAATAAAGCTATAAATATATACTTTACCTCGAGAGGCATGCAATAATCACACATTGCATGAGCACCATGACGGCAACTATTTAATCAATCGACCAAATTCTTAAATGACTCCATTTACTTCTTTCTTGAATGTACTATACGTCTTACAACTTGGTATCCTTGGAACGTTTAATCAATCCTCGCTCCTTCTCTAAAAAGTTGTCGATATCGTCCTGTTTAACTGCGTCGCTGCCCGTTGTCGGTGTACTGTCTTTTGCAGTAGTTGTCGTAGCAGTCGTAGTAGTTGTAGAGGTTGTGGATGGAGGTGATGATTCTTTGTAAGACACGAAGAGCATACTGCCATGTCTACACAGTAATCATACTAAAATTAACACAATGTACTTTACTCGCAAAGCAAAAATGTTAAATACTATTATTATTCTATTTACTGGAGATGAGCTTCTGAAATTGTCTTTGTGGCCATGTGGGAGATTGGTGTTGCGGATTCAGAATTAGGCTGTTCACCTAATGCGAGTGTAGAAACATCGTCTAACTTGAGTTCCGCTGCGATCTGCAGAAGTAAGAGGATATTTAGACTTTGAGAGTTTATGATGAGTAGTGAAAGGTAATACTTTTTGACCCAGTGTAGCGAATGTGTCCTTTGGATCGACTTGGACTCTAATCATGCCCTCCTTTGAACGAATACGAAGTAACTGTCATATAGTCGTGATTGTGAGTTGACGTTTAGAAAGTATATATATGTGTGTATGCCTTATAGTGATTTTATTTGGGTCTTTTTTCTCACCATTATAGACAAAATAAGCTTAAAATGAGAATAAAAATAAAAACAGTAAGAGTCAGATAATAATAGTATTAATAATAATATTAATAATATGGTGATCCTTCTCTTGCCCTATTTTAATTTCACGCCTGCTTACACTACCTTTCTCCCCACCCACACAATGGTTAACTTTCCGTGACGATGGCGTTACGCATTCTACGTGACGCATAAAGTTCTCGAATTAAATGCCCGCGTATTAACAAAGCCGGCAATACAGCATCTTGTAATAATTCACATATAATTTATCAAGGCTATAGTAGTATTTATTATTTTTCTTCAAGGAAGTCATCTTTAACCACTACTAAATCCATCTCAAATAGACGGTCAGTATGTGCAGAAAATTAACTTGATTGCTTGAGTCCGTCTTGATGGCTTTTAAAGGGATTTGGTCTGTCAACACCGAATGAATTAAATATCAAAGAAATGAAAATGTTTTTGGTTGATTCTTTTAAAGAACTTGCAATTATTAATAATTACATGTAATTACAATCAAATTGGCAGTCTAAGCAATCCAACAAAGAAGGATCCTATCCTTGATGCAATTTCCAATGAATGAAAATAAGATTGATGCTTTAACCAAAGCCAATGTCTCCAAAAAGCACAAATAAATAAACAACCTTCAATCCACTTAGGTAGAGAAAGGTATATATTGGTATTTTATACTGATTTATTTATATTTTTTTATTTTTGCGTAGATCAACTCAAAATATTACTTGCATTACAGTGATCAAGCATATACCACTATAGGAAAAAAGGGGTCAATTTAAAGGTCGATTCTGAATTGACCCCTTTCCCCCTCCCCCCGTAATGTACTCTATTTTCTATGAGTCTTTTGAGGAGTTTTGTATAAGTTCTTTTACAAGTAATGCCAATTCTTCGATGTGTTCATCGCGGTGTTGTGGCGCAATTTCTCGTAGAGCATCAGCAAGCTCTAATAAATACTCTGCATTCCAGCCAGATGGACCTGTATACACATGGATTAATGGTCTTCTTCTTAGGAGAATAACGAAAGAAAATATAATCTACATGCAAGTCTATTCTACTCTAGATATTACCATATGTGTCATGAATCTGTTGGGCGATCTCTTTTGCTGGTGCAAATCCAACATAGGCTTCGTTGTCTTCTGTGGCAATGTATACAAGAGCCTTCATGAAAAAGTTAGTTGTCGTATCTTTCTCTCTTTTATAACCAGCAGAAAAGCCAGCGCACCTTTTCTACTACGGGAACCTTGTCGTCTTTATCGGTGTAAACGTCTACAGAATGTACTGTATAGCCATTCTAACCAAATTGTTATAAAAAAAGCAAATTACCTCTAAGATTAACACATTGTTACAGTACAAAGAAATAAGTCTAAGTACATTTCTTACCTTTTCTCGGTGATCAAGGTAGGCGCGTGTTGTCTCTACATCGTCAGAAGGAATCTTGAATACAACACCCCATGTAATGCCATCATGACCATGCTTTATATATGCATATATTATGATGATTAAAGAGAGTTTTATCCAAGTTGAAAATATTAATACAATAAATCATATCACTACAATGTAACGATTATAACAACAACAATAAAAGATAGCCCTCCTTATATATGTATGTATGTATTTCTTATTCTTTTACCTCGTCTCCAGAGTTTTTCCATTGTTCATAGGGAAGTAAGGTCACCACACGGCCAGGTTTTTCTGGTGTTCCTCGATGATCTTCGCTGTGCTACTCTCTTGTTAGTATTCTTAATATACTATTTTTTATTCTTTTTTGGGAGTTCTACATAAGAAATACAAATTCAACGCACCTGCCAGAATCTTCTTACATAGCCCTTGATGTATCCAACGATTCTAATGAAGTTACATGTTAATTGTTTGGTCCTCTCTTTTTCTCTCTCTTTCTGTGTGTGTGTAGAAATATATTTTTTAATATTGTATTTTATTCGATAAGAAGTCTACTCGCCTGGACTCGTACTGCGGTGGTGGTTTCCAGATAAGAGAACCATAGCCGAATACCCAGATACCACTGGAATCAGGATGGATTGTTTCTTGTGGCATGATCAATCGATGAACAACCAAGCTGGCTTCCTTCCTGAGTTTTAACCAGACAAGGGGGGAGGGAGTCAAGCATGTCAGATTGTTGCAGCAACAGACTCGCCGTGACTGTGAGTGGGTAGCCTGATGTGGGTGGGTACAGTGGATTAACCCGAAGACTTATTATACAAAAAGGATCGTTAGGGGCCAGGTATAATTATTAGACTTTGGATAACAAGCCACATGTAGGTGATTTTGTAAGAACCGAAACATTGGCTACCATCAAAAAATGTCGGTTTCCTAGGATTAGGGATCCAAAGAAGAGAATAAAAAAAAAGGGGGGGGTGGGGCGCTCTCCAAATATTATCAATAAAGATAAAAAAATATAATTTTCAAATTTATGCCTTGTAAGTACTTCTTCAGAGAATGACACATGTTTATATATGCATATATTTTAACAGCAAAAAAAGGAAACGAAAATAGTAGTAGGTCCGACTATGCGATTATCACACATAAAAGAAGAATAAGAAAACAAGGGTCCCCTTTCCCATTCGCATTCTTAATCTTTATTTCTGACAGTTTTTTGGGGGATAACTTTATTCTATTGATGTGTAATTCAATGAAACACACCCTTGACACATTTCAGGACTTATTGATCTAAAACAAGTTATTTCTGCGTGCGCATTTATTTGGTATATGTACGTGTACAATTGTTGATAACCTCAATCAACAGATCAAGTTACTGATTATAAGTAATGTCGCTTAATAATAACGATAATACCAATTATAACGTTAGAAGTAATACCAGCAGTAGCTGCGAATAAAATGTAATCTCATTGAGTTCAACTTTTTGCTTTTAAATATATATATATAAGGTAAATTTGTGGAGGATATTGGGTGATATAAAGTAAAGTAAGGTGAGGTAAAGCTGCAAATATCCAGGGAAATATTTCAAGGTAAACGGTTTACACAAAAAGTTGTCTAAAAGTAATAAGAAAATTAAAAAAAGAAAAATAGATTATGGTAAAAGAAAGAACAAAAGGGTAAAAAGAAATATCACTAAATTTACAGACCAACCACTGTCATAAGAAGATAACCTATAGTAGTAACACAAATCATAGCAAATACACTAGAAGGAATGCCATTGCGAACAAAGTCCTTGGTAGTCAAGTAAGGTTGACCCAGTTCATTTTCTTGAGCAATGGCATTCATGTTGGGGAAACCGGATACAGGTAGGCCCATGGCAGCTGAACACATGAAGGCAGTTCCCTACAATCCCAAGCAACAACGTAGTTGTACAGATCAGTACCACAATATCGTACAATCACACAATCGCACAATGTCCCTTTGTGTACATACCATCACCAGCATGCTGGGTCTTGGGTCATCCATTCTGGCACCCACTTCGGCAACAATAGGTAAAACAATCAGAGCAGCCACAGTATGGCTAATAAATGTAGCAATCACGAGAACCAGGCAGCTAAAGGTAAACAGAACCTGGAAAGCATTCATGTCAACAACCAAGGCTTCGATCTGAACAGCAATTGCCTGTAGCAATCCAGAGCTTTCGACAGCCTTTCCGAGTGCAATTCCACCCATGGCCAGCATAATAACATTCCACAAAAAGTTGTTAAAGTCGTCTTTGGTCAAAAGGCCAGTACCAAAGAAAGCGATCAAAGGCAATATAGCAATGATACCCATGTCACCAAAGATCTCTTGGTAGGTGTGTGCAAGACACCAGAGGATGATCGTGATCAGGGTAACTAGGCAAACATATATCTGGGTGGAATTGATAGGATCGTTTGAGGCACGAATGGCGTGAATATGAGGTGTTTGCTTCTCGGGCTCATAACTCCAGACGAGGAACATCCAGACGATGATATTGCCAATGATCGAAAGGGGAATTGCGACTGCAAACCAGACTCCCCAAGAGGGTGCTGGGTTCATGTTCTGGATGGCAATAATGTTCTGAGGAGATGAAATGGGTGAAGTCATACCACCCAAGTTTGAAGCCAAGGCAATTCCAATTATAAGACATGGTCCAAAACGAGAATCGACTGGCAAAGTACGTAAAATAGGCTATATATGAATGTGAGTATCTCTTCATTTGATCCGTTTTAAGAAAAAAAAAGCAGGCAGTAAAGTTTGTATAGTTTTGATATACCTGAATCAAGGAGAAGCAAAGGACGGGTGCGGCCACATTACTGATCCACATACTGGCAATGGTTGCAACCAACATGTTGACCAGTAAAACTCGGTTTGGACGTGTGCCTGCTTTGGACAAGACAAATGTCGCCATAGCTTTGGCAATGCCAAACTTACTTAATGCACCTGCAATTGCAAATCCACCCAACAGAAGCATAATTACGGGTGAGAACATGCTGGCAAACACACGTTTGGTTGCATCCGGAGCACTGAGACGCGTAAAGTTTCCATCTTCAGAGCGCATTACACGCAGGGTGACAACCAATACTGGAACCAAGAGAGCAGTAGCAAACAAGGGCATCACCTAAAATTATAAGTATAACATAATAATGTTATTATTTTCTGAAGGGAAGAACAGGGGAAATGTTTTTGCTTGTTTGTTTGATTTATAGTTCAGTCGAGTTTTCTTTAGCTTGGCTTAGTTTTTGCCGACTATTTTTTTTGTATGTGTGCATATGTATATATACACATATATACATATATGTCTTTGATATTTGCGCGCAAGTCTAATTAGATGATTTAAGCTTTGACTTACTTCTCCAGCCCAAAGAATACTGGCAAATACAAGTATGGCAAAGCATCTGTTCTGTTCAATGTGCGCAAATATTTCGACCTGTAATAGTATAACGAATACCAAGATACTGGCTACCAAGAAGAAAGTATGGATAGCTTGTTCGCGATCGATCTTGAGACTGCCACAAGGGGTCTTGATCTGCATCATATCGGATTCTCCTACGCCGACAGTCTGGACCTTGCGCTCCTGCCCGACCATGTCACGCCAGACGGTATTGCGTTCCCAGACAATATGTTCACGCAAATGAGCCTTTAGTTCATCGATGGCTTGGTCAAGGTTGTTGTTGGTTTCCAAAAAAGCATAGGCTCGCTCAGTTTGCTGGATTCGTTCATTCAACCGGGATTTTGTGGCGCTCTTGAAAGGATATGCCTGGCTGACGTGACTGGCGGTGTAGTCTCGCTTGAGGTTGCTGTTGGTAATCTTGTCGTACTTCTTTAGGATTTTTGCAAAAGCCGTCAGATTGAGAGCTACAAAGGACTTTAATTCGGACAACAAAACAAATAGATCGATTGTTCGCTTCCGGAGTTCGGATGTTGCATCTGGACTGATTTTGTTGTTTGACCAGCCAGTTGTACCTCCTCCACCTCCACCTCCACCACCTCCGGGTTCAATCCCTGCTTCGTGATCGCAGTAAGTATCTGTCAAGTTTTGAGAAATGATGTTTGCTGGAAGAGAGTCTCCATCCAGGTTTGATTCTCGTCGAGGGAAATCAGCCCGATGATGGGGGTGAGGGGTATCTCCAAGAGTGATTTCTTCATCCTGGTGCGACGGGCGACGAGAGCTATCAAGAGATTCAATCTCAAGTACAAGTTGGTCCAGTTCGTCGTAGAGTTCTGTTTCCTTTTTGGCATAAAATTTAACAATTTTGTCGAGAGATTTGTCTAGTGCAGCTGCAAACACGGAATTGCTGTCCTGAATCTGATCCCTCATGAGGGCTGTTTGTTCACTGGGAGCATATTCTAGATCTTGGGAGTGTTCATGAGTACCATTGACTCTGTCTTTTTCGATGGAATAGATAAGTTTCTTGAGATTAGAGTATCTATAAAAAGAAAAGAAAATTTTACAGGTTTGTATGTATGTATGTATGTATATTATATTTGACTTACGGTAAATAATGGTCTGCCCAATCAGGGACAGCGTTAAACTGAATCTGATGCGAGAACTTCATGACTCAGAAACAGTCTGATATTGATAAAGAATTAAATCGAATGAAAGAGAAAGAGGGAGAGGAAGTGGTTTTGGAATGGAAAGAAATAAATAAAAAAGAGGCGTTCAATTGCATTGGTCCTGTCGCGAGAACTGTGTCACAAACCCGGTCGTCATGCCCGTTTAAACAGTGAAAAGTTCTCTGGTCTAATCTTTCGATACATTTTGTGCTGCCAATGAATTCAGGGATCCGGGAAACGTGCATAGCCTGTTGACAGGGCAGGGGAGCCAAAAAAAATAATCCAAAAATAAAGGGGTGGTGTGGTGAGGGGAGGTGCCCTTGCGCAAAAGTCCACAAGGGCTTATTTTTTTATTTTATTTTTACTTTTTATTTTAGAATGTGTGACCTCATAGAGACAGCCAAAAAGATGTGTGATTGTATTGTTATTTAAAGACAAGCAATAATCTGTATAGCTTATTTTAGATAGGTCGGGTAATCTTGGAGGTGTATTGTACACCAATATTGGCTCTTACGTTACAGAATGAATGCTATGTATATATCTTCTTCACTCTATATATGGAAAGTATTTTCTACAGTGATAGATACACATTTCACAAACATAGACGAAAACAGAGAATGGGATGGCCTGGGGGCGTAGAATTGAGCGGGTTAATGTGACTTTGGTGATGGCAGGTATTGTTTCCCTTGTGACAAATCTCAACATCAGTTTCTCTTTTGGGTGAATAATATGTACAACCGATCGCACATAATTCGGTGCGATTACCTGTCCGAAGCCCGGTTTACACTTGTCCCCTACTATGATAATAAGTAATCCTGCCATTTTATTAAATTGCTCCAATTAACTGTTGTACTTATTTTTATTATAATCATAAAGAAACAACTTGATTCTTAAGAGTAATAATCAATAGCCTTGCCATTATTTCATATATTATACTTATAAAGTATTAATAAAGAAATCTAAAAGAGCATATTACAATAATGTCGCTTACATCTCTTCTCCAGCAGAATCAAAGGGATTCTGCTAAGCTATACAACAGATCGTATACAAATTTACAGCCCAATTGTCTATTTACCCCACAGGCCCAGTACTGAACCGATGCTTCGACTTGATATATTGTTAGGAGGCTTCCTTTTGTTCGATACTTTTAGAAAATGGATAGGTCCCGAAACTCTGTTGTGCTGTTTCCAGAATCGAAAAAGGTAGCCCACCTCACGTAGATGCCCGAATATCCTATCTCATTTCTTTCTGTGGGTGACATCCATGCATTCGGTCTGATTGGTCGTCCTGTCGATGCAGAAAAATTGTCTGAATAGTTGTCTGGTTACTATTTATATCTAGGTATAGATTTTGTAGTTACATATGTCATTAAAAAAAACTGGGATGGCTCTTTGTAAGAAAACATTTTCTGGTTCACACACAGCTTAGCAGTGTAGCATGAATTGCGTTTTTGAACGCAAGAAAATCTGGACCACTGAACAATATCAGGTTGAAGAATAGATTGGCTTTATACTTAGCCCGAAACAGCATGTTATCTTGCAAAATAATCTTGCGCATATTTTGTGATAATCAGTTAACACTGATAAAATATTAAAGCCCTTTAAATACACATTGATTTTCTTTTCTCGATGGTCTAAGCCTTTCTGATATTAACAAGTCGTTCATTATCTTGTGTGTATAAAGGCACTTTTATAATTATCCATTATATTGTTCGACAAGAGGGATTTGTATAAACAATAGTAGAACTTATTTATTAAATGATTGGCAAAAATAAAGTAATGTCTGCCAAATCCATAATCTATGACTCTCGTGACAGCTGCCTCACTCTAGCCTGATTTAATGAATTCCTTTATTATTAAAACCGACCTGTTTCCGTTATAAAGTGGTGGAATAAAAAGTTAAGCACATCTGTGAGCGACACCGACTACACAATACATGTGGTGTTTTACGCTCAATTTTTTTTTTTAAAAAAACCCTTAGAATTGTCTTGGGATCGTATATGAGACAGGGCCAAAAATTAAGCAGAGAATTGTGACTCCGGCTGTTGATACTCTTGCTCAGTCTTGAGTGAGTGGGTTTTGAGTAAAAAGTTTATGTGGCATTGTCACCCTCGCTTAAACACACACACATATATATAAATTTTTATTCGTTTATAAAGAATTTGTTCATGGTGGCCGATACCGAGAATATCCAGAGATTGCGCACCTACTTGAATTTTAAGACACGTATACAGATTAGCGATGGCAGAACGTTTATAGGCGTGTTTATGTGTGTCGACAAGGACAAGAATATTATCCTTGCTCATGCAGAGGAATTCAGAGGAGGTGATTGCAATATCATTTTAGATTCAATTCAATATCATATTTACTCGTTCAAATGTGGACTTTTTTTTGGACTTTATTTTTCTTTCTTTAAATATATATATATTGCATATTATTATCTTTTAGATGAAAAACGTCTTGTAGGATTAGTGATGATCCCAGGAAAGCATCTTGTCAAGGTGGAAGCAGAAAACATGAATGCTGATGATCTTTACTCTTGAGACAAACGAAATAAAGAAGAAGAAAAAAAAATCAAGTAAATACTCCTTTATTAATTTTACATAGCCCATCTCTGTTTTTGTTTTTTGTTCTTCTCTTCTTTATTGTTTTAAAGTAATGCATATACCCTCTTCTCCATTATTAAACAATTCTGTCTTTTATATATAATTTTTTTAGTAAAGAAAATATAGCCACACTGTACACACACACCTATATATGTGTAGAGTTAGACGTAGAGGAAGAGGAAGAGGAAGATGAAGATGAAGATGTAGAGGTAGAGAAAGATATATATGTATAGCAATATTATACATATTATTTATGAAGATGAATTCTTCAAGTCTTCCCATGGATCACTCACAAATGAAGGTGAATAGAATGCCCGGTATTGTCTTTCCAGTGTCTCTGGAGAAAAATCAACAATAGTAAAATCCTTCAATATCATAAAAATATATATATATATTTGTATATGATAAGTAAAGCCGTCTGTTGTGCCCCAAATAGACTACCTTTAATTCATTCACTTTTTTATACTTATTGCTAATATGTTTGTACTTGCCTGCTTTTGACGAGAAGTGTGGCTGTTAAATCTATAACCACCACCGCCGCCGCCACGTCCTAGATTACGATTATCGCCACGTCCTCGGCCACGGCCACCACGTCCTCTATTGTAATTCTGTGATCTATTCTGTCCGTAATTACCACCATAGTTGGGATTGCCACCTTGGGATCCTTCATATGAACCATTCATGGTATTATTGTGTGATCTGTCACCCTGGTAACCTTGCCATTGACTTGCTGCTCCCATTCCATTCGAATAATTGGCTGACATGATAAACAAGATTAAGAGATCTTTGTTTTTTATTTTATTTTATTTTATTTTGTTTTTATTTTTATTTATTTATTAAAACAAGAAATGGTCTTATTGTTCGGTCCTCAAATTAAAATACTCTTTGAAGAAAAGAGGAAGAGAGAAATAAGAGAGCCTTTATTACTATTATTATTATTATGTAGCTCTATTGCTTCATAGAGGATGAGGGACAGCAAGCCAAAATACAGGTGCCATAAAGAAGTGGTTGTAATAATGGCATCCTTAAAATGGGTTTTATATAAACACATTACAATTTTCTTTTAAACTAAATAATATACAACCGTATAAAGCGCCTGTGTGTGTGTGTGTAGGACAAGACTGTGGATATATATATAAATGCATACAGATTTGTAAATGTTTGTGTACAAAAAAACGAGGCAAGATGTTTATGATTATTGCCTCGATTTGGAAATGTTTTTCTTTTGACTTGTTTCGAAAGACAAAACGTATTAGTTTTTATGCCTTTCTTCCCTTCACAGTAAACTTTGCCTATTCTACACCACACTACCAGAGAACCTTGTTAATTCCTACCGATTTATCCTAGCCTTTGTTTTTTCTGTTTGTTGCTGATATCAAAGAACATGACAAGAAGAACTATTTTATCTGATTATAATAATCAAGGTAAATTACATACATATATATATATATAAGCGATATTTGGTTTGGGGTATTCTTTAATTAAGCCTTTTGGTTATAACACCCTGCTTTTTTTCCATTTTAACTTTATTCTCTATAGAAATGATGCGAGATCTTATCGATGATATTAATGACTATATAGGAGGTTTGTTATTATTCTTATTTTATTCAATTAGATCAAGTTATATATATATATTGACAGAAAGTTTTGATACACCACAAAATCTAGAAAAACCCATCATGAAAACAAATGATTTCAATCCATCTATTCCAGAACCACCCAATAGTATCAGCGTGGATACACCCAGTAGGGAAGCCTTGATGTCTGACATAGCCAAATCACTTGATCCATTGGATTTTGAACGTCCTCTTTTAGTTGAATCAGATAGCGAAGATGAAGATGAAGACGTTCATGACGAAGGATTTGATCATAAACGGAACGGTCATAGCAATATGAAAGGAAACGTTGCAAATAACAAAGCATATCCCAAGTTAGAAGAGGAAGACAAAGACAAAGCCGATTTTAATGACGAAGAGCAAGAACAAGAAGAAGATGATGATGAAGAAGAAGAGCGTTATGCTCATCGGTGAGCATCAATTTGATATTTGTATCTTTAGAAACTAATAAATTAATGCAATCAACAGTCGGTTTCCTTCACGTCTCCCGCCACCCACTGCTTCTTCTGCACGTAGCAACTCGGTCGAAAGGCCATCAGTTAATATATGTCACAAATGTAAAAAAGAAGAACCTGTTAAACCAAAGCCCTCCAATTCCCTCCGCCCAGAATACACTTGTAAAGATTGTAAGAAGGGTAGTAGACGAAGATCTTTGAGTGCAACAGGTCTACGAATACTTGAATTTGCTGGCCGTGTAAAGCAAACTCTATTAGCACCTATTAAGACAATCGAGAGACGCAGGAGCATGCCTTCAATCGAAGTTTACACCAAGGACGGAAAGGATCTTTTACACAAAAGTATTCCTTCTCCAATCACACCAACAGGAAATTATACCATCCCCATTGTTGACAGACGATCTTTAATATCCCCAAGACAGGAAGATAAGCCTACAACTTTTTACAGCGAACCAGAGCAAACAACGAATAAAAGACCAGAGGGAAGAAAAGAAACAAATCAGGGATGGACACCCAGAAACCGGAGACCTTCAGAAAAGTTAAAGTATAATAGTGAAGCACAATCAAGTTTTCAATACCAGGAGCAAGAACAATGGCCAGATACAGCTACAGCTACAGTTACAGAAACCAATGGTCGTAGCTCTAGTCCGTTAGAGTACCCAAGTGAAGAAGTCGAGGATCAAAACCAGGAGGAATACAAAGAAGAGGAAGAAGAAGAAGTCTATTATCAAGACCAAGAACAGGATCGCTTAAACCAATACAGCGATGACGAATATTACGATAATCCAGGGGATTACAATGGTTCGCCATACCAAGATCAAGAATATATTATGGTAGGAGCTCCTAGTGAAATGGTATATTCTGCAAGTCCTTCAGGTACTCAGACCTGTCTTACACCTGCAAATCGTAACGGAGGAGAGCACACGCCATTAAGAACAATGGATTTAGATGAGTTGAATTCTCGTATAGATCGTATAATTGCTTACGGTAAAGAGCCCTCTTCTTCATTTCTCTTTTTTTTCTCCAAACCCTAAACCAACTAGTTCAGGCTAATTTTAATTAAATTTACAGAGCATGCCTATTACAGCTGTATTGCAGCAAAAACCTATCTTACTCCTTGGGTTAAGAAGCAGTACAGTAAAGGTCCTCCCGATGCAATGTTTGGTAAAATATCATTTATATGTATATGTATATATACTAAATATAACTGTACTAATCAGATATAATATCATCTCATAAAAAAACTTACAAGACTATACGCCTCCTCCAAAAAGATCTACTAGCAGAATATTTGGTCTTTTTAAGCGTTCAAGCAGTAGAAATCTAAGTCAATCAAACGTTGGAGATTTATCAAATCCTTTGACAAAGAGTATGCTTTCGTTATCAAGCCATATATCTTCATCTCAGATACCAATATCAACCATTACCACAAGTCAGCCCAACTGTCTAATTGAGGATCAACGCCGTACCTCCACTCTAGATTTTCTTAGCGGCGACGAAGATTTTGATGAAGGAGATAACTCCCTGCAGATAGTTAAGCCAAAGAAGTCGGGGTTATCATTACGATCGTCTTCTATATCGCCTTCCAGAGAGAGTAATTACTCTCGTACATCAATTAGTAGTATAAGCCCTATGGAGGAGCCAGTTTCTATCCTCAAGAAAAAACCCTCGCAATCCAAAGTATATCAAACTCCCAGTACACGCTCCTCCACATTTTTTGATCCGAGCCGCGAAGTTTATGACGAAGATCCCGTACTAGATAATCCATACGAAAGCATCTACGAGCCGCAGATTCCACCTCAAAGGCGCTCTTCTTACATATCCGCGGCTCCGTCTTACCACAGCTCACCGCTGGATGACAGACATAGTATGATCGACCATGATAATTTTCAAGAACCATATTCGGCTTCTAAACGAAGAGTGAAATCAACCCCTCCTGTCAAACAGTATACCTCCCGGCCTTTGTCTTACACCGAAAGTTCACCTGTACCATTTCCCACTAGGTCTAGTAAATACGTATCGGCTGTTTCTTCAAGCACAAGCCTTCATAGAGATTATCAGTCCCCCCAAGGCTGGACACCAACACGTTCCCCATCATTCCAAAGCTCATATGACTATAGCCACAAGCCGGCATACAATGAGCAGAGTAGTTATTCTTATCATAGCCACCGTCCTACACCAGAACCTGTCTATGAGCCTCAGCACTATCAACACACCCCGGCTGCCCGGGCAGCACATGCTGCACAGTTTTCTTATGATGCCTGGGATAAAGCATTGGATGATTTATGTGCATTCTTTCGTCATGTGGACCGAAGTATTCTTGAAGAGTACCTTGAAGAAGCGCAGGGCGATTTTCATACTGCAAAAAGAATGTGTATCGATACAATAATGACGAGTGGCTTATAAGAATATTCAACCAAAAAGATGTAGATTTCATTATTAAAACAGATACCAGCTATCAATATCTTAAACTCTTTGATATAGCATATAGCCATTAGAGCTATCTATTGATATAATCGTTCAATAATTTATAATATATATATATATATACATATATATATTGTATAATATTTGTCCCTTTTATTTTTTTTATCAAGTTTGGAGACAAGACATATTTCTGGATATATAATATTTACAACGCCACACTTCTTTGTGCCGGTAATAGAAATTGTATTATATAAAAGATGGTTGCGATTATTTAATAATATATAGCTAAATTATTATTACTAGTTTTATAAATCGCATTTTCAAAGAACATGTATTATTACATCTTTATCTACTTTTCCTTCTTGAACTTGATTTCAATATCAGATATTCCTACAGGCTCGTTGGACTACAAAGACAAAGATTATTAATACGTTCTTGCATATATATATATTCAAACTCTATCCTAGCTTAATAATATAAATCCACTGATCTTACCTTGTCATCATATTCAGCCCACTCTCCTTCCAACAAGTCGATATCTTCAAATTTGGTATCTGATTCTATGCCCTTTGCCACCCATGATTCCTAGAAACAATCCCGTTGTTTTTTTTTAATAAAAATACACATACACACCCTTTTATATATATATATATATATATATATATTACACTCTATTCTTTCACTTACTCTAGGAGAAAAATCTACGAGCTCTAATCCTCTACAGTCAAAGGTTGCGATCTTTTGAAACTCTCCACTCTTGGTGTAAGGTACAACCTTTCCATTAGTTTCAAATTCTATTTGTAAATGTGTTGTTAGAATATTGGTTGAATACACAAAATGCCAATTGAAATTATATTATATTATATTATACTATGTTATGTTTATGTTTATTTTTTTTATAAAAAGAGGGCGCGAAAACATGTATATACTTACGCGCAGTTGACTCGCGCTTGCAGAATTTGCAACGCATCACCAAGTTTGCGGTACCTCTTGATCCAGACATATCATATGAATCCTAAAGGTTTACGTGTTATAGTTTTGTTAAATAAAAGAAGACGTATATATTGGTTTCCCTACTTGACGATTAAAAGTGATCCAAGACTCATCAACTTCACGGCAACTTCCACATTCAACCTTTTACACACAAAAACAATGCAAATAGTATTTAAAAGATTATTAATTTGTAATTTTGAAAACCAAAAACTCAAAGATATTATTCAATGGGTCTCATGGTGTACCTTGAAGTGCCATTCGTAATCTTCGACAGGCACAAGCTCGGTCACATTCTCGAGATCAGCTTTAAGATAAAGGCCGAGTTTCTATGTAGGAGTCAACCCGAACTTTTGGTTTAGCTTTCGTATAATCTTGTTTTATATTTTTCTTAGAGAAGGATGACGGTAACCATACCACCATTTTGTTTTATTAAAAGAGAGAGAGAGAAAAAAGAAGTTTTATTTTTCTTTCAAAAAAAAACGAGAAAGAATAAGCTTATTTTCTAGGCTCAAGCAACAATCGTTCCGGAGTTTAAAGAGCTTGCCCACAAAAGGTCTGTGACTTTTTACTTGTTTATTGACAAGTTTCTCAAGTAACAAACAAAATGTCGGTTGGTACAGTCAAGGCTGTTCCATTCCATGAAAAAAGTTACTGGGAAGGTCGATTCGAACAAGAAAATCATTTTGAATGGCTCCTTTCTTGGGATGCTTTGAAACCATTAGTTGAATCTTACTTGGATCCTAATGAACCAATCCTTCACATTGGTAGTGTGCAACCATAAGAATTTTATATTCTTTACTTTATTTTATTTTATTTCGTTTATATATGTATACATTATTGATCAATTGATCTTTCCCTATATAATACCCACACAAATATATGTACATCCAAATATACAAATATATATATGTATATATTTAAAGGGTGTGGAAACTCGAGATTGGCTTTTCACTTGGCGGATGATGGCTATCCTCATGTGATCAATGTCGATTATGCAGAAAATGTTATACAACAAATGAAGGCAGAGACTTCTCCCAAGTACGACCGGATCGAATGGTACGCAGGCGATTGTTTGAATAATCTCTTATTCTTACTGAATCAACACGATCTTCATGATGGCTTTTCTGTGGTAATAGATAAAAGCTTGTGCGACACAATTGCATGCGGAGACGATGATGAACAAACCTCACAACAAAAACTAGCACATCAAGTTGGATCTCTTGTGCGAATTGGCGGGGTCTGGTTGTGTGTCTCTTTCTCGAGTCAACGAGAACATGTATGGGACCAACCAAGCGGTATGGGATGGAAATGGAAAAGAGAACATGCTATACCTGTACCAGTAAACCACCCCAATAGTTTGCCTGGTGCACCCGAGATATTTCATTATCTTTACATAAACCGAAAAGTACCTGCGTAGAACTTAGACTAGATTTGTACAGATATACATAGAGACATATATATATATATATATATATATATTAAAGCAAACATAGAGATTCGAGGATTTTTTTTTAGAAAAAATAAAATAAAATAATAGATTAAAATAAAGTACAGAACTGATGTCTTTAACCAAATGTCTGACTGATTCTTCCACCACGTTTGACTTTGCTGAGACGCCACTGGTTTGGCTTCTCGTATCTGTTGTATAAGGGCTGTACACGACAAAATAATCAATATAGTTGTCTTTTACACATATACTAAATAATCTTACTTCGATCTTCTCTTGCCTCTTGCGTTTTGAGATCTTATTTGCGTCAGCCACCTTGAAGAATGTGGGTGCAGCTTCTGACAACCATCTAGGATCGATTGCTGTAACTTCGCGCATATATTCTTTCGAGGTGAACACAATTTCATGGTAAATAACCCTAAAATATTAAGACAGTATAAATATCTTTGAGTTAAATCTTAGTTATATATTCTTTATGCCTTACCATTCAGGGCCTTTGTTAAATAATGCACTCGAAGGGTGGATATAAACTGGTGTTCCTTCCAAAAGTGTCTTGTACCCCTCTTGAGGATCTTTCTTTGCCGCATTTCTAAAATAACCTGACACCAAAGCACGACAGACCTTGGCATAGTTGCGACCACAGGAAAGAATATCATGCTTGTATCTATAATTAAAAGTGATCGCAATTAAATAATCAAAAAAAAATCCAAAGGCAAAAAAAAACAAAAAAAAAAACAAAAAGAAGGGGAGACGTTTGCTTACCTGTCCATAATACCAAGCAACTGTTTTCGTACATCTTGAGCACGCTTCATACTCCGTGCCTGAATAAAGTTATCAAAACACCATGGGCTTGAGAACTTGCTTCCTTTCCAGCCATTATATACAGTCAGCAACGTCAAATGATCGCCCTCAGGTTGATGGAATTTAGCTTTTTTGGCATCTGCTTGTGCCTGTTTTTCCTTTGGACGGTAAAACACATTTTGTGCAGTCAGCATAGCAACAATTGTCAGAATTTCTTCTGAGCAATTCAGCTCAACAGATTGAATGAGCATCTTTGACAGTTGTGGTTCCAGAGGAAACTCAGCCATCTTGCGGCCAAGTCGAGTTAACAAGCCCTCGTCATCCAAAGCTTGGAGGGCATACAACTGCTCAAGAGCTTGCAACAAATTTCCTTCCGGTGGGGGGTCCATGAAATCGAAATGAAGTAAATCGTTGATTCCCATTGCTTTGAGTGTCAGGACTGTCATGGACAAATTGAGAAGTTGGATTTCGGGAATTGTACTTGGTAGCATTTCGTTTCTGTAGGCTGATTCGGTGTAAAGTCGATAACACTTTCCAGGTCCAGTACGTCCGGCACGTCCGGCACGCTGTCTAGCAGCAGCTTGAGAAATAGGAACCACTACAAGTGAATCCATGCCAAGTTTGGCATCCCATTTATTTTGTTTGACAAATCCAGGGTCAACGACATAATAAACACCATCGATGGTAATAGACGTTTCGGCAATATTAGTAGCAATAACAACTTTACGACTTCCAGGAGGCGCGGGATCGAAAATCTTTGACTGCATTTCACTTGGAAGAGCACTGTAAACCGGTAAAATGATAAGTTCTGGAACATCTGATCCTAATGCTTTCATTCGCTCATAAAGAATTTCACTTGATGTATCAATCTCTTCTTGGCCGGTCAAAAAGAGAAGAATATCTCCTGGAGGTTCTGACAAGTGAATTTGCATAATGGTAATCAAGGCAGCATCGAGATAATCGGGCTCAGGATCCTTTGTATACATCACTTCGACAGGGAAGGTACGACCAGGAATAGTAAAGATAGGACATCCGTTAAAGTAAGTAGCAAACTTTGCTGCGTCAAGGGTAGCAGATGTAATAATCAACTTCAAGTCAGGGCGCTTCTTGGCGGCTCCTAATCAGGTTGTGAGAAATCCTGTCGAGCTTTAGACGTGGTATATATAAATATAGGTTAACTTACTCTTTAACAGACCGAAAAGAACATCAGTAGAAATAGTTCTCTCGTGTGCTTCGTCAAGAATGATAACGGAATACTGGGACATTTCTGGGTCTATAAGACATTCTCTTAGAAGCATACCGTCTGTCATGTACTTGATTCTTGTATCTGGACTTGTGCAATCCTCGAAACGGATTGTATATCCAACTTCCTGACCAACACGACATCCAACTTCTTCGGCTACACGCTTAGCTACAGACATTGCAGCAACACGACGGGGCTGAGTACAACCAATTCTTCCACGGTTGGCAAAACCTTCTTCAGCCAGATATTGAGTCATCTGTGTTGTTTTTCCAGAACCAGTATCACCAATAACAACCAACATTTGATTCTACAGTAAATGTATTATTATTATTAAAAAGTTTAGCTTTAAGCATGCTTTGTCTACAATTTCTAATTACCTCTCTGATGGCCTGAACCAAACTTTCACGGAGTTTGTAAATGGGTAGAGATTCACGTTGTTCTTGGATGGTCATGGAGGTAATTTTACCAAAACTGGTGGCATTGTTAAATGTAGCCTGCTTCCATTCAGCCATCTGCCCAGGCTTGGTGGTAGCTGCGATACCTCTCAAGTCTTGAGCGAACTGTCTCTCTCCAGGTTCTGGCATAGGATCAAGCCATGGCATGTTGACATCTTTTGGTACAGCATCCATCTCTTCATTTTGTTGCTGCTGTCTCAACTCTCTTCTCTCCTTTGCCAATGCCGCACCTGCTAATGCAGATCTGTTGAGTGTACCGTCAGGAATCTTGACAACCTTTACAGGACTCAAGTCTAGTGTTTTTGTAGTCTGGCCCTTTAGGAAAGGAGGCTCTTCTTCACGTACTTCAACATCAATCTCTTCTTCTGTCTCGACGTTGCCATTAAAATCTGTGTCTTCCTCTAATTCTGGGTAATCTGCTGCATTTACAGCACCAGAAGCAATGAGCTGCTTAATTTCCCATCTCTCGGGTGAAGACATTCTTTTGACAGAACGCGAAGGCCCGTCATCCATATCTCCCTTTCTGACAGTATTTGATCCAGTAGTTGGTCTGTCTGGATTACGGGTTGCCATGGCTTCCATCTCCTCTTGAGTTCGAATACGCAAATGAGGTGTAAGATCTTCTCCGGTTTTCTGATCCACATCTCGCATTGACAAGCTAACACGAGAGCCTGCAACAGACATCACTTTGACCATGACTTGTTGATTCCTCTGAACAATATCGCTTGGGTGTCTAACATGTCCGGATGCTAATTGAGTGACGTGAACCATACCCTCCACACGTTCACGCACTCCTTCAAGTTGTACAAAGGCACCAAAGTCTTTGAGGTTGGTAACCTTTCCTGTGTATATTTTATAAATTATAGGCTTTTCATCTGGTCCCTGAGGTTTGCTACGACCGCGAGGGGGTGATCTACTTCTGCGTCGTCGAGGGCTTCGTGATCTCGAGCGTCGTCTTTGATGTGATCTGTCACGGGATCGACTTCGGCTTCTACGTCTTTGGCGAGAAGTTTCAGCTCTTGGCTCTAAAGAGCGTGCTCCCTGTAAACCTTCTAATTCTGACAGCATGTCAACTGCAACCTCTTGATCTTCCTCTCGCTTTTTCTTCCAGTCTGGATCGTCTGGCAATGCAAGTCCGGGGAAGTTTTCTGTCTTGACTTCCAGAGATTCTTCCATTCTTGACCCTTTTGGCTTCATTGTCTTGATGACACGATCGAGGTTCTCGATGAATGAGTCTGAAAAGTCAGCATCCTTTAAAGAAGCTTTAAATTTCTTTAGTGATCCTTTAGCTGCCTCATGTAAATGAAGAATGTACTCGGCTGCAGATGGATGACAAGGAAAACAAAAGTTAGATTTCTATGCATCGAAATAAATTAAGCTTTGTTTGTATTACCTAGTACTTTTTCGCCTAACCCTGTGTGGTTATATAATTCAGTGATGATCTTGTTGATCAGCGAAAGACGCTCAAGTGGCTCTAATTCATCCATTGTTGTATTGAGTGCTGCACAAGATTCGCAGCTTTTAGAAAAAATTCACTACCTTTTGCACACAGGTAACCAAAGTCCGCGTCAAGGTTAGGGTGACGTATATTTGGCAGTACAAGAGAATTGGTTTTTGCTGTTTCTTATTTTTTTCGACACGTCGGAGTATTAAAATCCACGACACACAGATAAAAAATCGAATAAGAAAATGGAAATCTCAAATTCATGCAAATAGTTCATTCGCTTGAAGTTCTCAGCCAAACAAGCTTTGTAGAGATGATTGTATTTTTGAATTATATACATGGTCTTTAACTTGAATGAGAGTGAGAGTTTAATGAATGTGTTTTTATTATTATAATTATCGTTATTTTTGTTGTTTACTCAAGAAACAAGTCAAGTAAAGGTTCTTTATAGACTATTTTTTTTCTGGGTGGTAAAGGGACTTGTATTGGTATGGAAAGTGATTAATTTTGTGACATGGCTGTAAATATATTCTGATCATTCTGTTTTCCTTTCTCTCCTTCTTTTGCTTATTAATTCTATTAACAATTAAACGGCTGATGTTAGTAGAAATCCTATGATATTTTGCATGCTTTGTACTGTTTGTGATGAACCCACAAATTATTACAATTGTTTTAAACATACAGAAAAGCATTTCCTTGCATAATAAAAGAATTAAAGGAGAAAGAGATTGAGATAACAAGCATGATATTAAAACGAAAGAAAAGCGCTGTGAATAAAATTTTTAATGTTAGAACATGTTTCCCCCTTAAAACAAACAATAGTTTTGCTTTGATTAAGAAAATGTAGAGCTACCAAAACCCTTTTATTGTTACACTTCCGTAAGAGAATTCACTGTCAGTTTTCTTGATTTTTAATTCCAAATAAACTATTAAAATTCAACTTCTTTGTTGTATAATTTTGAAAGAAAAAATGCCAGCTAAATAAGCTAAAAGCTTTTTTTTTCTCTTATATATATTATGAATTAAAAGAAGAAGTAAAAGTGATATATGGTGTGGCTATCACGAAATTTGATTGCCGCATGGACGCAAGTCTATTATGCATTCCTGCTACAGTACTATAAAGATCTTCTGAGTCAACATGATTCCCTTTCTGAAGGATAGTATCCTTTAGATTCTTGGAAGTTTTTACAGAGCCATTTATCTCTTGAACCTTGGCTTTTTGAGCACGTCAAATGTACTCTATTAGGCTCAAATCCGGGATTTGAGATGATATAGTTAAATTGTTGGATCTTCTAATGGGGTTTCTTTATCCCGTCGTGCAGGGACCCAGTGTGATAGTTAGCAATATATTCTTGAAGTGTGAGCAATGTGTTAGGTTCATCATTGGACTTTATATACCAAGAGATTCTACAGAAAAAAGAGACAACAAAATGAAATTATAGTAAAAAAAAAATAGGTGCATTTCTGGGTAAAATGACATTGTTTTCTCATGTGGAAGTGTATCTACATAAAAAGAGGAAGACATGGCTAGATGTTACACATGAGTACAAGCAATTTCTGAGTGAGTGCATGGAACTTGGTCAAAGAACTAGGCTTTTTATTTTTATTTTACTTGACTTATGTACTGTAGTATCACTTTCAACCGCATCTTGATTTAATTAAATAATAAGTAAGAGACAATAAAAAATATAAAGGTATTAATATATGTATGTATTTATGTATTTTTAATGGTGTATTCTTGAATAAAATATCAACAGTACTTTCAAATGGCCTAAATTTCTAGTCTATTTGTGGTCATCAACATGTATTTTGGCTTAAATCCCTCTCAACTCGAATCGAGTAAGAGTGTGACCGAAACACCGTAATAATAATACTGATACCAATACAAATTTTAATATTAACTTGACTAAATATCTTGCTCTAAATATCTATATATACAAATATACTTCTGTAACATAAAAAAAATACAATACAAAAAAAGCAATTGTACAATGAAGGTGCAAATAGCACTTAAAAATATCCAGCCACTCATGACGTGGCAAATTTATTTAGACGCACAAGATTTACCTCTCGTTTTGGTTTAACTGGTCTTTCCACAACAATGATGGACAATTTCCAAAACAATGGCAGCGACACCAAAGTGTCCGAACAAACACATAATGATACAGCGTCATCTTCTGTTGTAGATGATTTTCTTTCAGCTTTATTTGCTAGTAAGCCAGCAGGAATCAATGCGAATCAGGAAGCTTCATCTGGAGAGCAAAAAAGCCGAGAATTTGCACCTCCAGTAGACATGGGTGCACAACAACGAGAACCAAACATCAAACCAACGCCTGTTGCAAAACAGGCAGGATTAAAACGTGACAGATTGGCGGATGAGTTTGAAGAGTATTCAATACTTAGTAAGCGCCAGAGTGCGAATCCTTCACAGACAAAACAACGAACTACTTCTGAAAAGACAAGAGGGCATAAGCCAGCACGAGGAAACAGATTTCAGCCAAATAAAAGAGGTGCCCACCAAGCTCAATATCAAGCCAGACAACCTCCTAATATGAGCCACGAAGGACAACCTCATAATTTCGACAGACAACTTTCACCCGTAAAACGCATGGATTGGGAAGATCCAGCTAATTCTCAGGCTGAAATCAGCTTCAATTCTCAGAGCAATAGAGGAAATTATTCACAGCCAGCACGTGGAGGCAGTACACAATCTCATAGAAGAATCGGCACCTCCAATTTTCAACAAGGCAGACCAGGCCCATCTTCTCTTCCCTCTCAAGAAAGGTCTCCTGTTTCGGTTGCTGGAGTGCCAACATACCCTTCTGAGGGAGGCATTGATCGAAAAACTCTAACTCCTGAAACTCGTATGCTTATTCGACGCTTACCTGCTCATATTAAGCACCGCGAGATCGTAAACCACTTTAGCAAATATGGAGAAGTTCTCGAATTTGTTCCGAAAAAGCTTCATGGCTTTATCCAATTTAGCAATCCTCATTCCTGTGCTGCTGCTGTAAGAGCAGAAAGTGGCAAGTCTTTCCATGGTTTTGTCCTCGGTACGTGCCTTTTCATATTATCCAGATTTCCCCCCTCCCCCTTTTTCTCCCCCTCTTCCCCTCCTATCCCTCCTCTATCCTTTTTTTGGAGGGAATATTTAGGTTGTGTATCGTTATATGGTTATTCACATGAACTTGCCTATGAGTGAGATCCATTGTTATTGCCATGTTGTACCGAGCATATTATTGTTTTTTCTTCTTCTTCTTGAAAGCAATGTTTCAATATGTGTGTTATATCTTGAGTGGCCCAACTGGAAGATCATTAAATGGTCAATGTCAGATCCTAAAGATATGAACTTGTTGTACTGTGGCTGTTAAATCTTTTTGTCTTGCTTCTACCAAAAAGGCTTACATCTCTTGTACCGTCTTTGGCACATGTGCGGTAAAAAATGCTCGCTGATTTGATGGCATCTTACGTTGCTTACTTATACATGATGCTCTTATTATCTGGCTCTTACTTATTCAATTCCTCGGCAAGGGTTCAATCCCTCTCACCCGAATCATATGTTTATTTATATATTCATATATTTATACACACACATACACACATACACATACACACATACACATACACATACACATACACATACACATACACATACACATACACACATGCTCACGCACACAAATGTATATATATATATACCTGAACTTGTGTGCTTATTTATCATACCTCATTTATTTAACACTTATACCTTATTATGTACCGTTTAAAGAGGGGGTCAAGATCTCTACATGAATTGTTTCTAATGGTATCCTCGACATTTATCTTTATCTTTTATTTATGTCTATCATCGGTCAACTCGTATACTTGCTGATGTATCATATATATCTCCGTACCCCACTTGTCTCGTACATAACAGATTTGGAGATTTGTCAACCAAATTCAAATTTGGCTCGTGGCTATGATGCCTATAGTGAAGGACGTCCTAATGCAGACCAGAAAGCTAATCAGGGAACAAGAGGCCGTGGCCAGGTTGGTTATCGAGGTAATTATACACAAGGCCGACCAGTGGAGTCTATCAATAGCGAGCAAAATAATACGGCAAATGGTCGTGGCAAGAGAGGAGGTTATGTTCCAAGTTATGGTAGAAGACACAGCCAAGATAAGCAAAAAGGACCATTGGATTACAATGGGAGTGGTACAGCAGGCTGGGAGCAATATGACAGTGCAGTGAGAGGCCCAGATGGGATTTATCAGCATGAAAATACCAACTCATCATGGCAATCAAATGGATATGGGGGTGAAACTTCTTCAGAGCCAATGGTTCATGATGAGTATAGTCCGAGTCAAAGTCTGGCAAGTAGTTTTTATGAAGACTCCTACAGTTCTCAAAAAGGAGGTGACCAGGTGATGAATGGTATTGAATACAACGGCCAGCAGCAAAATGGGAAATTTGATCATCAAGAAAGAAACAGTAACGACAGTTCGAGTCATGGCCGTAGTCGCGGCCATGTTCGCGGTGGATTTATTGATCAGAGAACCTTTAGATCCCATGAAGATAGCAACAACAGTGAGCCGCCAATAATGAACAAAGGACCTCCAACTGCTCCTTATGCTTTGCTATCTTCTGGACAGAGAGGAGGAGAAGGAGCTAAACAACCGACAGTTAGACCACCTATTGTGGAAAGGAAAGTGCAGGATAGTATTGGAAGTGACCAAGTTCCTATCTCGCGCCGATTTGGTAAAGATGTACCCGTTGTGGAGATCTTATGCTGGGATAACGTGAGCCGGGATCTTATCCTAAATATTGAGAAAACATTTGAGGCTGCACATATTTCTATCCATACATTATTTCTACAGCGTGGACATACTTCACGAGAGACTGCAACAAAACATATGATCCAAGAAGGTGTTAAGGCACTGATGATTATTGAACCTAGACACGTAGCCCAAGGAAAGGTATATTTGCAAGCATTTGAGCCAAATGGAGATGGAAGTGTACGATATGATGGTACGTGTAATACATATAAAAGCAAACTTCACTCTTTACTATGGAAATCTAATTAAAAAAATGAAACGCATGGAATTTCTGTAGAGTATGATAGTATCACTGTCAAAGAAGCTGTTGTAGTTGTACAGCAGACATTGAAAAAGTCAGCAGTGCAGGCATTATCGGTTCCATCTGCTCCTTTCCACTCACAGTTGAGTTATGAGGCTGCTGAACCTGCTTCTGCACCTCAAAAAACATATACCTCTCAGCAAAACTATGCCCCCCCTGCTATAGTTCAACCACCATCTTCTGAACCCCCTAAACAGCCAGCAAGCACAGTTACACCAGCTCTTGCTAACCTTGATGTTAACACCCTTGCAACTATCTATGATCTTTTGCACAATCTGGTTTTACCACAGCAGCAGACGCAACAACAGCCTCAACAACTGCAACAGCAACCCAACCAACAACACTCAATGCAACAACCACAACAGCCAATGCAACAACCACAACAACAAATGCATCCTCATCAACAGCAGCAGCAGCAGCGACCACAACAGCCACATCAACCACAACAGCCACATCAACCACATCAACCACAGAGACCACAACAACCACAACAACCACAACAACCACAACAACCACAGCAACCACAGCAACCACAGCAACCACAGCAACCACAGCAACCACAGCAACCACAGCAACCACAGCAACCACAGCGACCACAACATCAACCACAACATCAATTACATCAGCAGCAACAGCAGCAACAGCCATCACAGCAACTGCCACAGCAGCCACGGCAGCAACCTCCACAACCACCTCATCAACTCCAGTCTCAACCTTACCAAAAATATCATCAACAATCTCCCCAATCCCAAAAACGGTCTCCTCCAGCTCAATATCATTCTCAGCGGTACCAGCAACCATCCCAGCAGCAACCACCACAGCAGCACCCTCAAAAGTATTTACCGCAACAACCCCCAACCCAACCACAAAAGTATCAAACCTATCGAGACCCTCAGCCCTCTCACCCACCTCAATCTCAACAGCAACAACAACAACAAAAGCAACCATCTTATCAGCAGCAGCAACCATCTTATCAGCAGCAGCGCCCAGCGCAAATCCAACAAACTTACCAGCAACCTCAACAATCTTCTTATAAACCCCAGCAATCGGCAATACAGAGCCCACCTCCTACGCCTTCTGTGACCCCTGGTCCTGGGCCTATTTCAAAGGAATCCTTACAACAACTTTTGTCGAGTTGGAGCGCTGGGGGTGTTGGGGCACTTTTAGCCTCTACAAATGCTGTTAATCAACAGCAGCAACAGCAGCAACAGCAACAGCAGCAACATGTGGTACCAACATCAACACACTCTGGGGCCTTAAATCAAGCACCATCCTCTTATGGAAGTTCATCTGGGTACTCTTTAGCTCCTGGTGCTCCGATACCAACCGCACCTTCTACGACGGGCTATTATTCCAATGGCAGATATAATGGTTCTGGTAACCAACCATACTCACAAGAATCACATAATGCAAGGAATAACGGATATGGAAATAGTTCTATCTCAAAATAAATATGCACGTATGCATACAAATTTTGTTTTTTATATACACACTGTGTTACTATTTTATATGTGTATATAAATATAAACATTCGTATATACCAAATATGTTATTTTGATGTGGCTTTAATAGTAAACAGAAGTTATACATAGTTTTCATTAATAATAATAACAATAAAGTACAAAATACGAAACATCGTTTCAATTTATTTTTCTAAAAAATAATAATAACATTTGGTATATAACTATGCTGGCTAACAGATAATTTAACGCAATTGGGCAATATATAAAAGCACATTTCTTGTTTCCGAGTATTCTCAAAGCATGTTCTGCGCTCTTATTAAGTTGGAATCCATTTCTTGAGATTCAGTAATGTACCCGACAACATAATAATTGATTGCGTGTCACATTAATGACTTGACATGCCAATTCTCCATTAATGAATTTCCATCTTTCCTCCCTCATCATGGTAAAGCGCGCAGCCAAGAGAAAAAAGACTTCTCCTACGGATTCTACAACCACAAATAAAAATAGTGATAGTGATTTTGAAGACCAACCACCTACAAAACGAATCACTAGATCGCAGTTAAAGCAGGTTTCTTCCGATTCTTCTCCTCAACTCTCTAATCCAATCAAGAGCTCCAAAACAAAAGCTACTCCCAAAGGCGAAGATATAGATCAACCAAAGCCAGTGACTAAAAAGCAGAAAAATACTGCAATTATTGAACCAGAAGAACCCAAGGAGTCTTCTTTGTCTGCCAGTGAAACTTTCGAAGATTTACCTTCTCAGCTATCAGACAGAGAATGTGATGAAAGTGATAGTGATAGTGAAGGGGAGGGTATTGACTGGGAAAATGTAGAACTCCCGGACGGTTATTTGCAGGAAAGGCTTTCTCAAGGACGTGTCTACAATGATGTTGAAGTTGTATTTGAAGCTCCGCATCCTATGCATAGGTAAGCATACAAAAAAAAGACTTTGAAATTGGAAACAAATATAATGTAATATTTTTGTATTGTAGAAAGAATGCGTGGGAGCTAGCTTATGAGCGTATGTTACGGGAGTGGATTCACAATAGTCATGTTCTCACGTTGATTGCGCACTATACGATACGTAACAGATGGTGTGCGTCTCCAGAAGTACAGGTAAAATATGTAAATATAATATCAGAGTGTATATATTGATATATCTTTATTATACACATCAAAGTCTGTTTGTCTATCAATTGTACCAAACGATGTACAGAAGCAGTGCTATCAAATGACTAGTTCAAACAATGATTTTGAAAATGGTGTAAAGAGTTTATATCAATGGTGGAACAAGTACTTTAAGTTATCAGGCGATGGATTAGTTACTCGTTCTTACGAGGAGATTTCTTTTCTAGAAAATATTGATATTTTGAATCCTAAAAAAGTAGGTAAACAATCTATTGTTATGAAAAAAACAAATGACGTCTCATTGCTATGTGAAGGACGCAAAGTCTATAGAAGAGATTTTGAAAGGACGAGGCATTGACGATGGAGAAACAATCAAAAACTGCGAGGACTTTGTTAATCATCTTTTAACTAAGACGGGAACACGCGATACATCTGCCGAATTATTTGTGGCGGTATTGAGAGCGCTTGGGTATGATGCACGTCTTGTATGCTCTCTTCAACCAGTTCCATATCGCATGCCGGCAAGACGCCCAGATATAAAAAAGATGTCATCAACAGAAAAAGCAAATCAAAAAGAAGACGAATTGGAGGCTACAAAGGAGTCATCTCAAAATAATATAAAATTCCCATATCGGATGTCCCGCCCTAAAACAACTAGCAGCCAGTATCACAACAATAAGCTTCACAAGGCAAAACATCCGACAGTTTGGGCTGAAGTGTACAACCCTCATAGAGCTCAATGGGTTTCCATAGATCCTATTAGAGGATTCTATGACAACCCAAGAGCCATGGAACCGCTTTTAAATGACAAGAAGAACGTAATGTCGTATGTACTTGCATTTTATGCCGATGGAGACGGCTGTGTAGATGTCACGCGGCGTTACTCTTCAAGAATTACAAAGGCTTACAAGCTACGAGAACGCGAATTGACAAAACGTGAAAAGCAGGGTGGGTTTATACCATGGTCTTCTATTTTACTGCGCTGTATAAAGCGACATCGGTATGGCGAGCGTGAGATTCGCGAAGAGAAGGAGCTTGAGGAAATACAGGAAAAGGATCCTATGCCGACATCTATCCAAGGATTCCATAACCACCCACACTATGCACTTGAACGTCACTTGAAGAAAATGGAGATACTTTATCCGAAAGAGCCAGTTATTGGCTATATTAAGGGAGAGCCCATATATCCTCGGGATTGCGTAAAAGAGATTCATACACCCGAGACCTGGATGAAGCTCGGTCGAATCATCAAGAAAGGTGAACACCCTGTTAAACGCATCAATGCACGCGCAGCCACTATAGAAAAGAGACGTGCCATTGAGCACGCCAAACAGGATGGAAACGAGGTTCTAGCGGATTGTTATGGAGAATGGCAAACAATTCCCTATGTACCACAGCCTGTGATTGATGCAAGTGAAAAGTACATGTGCTGTCTTAAGATATGTGTGTGTAATTTCTATGCTTTTAAATATTTAGGGTCATGTACCAAGAAATAGCTATGGTAACATTGATCTGTTTACGCCGGAAATGCTACCAGAGGGAGCTTCTCATATTCCAAGCAAGTATTTAGATTCACGCTTCTAGTATTAATCTCTAACGTCAGCAATTGATATCGAACTTTTTTTTAGTACAGGGTATTGGGAAGATAGCCAAAAAACTTGGCATCGATTATGCCGATGCAGTTGTGAGAAGATTAATTATATTTTCCTTTCAACAGACATCGATTTTTGATACTAGTATTAAATATTATTATTCTTTATTCTTTATTATCTTAGATTGATTTTGAATTCGCTAAAGGACGTTCTATTCCTGTCATCAAAGGGATTGTTGTTCCAGAAGAGAGCGAAGAGTTCCTATTGGAGGTAAGGCCTTTCGGGATACTTTTGTTTATGGTTATGCATTAGTAAGCGCTGACTTTATTTTTTATTGTATTTTTAAGGCATGGCAAGAGCATCATTACAACGAGGCTACAAAGGAGCTCGAAAAGAGACGAAAGGAAGTATATGGAAATTGGCGCAAGCTAATCAAGAGCGTTCTTATCCAAGCAAGACTTGAAGAAGATTATGGGGAGAAACATTCACCTTGATCGTGCGTATTCTATATACATTCTTAATTTTGATACAAATATTACTACTTTTGCTTTCTTTTTATGATAAAGAAGTTTTTGAGAAGAAGAAGAAAGGAAAGAGAGATAAATATTTATTGATATTTATATTGTATACGCAATGAATGATAGAATGAGAGTGTCTTTAAGTTGAAAAATCAAATGATTATTTAAACCTTGTTCATCTGTGCATTGTAAAGAAGATCGATGAAGCCTGCGGCAACATCATCGATAATAGATTTATCGGGTATGCTGGCAGCAGTACCGTAAATAGCTGCGGTGCTACCATTTCCACTTGAGGGGTCAGCTGCGAGGGCAGCAACTACCTCTTTTAGATCTGATACAAACAGCTCAGCACTTTGAGCCCATGGTAAAGTAACCGAGATGTGAAGGGCAGCAGGGTTTTGGAGAGCATTCAGATGCCATCCACGCTCAGAAAGCTTGTCTCCTACATCATAAATGTTCATTGGCTCATTTGCACCAAAAGCGATAACGGGTCCAATTGGCTCTCCTTTGACATGGAGTTGTGAAATTGAACGAACACTAGATTTAGCAAGAAATAAATAAATTTGTATTTGGACATGTCAGGATTACAGTGAATATATTACCCTTTCTCGATGGTCTGACGAGCACCGACAATCTTCCTGCACGACTCTAGATAACCGTCTTTACCAACTCTCATCAAAGCAGCCCAGCAACCGGCAATCAAGGCACCAGGTCTAAACCATCCACAAAAGTTTAACATGTGTTTTAACAATAAGCGTATTAATATCATCAACGCACCTTGATCCGGCCACACCGGGAGATGCGTAAATACCACCAGTCCAATCGGCACACAAGAAGTATTGATATTTTCTGATGGTTTTGTTACGGTACATAATAATAGAGGAGCCCTTTGGTGCAAATCCGTACTATGATACACATGCAGACAGAAAGGAAATAATAAAAATAACATTAGTTTGGACCCTGAAAGGAAACAAGGTGAATAGTATCGTTCTATTTAAGCCATAAGCAGTACCTTGTGTGTATCACACGAGATAGAAGTTACACCCGGTACACGGAAATCAAAAGATGTTGTTGGGAATCCTGCCTTATCGAGGAAAGGCATAATGAAACTTCCAAGACAACAGTCGACATGTAGACCAATGCTGTGTCTCAAAGCCAGTTTTCCGAGAGCTTCTATATCATCAGCAATACCATGAGGGAAGTTTACGGCCGAACCAGCAAGCTATATTGACAGGGTAAATGTTAAAGTGGATACACATAAACGTGGGTAATTCTGTGCCTAACCATGATTGTGTTTCGGTTAATAGCATTAGCTACACGTTTAAGGTCGACTTTGCAAGTAACAGGGTCAATTGGAATAAGGACAAGTTTGATATTGAAATAGCCAGCAGCCTTCATAAATGCCGCATGAATAGTCTCGGGAACAATCCTAATCCACAAGAACAAGAATTGTCAGCCTATTGGTTTTCTTCTTCCCCATTTTCTTTTTACACCATCTACTTTGTCTTCCACTCTCTTTATATATGGGTGTGTATGTATGCATCAGCTCGTATTATGCCTTTTACTTACATTTCCGGGTAATTGATTCCTTTTGTATCCTTGTACATATCACGATATGCCTTGCATGCCATAATGATACTCTCTGAGCCTCCACTTGTCATGACTCCACAGCCAGTTTCAGGAGCATTGTACATATTTAACACCATAGAAACCGACTCAGCTTCCATACGTCTCACACCGGGGAACACTTCTGGGTGAAGAGGGTTGGCGACAGCAAACATGTGGTATGCTCGGGCTAAAAGATCTGTAAGTTGTTGGCCACCATGATAAATGGTACCCGACACCTTTCCATTCTCCCAATCCGCTGATTTCATCTTTTTAAATCTACCAAAAAAAAACAATATTAATATTATTATTATTATCATTATTTATGTGGAGAATTCATGCATGAAGCACAATGTATATCGTCCTCCCTAATGGTTGTACCCTAACTAAGGGTAAAAAGAGAAGAAGAAAAACTTACTGTTCTAGGTTTGCAAGAACATATTCTTCGGATAAACCATGTTCTGGGAGTACTAATGTTTCGGTGGTATTGCCTTCTCTCTTGACCATGGATTCTTCCATGCCCTGGAGGGTCTTGCCTAGTTCGGCCTCGATTTTTGCTTGGACGGATGGGAGACGACGAAGTTGCTTGAATACGAGCTGTGATATTTATATATGGTCAGTAGCTTATTACATTATAAAAAGAAAATAAATCACAAGCTTACTTTGATAAAATATGCCTTGAAATCCTTTATAGCTCTTATGGGGCCAAGAACCAAGACTTTTGTATAAAACTTGGACCAGTAGTGAATAAGAACTAGGACGAATATGGCATTCTTTATTGTCTTTAGTCTTGGCGCATCGAGTATTTCTGTGGTCTGTCTGAGAATGACACCCAGAAATGCTGAAGGATTTTGGATGCTTGGCATGATGGTAATGATCAGGATAAACAAGCGAGACTTATATCGTCACACTTTTTTATTATAAAGCAACAAGTGTTTTTTTGGTGAAGATATGAAATCCCGATAGTAGAATTCCACGGCCCTTATTTTATTAGGCGTTCACCCAGTTGGGGTCAACCGATTTTTTTTGTGGTCGACCGGTTTTCATTTCCATTTATAGACAGCATTTTCATTTTAAAATGGCAGCACAGTAATGAAGTACTCACCGAGTGATTTCTCGAACGACAAAAATTACTTAAGCGACAAAGTTGCTCGATAAACCAATCTGGAAAAAGTACAAATACCATATATGGTCATCCGAGATAATTTGACCCTTCTATCCACCAGGGACATTTTTCTGTGGATTTTAAAGAGTATAAATATATACTTCATTTAAGCTCAGACGGTTTCCAAATTAGTCGATCGGGTAATTTTTGCTGCTCGAACAATACTCTGTTAGCCACTTTAAAGTGAATAAAAATGAAGATGTTTTTTGGTCAATGACCTACCAAATCTATCACACATGTGCTTCTCTTAATGTGTGGCTTTTTGCATATCACAAATGAGATCATATTACCTTCCTGTAAGAAATGAGAAAGGAATGACACATGGTAGGTAGGCTATGTTGTGTAAATCTCCAACTCGATAACAAGAAAATGGATAAGGGGTGAAAAGTCAATCGGTCTAGATAGATCGAAGATACTAAACAAAGATGAAGCAAAGGCCAGAATTTTAAGCTGTAGTATTGGGTTATAGTTTTTTTTTTCAAAAAAAAAAGAATCGAAATTTTGATCTTTCAAACTGATGGTAAAAAATAAAAGAGTTAAAGCGATTCTGATTGGCTAGTCTTCCAATATTGCCAATCTTATCGAGAAGAAGTATGCTCGATAGAAAAGATGGTATTATGAGCACTTGATTTGTTTTATGCATTTGGACCAAATTTGTTTTTTTTTTTAGAAAAAACGGTGCGAACAGATAACAATAAATCCGGTCGGTTAAGCTCATATTGACCTTTGTTTCATCTTTGGTTAATTTTTCGATCTGTCCACACCAAGTGTAGTCAAATTTCTTACCCGAGAAATTGTTGACATGTATTCCCTTGGTAGAAACGGAATTATAATCAGCTTGCATTGATCCCGCGCCGAAACCCTTCCTCTCGGTTGCTCAACAAATAAGCACTCGCTCTGTATGGACATCCTTCGTCTAGCAACACCAGCCAAAGACATCATTGATCGTTACATCCAAGACATCTGTTTTGCCTTCCAAGTCTCCGGTATCGTTTTTCATGGTATATGGGTAACATCGAATTTTGTATATAATGGTGAAAGTAATAATGCTTGTCTTCCGTAATTCCTTGGATAACTTTATGTATCGACAACCAAGAAGAATCCATACACATAGGAGCGGGTTCTTCTCTTCGTTTTGAGACAACAGTACGATTCGGTCCAAACCGTCCATACTCCACCTTCCTCGTCTCGCATGGTCATCTATACTCTATAGCAGATAATTGACAAGTCCCACAACAAGAATTCTAGCACAATATCACATTATTAACATGATTATTAGCCCCTTCTCATCCATTATATTCTTAATTTTGGGAAATAAGATCACTAACCCATTCATTACAATGACAGTTACTGACATTTTCTCTTCCATACAAAGTCTGTATTATGATAAATGGCTTTCGCTAGATGCTTATCTGCAAAATGTGTTCATGTAACGGCTGTCTGCTATACATTTTGTGTGGTAGGATGGTATATGATGCGCACACAATGTGAAAAGATAAGCAAAGCGAAGAACATGCTTTATATGTTTCCATATACATTGCTTGCTATTCTCCCACGGATTTCTTTTTTCGGTCACCAATTGATTATCTTTATTTTCATATTTGATCAGCTATATTATTTTATTGTGTGGCTTCTCGCAAATTACACCCTTCCGTCACGGGATATCTTGTGGCCCAATATTCCTACAAGCAGTGTTGAAATACGTATGGTTTTCCCGGAGCAGTATAGAGAGAATTGCTGCAATAAACAGAACAAACTGAACACTTATTTAATCATAAACATGGGCAATAAAGAAGTAGATAATATCAAGTAATGCTGCAAATACACCCACGCTGGTTTCTTGCGTTATATACACAGCAATATTGTGATGCTTTCATTTTATAGTTTTTTTTTGTTGATTTGATTTTATTGTATTATAGTATATGTATATATGTGTATATACACATATATGAGTTAAATTTTACCTTTTTCCCTCTTTGCTTTATACTTCGGTTTAATTTTAAAGACTTGGCAAGTCTCGATGGAATCCAACTTCTCATCCGAGCTTTTCTTCAATGAAGCTGACTTTCGAGTACTGATACCAAACCTACACAGTCCTGGTCCTTCACCTTCTTTTGAAACTATCGCAAAAGCCAAACAACGCGCATTTGCATTCTATGGTATTCACGTTGTGCCAACCACCATGTCCAACTCTCTAAACACACATCTACCCTCAAGATGAGCCCTTGACTGTGTACCTACTCGCCAGAATTCCCCATCAAGTTACAGGCACAGGAGATGAGGTGACTGAAGCAGTTCGTAGCTTTTATAGTCAGTTGGATGTCCACGTTGAAGCATCTATTGTTGACAGTCATTCAGCCAATGCAAGTCAACGGAATACCCAATCCAAGTATGCCTCTAGCTTACCGTCAACTCCATCTTCTGTACCAACTTCTCCGAGAATGACTGTGACACACAAGCATGAAGGCCCCAGGAATGCAGCTTCTCCCCATCTCCCAAATGAGCCTTTACCCTTCTTTACCCACACTTACAATAGTCAAAGTAAGGATTTGGAAATGACTATGGCTGAATATGAACAGGGGCATTGTTGTATATATCCTTTAAGCATTCCGATCGGTAAGTTGACACAACAGTAACTACACATCCAAACCTAGAATCGATATATATATGTATATATATGTGTGTGTGTGCGTATATACAAGCACATGCAGGAAAAATAAAAGGAAAGATTGATTATGATTCCACATAGTATATGTCAAGAACAGAGGTGTAAGTCCTCAGCTGCTAATCAACTTTAACGTCACATATCGCCCAATGGCTATTACAAGACAATCGGCAAGTGATGGAGCTGAAGATGTCTCTGAGTATGACATTGATATGTTTGAGACAGTTGATCTCCTCAGTGGACTATCAGATGGTAAATAAAAACTACTATGTAGATAATTTTTTTAGCCAATATACATGTAGAGTTTCTTATTGTGAATGTGTGTGTGTGTATGTGTTGTGTGTATTTATATATTTATATGGGTTGTGTCGTAGGTCCTACATTCTCTTCAAGTGGAGAAAAGCCTTTGCAAAGATTTGTGATGGAAACATCACAAAGCCGTCAAACAAACGGAAGCTTCTTACCAACAAGTCATTCAAATGCACATCTGTTGACTTTGAGACGGCACGTACGGGAAACAATACCAGTACGTTCTGGACTGATGGTTAAGATGAAGACTACGAATGCATCCGTGACAGACAAGACTGTAATGATGTCCGTTGAACTGGAGAATCCATCGGATACTGGATCTGTATTTATGGTGGATAAGATTGAAGTTCAGGTCTCTCACTCTGTAGTGTCAATGGCATTCGCCGAAGAGGTACAAAGAAAAACAAACAAGAAAATTGGCTATGCTTGGATGGTTGGCTTGGGATATACAATAAAACATTGTCTTTGTGTGGTAGAATGCTTACATACTGCGTGTTCTATAGATTACTTTCCCTGTAACGCTCAATACACTAGATCAGATGGTGTTTTTGTACAATGTCACTCTTCTGGAAGATGGATCGGTTAAGCCTCCTGTCCAACCGACTCGCATGTTTCCTTCGCGTCGTATCAACACCATGCCTGTCATACCTCCTCCCTCTCACTACCAAGACGAGCGACTACAGCCTCAGCGGGTATCCATCCAGGTGTATGGAGCACCTGTTATTGATGGAGTTGTGGCAGCATCAATGCAATCCAAATGGAATACAATGCTGGATGTGACTGGGATGCGTCAGAAGCGGGAGGATCCCAATCCGCCCGATCCACGTTTCTCGTCGCTTCTTGCGTCAAATCATCCTGTACGTACCCAGAGCTCATTACCTAGTAGTGTTTCTGTGTCTCCTGGAGCTCGATCAGTTGGCAGTCCATTGCACCAGACGGTTGTTGACAACAAGAAGCGTATTGTGCTAAACTCTGGGTCAGTCAGTCAGTTTGTTACACCCGGACGTGATCACCGCTCTAACAGCTCTGGACCACTTGGCAACGGTGGAGCCAGAAGAGCACCAGAAGTTGAGATTGCAGATGGAATTGTTGTATCATTCACTGTTCCTAGCTTTATTCAGGTCGGCAAAATTTTCCCTCTTCACATTTTTATTGTGAACCGCTCCAAACACACGCGTCGCTTTTCTGTGATGATACCCAGTCGTAAGAGACATTTACCCGAGGGATTCAGTAATGCAACAAAGACAGCACTCCCACTTCTTCCGGCCGAACAGAGGCCAATTGAGCCATTTATAGAAGAAGGAGGTAAATGGATAGATAGATATTGTGATATTATGATCGTCAACTTATTTATTTACACATTTGAAAACTTGCTTAGAATTCCTTCGACAATACTTTGAAAATGAAACTCATGAAGCAGATGTTATTTGTTTGGAAAACAATGTTCGATTAAGGTAACAAGATAAAGAAATAAAAAGTTTTTTTTTATGAATAACAAAAAAAATTGTGTTTATTGTGTTTGTGTAGTCCTCTTGGGCCTTCTACATCTCAGACAGTCGATGTTCGCTTCATAGCTGTAAAAGAAAAGCTACACACAATTGATTTGATTCAATTAGTCGACCAGGATACCGGATTTGTTACCAATCTCAGACACGTCTTGGAGTTATTCGTAGATCCTCAAGAATAGCAATAATAGTAACAATAAAAAAAATTATCTCGTCTTTGACACGGGTCCATGACCTTTCTTTTTCTTTCTTTCTTTTAAAAGAATAAAAAAGAAACTTTTACATTGTAAATGACAGTCACTTGAAATTAAATAATTTTTTTTGGAGGTTTTAATATAAAAAGGCTTGCTAATCTGGCTCAAATTTTTATTTTCTTTATCGGTTCTTCCACTCAAGGTAATTATCTTATTCTACTTATTCTTCTTATTATTACTAGTCAAATAGATACCTATACCTATATATAAATATATATATATATTTTATATGATGAATGCTTGTCGCCCCAGGCGTAACAATCATGTCGAGAATACATACAGCTACCCTTTACTCTGAAAATATTATATATATATATAACTATTTTGCATTTATTGAATAATATACGTTAAAATCATATACTTACATGCTTTTATCTATATATTAGATTTCGAAAATAAAGAGATTCGTAACACTATCCCTTTTGGCCTAAATCTTGAGTGGGATACCTGTATATATCATGTATATAATTTGTATATATGTATATTTATGAAAAACATTTTTTTGAAGAATAAAAAATATTTATAAAAAATATATAAGAAAAAGGTGAGAATCATTTTCCACTTTGTTATTAAAAAAATTACAAACTTGTGTGTTTTGTTGAAGAGGTTCTTTATGATGATCTTAATATTTCATGCTAACCCGGAGCTCAAATATGACCGACAAGTGATATTACTGATAAAGAACCTTCAAACGAAACATTCATTTTTTGGAATTTGAACTTTTTTATTTGTTTGTTTTTGTGATCAATCAATTGACTTTTTGTTAATTTTTTAGGTAAGAAATCAGAGCCTTTTACATATGTCTTCCATTGATTTAAATTAGTATCCCAAAAAAAATTAATAAAAAAAAATTTAAATTTTATTTCCGTGACTATTTTCTGTGACTTTGAGATTCATTTATTACCTATATTGTTTTCTTGTAAATAAGAATGTGAGCATTTAATTAAAGAAGACTGTATTTGGTTGTATAAGTGCGATAAGACTAGAAAGTCTAAATGGGAAACCCTTGTCTTTTAATTGTTTTTTGTTTCCAAGGGATAAAAACAAAAAAATTTAGCCGTTTTATATATAACAGACAATGTGAACTCAAATTGGACTGTATTCAACCCTATAGAAAAAAAAGAAAGAAAAAGAAAACTTAAATCTAAGATTAAAATAGGTTAATGTAAATATTTATCATACTTTGACAATAGCCAGTTTCTTTAATACGTTTAGCTTGACATGAATTTTACATACCCTTTGATTCTTGATGGTGGTTTCGCCACTCAGCTAGAAGAAAGCTTTCAAAAAGACTTGACAGGTAATTATAGTTTACTTTAATCAATAATAAGCCAAACATTTCCTTTTACTAGAATAATTTAAATAAATAAATAACAAAAAAAGCTGTTTGATGACTAGGTACATTGTGGTCTGCCAAATGCATTGAAGATGATCCCGATGCAATCAAAGTAATCACACAATATATTCAAACAATCATATAGTGTACTCAATTTCTATTGTGTGTATAAAATGAAACGAAATAAAAAGGCTGTTCATCTCTTGTATTATGAAGCAGGAGCCCATGTGGGTACTACGTGTAGCTACCAAGCATCAATCCAGGGATTCTTAAACGAAGGTTATTCAAAGGAGCACGCCATCGAACTTATGCGCAAAAGTATCCGACTGGCCCGTGAAGCCCGCGATCAATTTATAACTACTTATCCCGACACCCAACCACGATATGTTGCTTTGTCGATCGGGTGCTACGGTGCTGTACTTGCCAATGGGTCAGAATACACAGGGCAGTATGGTCCTATAACCAAAGAAGGACTTGTTGAATTCCACAACCGTCGTCTGGATGTATTCATGAAAGGTATTTCGCTTTCTTTGTGTCATATATTTACAGTTGCATTGAACTAAAACCAAGAGGATAAAAAAATACTATAAATTGTCTTGATGTATTTTAGAGCCTGGGATTGATATGATCCTATTCGAGACTATTCCATCAACTATCGAAGTCGAAGCTATTCGAACAATTGTCAAAAGCCGAACTGATCTCCCTCCTGTTGGTGTTAGTTTTGCCTGCAGGTCAGACGACCAGATCTCTGATGGCACTTTACTGACCACTTGTCTCGATCAACTCGATGGACTACCCAATGTGTTTGCACTCGGAATCAACTGCACCAAGCCTCGCTTCATCTCTTCTCTTTTGTCCATTGCCAATCAGCATACTTCCAAGACTGATAAGGCTATCTTGCTCTATCCTGATGCAGGCGCTGAATGGGATCCCATAGGTCGTTGCTGGCACAGCGACAAGGTAACTCCAGAAGCATTTGGAAAACAAATGGCAGAATTCACAAACCAATATGGTCCTAAAATGGTTGTGGGCGGTTGCTGTGGAACTAGTCCAGCACACATTCAATCTTACCTAAAAGCTCTCTCACAATAAATGCAGGCCTTGAAACCAAGTACATAAAATTGTATTCAATACTAGTACCATTAACAATTATTACAGAAGAAAAATACAAGACTTTTGGATTAAATATATATAGTCTTTCAAATCTAGTATTGCCGTGAATTATTTTATGCTTCAGTGTATATATATATATATTATTTCAAAAAAAAAACGATAAAGCAATGTAAACGCATTACACTGTTGAATCTCCGCAGTGTAGAACCAAAGCACCTGTTCCTATTTTGTGTTGTCCCAGAAACACACACAAAAACTCTCTCTCTCCACACACACATACACATACATACACATACAAATACACTACACAATTACACATCATGACCTTTAGAGACACATTGCTAGATCAACTTAGGAAGCGTGATAAGCGAGAAAGACAATGGAAGGAAATGATTAACGCTAGTAAGATCTCTTAACCTTCGGGACAGCCATTCATCTCTTCCTTGAGCTGATCATTCTTTCATCTTTCAGACCAGCGGTTGTTGCATCATGCGATTGAGCTCCAAAAGAGAAACGATCAACTAATCTTATATGAGTCCAATAATAATAGCACTCACACTCAAAAGTAAAGTTCAATTATATGCCCGTATTTCCTCTTTTTTTTTGCCATTATATGTATTAGTGGATGGAAACTCTCTTTATTTCTTTATATATTAAAGCTTGAATTATATATATATATATATATATAAATATTTATGCGTGTGCTGTTTATGGCTCGGCTTTCATCATTAGTGCGCCTGCAAACCAACAGCAGATTAATGATTTGGATCGTCGGATAAGAGAGTTGCATGAAGAGAGGGCCGAAATGTACAAGTCACAGAGTGAGAATGCCCAGAGACTAGTTCATATGAATGAACAGTTGCGAGCCAAAGAAGAAACAGAAAAGCAGCAGGCAGAAGAGTTGAGTGTTGAGACTAAAGTTTGTAAACAATTACTTACGAGTATCTTTAGAATAAAGAGTTTCTCTGAAAAAATCAATGCATTGTCAAAAGAGTGTGATTTACAAGCCCAACAGTTGCGCGAGAAGAATATTGTGATCCAAGTAGAGTATACAACCATAGCTACAGCTACACCCTCACACATCTTTGTATATATATAACAGAAAAATTTATGAATATATATATATATATGTCTTCTTCTCTCTATTTCTTTCTAGATATTACAAGATGAGCTGGCAACTCTCCATCTGGAAATTGTCACTACTGAAGACCGCAGTAAAAATCTCAGGAAGGAGAATGATCAGCTGTTGCAAAGATGGATGAATTTGAAGAACGAAGAAGCCGAAAAGATGAATGAAGCTACCCAGTTTTACGAAGAGTAAGGAATTAACTAACGGATCGGATTTCTATGTTTCCTAATGTGTCTGTGTGTATTTACTACTATTGTTTCTAACAATACGCTTTTTCTTTAAATAATAATAATAATAATAATAATCTACTAGACTTCGTATATTGGCACGTAATAATGGTCAGACACTACGTCAAGTTAATGGAAAATGGGTTATGGAGCCATCTCCATCTACTACTTCCAGTAAAAATAGAACACCTGCAGAAGACGATCTTAAAAGAAGCAGTCGAATACTAAGCAATATTTTATTGCCAAGTCGTGTAACAAAAAAGTTTGTAAGGAGAATGTATTATTGTCCATCTATACAATCAACTTATTGGATTTTATTGGGTACAAGACAATGCACGAAGGGGAAATCTATTGTGTTCAGGCATCTTCAACAGGATCAATGTTTGCAACTGGTGCAGCAGATAAGAAGATCAAGATCTACGATGCCAAGACAGGCAAGAAAGAAAGAAAGAAAAGGAATTAGAAAGTAAATGATAAATTTCATATAAGCTTAATTTATTGTATGTGTAAATAGGCCGTGTGAACCAGACACTTGGTGGTGCTTTACAGACAATTACTTCAGTAGATTTTAATTCAACCGATGAGCTGGTACTGGGTGCTTCAACTGATAACGCAACCCGTTTGTGGCAACTGAGTACAGGAAGGATAAAAGTAAGTTGTGCATCTTGTGAAACTTTGGAACTTGGCTGTTTATTTTATGTTATTTTTTTTTTCTACAGCACACCCTGACTGGGCATATTGGCAAAGTGTATTCTGCCAAATTCAATGCAGATTCTAATAGAGTGGTAAGTATAATAAATCTATACTTTGATGGTTTCTGATGGACATGAAATCATTAGGTGTCTGGAAGTCACGACAGGACCCTCAAAGTTTGGGACCTTCAAAAAGGAAACTGTGTGTAGAGCAAATCTTTCTGAAACCAAATACATTTCATCTAACGTATCGATATTACTGGTTTGCTTAATATAGGCATAAGAACAATTTTTACTTTTTCAAGCTGTAATGACCTCTGTCTTGGTGATGCCGATGGGTAAAGTATATAGCTCGATGATTTGTGGTTCAAGGGAAAAAGAGGCGGTTGTAATCCCTACTGACTCATGGTCATTTATAAAAAACATATATACCTACAGACTTACATTGATAAGCGGACACATGGATAATAATATTCGAGTGTGGGATACTCGTACTGGTAACGGTATTAAAGATATGACTGGGCTTCACACTAGCCAAATTACATCTGTATGCATGTCGCCAGGTAAGAAGACGAAAGTTATACTTCTTGATGCGCGTGTGTTTTACTTGGTAATTTAGTTATTAATTTCATTTGATTGTAACCTGCGTGTATATGTATAACATGAAAAACAAAACAAAAAACAAAAAACAGGTGGCTCAACTGTCCTAACAAACTCAAGAGATCATACACTCAAAATTATTGATTTGAGAATGTATGAAGTTGTACAATCATTTCAGTGAGTAACCTCTTTAATTTTTATTTATCTTTATTTTATACATGTAACTAATACACTGACTTGATAGGGCTGATACTTTCCGTAACGGAATCAATTGGTCGAGGGCTTGTTTTAGGTAACAAGCAGTAATATTATGACATAACAAATACATAAAAATATATATATATAATTCAATTTATATTTTATATATATATATATATATATATATAGCCCAGATGGACATTATGTCGCAGCTGGATCAGCGGGTAAGTTAATAGAGTTTTGGCTTGTACGCTCAAATATGCTCATTATTACTTCTTTATCCCATCGTAAGACGGAGTACTGCACATATGGAATTCTCGGTCTGGAAAGTTGGAAAAATCAATTGAAGGACACGGGTAAATATATCAAACAAAAACAAAGACAAAAAAAAATGATTAATTGTGATTTGATTGTGTCTTGATCGTCTAATATTTTAGTGCTGCTGTATGTGGACTATCATGGAATCCAAGTGGCAGCTTGTTATATTCTGCTGACAAGAGCAAGGTCGTGTGTATGTGGGATACTGCACATTCTGATTCCTAAGCTTAATATTATGCTTAAATATACCTCTAAAATGTTTCCGCGATATTTGGAGAGGAAGGAAGCCTTTTTTTTAAAAAAATAAAAATAAAAATATATAAAAGAATTCAATATATCATAAACACAGATTTTATTTTTGTTGTTTTACTGAAAAGAGACAGAATTTTGGCTGTTTTGGTTATTTGATTGAAAGAGTAAAAAATATGAAGCTTCACAAGCAAAAAGGTAAATGGAAGTAGAAGGGATGTTAAGATAGAGGTGAAAGTAGAGGCAGAGGGGGAAAAATCACAATATACGAAAAGGAATAGAGATAAAGAAAAAGGTAACAGTAAAAGGTAGAAAAAAAAAGAGAATAAAACCATAAAACATATATATATATATATTTAATATGGATTTACTTTCTGTGGGTCTTGTAGTAGTTGATGAGACCGTTGGTGGAGGGATCATGGGAAGTAACAGGGCCTTCGGTCTGGAGTTCAGGCAAGATAGCCTTGGCAAGCTGCTTACCGAGCTCAACACCCCACTGGTCAAAGGAGTTGATATCCCAGATAACACCCTGGACAAAGATCTTGTGCTCGTACATGGCCAAGAGAGAGCCGAGAGTAGAGGGAGTAAGCTTCTGGAACATGATGGAGTTGGTGGGACGGTTGCCCTTGAAGACCTTGTGGGGGACAATGTTCTCGACAACCTTGGCACCCATCTCGGCACGGACTTGCTGCTCGGACTTGCCGACCATCAGAGCCTCGGTCTGGGCAAAGAAGTTGGAGAGAAGAATCTCGTGGTGCTTTCCACCAGAGATGGGGTTGAATGTCTCGACAGGAGCAAGGAAATCACAAGGAATCAGCTTTGTACCCTGGTGAATGAGCTGGTAAAAAGCGTGCTGTCCGTTGGTACCAGGCTCACCCCAGATGATGGGACCTGTGGAGGTCTCGACAATATCGCCCTCGCGAGAAACGTACTTGCCGTTGGATTCCATATCACCCTGTTGTGGATATAAATACAGAATGGAGAATGTTTAGAAATGCAACAAGTATGTTTATAAGATTGATAATTACCTGCTGGAAATAAGCGGCAAAACGGTGCATGTATTGATCATAGGGAAGAATGGCCTGAGTTTGGGAACCAAAGAAGTTGTTGTACCAGATACCCAAGACAGCCATCAGGACAGGAATGTTTTCCTCGAGAGGGGTGTTGAGGAAGTGCTGGTCCATCTCATAGGCACCCAACAACAATTGCTCAAAGTTATCAAAGCCAATGTCGATTGCAATAGAGAGACCGATGGCAGACCAGAGAGAGTAACGACCACCGACCCAGTCCCAGAACTTGAACATGTTCTTGGCATCAATACCAAAGGCAGTGACGTCCTTGGTGTTTGTAGACAAGGCAACAAAGTGCTTTGCGACGTGGGCAATCTATACAGAAAATCAAAGAAATTATTCAATACATACATGCATATATATATATATTAGTTTGGAATGTCTGTTAATTCTGTACTTTGTGTTTTGCAGCCCCAACCCAACCCAAGCCAATTCAAATAATACGCGCACACAAAGCTTAGTTCCCTTTTGTTTCAGCACTATATTTAAATCCCCGAATTCACAAACTCACATGAACGCGTCCTCTATATCCCCTTTCTTTTTATGATTTTATATAATATATATTTGGGTGTATGCTCCCAACAATGCAGAAATAAATCAATTGAATACTTACATCACCGGCAGTCTGAAGGAACCATTCCTTGGCAGAAGTGGCGTTGGTAATGGTCTCCTGAGTAGTGAAAGTCTTGGAGGCAATGATGAACAGAGATGTTTCGGGATTAATGCTCTTGAGGACTTCAGCCAGGTGAGTGCCGTCAATGTTGGACACAAAGTGGGCCTTGAGTCCCTTCTTGGCGTAGGGCTTCAGGGCCTCGGTGACCATGACAGGGCCAAGATCAGAACCACCAATACCAATGTTGACAATGTCAGTAATAGCCTTGCCGGTATAACCCTTCCATTCACCCGAACGAATGGCCTCAGAGAACTCCTTGATGTGCTCAAGAACATCGCGAACTTCGGGCATGACATCCTGTCCTTCGTCAAGGATGGGCTTATCAGACATGTTACGGAGGGCAACGTGGAGTACGGCACGGTCTTCGGTGAAGTTGATGTGCTCACCAGCGAACATCTTGTTGCGCATCTCCTCAACCTTGGCTTCCTTGGCCAACTCAAGCAACAGCTCGAGGGTGTCCTTGTTGACGATGTTCTTGGAGAAATCAACGAGAATTTCAGTGGAAGTCTTGTCAGATCCGACAAATTTACGCGAGAACTCGTCAAAGCGGGCAGGGTCTTGGACAAAGAGATCCTTGATAACTAGGTTCTTTCCCTCGGAATCGTAATGCTGCTGGAGCTTCTGCCAGACGTTGAGCTTGTTTGCGAGGACCATTGCTTGAAATTAAGTTGGGAAGAAGCTGGCTTTTGGAAAGAAAATTTAAAATCAAAAGGATGAGCTGGGACCAAGTTTCGCAGGGTTTTTCCCTTTTTATTCCCAAAAGGAAAAAAATCCGGGTGTGACTCCCCTCTCGTTCTTCTTACCAAGTTATGGGCCACAAGAGCCATTTTGTCAAAATATCTGGACCATTTGCTATTATTGTTTTTCCCCGAATGGAAGGAAATCTACGCACTTTACACACATTTGAAATTTCACACAAACTTTTTCCTTTATATATAAAATATATATTTTTATTTTTATTTTTACATCCAAAGAAAATAGTATAGTATAAAATAAAATTCCGGTCAGTTATCATCTTTGATCGGCCCTAGACTCCGCCCAATGACTGAATAGAAACAGATGCTTAGTGAGCCTGTGTATAATGTGTACAGTACAGGCCAATGAATTTCACTCTGATTTAACTTTTTTTTTTTAAAAAAAATATATTATTTTGCGGCATTCAATTGTACCGAGTCATTACTACTACTTTACCTAACAATTACAAATATCATGGTAATCAAACTCAAAGAAAAAAAATGTTTATTACTAATTGATATGTAAGAAAAAAAGAATAAAAAAAAAACAAGCACTAATTTATGATTATTTTGTTAAAAAGAGCTTAACATATAATAGAATAGAATAGAAATGGTTATCATTACATAGAGAACAATAGTGACAATAAAAGGGGGTGGACAAGGAGAAATTTATGTAAAGGTACAAAAGAGTATTTTGTGCCTTTTGAGTTGGCAAGACGCGTTAAAAGAAAAGAAAAAAAAGACCCACATTGAATTTTCCTAATAATTACCATATTTGGATTCGGATATCCAATATTCTTCCTTTCCAATTCACGGAATTTATTCGCCAAAAGAAGATTACAAAAATGAAATAAAATAAAATAAAAAAAAAAGTGCTTCACATCAGACCAAAAAAAGCAAGATTTACTTACAAGCGTAGCAAATGATATGATATGATATTATCATTATTACTGTGAAGAGTAGGAGGAGGCTTAATATAAAAACGTTGATTTATTAAGCTGAACAAGAATCTTATATGTAATCTTATATATTTGAAATATTAAAACTGTAATGAATATGTCATCATATACTACAGCAATGTAAGAAGAATATATATACGCAAAGCCGATTACCATTATTCATCTTTATCTATTATTTGGCAACTCTTTAAACTTCTTTATATTTTACACACTTGTTCTTTCCTTTTTTTCTCTCTCTCTTTCTTTACAGCTTCCTCATATAATTAACTTGATAGACTTGAAGCTTGATATTTATACTCGTTTTATACAAATAGTATAACTTGCAAAAATATCGTTTATTAGATAGATTTGATACCAGTTTGAGTCACAAAAATAATACATGTTTCTACCATATGTCTTTTCCAAGATGGCCAACACAGTCTTTTTGTTTATTTATTTCTTTAAAGAAATAAAAGCAATCATCAAAGAATCAGATATAATTCTAAAGTGAAACTAATAAGCTGTACCGCTCATTGGGTTTTTGACGTCAGCAATCAAGCAATGCTGCCAATCAATGACAAGCACCTAAGCGATTTTTTCAATCGCCGGTTCGAGAGAAGAGGGGGTCGTCCTTACTTTTCTTGTTGCAAGAAGACTTTAACACACTCGAGACGCTCGATTGGAATCTAATCTTCCTGTCAGCTTCATCTTCAATATAATCCTCTTTTGTCTCGTTTGTCTATATCCTCTCTAAATTTGACACGCATCTATTCTTCACCTTCTCTTTTATACATATACACAAACTCTCTCTCTATCTCTTTAATTTCTCTTTATTTTATTTTGGCCTTATTCCAAACACGCACCTACACCACAATAAGAACAACAACAGTAATAATACTAAAAAAATCATGGCTACCGACCTGTGCTATACACTCGTTCATCCTGATGACGCGACTGATCAACCTACTCTTCAAGACTTCCAACATGCCTTTGAAAAGGGTTCCGATGAAGCTCGTATTGAGACAATGAAGAAGTTGTTGGTCATCATGGTCAATGGTGATCCCATGGAGAAACTCCTCTTACACGTCATTCGTTTTGTATTGCCATCCAAAAACAAGCAACTCAAAAAGCTCTTGCATTTCTACTGGGAAATCTGTCCCAAGAGAAAGCCAGATGGCAAGCTGAAGGAAGAGTTCATCTTGGTGTGGTATGTGATGGACGGCAGAATAAAATGACAAAACAAAAAAAAGCAATCAAATGAGCCTTGTCCAAACTGAATCTTCTGGTACTATCTATAGCAATGCTCTTCGCAATGATTTGCAACATCCCAACGAGTACATTAGAGGCGCAACTCTTCGATTCTTGTGCAAGATTAAAGAAGCTGACGTGTTGGAGCCCTTGGTGCCTTCTGTTAGAGCATGTCTGGTAAACTATTGATTGATTTATATATTGTATAAAGGGGAAATCAATAGAAATAGAAAGAAAAAGGGAAAGAATGATATATGCATATATGTGTATATGTATGGATATTTTTTTAAAATAATAATAATAATAGAGAGAGAAAGAGATGAAAATTCTATCAATGTGTGTATGTGTTTTATGTCTTCTTACTTTTATAGCACTGCTTGTAATATTTTAGGAACATCGCCACTCATATGTGCGCAAAAATGCCGTGTTTGTTATCGGTTCTATCTATAAACACTTTGAGATGCTCTTCCCAGATGCACCAGAGGTCATTCAGAACTTCTTGATCTCGGTAAGATACACAAATGATAATTATAGCGATTGTATATATATATAACAGCAAAAGAAAGAAGCGAGGGTAATAACATCTTTGACAGGAAGCAGATATGACCTGTAGAAGAAACGCCTTTGTTGTTCTGTGCAATATCGATCAGCCTTTGGCCGTAGATTACTTGACCCAAGTTTTCAGCTTGGTTTCTACCTATGATGAGCTACTCCAACTGGCTGTTATCGAGTTGATCCGTAAAGATAGCAAAACTAATGCAGCGAACAAGGTGAGAGTGATTATTGATAGTAAATGATTGGTTCTAATGATATTACTATTATTATTATTTTAAAATAAAAGGGTGCTTATATTAGATGCGTATCAGAACTTTTGTCAGCCACATCCCACTCTGTTAAATACGAAGCCGCAAATATTCTTATATTTTTGACATCTAACCCTGCTGCCATTAAAGGTAAGATATTGCACACTGACACACACACACACATATATATATATATATATGGAGAGCCAAGAAAATTAATATATATATATTTTGGAAAATTTACTACGTAGCTGCTGCTTCTTGTTACATTGACCTTGTTGTCAAGGAGTCTGATAACAACGTCAAGCTGATTGTGTTGGATAGATTAGAAGATATTCGCTCAAAGAATGAGCGTATTTTGGATGATTTGGTTATGGATGTCCTGCGTGTTCTGTCAAGCCCTGACATTGATGTCAGACGCAAGGCATTGCGTATTGCCATGGATATGGTCTCTTCTAGAAATGTACAGGAAGTCATACTCTTCTTAAAAAAGGAGCTCACAAAGACCCACGATCAAGAGTATGAAAAGGTACAGGACGATTTGCTTATAAATACCTGGATTCGTTTACTGAATTCATACATATGCAGAACACCGAATACCGTCAACTATTGATCCAATCTATTCACACATGTGCCATCCGCTTCTCTGAAGTGGCTGCCAACGTAGTCCACGTACTGATGGAGTTCCTCGGCGACTCAAACAATCCTTCTGCTGTTGATGTCGTTTCATTTGTTCGTGAAGTAGTTGAGAAGTTCCCCGAGTTGCGTGCATCTATTCTCGAAAGACTTCTCGAGACATTTACGGACATGAAGTCTGGAAAGGTGTTCCGTGGTGCTCTTTGGATTATCGGTGAATACTCCAACTCTGCAAAGGAGATTGATGAGGCATGGAAGCAGATCCGTTGTGCTCTTGGTGAGATTCCCTTGTTGGCCTCTGAGCAAAAATTGCTGGATGCTGCCGAGGCAGATGATGAGGAGTCCACCACAGATGAAGCCAAATCTGCCGTTCCTTCCGGAACTGCTGCTCCTAGACGCGTTCTTGCGGACGGAACCTATGCCACCGAGAGTGCCTATACTTCTACCTCCAGCAATGCTGCTAGATTAGAAGCAGTTAAGCAGGCTTCCAAGCCTCCTCTGAGAGGTAAATAAGCTCATTAAATATACCAACAACAGCAACAACAATGAGGTGAAAATGTATATGAAAGCAAGTAAATCTAACAGTACATCTATTTATTAGCTCTTATTCTCAATGGTGATTACTTCTTGGGTACCGTATTGGCCACTACATTGACCAAACTGGCACTTCGCTACGGAAAGGTTGTCTCTGACTCCTCTCTTGCCAATGCCCGCAAAGCAGAAGTAAGTCCATAGACACAAACGCACACACAATACATGCATGTTTTTTTTTGGGGGGACTTATGTTTATTTATTTATTCATTGTTATATTAATATAAATATCAAAGGCCATGTTGATTATGACTAGTATTATTCGTATTGGTCAGTCGCAATTTGTTGCTTTCCAGATTGATGAGGATTCGTACGATCGTATCATGCAGGACTTGCGCGTCGTCGGAAGTTATTCCCAAGACAAGGTTGTAGACCATGTTTACCTTGAGGAAACGCATGCTGTTTATGCCAAGCAGATCCAGGCAGAAGAGGTAATATATATATATGTGTGTGTGTGTGTGTGTATGGGTGTATGGGTGTATGGGTGTATTAACCTATTATATGTATATATAGAAACGTTTATTAGATTCAAAGGCAAAAGACAAAACTAGTGTCAAAGTTCAGGTTGATGATGCTATTGTCTTTAGACAATTCTCAAAGAAGTCTGGTGATGATACCGTTGACGAGTATGAGCAAGACCTGTCTCGCGCTACTGGGTCTCTTGATTCCAAGGACGATCTTATGTCCAAGTTGAACCGTATTGTGCAGCTCACTGGTTTCTCCGATCCTGTGTACGCCGAAGCAGTAGTTAATGTTCACCAATATGACATTCTTATGGGTAATATAAATAGTATATTGAAGGAGAAGAAGAAAAAGAAGACTATTAACAATTTTTATATATGTTGTATTGTTGTATCTAAAAACAGATGTCTTGATTGTCAATCAAACTTCGGAAACTCTCCAGAACTTAACTGTAGAATTTGCCACCCTTGGTGATCTTAAGCTTGTAGACCGCCCTGTTACCCACAATTTGGCACCCCACTCCTTCCTTTCAATCAAGGCACCTATCAAGGTCTCTTCGACTGAGACTGGTGTTATCTTTGGCAACATTGTCTATGATTCCCATGGTACATCAGAGGGTAACTGTGTTGTGCTCAATGATATCCATATTGATATCATGGACTACATTAAACCCGCCACCTGCACCGAGACTCAGGTAAGAAAAAAAATTCTTAAGAGGTGGGGGGTGTATTTTTTTTTTTAAAAAAAAAAAGAGAGAGAAAGGAAGGAACCAAAAAGCTAATATTTCTTCTTCTTCTTTTTAACAGTTCCGTAGTATGTGGACAGAATTTGAATGGGAAAACAAGGTCAATGTCAACACAAATATTTCGTGAGTATCACAATTTTTTTTTAAAAAAAATATGCATGAAAACTAAGTTCTTTGCAATTGTGATAGTGACTTGAGAACCTACCTTGACCATATCATGGCCTCTACCAACATGAGTTGCCTGACACCCGAAAAGCAACTCGAGGGTGACTGTGGCTTCCTGTCAGCCAATATGTATGCCAAGAGCGTGTTCGGTAAGTCAATTGATCAGATACCACATCATAATGTATATCTCTGTCTTAATCAAACCTTTTGGCGCCCTCTTTTTTTTAGGCGAGGATGCATTGGCAAATCTGAGCATTGAGAAAGCAGGCGAAGGTCCTATTACTGGACACATCCGTATTCGTAGCAAGACCCAAGGCATTGCATTGAGTTTGGGTAAGTGTTTGATACATAAAAAAAAATCCCGACACAACCAATTGACTGATTAACTAACTTTCAAATAAAAAACAATAATCTTTACTGCTTGTTTATAGGTGACAAAATTACTTTGGCACAAAAGGTTGCTTTGTGAACACAATAAAAACATAAGACGAAAAGAAAAAAAAAGAAGGGATATTATACACGTCCTTTGTACCAAACACAATTTACTCTCTTTTAGTTGACAGTTAACACAAAAAGTCTTCCTTGCTTTTATTTTATTTTTTATACTTTATATATTCAATACATTAAATACTCAATGTCTTGTGTGCGAGGTGGGAATTTTTTCTTTCTTTTTTTTTATTACTCTGCTTTATTTGGTCAAGGCAGACTGGAGGGCCTCGTAGAACTCGACCTCAATCTTAGCCTCGGCCTTCTCGACCTCGGAACCGTTACCAGCAAGGGCACGCTGGGCCTCAGCAAGACCAGCCTGGACATTCTGATTACAAGCAATAATGATAATGATAATTATAATAGTGTTTGTTTGTTTGTTTTTTTAAAAAAAAGAAAAAGAAGTCGATTATTATACATTATACATTATCAGGATTCTGTTTTTTTTTCTCTTCGAAATATGTTTCTTACCTCGAGAGAGAAATCCTCAAGGGGAGCGGCCTCGACGGCGTTGATGTTGAGGGAGGAGTCAGGGTTGATGGTAGCGAAACCACCGGAGACTATAGAAAATAAAGGTTCAATTGATATATCCAGACACTCGTACGAATCTAACTCTCTACGCGTCTTATATTTGTATTCGATAGTTCTACAAATTCATCAAGCCCCTTACCAAAGAACTTCTTGGTCACTTCGGCAGACTCGACAACCTCGACAACACCGGGGTTGAGCTGCTCAATGGTGGGGACGTGGTTGGCAAGGATACCCATGTCACCGGAAGTGGCAGCCAAGTTGACCTGCTGGACATCGGTGGCCTTGTAGATGGCCTGTAGTAAATAATATGCAGAGTAGTATTAGAAAAGTGAATGAGTTTTTTGAGTGGGATGAGGACGAAGGTCGATGTTCTTTTTTCTTTTCTTTTTTTTTCGTTAATTACCTTGTGGGGCAAGACAAAGGTCAAACGAAGCTTGTCAGTGACAGAGGCCTCGGAAGCGTAGAAGCGAGCTTAAAAAAAAACAACAATACACAATAGAAAAGTTTAACGTCTGCAATCTAATGTGTCTTGTACAATTTGATGTCAATTACCAAGACGAGCAGGCTTGGCAGCGGCAACGGCAACACGAGCAGACCGGGCAAAAACGTTCATTATGAAAAAGGACGGTTTAGGTGAGAGGAACTAAAAAAAAACTGGGCAACCTTGTAGCTAGACGACTGGATAATTTTTTTTTTGGCCTGAATTTTTTTTTTTTTTCAATAGCGCTAGGGGGGGGGGGGGGGGGGGGTGGAAGTTGATTTTTTTTATATATATATTTTATTCTTAGAATTCTTTATCCTCATTTCTTATATGATAATTATTAAGCTTTGTTATAGCTTTTATAACCTCTTTTGAAAAACAACTTCTTTATTAAGCTTATATTTTTGTAGCTGAAACTACTTTATAGCTATAGGTAGTTTTTATATGATGTACGTATCGCCAATTTAAATAATAATAAAATACACTATACAATTAATATTGAACCATAAAAAATAAAAATAAAAATTAAAGGGGAGGGGTCCAAGGCTTGCTGTGTTATTCTTATTTCGATGACGTCGGCTATTATTGGGCCAGCCACACTTTCAACCTCACATAAATTAATTATGCTGACGGAGAATTAAAGTAATGTATATGAATTTATTTATACGCGGCTATTAAGTGAGTACGAGTGTGTGCACCAAGTGATTTATTGTATCCTATTGTGTGGATATTCAAAATGATTTATTGTCCATTGTATGTAATTTGCTTTTATTCAGATTCACACAAACATAATTGTACAATTTATAGTATGTATATATATATATATATAAGCAGCTACATCAGAAAATCATTAGGTGTGTGTCTGTATATGTGTAATTGTCTTGATTGACTTGAATAAATCAAGGTACATCAACTTGACGCGTCGTAGCAATTGTAACTTTTTTTTGGTTTTTTTTTACTTAGTTCCCTTGCAACCAGCTACCCCTACCTTTTTGTTACCATGGAGATTTAATGTCCGTTCCCAGCCATGAGAGAATTTATTTTATTTTCTAAAAAAAAAATCTTTACTCTCCAAAATAAACTCCCCCCACCCCTTTCCCTATACTTTCGTGGTATAGACACAATGTACATTTCTCGTGCACTTGGCCATGTCGCCTCTAGCGCATTCCGCGCTCAGTCTGTCAACGTTGCCCGTGCTGCTGTTCAGCCTCTTGGTGCCCAGGCCTCTTTGAAGGGTAATATTATAATGCCAATAATAAACAATAAATAAGTACAATTATACGAGTACCTATTTCTTCTTCTTTAATAGTAATAGCAGTAATGTTAATGTTAATATTAATGTTAGTGTTAATTTTATTAAATATGTTTTCAACATTGACAGCCTTCATTGTTATAACTTTATGCTTTTATGTTTTTATTTATTTATTTATTTAATTATTAAAAACACAATATATTTTGGTTGTACTTATTTATTTTGAATAATTTCTTTTTGTAGTCCGTGGCTATGCTTCCGAAGCTGCTGCTCCCGGTCAGATTCGGTACGTAACAATATATTCAGTTCAGTTCAATTATACACCTATCTTACACAAAATTCAGTTCCGTTATTGGTGCTGTTGTCGATGTTCAGTTTGAGCAGGATAACCTCCCCGCTATTTTGAACGCTCTTGAGGTTCAGGACCACACCGGTGGTCGTCTCGTTCTCGAAGTCTCCCAGCACTTGGGTGAGAACACTGTCCGTACCATTGCTATGGACGGTACTGAAGGTAATATCACACACACACACACATATATATATATATATAAAGAGAAATTGAAGGAAAGGGAAACCGATACGTTAGAAAATGAACACACAATAATGTAGCTTTGTGCGTATTGGGAAATGATTTTGTTTTTTTTATTGGTGCATTTCGCGCCATGTTTTTAAAGTATCACCAATAATAATAATCATATAAAATTGACACACTTTTTTATTACTTCTTTTTTCTTAAAAAAAAAAGGTCTCGTCCGTGGCCAAAAGGTCATTGATACCGGTGCCCCCATTACCATTCCCGTCGGTAAGGAGGTCCTTGGTCGTATCATCAACGTTATTGGTGAGCCCATTGATGAGCGTGGTCCCATCAACGCCAAGTCTTCCCGTCCCATTCACGCTGAGGCTCCCGAATTCGTTGACCAATCCCCCACTCCCGAGATTCTCGAGACTGGTATCAAGGTCGTCGATCTCTTGGCTCCTTATGCCCGTGGTGGTAAGATTGGTCTTTTCGGAGGTGCTGGTGTCGGTAAGACTGTGTTGATTCAGGAATTGATCAACAACATCGCCAAGGCCCACGGTGGTTACTCCATCTTCTGCGGTGTCGGTGAGCGTACTCGTGAGGGTAACGATCTTTACCACGAGATGATGGAGACTGGTGTCATCAAGCTCGAGGGTGAGTCCAAGTGTGCTCTCGTCTTCGGTCAGATGAACGAGCCCCCAGGAGCCCGTGCTCGTGTTGCTCTTACTGGTTTGACCATTGCCGAGTACTTCCGTGACGACGAAGGTCAGGATGTGTTGCTCTTCATTGACAACATTTTCCGTTTCACTCAGGCCGGTTCTGAGGTGTCTGCCCTTTTGGGTCGTATTCCCTCTGCCGTCGGTTACCAGCCCACTCTTTCCACCGATATGGGTGGTATGCAGGAGCGTATTACTACCACCAAGAACGGTTCCATTACCTCTGTCCAGGCCGTCTATGTGCCCGCTGATGATTTGACCGATCCCGCCCCCGCCACCACTTTTGCTCACTTGGATGCCACCACTGTGTTGTCTCGTTCGATTGCTGAGTTGGGTATCTACCCCGCTGTCGATCCCCTTGACTCCAAGTCCCGTATCTTAGATCCCCGTATTGTCGGTGACGAGCACTACAAGGTCGCCACTCAGGTCCAGCAGATCCTCCAGAACTACAAGTCTCTCCAGGATATCATTGCCATTCTTGGTATGGATGAGTTGTCTGAGGAAGATAAGCTTGTTGTCGAGCGTGCCCGTAAGATCCAGCGTTTCTTGTCCCAGCCTTTCGCTGTCGCCCAGGTCTTTACTGGTTACGAGGGTCGTCTTGTCCCTCTCCAGGATACCATCCGCTCTTTCAAGGAAATCTTGGACGGCAAGCACGACGGTCTTCCCGAAACTGCCTTCTACATGCAGGGTGATATCAATGATGTCATCAAGCGTTCCGAAGAACTCGCCAAGGAGATGGGTGGCCAGTAAATCATGCGACATAATTCAGCACTGCCCACCGAGTTTCTCTCTTTCTCTGTGAGTGCATGTGTATGCACATTGTTCTTTCTTTTCTTTTACTATGAAACTGCATTTCTTGTAATAATTCCCCTCTAAAAAAACCCCCCCTCAAACTCATTTTGTGTTTTGTCTTGTACAAAAAAATAATAAAAATATAAACATCTGTTTTGTGATTAATGTAAAATAAATAATAATAATTATAATTATAACAACAAATGTAATATTTGTATTTCGAAGCACAGCTTAACGACCTTTGTTTTTATTCGATTTTTTTTTGTTGGTTTTTGTTTGGAAAGCGTTAAAGGGCAGCAGCAAGAGTAAGAGTAAGAGAGAGAGAGAAATGAAGAATAAAGAAAATCATAAACAGAAAGAATAAAAAAAAACAATGAAAGATCTGGCTATGTACGAATGGGAAAGATGCTCTTTCTTTCTCTCTTTCTCTATCTCTCTTTGTTTGGGAACCCTTTAAGAGCAAGCAGTCTGTAGTAGTTACAATGGCTCAAAGGAAGAAAGACAAAGAAAATACAAAGAAAAAAAAGAGAAGAAGAACAGGTCGTCTTTTTTTTTGTTTTTGTTTTTTGTTTTATGATCAGATAAATCAATAACGCAGTATGAGAGTAAGGGTTCCGTCTTCATTTTGGCTGACATCGACATCCATCGCCTGTTCTTCTTTGATGTCTTCGACTACAGAATCATCGACACATACTACCAACTCGTCTGATTGTTGTTGCTTTGAGACGTGGCGGACTATTCGGGTTACTTGCTGGTTGATGTTCATTTTGGCTGATATTTTGCCAATAAGCTCTTGAATGGTGAGATGTTCAAGATAAATAGCCCGGTGGACTTCGTTGGCATCAAATCGTGCAAAGAAACTAAGTTCTGTTAGCCAGCAGATAAATAAATCAGATTTTACATAAAATCATTAATAATTAATAACGAATCATGAGATATAAACCAAAGAAAGAATAAAAAAAAAAACAATTGGGATTCTTACTTGCAATGCGGCGTCTTCGCTGGACAACATAGGTTGGGTCAATGTCGGTAGCCTGTGGTTGACTGTGGAACCAAGCAGAATGGGAGTTTGTGGAACCATCAGGGGATCTGACATCTGGAACAAGGGTTTGGTGTGTAGGATAGTTGCTGGGATAGGCGCGTTTTAGACTATGAGGCGAGAGTTGAATATCTGTTGTCGTTGGAGGAGGGAGTGTGATGTGGTTAGAAATGCTTCTGACACTGCCGTTGCTTTTGGGACTGCCCAGACTGCCATTGGTTGAGCTGACACGTGTATGAGACAAATGGCTATCTGTGGAGCCAACTAAGGGTGTCTCAAGTACTTCACGAAAGATTGATTGAGGTTGAGTTTGAGAATAGGTTAACCAGAGTGGGTGAGGTTCGCCATTTTTGCCTAATATTTTTTTTGATATACATGAAAAGAGGGGGGGGGGGGGTATGTTAAAAACAGACGGAGAATTCATAGTTGTTCTTTGATATCATAATAACAAGCTTTTTTTTTTAAAAAAAAAACAAATAAATGATTGAATACAAGAACTTGCCTCGTGGTTTCTCTAATTGACGCTCGATGTGCTTTGCATCATCTTTATTCTTGCGTTCTGCGCCCTAAAATTAAATTACACAAATCTTTAGTCTTTGCTTTTTTTTGGACTAATATGTGTATATGTTGCTTGGATACTTGTGTACCTTGTCACGGAATAGCTTAATTCTACAGTAGGCCTTTTCAATGTGCTGTTCTCCAACGACTTGGGTACCCATCTGAAGACGGAGTGGGATACCTTTGACGCCTTTGATACGTGAAAAATCCGTAGAAAGACAGTTGAATCGAATGTTGATCACGGCCCCTTTTTTTGTGTTCCACTCAAAGGCTATTCTATCAAATGAGGAGTACTCTGCATTATGAACTCCCGAAGAACGGCTGGTGTCTAGATGATGTATATATAAATTTGCTTTTCTTCTTTAGAATAAAATAAAATCTTGCATGCATTATTAAGATTCTTATTACTATAACTACTATCACTAGTGATATTATTATTATTATTATTATAAATATAATTTTATTTTATGTGTTCGCGTGATACTTGCCAATGTCAATAGCTCTTGCAGACTGAGCATCTTTTTGTTGACTTAACCAGAACTTCCAGTAGCTCTGAGCCACTTTTCGATGTGACTCGTCGTTGAACATGATGATTATTGTGCTTTTTACAATCTGATCGGCATGACTTGTTTCTGTATCCTTGAGTGTGACTGAATAGTATTGGCCTTTTTGATTTTGATCGATCGATTAATACTAGAGATAAACAAGAATTGTGTGGTCAATTTTGATCTACCTTTGTTGAGGTAGGTCAATGGAGACTCTTCTAATTTTTGTGCTGCAGCTGTTGGTGCTTCAATTCATTAAAAATAAAAGTAAAAATCAAAAATAAAAAAGAAATGAATATTTTTTTCTTGTCACACACACACACAAAACGATGTACTTGTATATATATCTTACCGTCAAGTCCGATATAAAATCGAAGGCTATTATTGTTACATTGAAGGAATAAGGGGTTGATAGTAATAATAATAATAGATAGAGAGATAGAGAGATATTGAAAGAAAAAAAGAGAGAGAGGAGAAAATCAGTAAGGAATTAAAAATGTGTAGTCAACCTTGTTCGCATGGGCCAAAATATCCGAGCTCAAGCATGAACCGCATGGGTTACACACTAGTTGTGTCGGGACCCATGGCCGAATCATTAGGATTTATATATATATATATATATATCAATATGCTCATACACGCAGAGAGAGAGAAGTATTTATATATATATATACGTGTGTGTATTATAGATAAATAATAATAATAATAATAAAAGAGTATTTTACTTTGTAGAGCAATTGACAGGAGAGCGTACGACAGGAGAGTGTATCATTGATAGAGAAGACGAATGAGAGTGAGGCGAAAATTGATCCATTGAATGGTTTACAGGAGTTGGTGGACTACGGGCAGGACTAACAGAATTCGTTGGAGATGGTAGAAAATGTTGATGGTTGATGTAGTATGGCCTGTTGCTTTTAAATGTAGATATATAGTGTACGTATATTGTATAGGTTAACAATAAAAAGAAAGCAAGATAATAAGTATGGTTGTTATAGTTATTGTGGAGGTATATATGGTTGCTATGGTTATTGTTGCTATGGCTATGATAGTTGGCAACTAACCTATCTGTGTAAGATAGTGTTTGATGAAAAGGAAGAGGTTCAGGCAAAGTCTGTTGTTGAGGTTGATATGAATTGACTAACATGGCTGAAAAATGACTTGCTTATAAATTATTATCATTATTTCAGATGATTTTGTGGGAGATTTTTTATTTTATTTTATTTTATTCTGGTTGTTGTTTCAATATTCTACCTTTGAGCAGGTTTTTGTCAAGTTAAAGATGTGCAAAGAAACAAAGAAAGATAAATTGATGCTTTTTATCACTATTGACGAGTTAAATAAAGAATTTCATGGAATATGAAAAAGGTGGCAACAAAGAAAGTATAATTGTAATTTCCTTTTTCCAAAAAAAGAACCAAAAAAATAGCAGGGTATTGGGTAATTTAATCTTGATACTTTTATTTTAACAGTACCAACAACAACAACAACAACAACAAAACAACAAAAATTAAATATAATATATGCCTATAAAAGTCTTTCCTTTCAAAGCTAGAAGAATCTACAGCATTTCTAATAGAAAATTTTATACAACTACCCCTCTGTCCTTTTTTGTTCTGCAGTAACCACAATCTCCTTTAAAGGCGTGTCCTTGTACCCAAATTAGCACGACACTATAAAACAATTGTACTCTCAAATGCCAAAAATAATCACAAGGGTTAGAGCGTCTGAAGGAAATTTGATATTGCCTTTCTGTTTGTGCTCACCAAATTCGTCTTGACCAGAATATAGCTCAGATAAGGATATCCAAAATACAATTGACATCGTGGATCATGACAGGATAGCACGCTTCTTTTCTTTTGTCTCTCAAGTTACATCGTCTTGCCCCTAGTCGTACAAAGGTCCAACGTTGTTCAGATCGTGTCACCGAATGCATGTAAATTATAATACCAGGACAAAGAGGAGATTATGGTGTAGGTGTAGGTGTAGGTGGGGGTAGTGATGGTAGTAGTGGTGGTGGTGGGTGACATCAAGTACACAGGATCTAACCAATCTTTACAGGCGGTGTCTCATTTTTTTCTAAAAAGTCTCGAGAATCCCTGTGCACGGTGATTCAAAGGCTAGCCACAATATCCTTGTGTCTTTTTTTATGTATGTAGCTATGTATTTATTTATTTTAATGAATAAATATAAAATATACATACATACATACATACATACATACATATTCAGGTCCAAAGAGAGGGCTTTTGTTTCTTTGGATCTGAATAAGTAAAGCACACGTGCTATGGCCTTTAGGATATATGGACAGTTAGTGAAGTTGTGTGAGAATAAGTAAAAAGGATATAATATCTTGATTTATGAAAAGAAAAAAAAAACAACCGATGTCGAAACCATGGAGATGATAATTTCATCGATCATATATCACAAGAATAAACATGTATATTTATGGTTGTCCCAGCAGATCAGCCATATTTGTAAGACACTATCTTCAATATACATATATTATAAAGCTTTCTCTTATACACCTCTATCTCTGATGTTATCAAGTCTAATACTTCTTTATCAGATATTTTATTATTACTACACAAGCTGTTCCCGTTATATTCAACAATGAATAAAAAGAAGAAAAGGTAATTTTAATGATAAATAATAAGAATAAATAATAAGAATAATAATAATAAAGCGAGTGCTCTGTACTACTTTTTAGGGTTCATGTTATGGTTAAAAGTGAACAACGTAAAAGAATATTTTCACACATCACGCCACTTGGCCCATTGTCTACCACGCGCTTTGAGGTTTCCGATTAAGCAATTTCTCTGTATTTGCTGTACTCTCTTACATTCATTCATTGTCTCTCTTGGCCTGTCTATTTCTTTCTTTCTTTCTATTTATCTATCTATCCATGCCCTTTTGAATCGTCTTCAGTGTTTATAATAACCGATCTCATGATTTGTGTAACAGGCCAGTCAGGTATTGATAATACACCACACGTTAAGAAGTCGACTTTTCACTTTCTTAAAAGTATGGATAATACATGTGTAATCCAGAATTCCTTAAGCCTCATCTTAAATTGGTATAGAATACCTCTACTTTATATTTATTTATATATATATATATATATATGTGTGTGTGTGTGTATAATAAATACAATCCAATTCAAGCCTTTGTTTCGTTGGGAGTTAAGACATTATTCAAGGGGTGGGTAACGTCCATATGTACATAAAGTATATTGCTATGAAATTAAGATCATAAATTACTGGGGTCCTTTTTTTTTCTCTTTATCTCTTAATAAACAATTTTAACTCTAAAATATTATTACTATCAGTATTTAACATATATTTATATACGTACGTACAGACAGACAGACATACATACATAATTTTATTTATTTAATAAGGAGAATATATCATACACCTCTTTTAGTAACAGAATTACACCAAAGCAATGATCAATTACAATGCATTTAAGAACATCTTCTATTGATTATGGCAGATTACACCATTAAATATAATATACAGTACAGTATTACTTTCTTTCAAGATGCTTTTGCGATTTTTATTGAAGAATTCCAACCAATAATATTTGCTATTCCGTGTGATGTTAAACTATTTGCGTAGTCTAAAAACAGAATATTGCGCAATATATATATATATAAGGGGAATATTAAGGCGACTCTTTTATGTTGCTGTGGACTTTATTAGATTTAGTGTAGGTATGAAATTCAATGATAATTAGAATGTCTTTGTCCCCCCTTTTTTTCTTATATATATATTTATCGATTTATATATGTATTCCACTCCCGTGTAATAGGTGACAAGATAGACTAATTTTTTCTTAATAGTAATAATAACTCATCTGTTTTCTGGAAAGCATCAGCTAATATGTCTTTTCTTATTGCTCAACAAGCACATGTAAAAAAAACCAGTTGAATTGGGCAGCAGACCTAATAAAGATAGTTTGACTTGAAAGAGTCAGGATTTTTTGTCATCTGTAGCAATTAAGCTATACAAGCTATTAGATAATGGTCCAAAAAAAAAAGACTATATTATGTTTTATAAATCTGTTCTTTTAGCAAATGTTGAAAGGAATATAAGTATTAGCCAGGCCAAGCTCTTTAGTTATTATTTCGCTCTTTTTCTTTTGAAGGCTTGTTTAAATAAACAACAATGTACATATATATATATCACATCTTTTGTTTCGTATTAGAGTCTACAATTATTTATACAGAAATAGAATATGCTTTCTGGTTGATTTTAATCTTTAGTTTTTTGTAGAGTCCAGAGCTCAATTGTATTAAGAATAACTAAGCTTATATTTATCAAAAGCTATACCTGGCTTTAGAAAACATCAATGTCTCCTTTTAATTATGATTATATGTGTTTCAGCTTGAATTTTTGGATTTAGAATAATTTATAAGAATATTCAAAACAATAGAGACAATGAAGGCGGGCTGTAGTATTACCTTAAAAGACCGTGCCATGTTACATCTGGTGCTTGAGCGCGGTGATATAAGCGTGTGTTGAGGAATCCGTCCTTTTTTTTAAAGGCGTTATTGCTGGAAACACAAAGAATGGTGCTTAAATGTGACAAAGTCAAGGCGAGCACTATTCTATTAGGCTTGTGTTGAGCTTGTATGGGTTAATATATTAGAAAAGACAAATTTTGTTGAATAAAGTACGATGATTTGTTAAACTTTTGTTGCTTGAGTAAAAGGAATTGAGAATAAAGGAAGTTGAAAATTTGACGAAAGCCCGAAAGCAAAAAGCCAACGATATGGTTTGTTCGACAGAAAGAACTTTCGGGGGAGTTTTTTTTTTCTTTGTTGAGATCCCAAAAAAAAATCTGTGAAACTTGTCATGCTGATATTCTGTTCTTCGCTGGCTGGAGTTGTGTCTATACAAGCTTGGTCTGCTCACTGTAGATCTCTAATTCCTACAATGTACTTGATCTCTTCTCCCAGAATCAACAAAGGTTCAAGGGTCCTGAATACTTTTGTACTGTTCTGGCGAGAAATAAGAAATACACAGAGATTCTTTCCAAGCCAATGGTGGTATCTATTCTATGTGTGGATCATTGAATAGTACCTTGAATCGGATTTAATATATATATATATAGTATCTGTAAAAGCTTCTTTGTACACTGTTAATGAAGGTAGGTCTTGCATAGTAAGTCTAGTAGAGTAGCATGCTTGATATAAAATTATATGATATATTAGAGCAGTGATAGCTAATGGTGATGATAAATAAATATTGATTTTTATTATAGCAACCAATAAAATAGTATTTTGTGATATGTACCTACATAATAAATAAACTCTATATACAGATAAGCTTTGATTGATAGAATCTTGCTATAAAAGAATCCAATGTTTTTTTTTAACTTTACAAGAGGGATTGTATGATATATTATTTCATATAAATGTATATTTATAAAACATAAAGACGTATATCCCCAAGAGAGCGGGCAGACATGATCACTCATAAAATACAGGGCCATAGAGAGTAAATATTAGGAAGAGTATTTCAAGAATATTGAATGATATAAACATACATTATTTATTCTGTATTATCTAAACATTATGTAGATCATAATCCTCTGATAATTTTTGTCAAATTTGATACTCTACGTAAATATTAATAACAACATACATGAGCATATCTTCCTTCTTGTATTATGCCCATGTCTTTTAAAATACGTGCTTCACATGACTGTTTTGTATCTTCCTTTACGGTGCCCACCAGTTTTTACTTTTGATCTTAATAATCGCACAGCTTTTATTCTTGGTATACATTTTATCCGATGTGCAAAATAAAGACCATACGGCTTACATGCTTTCTGACTTTCACTCATATCAAATACTGCATTAAATGTGGCATCTTTGTTTTTGCGCGCTTTGTCTTGGGACTTTATAAGTTCATCCCTATTGTACCTATATATTATCAATTTACTATACAATTTCTTTTCTTGCTGGTTGGTATTTGATGGTGGTTATTCAGATTTTTTAAAACTAAATGATACGTCAATAATTGATATAATGCAATTGAATCCAGGTGTAGTTCAATTAATGGCAAAAAAAAAGATGCCAAAGGACATTGTGCGCAAGTAAATGTTGTATAGCGCACATATTTAAGAACGTTTGCGAAGGTACAGAAATATATTTGATACGCAATTATGGGACATTGTTTTTTTTGGAGGCAATAACATCTTCAAGATATTGCTGATCAAAGATCATACCGACTGTTCGGCTGTGGAAGTCTCAGGAGACTGATTTTTAATGTCTTTTAAGTATATGGGCGTACCATTGCTGAAAACCAAGTGTCTGGTGATAGACTTGAGTTTATTCAACCTCCTTTCGGAGCATCCTCATCCAAAGTCTCCTCCACTTCCAGAAAATTCTGCTGTTCTTCTGCACTGTTCAGATCCTGAACAACGAACTTGTGTTCTGTGGAAGCTTTCTGACTAACATTCAGCGTTTGTCTCATTTTCTATAGTAAAACGAATCATTAGTTTTTTTTTAAGCCAATAAATGATCTTTCAACTTTGCCTTTAAAAGTATGTTTTAAATTAGCTAGACGCTGCTTCGCTCTGTTTATTTCAGCTGTCCACTTTTCTCCTTCTGATCCGTCTGCTTTTTTCTTTTTTGTATCGACCTTCTTAGCCCTTTATTCTCTGCACGACAAACATAACGCGCAAGATTTTTCATTACTTTCTTGCCAGGTGGTTTCTGTGTTTCTGTGGTAGACATACGTTTTGACTTTCTATTGCGGGTAAGATGTTGGAGAAGTAGTACTGATACCACTTTGTCCAAAAGTTTTTTGACTATCTTTTTACCGTGCTACATACTCTCAAAATTGACCATTTACTTTGTTTTTACATTTTTTCGTTTTTTTTTAATTTAATCTTCAGCTTTAGTTTTCTTGACAATTCCTTCTACACGGTCTCTCATTGAAGTAAAGAAGTATTCCTCCAAGTCTTTCACTAGTCCTTGTACACAATTTCTTTTGTTGACACTTTCTTCAACAGATATATCAGATAAGGTTCATTTGGTATTACTTTGCCGAAAGTATGGTAGCGAGGTGTTCATATCTTGGTAACGACTTTCTCGGGATGTTTTTTAAGCATTTGATTGTTCTTTGCCAAATTCGCAAACATGGACTTTGTTTTTACTATTCGTTCCAGCTATTATATATCAACTCACTATGTGGATTCCTTTTATATTTATGCAGCTACTCTTACCAACTCAGTGGATATGTGGACTGCCAAAATACTTTAAAGATATCGGTGAAAAAAAGAAGAAAAAAAGGGAAAATGAGTAAAAAAAATATGCAAGACGTAGTGCTCACGGGGTTAACGAAATCGCAGATTGCAATCAATCGATACATTCTTTCTCAAGCCGAGTATTGATCTTTGGCTTCAAAATCTTTATCTTCGGCTGAACGAAGCTGAATATTAGATGAATATAATAATGATATGAACGTGAGTATCAATCCCATTCGGCTTATGGAAGAAGCAGTATTTAATAGTGTACGTGTATTAAAATGTTGCCCAGATGATACGAGTGACCCTGAGAACTATGGCTTGCCTTTTTATATGAAGAAGTACTGTTGTCGCTTTGAAGAGGTAAGCGGAGTTTGATACAACGCGATTTTTTTTGGAGACAGGAGATTATACGCTCTCTCTCTCTCTCTCTCTTTCGAAACCAGCCACTTTATTCCGTCACTTATTACAAGACCTCTCTTTCGTTTTATTTTATTTTATTTCCTTTACCTGCCAAATAAGCCAAGAAGGAACAATTATGGCTCATCAACAGCCACAATACCCAGCGCAACATCCACATCCTCCTCAGGCTCGTCCTCCCATGGGAGATCCCAACAGAGCCCGCAGCCCTCCACTGCCGGGACAACCACCCATCAGACCAATGGGAACACCTCTCAACACAGGCGTTCCTCCCTATCGTCCCACATCTACTCCTCCTCCCCATGCAGGTTCTCCCATAAGACCGGGATTTCCGCCTCAGCGTACTGGCTCTGCCCAAGGTTACCATTCCGGTACTCCTAATCTCGCATCCCCTCGTCCTCCATTTAACACACCTGGCGCACGGCCCATGATGCGACCCATGAACCCACCTGTCTCTGGTCCATTCCCACCAAACCCACAGAGACCTGTCATGAGCGCTCCAGTAACACCTCCTGTGATGTCCCAGGCTTCTCCTGTTGCTACTGCTACTACCCCTACTGCTCAAACTGGTTCCCCAGTTGCTGCCTCTGCCCCTATCTCGCCTACCGTAGCATCACATCACGAACACACGCGTCGCAAGAGAATGTACCCAGAGCAGAATGTCAATAGCTACACAGAAAGCCCTGCTCCACCACCCCAATATCAAGATCCTTCCCAGTTTACACCTGCCATGACTTCTCCAGCATATAGTCAGCCTATTCAACAAACGCAACAAGCAGGAGCAGGAGGATATGCTCAGCCAGGATATTCCCAACCTGCTTCTCCAGGTTATGCTCAACAAGGCTACTCTCAGCCAGGATATTCTCAGCCAGGATACACCCAACCACCTCCAGCATATGGACAGAGTCCAATGCAGCAAATGACAAATCAGTTTGGAAACATGAATGTAGCAGCTGCACCACCTGTAAGTATTGGAACTGTGTGTATGCGTGCGTGTGTTTCTGTTTATATTTGTCGCAAGATGAGGAGTGTAGAGACAGTATAATAAGAAAAAGAAAAGTGAACTTCAACTGTGGATATATACATTGTAGATGGCCGCACGTACAGTATCTTTGATGGGCGTTCCTCCCTTTATTGCTGATCTGCATGCTCCTCAGCCTCCAATCCATTTGCCTCCTCACGTAAGTAACTTAATGGATACTTGGAATTTAAAAGAGACAAGTCTAAAAAATGGTTTCTTTTTATCTAATATATATATAGGCGTCCATTACGGACTCACCTTACGCTAATGCCGACTCTTCTTACATGTGTTCTACTATAAATGCAGTCCCTTCGAGCGAAGCTCTTCTCAAGAAATCCAGACTTCCTCTTTCTCTTGTATTAGCACCTTACAGAAGAGTTCAAGATGGAGATGTAAGACATTTTTTTTAAAATACAGATACAAAAAGCAGACTAATATTTAATCAAACTTTCTATATATATATATATATTCTGTAAAGGACGAGGTTCCTGTAGTGACAGACTCTGTAATTTCTAGATGTCGTCGTTGCAGAACATACATCAACCCATTTGTAACCTTTGTTGAGGGTGGACAGCGGTGGAAATGTAACATGTGTTTCCTTTTGAACGACGGTACGTGGAATGATTTGTGTGGTTTAAGTTGTGATAAGACATCATGACTTATTTTGTGTGCCTGCTTTTTTTTGGGGGGGTTTTTAGTTCCTGCTGCCTTTGAGTTTGATTCTCAAACACAGCAACCGGCTGACAAGTGGAAGCGCGCCGAGCTGAACTATTCTTGTGTTGAGTTTGTTGCTCCCACCGAATATATGGTACGAATATGATACATATATGTTTTAGAGAGAAAGAGAATGAAAGAAAGAAAGAGAGAGAAAATTTATTTAAAACGGAGTACTCGGTCCAAATAGATCCGTCCTCCTCAGGCTCCTGCTTATGTATTTGTAATTGATGTATCTTACTCTGCCGTCCAATCAGGCATGCTTGCTACTGCTGCCCGTACCATCTTGGACTCTCTTGATCGCATTCCTGATGATGAGAAACGAACAAAGATCGCTTTCATCACAGTTGACAGCTCTTTACACTTTTACAATCTCAATGCCAACCTTACTGAACCTCAAATGCTGGTCATGTCTGACCCTGACGATATTTTCCTCCCTCAGCCCTCTGATCTCTTAGTAGGCTTGAGTGAAAGTAAGGCTGTTATTAGTGCCTTGTTGGAGAAATTGCCCGAAATGTTCAAAGATACATTGGTGGTTACCAATGCATTGGGAAGTGCTCTTCAGGCTGCTCATAAGCTGGTGGTAAGCACAAAATGGCTATTATAATGCAAAGAAACTAAGAGAAGAAAATCTTAATTTCTCGGTGTTATTATTGTATATATAGTCTCCTAATGGTGGTAAGATCGTGTGCCTTCAATCTACGTTGCCTACAGTTGGCACTGGCGCATTGAAGCCTCGTGAGGATGTGAAGCTTTTGGGAACTGCAAAGGTAATATATACAAAATACGGGAGTTTTGAGCAAACAAAAAGGAAACTAATACTGATGGGTTTGGTAATTTGCTATTGATAGGAGACGGTTTTGTTGAATGCTGCTTCACCATTTTACAAGTCGTTTGCTGTCGACTGTTCTCGTTCTCAAGTAGCCTGCGATATGTTGATTTTCGGTGGACAATATTCTGATGTAGCAACTCTTAGTAAGCTGATTATAATATGCACAACTAGAATAAGTACCAATTACCTAATCTATACACAATATTTTTCTTTAAAAAAAAATAGGCTGTCTTCCTCATTATACTGGTGGTCAGACTTATTTCTACCCTGGATTTAATGCCAGTCGTAGTGAAGACGCCCTCAAGTTTGCCCATGAATTCTCTGAACTCTTGGCTGAACGTATTGGTCTTGAAGCTGTCATTCGTATTCGTTCCTCGCGTGGTCTGCGTATGAGCGCATTCCATGGAAACTTCTTTATTCGCTCTACCGATTTACTTGCTCTTCCCAACGTACCCCGCGATCAGTCATACTGTGTTGAGGTCTCTATTGAAGATGATATTAAGACATCGACCGTATGTTTCCAGACTGCCTTGCTTCACACCACTTGCTTTGGTGAACGTCGCATTCGTGTCGTAACTCTTTGTCTTCCGGTTACAAGCAATATGTCCGAGCTGTACTCGAGTGTTAATCAACAAGCAGTGGCTGCTTATCTTGCTAATAAGGGTATTAATTGTTATTTTTTAAAAAAAGAGAGAGAGAGAGCATATGTTCTTATTTGTTATTATTACTCAGCAAAATACTAATATCTTTTTTTCAACAAAAAAATCTAGGTGTTGAACGTGCACTCTCTTCCAAGTTGGATGATGCGCGCGATGCCATTGTTAACAAGTTGATAGATATGATGGGTGTTTATAAGACCCATGTATTGGGTTCAGGACAGGGTGCTACACCTCAGTTGACTGCACCAGATAACATGAAGATGTTGCCTGCCCTTGCCTTTGCATTGATCAAACATGTAAATACCCAAAATATAAAAGAAGAAGAAAAGAAACTAAACTATATTCTTCTTTTACTTTTATTTTTATAGGATGCTTTGCGTCAGACTTCGCAAATTCCAACTGACTTGCGATCAAATGCAATGAATTTGCTCCGTACCATGCCTATACAGCTACTTCTCCCTTACATATATCCTAATTTCTACTCTCTCCACAACATGCCACCAAATGTAAGGTTAATTTTGGTGGAAATGAATTTATATGTTAAAGTACGTAATCTAACAAGGCGTGTATGCGCACGTATTTGCTTGTTTGCATCATATTTTTTTAGGCGGGTGAAATGTCAGAAAACGGAGTGGTGTTCCCACCTACGATGAACCTGACAGCAGAGAAGCTTGAAGCTCATGGCTGTTACTTGCTTGAAACCGGACAGAATATTTATCTGTTTGTTGGGCGTGGTGTTGTTCCTCAGTTATGCGTTGACTTGTTTGATACCAAGTCTTATGAAGGATTGCGAGCAGGAAAGATCACATTACCTTCGCTTGAGACCTCGTTAAACAGAAAGGTCAACCTTCTGATTGCCAAGATCCGTGAAATGCGTCGTGGTAACTACTATCCTCAGCTCTACCTCATTAAGGAAGATGGTGACCCTGCTCTGAGAATGTGGTTTATGTCCCACCTCTTGGAGGATCGCACTGATAATGTGATGAGTTACCAACAATTCCTCCAACATGTCAAAGACAAGGTGAATTATAAACCAAACAAATAGACAATTGCTTTCTACTGAATATGTAACTACACTTTACTAAACCTGTACTGATTTTTTTTTAGGTTGGATCGAGTTCGTATTAGTTTAATGCCTTATTAGAGAGGAGGTTTTGTGTTTTTTTTTTCTTCTTGATCCAAGATAGCTTTCATTTGAGAATACATAAATATTTGTGATTAGATATTCGTGTGGGATTATACTTGGATAGTGATAGCGAGGCTTTAAATAATGCCTTGTGGGGTAATGATGCAATCGACTTTTTTGTCAGTATGTTCAAGGGGTATTCTTCCGGTTTCTATGATTTGTTCATTCAGCGCCAATGCCACTGTAACATATTTTAGTGACAGTACATTGGTTATTATTATTTTTCAGTTTTCGTGGTGTATACCTGTTGTTGGTGAAGCATTTTTAGTCCTTTCAGCCCACTCATTGCACTTTTCAATATAACGATCATAATATCTAAACAGAATATAGTTTAGCTGTGTGATTCTTTCTTGCTTTTTTCTCTAAACATTTGCTTTTTTCTTGCTTTGGGTGTTTACCCTTTTCCGTGACCAATACGATTACGGGAATTGTCAAATGCAAGACCTGTATATTAAAATCGTAAGAACATGATATACGTGTATGTGTTTGAATAGGCAAGTAGCCATTTACCTGGAACTATAATAAGGTCAAGCCCATTTGTATCTAGGGCTAAATCAAATGCGTGTATTTATACATTAAAGCTTCGGAACAGTGATTAGATGGATTATTTTGTCATACCGTTCTCCAAAATAGTCGTATGAAGCGGCTCAGGAATATTCCATTTGTTGATCGGCAAACTAAGGAACTCTTCCATGTTTTTTATTTTTACCATTTCCATTGAATCACGAGAGCATCTCGGGACATATAATTCCTTTTCGCCTATGTTTTTATTAAAATAATAAACATAAAGCAATTTATTATATACATTACCAGCACGTAAAATGGAGTGAATTATGGGATAAGTGTCGATTTCACTGCCAGGCATGCTAATGTACACACTAATGTGGCGGCTTTTTTTATATGCATCCAAATTAAACAAATGTTGATGAACAGCCTCGGCTGAATTCATGTCAGTATAAAATTTGCGATCAGGTTTGAACTCGACTCTTCTATTTGCATTTGTATTATTAATATTATTACATTGTGTCTTGATTGCTGAGGAAGAAATAGTACACAGTCTGCTCCCGACCTCTTTACGCAATGCACGCTTAAGAGTGTTAATTGACATTTAATATTTATTTATATATTCTTTTAAGAGCAAATGGGGAAGGAAGGAAAAAGAAAAAGAAAACAGCAAAGATAGAAATAACTTTCAAAACTGTAATAGTACATTGTAGGTAATGAAAGTCACTCAAGGAGTTTTAAGCTTTAAGTTTCGAGAAACCATTAAGACTTATATAAGCCTTACACAAGCAATTCAATACCTATGGGCTCTTTGGTGAAAGCAAACTTTCTAGGGTTACTGGACTTTTCGGTCTCTCGGGTATGGCATGAACAGCTGTCCAGTGGGCAGCGGTCCTGGCATAATCATCGTAGTCGCGCAAGTAGTGGGATGCAACTTGTGCGTCCTGTCAAAATTATTAAAAGAATATTAAATTGACTTAATGATACGTTGTATACTATGTACGTGTGTGTGGGTATATTACTATACCAATTACACTGTATTTACTTTACCTGAGGATCTTCTGGTACAGGAGAGGAAAGGAGGATGATAAGGGATAAAAGAGAAGCCTTGATTGTCATAATTGGCGACCAACCATCCTTAAGAATATCCATGCAAATAGCACCCTAAATTGGCCTTAGTAAATTATTTACTAGTAGAGAAACCTTACTGTTTGGGAACTGATGTTTGGATGATATATTGATGTAATGAATTTAATCTTTGTAGGCTTAAAAGGAAAATCATCCTATATAATTCGCCAAAGAAGTTCAGTTAAAATCCATGACCTCTCTTTTTTTATCACTTTCTGCATAAGTATATGTATGTATATGACATATTGAAGCTTACTGCTAACTGTAAATCCACTTTGAATCTTCCGCCTAAAGAATGGTGTTATGTTCAAAGAAACTACATTATACGAATTTAAAGGTCTGACTGGAATACCTTCATATGGTGTATCCCTTGGACCGGAGATAGTAGCAATGAAGTGACCTTGATTGTAATGATTAGGAATTATTAATGTGAACTAGTTATGCTAATAGATCCATTATACTTACCAAGTTTTTCCCCTGGCTCAATCTCAATGTCGGCAGCTTTATCATTTACGACATCCTTGTACTCGCGTTTGATTCGTACCATCATACTGCTTAACGGCATGGTGAAAATGTAATTGAAGAAAGAAAAACGTCAGCAATTTTTTATAGCTTAATTTTAAAAAAATTAAGGAGTGGTCAGGCGCAGCCGTGTAAAGTAATATAAAAAAAAGTACAAATCTTAAGTCACTATAATTGAACAATAAATCATTTGTACATTATAAGAGTTAGTACATTCAAGCAATATATATATAGTCTCTATATAAACAAATAAAATTCAACATGTTAAATAAATACATCATTTAAAATATCCGCCTCATGTCCTATAGCGCACTTGATAATAAAATTTGCTCAGTTTTTTATTACTTCTTTTTCAAGTGCTTTCCAGAATAAAACGATATTATTATTTATGTTGGAAGAGATGTGGTTACAGTATTTCCATTTCAAATTTAGACAAATCGAAATATAAATGTAGACATTCTGCTTACCTTTTGTGAAGGAAACGAGAACAAACTCAGGCGAAGAGAGATAAGTTTTCAGATAGATTAAAGATATATAATTAAGTCTTTTACCTGTAACAGTCTAGTCGTCTCCTTGAGACAAACTGTTTTCAATAAAGCGACGGGCTTATTACTGTTGCTATTGATGCTGTTTCTTACTATTTACTTAATCGCTTTTATCAGATCTTTGGAAAGTGGTTGGTCAATTGGCTTCTCTCTAAATTGGAAAATCAACTATCATCATATTTCTTCTAACATTAATATCTCACTGCCACAGTGTCTTGTAGGACTTACAGACCAGTACGTCGTGGTCACCAATATGCTTTGCCGATTGTAAATTCTTTATTTGAAAATTGCTGCACACCTTTGAGGTATTTTATCCATCTATTGTAACAGCAACAGTACCTCCATCTCTCTCCCGCTTCTTCAACACTCTATGCAAAATTACCGTCACTCCACATCGGTTATTCTTTAGTTTCTCTAAGCCCTTTCCAAGCATCCCGCCCTCAAAAACAATCAATGTGATTTTGGTTTTTGCTTCTTTTACAGAAGAGGGTATTCATTTATTTAACCTTAAAAAACAGACAAAAACGTCAATGAAAGAAAGGGAGATAAAAAGACTAATTTATCACTTTGTTGGCTTTGAAGTTTGCCGCTTTTTTTTCTCTTCTTGTTATGCTTGCTACCTCCGTTTACCAAAATTTGCGCTTTTTTTCGAGGGTTCTTTGGCACCCTCGCTATGAGCCAAAATCTGGTATTTAGATGTGTTACTACCATAGAAAAATACAACACGTTCAAGCGAGTTATTGAATTATCCGTACGTGATAAATATATATAACGTGGGAGGCAGTTTTGTTGAATGGTATATAATTTTCAATGGTCTCAATCCCATTTTGCTTTTACTTTCTATGTAGATCGGCTTATTATCCTGTTGAACCTGTCTTTTGGTAGTATTTATTAGTTGGGTACCGCAGTAAACCATAGGTTTTGGTCTATAGCCTCTCTGCTGAAGTGAATGTAGCCTTTCCTCCAGGGTCTACAAAGATCGGCTTATAGTTATCTTGGACTTTATCAAACTCAAAATCTGACAGTCGAAGTTGTAACATGTTGTTTCTTACTAAGATGGGGATTGATTTCATCCTTATAGAATATTCAGTTGATGGAAAATCCGTTTGATGTTATTAAACCTCCAAGCATGATTTTATTGTTGTCACTTGGTTTAAGGTTAGAACTAATATATAATATGCGGTTTCGACAGTTCTGGGTGCTTGACTGTTGGATGTAACGGTAGTCTAATTCTAAAAATGATTGGCTGTAATAAATCTTCAAAAAATGAAAGCTAAGTATCCTAGCATATAAAGAAAAAGGGTTAGATACTCTAAATGTCGAGAGTTGGCCAAAATCTACAAAATCTTGTACTTTATGTACAATTGACGGCAAAGCTCATATAAAAGCAAAGTCGAAAATAAGACATAATCAATATATAAAAAATTAGTTATTTGAATACCAAATTATAAAAGTTGAACTTAATTGCGGAGAATTTGGGCTAGGATACTGTATTTGTGGGTGCTCTAATCAAGTGCAGTATACATATGTATTTTGACGCTATGAAAGAAAACATACCAACCAAGAGACATTAATGGTAATCAATAGTTTATTTTTCACATTGGTTATTATTGAATGGTGTTTAAACTACCACTACATCCAACAGTCCAGCATCCAGAACTGGTGAAACACCCTATAAGGTAAAGCTCCTTGGATTGAAAATCTAATATATTATCAGCTAACGCTATAATAGTACATGTATTATGAGAAAAGCATAGTTTTACAATCTTGAGACGGGCTGTGTTGGTTTGTGTAAAGAAGTGACCCAAACAATTAATAGAAAAAAGGAATATGTATCAATCTCCTCTAACAACTCCTTAGCCCTAATATTGGCAACTGGCAGCTTGTTCTCTTGAGAAAGATAAAAAGAAAATAGAAGTGATGTGTAAGGATGTTCTTTATTGCTTTCATCTTTCGATGTTTATATAGATATTTCGATAATAAATAAAATAGTATAATTAGTAAGCTATTACTAAGAGGTTGGGATAAACTATGCTTTATAAAAAAAATAAGAGAGAGAAATAGAGGTAGATAGTCATTGTTGGGGTTCATTGTTACAATCCTTATGATTTTCAATTGATTGCTGCGCCAGTTGTAACAATCATGCTCTTCCCAAGATCATTACTTAATCAATTGGTTTACATAATTGATACCAAAAGGTTTAGAGATATGGGATATGTTTGGGCCAGCCGAAAATGTGAATATACACGCAACGTGTCAATCTGAACATATTTCACACGATTTTTGAATCATTATTCCTTACATTTGAAAAGGCGAAGACAGTATTGGTTTATATGATGAAGTGGTCCAAACGGTTAAAAGAAAAAGAGAATAGATATCGATCTTCTCTAGCATACCCTTGACTCAAATATTGGCATTTGGCAGCTTGTTCTCTCAAGAAAGATAACGATAGCAAATATATCTATTAAGAAGATAATGCTCATTGTCAAAGGTTTAATATTGCATAATAGTGGAAGACATATCATAATTTTGTAGTAATATTAATGCTGCCAAGTAGCCCAGATTTTAACTCTATAGAAATCTCATAAGAATATTCCACCAGAAGAGTGAAAAAGAAAAAAGAGGTTAATCTTCAAAAACTTTTAAGGAGGTGGCGGTTATTACCTATATGGAATAAAACAGCACTCGGGTTGGTGTTTGTAATGTTAAGTGCATGTTAATGTCTAATTGCATGTCAATTCCTAATTGCGTGGAAATGCCTAATTGCATGTGAATGCTTAATTGCATGCATGAGATGAAAAAGTTAATTAAACGTCATCAAACTATTGATTTTTTTAAAAGAAAAACTATACCTTTGTATTTACATGTTTTCAGACATGAGCTGTCAAGTGAAAGACGATCGGCTAAACCAAGAATGCTAAAGAAGTTGTATTATTGATTTATCAAAAGTTAATATGGTGACTATTGTTGGTACGAGTCTATATATATATATACATACCTTGCTTGTAAGAAAAAAAAATCTAACAGATCTCAGTACTGAATATTGTATTAAAATATTCGTTCGTCTGTTTTTAAAGTGTATCCGATTTATCCCAAAAAGTATAAAAATAAAGATTTTTTTGTCAAGACCTGCGCTTGAAGGCCGATCCACTCAAGTTTACACCCAAGCTTCTCAACAACCCTCATTCCTGCCTACTCGGCATGGCATCAAATTTACCATGACGGCAAAGTATCGGTGAAATGCTTTAATGCCAAACTGCTCGGGACAGGTGTCTGAGACACCCAAGTGAACAGCATAGCATTTACTTAGGCACCTTAACTTTGCTTCGGGTTCGTCCCTCATGTCCAGTTCTGTTTACCAGAGCGTGGGTTACAAGTATCAAAGTCTAAGCAATGAGGGACTTGAAAAGCACAGGGATCATTTCAACAGGAAGCAGTAAAATACAGGCGATTGTACTGGGTAATCTGTCGATTCTGCTGGGAATCTACCTGTATTACCTCACGTCCAGGTGCTCAACGAATTTAAAAAACTCTACGCATCCAGGTGATACACCCTTATACTTGCACCTTTCTGTGACAATCTTGACATGCCCCAAAGGACAAAATCTGGAGAGCCAATATCCAACGTCCTAAGAAAATAGCATAAAGCTACCTCTGCGTTCCTCAGTCTTCTCCATGTTATGTGCCGCACAACACAGAAAAAACTGACGTGGATTTCATCCGGCTTTCGCCTTCATATGAGTGGCTCAGGAAGGTCTTTAACGTCCAGTATGCTCTACACTAAGAGCTACTTTCCCTTACGGTACTTGTGTTCAGTTGGTTTTTTATAAGTATATTTAGCCTTCGATGAAACTTTTCACCAGGATTAGGGAGTTTGTAAAACAACCCGACTCATCGGAAGCTACTTAACACAAAGACAAGAACTCAAGACAAGGTGAGGGGATTGCACCCTCCAGTAACCTTTTCCAGGGAGTGAAGGCTACTGACTTGTTGGTATGTCTGGAAAAGCAGTTCACTAGTTCACAATCCAGAGCAGTCAAAAGACTACTCCGGTTCAAACATTGGAGCTTCTCCATCTCAAACAATAAAGTCCAAGACGGAATCCCTTTTGGTTTCTTTTCCACTGCAGTAAATGCAGGTAGAATCGCTCAAAGTACGGACCAATTTTAGGCCATGGTACCTTGAGCGAACTCAATGACTAGACGCCAAAGAGTGCAGTGCGTTCAATAAAAAAACCAGAATCTCATATTAAGACAAGCCTTATAAATAAGGCGTCTACAATGAGCGAGTTGGAAAAGAGCCCGGAGACTCACTGTTAAAGACCATGATATACACATTTTGCATGAAAATGTTTACGTATATTCCTTTTGATATATCGTGACCGATAGAATACGAGGTACTCAGTGACCACTCCAAGAGTAGAGATATAAATAAAAATCGAGTATAAGGTTAATATACTTATTGTGTCAAAGTGTGTGCGCGTGTGCGCGTTTACTTACCTAGCTATTAACTGCGAAGGGTGTAAAAATACTGAGCTGGTTCTCGGTACACCTCTCCATAGGCATACCTTTGAACACTATCAAGAGAATAAAGTAATATAAAAGTATAAAGTGAGTATGTTAATTGAGTCAAAGTATGTATATATTGACTTACCACTCAGTGGACCATACATGGTATGAAGGCACCATAAAAAGAATGGTGGTTAACAGCTAAACAGAACTAGAAATTGCAATAGAAAAAAAGAAAACATCAAATCATAGTTAGCGTGTTGATCGTGTCAAAGTATGTGTGTATGTACGCGTTTACTTACCTAGTAAACAGCAGCGGAAGGCTTGAAAAGTACTTGTGCTAAAAAGCAAGACGGGACGGGACACTGGACACTGTGATAAAATAAAAGAAATATCGAATCATAGTTAGTGTATTGATCGTGTCAAAGCGTGTGTGTGTTTGCTTACCTAGCAGATAACTGCGTAGGGTTTAAAAAGTACTTGTGCTTAAAAGCAAAACGGCACTGGACACTGGACACTGTGATGAAAGAAAGAAAACATCAAATCATAGTTAGTGTGGTGATCGTGTCAAAGCATCTGTGTGTGTGTATTTACTTACCTGGTACATGAACTTGACGTGAAGGGCCTCTCCGTGGCTACAGTGGAATGGAAGCTGGGCATAGAAGACAAAAAAAAAACATGCGCAAGAAAACACTGTGCTGTAGTTAGTATATTGACCGTGTCAAAATTTGTATGTGTCTGTATAATACTTTACCTGCTATTAGACTGGACATCATTTTTGGAACTTAGCTAGAAACCGCGTCTGGGGTGCGTTTTCATAATAAATATCAGTATGGGCCTTATACGGATAGAAAGATATAGGCATTTAAAGACAATTTTCTTACCGTGTCGGAAACCAAGGACCACCGAAAGGAAACCAGGAGGAAGAGGAGGAATAACAGGAAATTGGGAATTGTATCGATTCTTATATGAAAAAAAATGGGGATGGCGCAGCACGGAAGGCGTAAAATGCCTATTTTGGATAAATCAAAACAAATTCATATGAAAATTAAATAGTTTCATGTTTTCAGTAAAAGCTCTATATTTTTTTAATCGCATATTACTATCAAGAACCTCTTGGTGTTGCCTAATAGATACATTGAATAGTACCGATACTAAATATATTTGAGTATTACTTTGCTTTAGATATCATTTATATGTCTGGGGAATACATTTATATATCTTTATGCTCACACTACTGATAAGCATTATAATTTCTAAAAAACCGCCAAATAAATAAAGAAGGCCCCCTTAACATTATAACCACACTTTGTTTACTTTCACTTCACAGAGTATCTTAAAAGGCATGTAAGAAGAGAGGTACCACTATTAAAAATATAATAGCATGTATTATTAAAGCAGTTAGTATTTTATCAGTTTTCAAAGATATTTTGTTTTAAAAAAAATGGCTATTCAATTTTATATATGCAATATCTCTTTAGAACTAGAAACATAATATTCTTTCTTAATCTTGATTGATCAAAATACTATTATTATAATGTGTACTCGCACATCTTAGTTTGTATGGCTCATTCTTTACAGAGTTATGTTCAAAGGCAAAGAATTAGTTATATAAATTTTATGGCAAGAAAGGCTTGAATCGTTAAGAAGAAAAGAGAATATATATTGATCTACTCTAATAGCCTCTTAGCTTATATATTGTCAATAGCAGTCTATTCTTTTAAAAGTGATAGAATAAAATAAAAAGAGGAATGTGTTGAAATAGTCTATATTACTTTTATTTTTTGATGCTTAAACATATATATATCAGCAGCTAATAGAATAAGACAGTCAGTAAGATCAACTCCAGAAGTTTACTGAAATATTTACATTTAAAGTTATTTTAAGATATTAAGACTTGGAGCATACTATTTGCATCTTAACAATATTTCAAGGCTTGTAGAGATTATTTCCTTTACATTAACTTTAGATTCTATACTGGTACAGCCTAAGTATACATAGACAAGCTGGTGGCACAGTTGGTTTCGGATAAGAACTCATATTCAATTACTAATACAGTTATTATTATCCAAACTATCCAATTTCTCAATAACCTGCTATCAGCTTAACTCAGAAAAATTACATAATCCCTAACAAATCAATTCAACAAAGAACAACTTTTACACACTTATATTTTCTTTTCCTTTCTTTTCTCTGGGCCTTTAAATAAAGAGTATTGCTATTTGCTACAAAAGCTGCAAATGTTTATCTTATATCTCTCTTTTTCTTTTTCTAAATACTTTTTTTTACAAACCCCTTACACCACACCAACAAACACAGCACGTCTAACAACTCTCATACCAGCTTATCTAAAATCATTTAACATTATATTTCTGAGTCCTACATTTCTTGCCAGATATTGACTACTATCATGTCTTTAATGGTGTTCTTTCTGCTGTTCAAAAGCCTTACTGGGGGGAAATTTCCAGTGACACGTTGCGTGTATATTCACATTTTCGGCTGCCCCAAGCATATCCTATATCTCTAAATATTTTGTATCAATTATGTAAACCAATCGGTTAAGTCATAACCTTGGGAAGAGCATGATTGTTACAACTGGCGCAGCAATCAATTGAAAAGCATAAGGATTGTAACAATGAACCCCAACAATGACTATCTACCTCTATTTCTCTCTCTTATTTTTTTTATAAAGCATAGTTTATCCCAACCTCTTAGTAATAGCTTACTAATTATACTATTTTATTTATTATCGAAATATCTATATAAACATCGAAAGATGAAAGCAATAAAGAACATCCTTACACATCACTTCTATTTTCTTTTTATCTTTCTCAAGAGAACAAGCTGCCAATTGCCAATATTAGGGCTAAGGAGTTGTTAGAGGAGATTGATACATATTCCTTTTTTCTATTAATTGTTTGGGTCACTTCTTTACACAAACCAACACAGCCCGTCTCAAGATTGTAAAACTATGCTTTTCTCATAATACATGTACTATTATAGCGTTAGCTGATAATATATTAGATTTTCAATCCAAGGAGCTTTACCTTATAGGGTGTTTCACCAGTTCTGGATGCTGGACTGTTGGATGTAGTGGTAGTTTAAACACCATTCAATAATAACCAATGTGAAAAATAAACTATTGATTACCATTAATGTCTCTTGGTTGATATGTTTTCTTTCATAGCGTCAAAATACATATGTATACTGCACTTGATTAGAGCACCCACAAATACAGTATCCTAGCCCAAATTCTCCGCAATTAAGTTCAACTTTTATAATTTGGTATTCAAATAACTAATTTTTTATATATTGATTATGTCTTATTTTCGACTTTGCTTTTATATGAGCTTTGCCGTCAATTGTACATAAAGTACAAGATTTTGTAGATTTTGGCCAACTCTCGACATTTAGAGTATCTAACCCTTTTTCTTTATATGCTAGGATACTTAGCTTTCATTTTTTGAAGATTTATTACAGCCAATCATTTTTAGAATTAGACTACCGTTACATCCAACAGTCAAGCACCCAGAACTGTTGAAACCGCATATTATATACAACATTTGTGATCGAGGCTCTAAAAGTATCCAAAAATTGTACGAGATTCAGTGGTATTTTAGCGTTATTCGCTAAATTTTTGTTGCTGATAAGTATGCGCACCAAGTACCAGAATTGCTGCTTGTAAATGCCGTTAGGTATTGAATCATGAGATAATGCCAGACAGTGACTGATTGTGAATATCATTGCCCTGGATATGATTTTACTGGGCTCGTTTGAAGTAGTAATAATCTTATTTTTAAGTGGCCATTTGTATGTACTATTGACAGTAGCATTCAATGGGAGTTTTTTAGGAAATAGAAGTATAATTGGGAATTGAAACATGTACCATTATCAAATGAAGCTTTTTCTTTATAAAATGTGCATTTACAATGCTTTTTTCTTGCATGTCCTCTTTCTCCACAATTCTCACACACAAATATCTTAAAAAAAATAATACAATTATGATTGAATTACATAAAGCTACTTGAAGTACTTAAATTATTTATTTGTTACCTTTAAAAGTATCATCTACGTTTCCTTCAGACTTTCTTTTATTGAAAATTTATCTTTTTTTTTCGAGAATAAGACTTTAAAACATGCCAAAGTAAGAATAGGTTGGAAAAAAGATACGCATTAATATCAAGATGTGGTCATCAATTTATACTGTATTGTGATAGATTGATGATTAATGAATCTGTATATTTATGTAGAAATTAAAATACAAAATTCATTAGTCCAGCCGCTTTCCAAAGGTCTGAAAAAATCAAGCAAGCAGCAGAAACAACTTCATCGATGTATTGTAAACAGCATATTTCTCTTGAAATATTCAGATAATTAAACATAAAGACGTCTGAAAATTGATTTCTCTTTGTATACATTTTATTTCGTCTAAAAAGAAGCCCTAATTTGTCTCAATCCCAAGTAGAAACACTGTGAAATAATATTACTAGTCTAACCCTATTTATATACATATATGCTCTTTACGGTCTTATATCTATATATTTATTCATTTATTATTTTTATATTTCAAACACTTGATTTTTCTTTATCTCCTTGTAAGATTAGAGGGAGAGGGGGGTTTATACTTTATCTTGCAAGGATTCAAAGATTATGGCGGGAGTGCAAAAAAGGTGCATATAGAGAATCTCGAAAGACAATTCAATATTCCTAGCCTATTGTACTTCGACTTTTCAGTCAAAAGAACTAAAGTGCCAAAAAAGAAAGTCTGAATATATATATACATACATATATATATATATATATATATAGTAAAGCCAGTTCACGCGTACACAGATTTTCATCGTGCCCGAATCATAACTTCATCAAAACGAGAGCCTCATCAATCTCATCTATTTTATATTAAGCGTTTGTTTGATTTTTCAGACTACTCTTTATACAAAAGAAAAATAAAATAAAATAAACATCAATCCCGGATAATCTGTAGACATCAGAGGTACGTCATTCCATAATGGAGCGCGTTTCTTACTGAATCCCTCAGTAATGTCTGTCTACAATCACCGGTCAATGGTCCCCACGCCCCAAAACCGCATCATCGAGGTTTTGGACGCAATTCGAGGAGAGTTTGAGAAGATTACCCAAGACATTTATCTTTACAAAAGCGAAAAAGATGACTTTGAACATAAAAGTAAAGTTTACACAAGTAACCAGAAGAAGATGGCAAATCAAGCTGGATGTTTGTAGCTCAAATCAAATTAACTTGGCTGAATCATTATCTTCTTCTCTTTTTTTGTTTTTAGTGGCTCAGCAGACGCAGGAGATGAGCAATTTCCAACAAAGCTTGTCTGAACTGGAACGGTCGCAGCAGACTTTAAAGAAGCAGTATGTAGGAGTGGTGTTGATGAAAGAGATGGTTTGGCCAACGCGTGTTTGTGTTTGTTTGTTGTTAGGTACGAAGATGAGATCGCTAGACTGCGTCAACAGTTGGAACAGGCACAGGCTCGTACTGGTGGTGGGAATGGGAACAACAATGGCAGTGTTTCTAACGGTCATCCTGAACTTACCCCTGGTCCTTTCTCCACCTCTTCTGCTGGCCTTCACTCCCACCAGCCACCACCGCCAAACATTGGTCCTGGCTCAAATTACTTTGGCGGCATAATGAATGCTCATGGCCAAGGTCCGCTCGGTCTGGTTGCGCCCCCGCAGATGAATGAACCAAGCTATCCTATTCAAGCAGCACCTTTACCTACAGCCCCCAGCAGCTATATAGGCTCAAACAGTCCTGGATTGTACCAAACTCCAGCAAAGGCTATATCTCAACCCCCACCCCCACCTCCTCCAGCACCTTCTGGGCCGTACCATACAAAGGACGAATGGCCTTGTAAGTTGTTTCTTCTTCGTTATTGTTTGTGTGTATACAGATAGGACAAATCATACTTTGTGATTACATAGCTTTTTTTTGGTTATTGGTTTTTGCTCTTATATTTTTTTACTGTAATTATAATTTATATTTTGTTTGTTTGTTTGTAGCTGGATACGGGTTTCCTCAGCGTGTGAGTAACCCTCCTGCTGTTCAGAATCAAATGGATATGAATTCTGGACAGAAACGTAAATCTGGATCCATTCCTCCTGGACCTCCTGCTGGCCAGATGATTATGCCTACTGGACGCCCTGCTCCAAAACCCCAGGCAGCAACAGGGATTACGGGAAATCTCGCTGATGTGGACCCTGATAGTGTCCCTGCCAATATGAAAATCGAAGGAAAAGATTGGTTTGCACTGTGAGTAATTGAGTTGTGAGCTCGTAATGTCGTTTAAGACTTACTAAAAGAGAACCCTCCCAACAAAAACGACAATTACTACCAGATTCAACCCCAAGGCAGCTCGCTCTCTCAAGGTTAATCTGATGAGCACGTTAGAGCACGATAGTGTTGTTTGTTGTGTCAAGTTTAGTGCAGATGGACGACTTCTTGCAGCAGGATGCAATAGATCTACCTATATTTACGATGCAATTACTTCCCAAAAGATCTGGTAAGTTTTTTGCTTTTTTTTTGTCCTTATTTATACTTATAAAAATATGACGTATTCTTGGTTAGTGTTCTTCAAGATGATAATGTCCAAAAGGATGGCGATCTTTACATTCGTGCAGTCTGCTTTAGTCCAGATGGAGTTTATCTTGCTACTGGTGCAGAAGATAAGCAGATCAGAGTAAGTTTATGGTGTATATTGTAATATCAGAAAGCAAGAAAAAGTATAGTATTGCTTGTTTTATTATTAGTATTAGTATTATTAGTTATTCTTCATCAAAAAAAATATCAACATACTCACAAGTAAATAGATCTGGGATATTGCAAAGAGAAGAATCCGCAATATATTACCAGGACATGAGCAAGACATCTATTCACTTGATTTTAGCCGTGATGGACGAATCATTGTTTCTGGCTCAGGCGATCGGACAGCACGGATATGGAGTATGGCAGATGGTCAGTGCTTACATGTTCTCCGTATCAAAGATGTCGATCAAAAGGATCCTGGAATTACCAGTGTTGCTGTTTCGCCTGACAGCCGCCTTGTAGCTGCCGGCAGCCTTGACAAGATGGTCCGTGTCTGGGATACGCACACTGGTAATCTTTTGGAGAAACTTGAGGGCCACAAAGACAGTGTTTACTCGGTTGCTTTTATGCCTGATGGAAAGACTCTTGTGAGTGGTAGTCTTGACAAGACATTAAAATTATGGCAATTGGGTACACATGAGGGGCGTGGACATGGTATTGACAGAGACCGATCCAAGGGACCGTGCAAGATGACTTTTTCAGGTCACAAGGTAAGATGATATTACTATGATGATAATTAATTATCACTATTATTATTATTATTATTATTATTATGTTGTTGTTGTTATGTATATTATGTTCTTTGTACTCTTTAATTTCAAATTATTGTTCAAGAGAGGAAATATGACGGCTAATATTCAATATGACTCTTTACAGGACTTTGTACTCTCTGTGGCGTGTACTCCCGATGGAAATTGGGTCGTATCAGGTTCAAAAGATCGTGGTGTACAGTTCTGGGACCCCCGAACAGGTCAAACTCAGTTTATGTTGCAAGGCCATAAGAATTCGGGTAAGTTTCAATTAAATTATTAAACACTTAATTTACTCAAACAATTTATTTATTTATTTGCTTTCCTTATTGTCAATAGTCATTTCAGTGGCTATCAGTCCAGCCGGAAGACCCATGTTCGCTACTGGCTCAGGTGATAATCTTGCTCGTATCTGGAGCTACGAACCATATGGCCCTTAAAACTCTACAAACTAAAACACAAGCCCCCACCCACCCACACACGCACACACACACGCACACACATTCTTTCTATTTCGCATGTCTTTTTTTTTCCTTTTATGCAAAGATAAATAAAAATAATATAATAATCAAGAATAACAAAGGTAATATTGCTCTTTTTATTTTATTGTCTTTTTATCTGGTCTGGTCTGGTCTGATCTGGTCTGGTTTTGTTTGGCTTTGTTTGGCTTGTTTTGGTCTGTTTTGTATAATTATTTATTATATATGTATATGTGTATGTATATTATTTTATTTTGAAGAATACAAATCAAAAGAAAAGTAGAAGAAGAGAAAATAGGTATTGTGTGACTATATAGATTACATTTTGTGTGAGTGGGTGTGTTATGTGCATTTTGGAATGAAGAGAAAAAGAACAAAAAAGGAAAAGGAAAGAAGGGATTAGGGGCAATTACTATATATCAAATATAGTATTATAGCGGTGGTAAATTTGGGTGTGGTGTGCTGCTCTCAGGTGGGATTACAGAATAGCCATGGGGTACACCTTGGACTTCATATTTGATTGACTTCTCTTGTACCTCTGGTGCTTCCAAATCTCGGACCGGCGTACCGGTGCGTTCAAGTTTAAAGTAGAATGAATAGCATATCAATAGTCCTGTTACCTAAGAATGCTCTTAATTGTTAGAACATTTTCGGGCTTATATAACTGATGCATAATCTATTTATTTCATTATAATTTTATTACTTACTTGGACCACATTAATTGACCAAAGTTTCATTCCCCAAGAATAAATATCTGCTCCAAATGAAGCCACAAGATATGAGAAACATGGCTGTGTAAACTCTGTTCCTGGTGCAGGTCGATCTTCAGGTGTTCGATAACCCTGGCACTTCCACTGTTTCTGAAGAAGATAGAGAACCGAGCTACTGTTGCTCTCTTGGGAAAATGCACGTTCCCAAGTATCACTCAGCTGGTCCTTTACATACTCCTCTCGATCCATCAGAACCCACGAGGATCTTAAAAGCTGAAAAAAGGCAAGCAGTGCTAAGGGTAGAAAGTACTATGCAAGACATTAGGTGTGCTTTCCATTTACCCCTTTTGGGGTATCTAAAATTGGTCTTTAGACTGACTACTAATTTGCTTATATTATATAATTTTATTTTATTTTCTTACCCAGTGAATATGTTTACCCAAAGACAGCCAATGGAGACCAGAGAGGTATACAAACACTGCACCTACAGGTAACCATTCGACGCGAAATCCAAACGACGGTAACAAAGAAATGTCGTCTCTAGTAATAGGAGCGCCTCTGATGGTATCATAAGATAATGGGCGATTGAGGTAACTGGAAGCGTATAATACAAAGGAAGATCCAATACACTACGACCACAATGGAAAAAGAAGTCAGTAAATCAATCCAATACAATTAGATTTAATTCAATTCAATTTAATTCAATTCAATACAGTAAAGTATATCAAGTGTATATAAAGAAGAAGAAAATAGATATATGTAATATATATCTTACGATTATTGCTAATAAACCGATGGCTAATGACCATCGATACTGTTTTGCCCGACGTTTCTCTTCATTTTGAATAAGTAAGTGAACAAAACTGTACATGATGAAGAAAGGTGAAATAAATGCTTTTCTTTTTTTGGTTGTTTATATATATATATTTATTCATTTATTTATTTATTTGTTTAATGATTTTAATGATTTAATTATTTATTGTGTGTCTATGCACCAATGTTCCATTTTAATCAAGATTTCATTCACCAAAATTGCCATATTTATATAAATACTAATCATTAACAGCGTACACTCTTTTCGGTAATTATTCGCCAACTTTTGTAGAATATTTGCTGATCTTAAAAAAAATGGTCTTCTTCAGCGTCCCAAGTGTGGTGGAGCAAAGTATGAGTACAGTTACGCCACAGGAGTTCATGTCCCGTGACTCGATGAAACTGTATAAACTTAAGAATATTGCGCTTTAATACTAAAAAAAGAGTCTTTCCTCTCGGAAAAAGTACATATATATTTTCTTTGATATTTATGAGTTTTCTATGGTTAACCAGAAGTAGTTTCAGAAACAGATATCAGTCATATATCCATACGTAGCAATATCGATCCCCAACACAGGTCAAATATCTGGCTAAATCAATATGAAATTTAACCTAGTGCGCTGAAGAGGACTATTTTTCTTATAAAAAAAATCTAGGCTTTTTGACATATTTGAACTGATTATCTAAATGCTTTGTATGGAAGTTAAGAAATTAATTCTTTTGTCAAACTTCATTCTAGCAATTTTTTTTTCACTTTTAGGTTAAGCTTTTCACTTGTACAGGCCAATCCCATACTCTCTTATCGTGCATGTCTTGTCAGGTACTTTCCGGCTCATTTTATTTCATTTATTCTTCGGCTCTCATCGGGTCCCTTACATATTACAGTGCGCAAGATCTAGAAAAAAAAGCTCCAATAAAATATTCTTACTTGCCTACCGCTATTTTATTCCTCGTAGACCGCACGGATAAAAGTCGTGGGCCTTTAAAAAGAAAAAGGGTGTCCCATATAATAATTGTTTTTCGCGCCATCAAAAAATATTTTAGGGGCCCAGCACACACTACAATTATTCTGTCATCTGATATTTTTTTATTCAAGCAATCAGCAAATGTTACTATAGACTATCTACAAGAACATTAAGGTCACTTTGAAGAATATATTACAAGAATCGCATATTCTTAAAGATCGTGTTTTCTCTTCCAAGTGCTGTTCTTGTTTCATTTTGCTTTTGCAAACAGACCAGAACTGCTTAATTGGATTCAGTTTAAGAGAATATGATGTTTACACATAGCCGTAACCTCGCCTATATTGATATATTTCTCAACATCACCATTCTTGTGGTTAGGTGCATTAGCTATCACAATATAGTTTTACTTAAATTACTCATATTTGTCCAAAACATACATCGTATCATATATAAAGCTGAAGTAATGTCTTGTCCCAGTACCCACTTCTACTTGGATTCTAAGTTTTTCCTTCATGAAATCGTATAATAAATAAAGTAAATGAAGATGTTATAAATCATGGCCAATCTAAACCCTTCAAGCATGGTTGGATCTGTTTGTTTTTTAAAAGACCGTCCTCTTTCCAATATCTAATAAAAAAAATCAGTAGATTGGCTTATCTATCATTTTCAAAGTTAGCCATTTTGTTCGCTTGAATTTGGTGAATGATTTCTGAAAAAGAGTGTATTGGTACAGTCATTTGAAAACTTGGTTTATTTTAATCACAAAAAATTCTTGCCACAATTGCAGCCATAGTTTTTTTTTAAAAAAAAAGGAAAGAAAAACAGTATTATTATTATTGTTACTATTAAAACTAAAGAGCTAATAATATTTCTGATTTACTCTTCAGCAGAGAAGTTAACCTTGGGGTTGAAGAAGAGAGAGTTCTTGCCCCAGAAAAAGTCCTAAGAGAACCAAATAAACATTACACACATTCTCATTATTAGTCACCCAATATACGTATATAAAAACGAGTATTATATACTATACACAATAAATTACCTTTGCACGGAAGTTGATATAGGGGTACTTGATGTACTGGGGAGGGTGGTGAGCAAGGTGCTCGACGTGGTGGCTATACAAGTTGTAAGCGTTGAAACCAGCAGCGGCAAGACTGAATTAAAAATAAAATAAAGTAAAAAGTTAATATTTTTTGGTTTTTGGTTTTTGGTTTATTTTATATGTATACACAAAGTTAATGGAAACTTACGCAGGAATGCAGACGAAGATGGAAATCTTCAACCAGGTACCGGCAGCATCTACATTATTATGGATGACATTATCAATATCTCGTCCCACTTTTTTCTTTCTTTCTTTCTTTTTCTTGATTCTCTTTATTACACGTCTTTTTATTATTATGTACGCACCAGCAGCATGGTGCTTAACCGCCTCGCGCTCGGCAAGGAATTCGGTAGCAGCGAGGGAAGACTGGGAACGGGCACCGGCACGCTTGACAGTGTTGATGAGCTGGGTGTTGAAGAGAGCACGGGAAGCCATTGTAAGGAAGTCTGGGAAAGAAACAAACAAGACAAGCGAAAAGCTAGCCAAAAATTGTTTTTTTTTGCCACGGTGGGTGGAAGAAGTCACGTGATATGGAGGGCCTGTCTGTTTTTTTTTCTAGTCGCTGACGTGGGTCCGTATTTTGTTTCTTTGCCGTCCGACCATCACTTTATACTCTACATCATGGCCGACGCACCTGGTAAAGGAAGAAATAAAAAAAAGAGGGATAGAGAGAAAATAGAGAAGGATTGGAAAGATTCTTTTAATGTAGCGATACCTTGGATTCAAATACACGCGAACGATTATTGAGAAAGAAAAACAAAAAAAAACACCATGTAGAAATGAAGGCTACTCAGCAAGAGTTAAAGAAGGCTCGCATTCCTATTGAATACCGCGACTATTGTGCACATCTCTTGATCCCGCTCAACAAGTGCAGAGGCGAAACATTCTACCTCCCCTGGAAGTGTGAGAACGAGCGTCACGAATATGAGAAGTGCCAATACGATGAGTAAGTGCTAAAATGAAAGCAATTTGGTCATAATCTCATGTAATGCGTGTTTATGCTTCTGTGCATCGATGGAATTTTTTTTCTGTGATTAGTTATAAGCGTCGTATGGTTGCCCTCAAGAAGGCAAAAGAAGACGAAGAATAAAAAAAGGGAGAAGACGATAAAAATACCAGTCGATTTACTTTACTTATAGAGGATGCGCACCGTTGATTTTCATATTATATGTATGTATATATTTATATATATATATGGGTGTGTATGTGTGTTGCATATATCCATACACTGTACAAAAGACAGATGAAATCAAAGTCGAAAAGAGAGATATAATTGGAAATTTATTTGAGAAATACGGTGTATATGTATGTATGTATCTGTCTGTACTTGTGTTTGTGTTTGTTTCTGGGCTTGTGTTTGTGTGCTATTTCGAATGGAAATAAACCAACTTTGCGGTGTATTATATATATGTTCGTGTGTATTGGATACAAATATACTGTTTCCAAATACAAGAATGATAAAGCTGCTTTTGATAAAGTAGATACAATCAACTTTTGTTAAGAAATATATTTCTTAAAGGTCAATTACCAATGGGATTGATTAACTTGCTTCATAATAATTATTATTAGATAAAGTGTAATAGAATATGTATATTTCTTACACTTTAATTTTTATTTTCTTCTTTTTTCTTTGTTGACATGATCAATATTAAGTTTCCTAATTAACAGATATTGGGTACAGAAATGCTGTAAAGAGATTAAAAATGTAAACATATGCAGATAGTATGACTTTAATTTTTATTTTTTCTATAAACGGCTTAAGTTTACTGGTTACACAATGAATGTTGCACGGGCACCTTTCATCTCATTTATGTAAACTACTTTCACTAATATTTCGCACATAAAAAAAACAATACATCTGAGACAAATATAAAAAACTACAGAAGACTAATAGGGAATTTCACGCATTGCTATTGCTTTTGACTCTTGTTACTGATCTTAATGAAGCTCAAACAAGTGCTTATTTTGAAATAATACAAGATTTTAAGTGCGAAGTAGTGGCTTTTTTTTAATATAGTATCATTCTCATATTAATTTAGGCACGCCCCCAAGTCGATTTATTTGGTGCTACTTGCAATCGTAATTTAAATTATAAAGAATACAAAAAGTAATATTAACAACAATTGTGTTTGTTTTAATAAATTTTCACTACAGGAAATAAAATTGTGGCTTTCTGGCAGTTTTCTGGCGGTTTCGGATGGCAGTGCTCTAACAGTTTTTTGCCTAAAATCCATTTTACCACCCTTGAGTTTAAACACTTTTTACAAATCTCCGCTTCCTTATTATTTTTTATTGGCTTTTCTATTAGACATGGCTTCTTTCTTTATTGTGTAAAGTTTATATAGAATTGATTATTTTTATTTGAGCATTATTTTGATTCGCGTTTTTGCTTTAAAACTTAGTTTATATAGGGTTTCTATAGGACACTAATTACTCTTTATTATTGTTAAACTTTTAAAAATAGCTTTTATTAGATAGAATATATGTACATTTGTTGTATTTAGGTTTAATTTTAGAGAAGAGATGAAGAAATAAAGTGAGACTTTGTACGATCAAAGCTCAATATAAGGTGCTCACGGAATCAGTTATTGATATAAAATTTCCTATTGATTACTTTACTAAACACCATATATAGTGTTTTCCAAAATTCAAAAAAGACTATTTCGCTTTAAAGTCCGTGAATTTTTCCGCTGCTCTCTACCAGGGGAAAAAATAATTAATACCTATATATGGTGATTTCCATAATTCCTATTGACACTGCGGGTAAGAATCATCTTGTTTTTACTATATTATCCCATTTTCTAGGCTTTTATATATATATTAAAGCTAGTATTTTTTAAAGAAGCATACAATATATTACTGTAAATAAAATATATTGTTTCAAGCAGTATAGTTTGTACTTCTTTAACAAGAAATGGGAAAAACAATTGATTTCAATATGCTATATGTTCAAACAAGGTCATATCTCTTGAGTGTAGTACTGATTACAACACCGACTTAAAATTACGTAAATAGCACCTATACTTGGTAATTTGCGCTATTCTAAATATGGCGTTTAGTAAAGTAATCAATAGGAAATTTTATATCAATAACTTATTCCATGAGCACCTATAGTGATATGGATAATGAGCAGAAATTTTGTTGTTGCAACGGATTTTGAAATTAGAAAAGAATAAAATCATAGCAACAAAACTAAAGACAATTAGTGTAGAACTAAAGACATTAGTAGAGAACTAAGAGACTTAGAGCATCCACAGCGGTATGTAGGAATTAAAAAAAATATGGGAATTTGACAAATTATTTAGATTTTTTCATTCACAGTGGTTTTGCTATACAATGTGCGAAACTAAAATTTTTGTGAGAAATGTTTAGTGAATGTGGATGTTTCGAACTTTACTAAAACCTTTGGCAATAAAAATTAAAGTCATATTTTAATAAAAATTGAAGGCAGATTTTGATATAAATTGAAGGCAGACTTTGATATGAATTTTGAGTATTAGTTTCTTTATACCTAGCTTTACTCTTTGAAATGAACAGCAATATTTTCCAATCCTCCACTGACGATGTCTCTTTGAGTGAACCTGTTTCCACATCTACCGGTGGCCGTAACGCCAATTGGAACTACTTGAAGGACATTCAGCTTTGTAAGTCGTGGCTGGCTATTTCTCAAGACCCAATAACAGGAAAAGATCAAAGGGGTACTACCATGTGGGAAAGAATTGGATTGAACTATCTTGAAAACATCAATCCAAGCTATATGTTCCACTCTACTAGTTCTTTGACATCCCGCTGGAATCATATACAAAGTAAAGTAGCAAAGTTTTGTGGCTGTGTAGCTCAAGTTGAGCAACGCAATCAAAGTGGGGTCAATGTTCTAGATATAGTAATATCCTAGTTAAAATTTTGGTTAATTTATTATTGATGTCTAATCTCTATATATACAAAAACTAGATTTCTGAAGCAAGAATCCTGTTCAAGGTCCAAAACAACAACAAGACATTTAACTTGAATCATTGCTACTCCATCCTTTCTCTTGCTCCCAAGTGGATGAACGGCTTAGAAGGTTCAGCAAGAGGACAAGGAAACAGAAGCCAGATTGTTGTGTCAATCACTCCGTCTGGTGGGAATGTTCAGGGGAACAATGAAATGTCTTCTCAACAAGGGGTTGTCTATCCAATAGGTTGCAAACAAAGCAAGGCCGGATCCCAGGGAAAGAGAAAGGTCCAGGAGGCTCTTTTTGATCTGGTGAATGATCAAAGAAAAGCCCAGCGTTCTGGTAGCAGAAAGGACAAAAATTTCAGAGAGATGCTGGACATGAAGTATATCATGATGGATGCAGACACTATCAGCAATCCAGTAAGACACCGCTGTGTTCTCTTGAAGCAAAAGCAAGCCCTGCGCCAAGCAGAAGAAGTAGAAAGAGGTTTTGAAGATGAGGATGAGAGTAGTGATGATGAAGAAGAAGAAGTTGAAGAGCTTCAAAGTGATGAAGAATATAATTTTTCTGATGAATAAAGATTTTTTTTGCACTTTTTTAACATAAAACTTTATTACACTTTATTTATTCATTATTTCCTGCCATACTCCACAAGTTATTCACAAGGCTTTTTACTAACTCGGCATAGTTGATTCGGCTTGTAACTTCACAATATCTTGTGACAAATTCAGAAAAGCTTCCTCTGGTAACGTCTTCACTAGTCGCTCTTCTACTAGCTCTGTCTGATAATGTCATTGCTGCCAAGCTTTGTTCATAGACCATGTCCAGGCCATCTACACCACGTTCGTCTTCCACTATCATGTTATATAATATGATACATGGTTTCATTAGCATATTTAAGTCTGTAATTCTCCACAACTTTGCAGGAAGCTTGAAAATGTTGAATCTAGCCTGCAGTACTCCAAAAGCCCATTCAACATCTTTTCTTGTGGCCTCTTGTTTTTGAGCAAACAGCTAGATTATAAAATTTGAAGTAGCAAATTTTAGTAAAGATAAGAATAAATATAAGAATACACAAATATATGTTATCTTTTCCTTTGCTAATATGGGATTTGATATGGTTTTTATCAATGTTGCATAGCTTGGGTAAATTTCATTGGCGAGATAGTACCCCATGTCATATGTTTTGCCTCTAATGTTGTAATGCACAACAGAATCTGTCCCTTTAGTGATTTCTTGAAAGACGTCAGATCGATCAAGAACGTTAATATCATTAAGGCTGCCAGGGAGCCCAAAGTACAAATGTCACAGCCAGAGGTCTTGAGAAGCAACGGCCTCAAGAATCAAAGTTGGCTCATGTTTACGGCCAGTGTACTGGCCATGCCAAGCCGTCGGGCAGTTTTTCCAGGCCCAATGCATACAGTCTATAGATCCTAGCATCCCTGGGAACCCTCTTTCGGCACCAACTGCCAGTAGCCAATCTGTATCTGCTTGATTCGGCCTTCTAAGGTACTCATCTCTAAATACAGCTGTCAATGACTTGCAAAAGAGTTTCATACTTTTTAAGGCAACAGTCTTGCTCATTCTCAGATATTTGTCAAGTGAATTGGCAGACACTCCATAGCAGAGCATACGCAGTGCAGCGGTAACCTTTTGGAACATTGAGTATCCAAGTACTCCAGAAGCATCTCTTTTTTAAACAAAATAGGAGTCTTGGTTATTTACTTCTTCACAGACCCGGAAGAAAAGACCATGTTTCATTCTAAACCTTCTTCAAAGATTTTCTTGTTGTAGACAGGATCAGCAGCAAAATAGTCAGAATACAATCTTTCATTGCCTTCAATACGTCTTCTGTTTATACTTGTCCGAGTTGAAGGCATAATTGCATCCAAATTGTTCAACAAAAATACGTTATTTGCTGCCCATCTTGCTTCCTCTTCTTTATCATCATACAAGTAATCAAATAATCCAAAATCTACAACTGGATTGTTGAGAAAGTACTTGTATTCTTTGATATCAGAGTCTTCGTTCAGGTTGATTGTATTTTGATAAGCACTTGTGGTGTATAAGATTTTATCTATATTTTGATAATATTAAGAAAGAAACATTTGATTTAAGATTGATATTTGAAATGTTTATATGTTGCTGATAGAAATATTTCAATCCTAACATTAGAAAAGTCATGAAATATTTAGTTTGGCAAAACCGATGTGATTGAATTGAAATTTCTATATTAAATTTGTTTTTTCATTCCAAAATACACATTTATTTCTCACATACCACTGTGGATGCTCTTAGCAAACCTTAGAAAATGATAAAACAATGATGTAAAAAATAGGATAGAAACAATATAAAAGCAAAGGCAAATAACATGAAAAAAAGACTATCTTACACCTTGATTCTCAAATCCTATATAATTGTTTCTATCTTAAAAGCCTTTATAATCACACTGTCATTGAACACCTAGTTAGTTCTAATTGAATCTCCACTAGTGTAACGAAAAGGCTAACCAGCACGCTCACAATTTTATTACTATCACTATATCAAATGTGTGTTTTTCTTACTTCATGCATTATTTAGTGATATTTCTAATGCTGCTGTAAGTGACTACTGTTTTCTAATAGGATTCATAGTATTTTGTCTAATAAAGTAGGCTTGCTTTAAAATACTAAATAAAATATATATTACATTTATTTTTTATAGTATACAAATAAAGTCAGAGCTCAATATAGTGATACTGGTGGATTCAAATTTTATTACTATCACTATATTAAAAAATAGTGATAATAAGCAGGCACAAGCCCAAATTTTTCAAAAAATTATCACTATATCGCAATTATCACTACACCACCAGAGATTTTTGGTATCATTTTGGGTAAAAATTGACACCTAAGCAATATGATTGGCTTAGAGACCAAAATATTGTAATTTGTTTTTGTACTCAATTTTTTTCATCCAAATAAAGAATAAAGTTAAGTTCAGTACTACTTGTGAGCTTTTAAAGTAAGAAAAAAAACTGTTAGGGAAGTCAGAAAGTGTTCAAGTAAGACAAAGGATTTATTAAGAAAAGTTGGGGATTGGTTTGAGTAACCAAAAAATGACTTCACAGAAATTACGCAAAAAAATTGATGTTGAGAAGAAAACAGAAGGTTCAAATAATAATTATAATAATAATAAAGAAGTAGTATCATTTTATTTATCAAAAAGAATATTATTGAAAATGAACCAGTAGGAACCAAACTTGCTCAAATTTACAATGTAAAATGGGTTGCAGAAAATGTGCAAATCTAACTTACAAACGAGATTTATGTTAGCAATATCAGAATGCTCACCTGTTATTACAGCCTTGGCATAGTTATTGTTTTTGTTATTATCCATATGAGGATCAATGCTAAGAAACTTAATAACAGAGCCTGAGACAAGTCCTATACAAGGGCGAGAGATTGGATCATCTCTAAAAACAAATGCGCCAAAACTGTTGTTTTGGATGGTGTCATCTTCAATATCTCCAGTGTCATTGTTGTCCTTTAGCTCTCTTGAGCCACCAAAGGAGGTGTAATAGAACAAGGATTCATTGATGTCCTTAATGAACCTCTCTATTCCAGTTCCAGACTTCTCTTGGTTGCCAGAGCTATTAACTCACAACCCACCATCAATTACATGTTGCAATGCTACCTGCTTTGCAAACTTTAGGCAAACATTTCTGGAAGTGTTTTGGCGATTCTTATGAAACAGATGTTTGCGAATATGCTTATTGAACTGTTCGCCCTTTTCTGTTTCATAATTGAGGGCTGGGCCAAAACGAATTATATCTTCCTTGAGATGTGTCAAGTAATGAACTTTTGGCTTGATGCAATATGCCTTGTGGAGCTCATTCTTGGTTCCTTTATCGTAGTCAAACAATGCTTTGATCAAGTGCTTCACTGCATTATCTACTCTGATAATATAGTTATCAAAGTCTGATGTCACCTGACAAACAAATACCAGAGAGCACAATTGGCCAAGTTCAACAAAGCATGGTATTATAAGGTCTAGCTCATGATTTCCAGAGAATTCTATAATCAGAATTACAGGAAGTATTTGAAGCAGAACCTTGAAGTCTCTATCAAGGAATGAATCACTATGTCTCAAGTTTTGAGTAAACTTTCTTGATAGACCAGTTGATCGTGTGTAATCTGTCAAGAATTCTGAAAGTCTTGCTATTGTGGCTGTGTCATTCTTAAGCACGACCTTAACCAAGTCAATCACCATATACTTTGCAACACCAAGAAGTATCGTGTGGAGGATTTCCACTGGTGTATTCTTTTCTGGATCAAACGACTGCAATTCTAATAAGCGGCCAGTCGAATGATCTCTAAAGCTTATCTCGTTTGCAGGCGTGTTCATTCCAATTTTTGGAGCATTTGGGATCTCAGTATCTCTGCCAGGTGACGAGTTTGCAAGAATATAGTGCTCTTAAGTTTGTCTCTCGTGGCACTCACAGAAGTAGGACAAGTCCTTCACAAAGTCTTTTGCACATCTAAGTTTGATGTAGCATCTTCTGCAAGGAAATGTGGTGACCGGTCCAAGCAATCTGCAAAGTTCCGAATGACATGGCGTGTCAGCCTCAATCCAAAGGATGGGAGCAACAACCAGAACATACTCATTGTCTTCAGCAGAGAACATTTTTACACCTTTCTCAAGTTTCTTAAAGTCATCAACGATTGCTGGCAGAAGAGACATACCATTTGCACCATCTTTCTTAGGGATTGTAGAAAGAAACTGGATGTTTGCTATCGAATTTTGATTCTTAAAAGGCAAGGCAGCACATCTCATTAACCAGCTTTCAAACGGATTGTACTGCTTTGAACGATTGTCAGAAGTGCCGTCTGTAAAAAGGATGATTGAAAAAATTTTAACTTTGTAAAATACTGCATCGCAATCTACATTACCAGGCAAAACAGAAAGAGGCATAGGCTTCTTCATTGGATGAACTCTAAAAAGAAGAAAGTCATGAGCAGGACTCAATCTGGTAAGGCTACTTGAGATACTGTAGTAGTGATCTCTTTCAACAGGAGTGGTGTCAACGTGAGAGATCTGCTCTACTCTAAGATCGGTAACAGCAACCTCAATGCCATAGCATACAATCGAAATCACTCTGACCAGATACCCTCTTGCAAAAATGTTTTTATTTGCCATGTGGAATGATTCAACCAAAAAGCAGATGCTGCAATCGTTTGTCTTCAAGTAAATGATGGTTCTAAACCAGACATCTATACCATTTACAGTGTGCATAGGCTGCTGAAAGAGATGGTGGGTTCTCCACTTTTTACCTTGTTCCAAACAGATCGATTGGTTTGGGATACGATCGGGCATGAACGAGATCAACTTGGATTTCTTTGGGTTTGCCATAAGAAATCTCAAGTGGTCAGATGGAAGGTTAATGTTAGCAAATGCGTTCCCGTTTGATCCAGGTACTGATATTCTTTGTGAAGGAAAGACAGGCATCTTGGACTTCTTTCTTGCCTGATAATTTAAAAGAGCATCCAAATAAGGTAACTTAAATGTTCTTCCTATGGGAGTTTCTTGCTGGATCTTAATGATCAAGTTCATCACAAGCAGTATCTTCTTCAACATTTGCTAAGAGATCATGCCATTATCCCCATCAATAAAAGCAAAAAGAATCATGGTTTGAAGATTGCAAAAAGGATAACAGCTTGTAGAGTCATTTACAGTGCCAATTGTCTCAAAGACTTCTTTTGGGATCTCAGAGTCATCATCAGTCATTGATATCTCATCAGCAGCAGCAGCAGAAGAAAACATATCAGAGAATGCGTTGAAAACTGGATTACTGTTCATTTCAATATCAAAGAAATTATTGACAATATTGTTTTCCTCGTCTACAATATTGTCTTCTTCATTCCCGATACTGGAGGAGTCATCTTTGTCACTCAAGTAATCAAATGCATTAACATCCAGAATAGTGTTCTCAACTATCAATTTGGCCTGATGGGGTTTGTCGAGTACAGTATTAGTTGCCATTTGATTACTTATATGGTGAACCTTCAAATGCTTTTTCAGTAACCAAGGCTTTTCGAACTCTTTTTCGCATTCAGAGCAGATAAAAACATCTGAATTGATGCTAAAGTTAAGTTTGCCTTGCCTTTTAGGGGGGTGAGTCTTAACAATTTTATATGCACTATGGGAAAAAGGTGGTCTTTTTTGAATTTGTGACTTCATTTTTGGCCTATAATAATCAAAAAATCACCAAAAATCCAAGTTGAAACAAGAAAATCTTTGTTCTTTGAAATGGTTGATAAAAAGCAAATGAATCGCTTAAAATTAAATCTCAGGAGGGACAAATGTCCATTCTAATTAAACATCTTACATTTTTGGTAAATATATATTGGAATTGAGAAATATTGGATGTCAGAAATAAAAAAAAAAGAAAATATCTAAACTTTCTGCTGCTTGGATAAAATTTGTTAAGACAATTTGAAAAAAAAAGAAAAATTTATTACAAAAAAAAAAAACAAATTATATATCACTTAAGGCACCAAGTGTCAATTTTGGGCCACGTTTAAGGCTAGGCCAAATGATGTAATGGCTACCATTGACATTTGATGGCACCAAGCCAACCAACTCTACAATGTCACTGGCATGAATCACTATAGTCTTCGGCTTTACTACAGATGTAATAGGCAATCCATTTTTCAAATGCACACTATATATGGTTATGAGAGCTAGTGGCCATCTCTTCGAGTTGTGTACATGTTGGAAGAATATAACCACCTTTCCGAAGAAATGCTTATATCCTGGACGATAAGAGCGGGATCTTCTGGAGTTCATGTCCACTTGTAGCTGCACATGAACATGACATGCCTCTCTTGTAGAACTTTGGTTGAATGCAGCGTCAATAACACAACCATTAAGATAGGCCTTGCGACTTGTCTTTATGGAAGGCTCAAGCATACTAAATTCTTCCCCCTTCAAATCATAAAACGTTTTAAGAAGCAATGAAAGATGAGATCTATCTTCAAAGCTATCGAAAATTGTTAAATTCTTCAAAGGCCCCCAGAACTCAATCTCACACTCAGCATTGGCAGGATCACCTCCTTCTGTAACAGGCCACCCATCGGTATATGCACTGTAAACTAGAAGGTTAGCTGGTGGAGTTTTTGTGTTTGCAACGGTTGTCAGTTCCGCTACACGCCGGGATTGCGCCAGTCTGATCATGATGTTTCCAGCATTGACACTGACTTGGGAGTTACTCTTGATGGACCTGGAGTACTCACCAATGGCTCTTTCCACGGATCGTGTGCTATATGCTCTTGGCGGGCCATATAGATCAATCATCTGAGAATAATGCTGAATAATGTGCTGGTTAATTGTGAACACGCCAATGTCAATATCTGCTGTAGAAAGAAGACTCTCTAGGAATAAGTTCCATTCTACAAGATTACTAAGAAAAAAGGTAAAAGTAAATTACTATGAAAAATGAAATAAAATATGGCATTAAACATACCTTCTTATCGAGGTTTGATCCTCTGCTGATAACTCCCAGCTCATGAGTAAATTGCATGTTTGAACCAGGCCAAGTAATGCATTTCGGGCAACCAAGTCCTGGACACGCTCTGCAACCAACGTGGGGACAACAAAGAGTAAAAAGTCTGCCCAATCCACAGCTCTAAAGAAACCGGCATTCTTTGTCACATCTCTCCAGGCACCATGCAACGATGTAGGGATTGTGGATTTTGCGGCTACCATTGCAGCACCAATCTCCCTTTGAGTGGCAAGAGAAAGACATAGAGGATGCTTGATTCCATACTTTCCGCGTACAAGTCCCTATACCTGTTTACCGATTCCGTGACACAGACCATGCATCTCGTCTAACGCGAAAAAAAACGGGCCAGAGAATGTTTCCATTGAGGCTAACGGTGACTGACCATTGAGCCCCTTTCTGTCTTCACTGCTTGCCAGATTGTAGTTCCTGAAACTCTCCAGTGAGCGCGTCTGGGTTCCAGGCAACATGCGGAAGTACTGGCCATGTTTAGGAGTTTGGCCCACTACGTGACAAATACGACAGCCATTCTTACTCGTGTGGCCAACATGGCATGCCAGCTTTGCCAGAGCTGGAATATCGCCAGTGGCCATGAGGACATGTACCTTTGCCCTGATCGTTGTCGTCGGTGTCTTTACTTCCATGCCTTCTGTCTGGAGCAAACGGAGATCTCTTAGCGTTGGCTCAAGAAAAGACCAGATGTCACTGGGACCAGTGCAACCAGGAAGCATTGCTATTTGGATCATCCTGTTTTTCTCATAACGGATCGTCGGATTCAAGTTTAAGACAGTTGCATGAACAATGGTTACTGATCCAGGTACATTGTGTGGGTTGAACCCGTCCATGGACAACGAAATCGCAATATCGTTTTCACCAGAAAACAGATGCTTCATGGATTGGTATACATGACCATCGAAAACATCTGCTTTCTGCCCGTCTTGGCTGGATTGGTGGTTATGACGATAGAGCATTTCAGCCCTGGTCTTGTCATCAGCCAAGCACAAAGCAAGCTGTCTGGCCAAAGGAAGCTGTACGATCGATCTCACTGGAACCCTGGTGTCACTTTCGCTAGTTTGGCCATTTTTGTATCTTGCTTCACCGCATTTTACGCATGCGATATCATTCTCGTTGTTGAACTGCATACAACCTCTGATGCAAATGTCGTATCCGTCTGCTTTGATACCCGAGAAGCGCTCAAGAAGCTTGTTTCCAAGGTGTGGGCTGCATGCTCGGTACGTAATATTGATAGAACAATCAAGGATCTGGTTGAAGTGTTCTACAATCTTTTCGTGGGCTCGACAAGAAATTCCGAACTCTTGGATCAACTGCATGAACGCGAGATTCTTTTTATCATCGTTGCTGGGAACAGGAAGAGGCTGGCTAAAATCAAAGACTAGCGAGGGTGTGGTGCCTTCAATTTCGTCAATGACATTCTCGCATTCTTCTCCAAAATCGTACTATAGTAAGATAAACAACAATAAGTATGATTATCATAATATATGTATTTATGTATCTCACCATGGACTCATCATCTTCAGTACTGTCAATGATATCCATATCCTCACTACTGCTTGTGTTGGTGTTTTCTCTGTTTGTTTATCAAAGTATACAGCTAATTAATATACTGTCTATCGTTTTGTGTTTTTGCTTTTGATAAGCTTACCCAAAAGCCAAGTTAGGAACCATTGCTGATGTAAACTGGCTTTGATCAGGAAGAGAGACAGTTTGGGAAACTTCGCCATTGGCAAGTAATTCTGCCCTATTTGTCATGCATCGTTCGAGACATCTTTTATATGTTCGACTGTTATTAAAGGTCGACTTGCAAGTACGGCATTGGTAACGAGGGGCTTTTGTAATTTTGGACATGTTTGAGGTAGGTAAAAAAAAAACTTTGTTATATAAGTAAGAATAGAATTAATTACTTTCTGAATGTATAGCTTTATACTTAATTATATAAAGACAATGATGTTATATGCATTCTGAATATATGCTCGGAATCTTAAAGAAGTATCTGTATGTCATCAGTGAAGTTACTAGATCAATGTTTCTTCAGGAGTAACCAATAGATTTGTACAGATAATTTGAAACTAATAATTTGAAGCTAAAAAATTGAAGCTAAAGATTTGAAACTAATAATAGTTTCTGGTAAAAAATTTTCTCTTTCTTTCTTTTTCTATAACAAACACGTAACTGATTTTTTCTTACAATTATGAACAATACAGACAATACAGTGATTCAGTTGCTTCAAGGAATACAAGCTGCACTTATTTCCCTAAAGAGTGGTCAAGAAGCATTGCTAGGCCGTCAAGAAGCATTAGAAAAAAGACAAGATGCGATGCAACTTCAAATGACAAGTTTTTACAATGAATTTAAAGATCGGGAATTTCCAGATAGAACTATTGTAACCTCTACCAGTGTAAGCAAATACTATAACAACTAAAGTCCTTTCAATTAATGTCAAACATAATAGACTCTTACTGGCATCATTCCAAGACCCGTATCAAAAATCAACGATATAACTTTAAAGCATATATACAAGATGATAACAGACGATCTTAGAATAGAATTGACCGAGGAAACCAAGAGAATTGTTAACACATGTACCAAGGTCATATGTGATCAACTGGCAGCTCTTCCATCTGTTCAGGATCTTGGAACAAACCCTGGCTGGTCATTGCTTCCTCAAGAGGATAAAAACAGGCTGTGTATCAATCATTCCATCATACTCAGAGACAATGGAATCGATTTTACCAGATGCCACAGAAACTGGGCATCAATTGCAAGGGTTAGCCAGCTCTGGAGAGGGCGTAAGAAGCGAGAATACTCTGGTAAGTTCATATCTGGTAGGTACAATAAATTGTGTAATTAATGTGAGAATATGTAATAATCTGAAGGAATTTTAGCCAGTACGATTCATGAATAAAATATTATTTCTATTATAACAACCAATAAAAACATTTTTAAATAATGATCTTCTATGAAATAAATTTTTTTTGCCCAATTAAAACTGTGAATGAATCAGAATATATATATGAGAACCAATTGAGAGAATGCTTTTGTTTAAATGACCAATACTATCAATGTGCATACTGCAATAAAGTTTATATTATCCAATTAAAAGTAGCAGTATAACGAAAGTATTTTATGAGTGACAATACAAAGATTCTTTTTTTCCATCTATACCAATAAGAAAGCTCTTTTTTATTTTCTTTCTACCAATAGAATGAGAAGAATAATACATAAATTTAAATATCGGGATATGAATAAAACCTAACATCCATCAGTCAACGGAGATCTAATTATATTTCCAAAAATAGGGATGGTCTTTTTGCTGGTTTTACCAAAACTGCCACCCAAAAGACCACCTAAAATACCACCTAAAAGACCACCAAAAAGACCACTTTTTTTCCCGTAGTGATGTTTCTTGTCTTGTATTCTTTTGCATAATAGTAAATTGATTGTAAAAACAAAGAGGATAAAATGACTTTGCAAAAATAATTGAATTTATAAAATGTGCAAAGATCAATATTTAATGTCAGTGAACCAATTAGAATTTTTTTACTTCTTTTCTTTTAAGAAAATATCACATGTTTTTGTATTTTTTTCATTTTACTTTTCCACAAAATATTTATTATTTGCATGAGCTTCCATCTGTAAGATATTCCAGTATGTTTATAGTATTTATAGAAGTAGAATTTTGTTTAAAGATCATAAGCTCAAAGGTATTTATACTATCAGTTTTTTATGTCATTGTGTTTATTAATCATACAATTCTAGTTTATAAATTAGTTTTTCATCATCTTGGTAAATCAATAAAGAGGTAATAACTACATGTTCCTCTTACAAAGCAACAGAAGACTAACTATTTACTCCTCACTTGCAGAGATTTGGCTGCCTTTTATTGCAAATACCTTAATAGAGTCAAAGATAAAATTCTGTTAAATATATATAACTAAGTTTAGTTACTAATTATTACTTCTTCTGCTTTAGCTTTTCTCGAAATTCAAATCTTTATGCTCTTTGGGTTTATTGGTATTTCTGGCACTAGGTCTCTTGGATTAGCTAGACATAGTAGTTTGCAGCAAACCGATTACGTAATTTACAGGCACAAGTACAAACAGCTATACTACTAGTGTTTCTAGTAGTATGGATATACTGGTGTGCTACTGTCTGTAGATTTTATGGTCCAGTCTAGCTTTTTTTTTAGCCTAATTTTTTTTGAAAATAAAAAATAAATTTTTTACAACCCAAAATTATTTGAAACAAATTAAAAATTTGAACCATTTTTGAAATTGTGCAGTACATTTTTTAATCGAAATCTATTGGCCAAAAGTAGTCCCCCCATCCCCCCACTTTTCAGTCCCCCAAAAAAATGAATTTCCTGTTATGGGCAAAATTCGCTCCATATACAAGAATCCTTTTAAGGAACAAGATTACACAAAAAAATCTGCTGTGATGTATATCAAATATCATTATATCAAACTTTGACTGTATAGTGGTTTTATTGAGAGAAAAAAAAAGAAAGTTGGTATTGGTTAAGATGGTGTTCTAACTATGACAGTTATGCTTTTTTTATAAGGCTCTTTTACTCTCAGATCCCTATTTATCATTAGCTCCTGAGATTAATGCTGTGTTTTTGATAGGACTTGTTTTATAAAAATTTATATGGCTGTCAAGTACAACAATATTTTTGCTTATTTTAATAAATACAAATTTTTATTGGTTGTTTTTATAAAAATAGCTTTTTTAAATTTATTTTATTAGCTTATACAAGAAGAGGTAGCTTTTATTACTTATTTTATTAGCTTATACAACAGAAAGTAATTTTTATTACTTATTTTATTAGTTATTAATGCAAAAAAATAGATGCTTTTATTGGTAATTAAAACATTTGATCTTCTATGTTTTTAAAGTATAGTATCCTATTCAATCCCATTGCATTTTGATTACTTACAAGACTGCAATCTTCCATGGCAATCTCTCCAGAGAAAAGCAACTCTTGCAGTTTATGCTCAGTTTCCAAGATGTCTGGTGAAGTCTATATCAGAATCCTTTATTATACTTGCGTGGCTTACACACATTTCTTTCTTAACTGCTACTGGTATAGACTCTCAGCTAAGGTTATGACCAAGAGCAATCACCAAAGGATAGGCAGTCATATCATCACATATTAACTTTGTGATCAAAGTAAGTGTGGCTTTTACATGACTGGTTACTTCAACAATAAGATCTTCACTTATAATTTTGAAAATAAGCATCAAAGTTATATCATGCAAATTGTCCACAGATTTATGAATATAATTACCATCTGACTATTAAATAAGATGTTAATATATACTCACATTATTTTATTTTTGACTTACAATGGTTGTGACAGAAGGCGAAGTGTCTTAGTTTAGAGTATTTTGAGTTTCTGGTTGATTCTTGAGAGTAGTGATCTCCAACTTTAACTCTTCAATCTGTGTCTTCATTTCAAACTTCACTGGATAGGCTGAAAAAGCAAAATAGGGAAGGAATAATTGCTAGTAATGGTCTTTTATTTAAAATAGCAAAAAATAGGTTTTTTAAAATCTAAGTAAAACATATTATTGTTCTTTGATCATATGCTGGTCATTACAGATGAGGGAGGATAGGTGAATTATTCCTTCCCTATTTTGATTCAACGGTCTATCCAGTGAATTTATAGGTCAAGCCAAAGCTCTCCCAAAATTTGGTGAGACCGTCAAACCAAAATAGGAAAGGAATAATTGCTACTTCAGAGAGGCACCATATCCAATGCGTTGAAAAACTCATCATCATCCTTAATGTCTTGATCTTTGTCTTGCTCCATATACTGCTCTGTAATATTACCATCCATGTCTATAGTAGCAGAGAAAGCAGTCGTTGGCAGTTGTAAGACTAGGCTGGTAAAGTTGGCAGTGGAGATGTGATTTTGTCAGTAATGTCAGTAAAAGACTATGTCCGAAGACCAGTTACCAAGCATGACTATCTCTTCAACAGGCATTCCTCTGTCCATCACAAAGGGAGACACAAGAGATCAAACAGACATTAATTGATCTGTTGAGAGACATACTAGATCCCAAAGCTAGGTGGAGATAGTTGTAACTTTAACAGGGATAGATGGTGAATAGGATTTCACAAAGAGAGCTGTGGGTGGTCAGGTGGCAGCTTGGGGTTGAGCTCTGAGCACTAAGAATGCTTGAATTGGGCATAGTGACTTCATGGTATGTAGTTGAATCATAATGGTCTTTACAATCCGTTGATCTCATCTGCATTCCTTTGGTGCATGCAAATCAAACACAAGTGCTCCCGTGTTGGTCTGGAGGTAAGCCGAGGTAAGCTGCAAGCAGTTCAAATCAGAGGGCCTGAGGAAGGCAGTCATGGCAAGCAGAAAGACTGTTTTCCATGCTAGTGCTGCAAGGGATGTGGAGGCAAGAGATGGAATCGAAGCAAGGAAGGAAAGAGTTGGAGTTAGGTCCATGTGGGTCTTGTGTTGTTGAGTCAGAATGGCCATTATAGCCAAGCAAGCAAATAAGGAATGGATGTCTTTATGAGTACGCAAGGAAGTAGGATCTCTATGTAACTTGAGGGCTGCTGTATGATGGTTTTTAATATTCCCTAAACTATACCCTAACAAGTGATTGTATACCAAAAAGTTAATGAGGTCATAGACTGAAAATTCGGTGGTGGAAACGTCATGTTGTAGTGTCCATGCAGTGAAGATATGTTATTTGCGTTGGTAAACTCTGTTTGTTGGTGTGTTCTCCAGAGTGCCTACCATGAAGATATTAACTGACTCTGCATTGAGTCCTGTATCTTGAAACTAATGCTTGAGACTCTGTATACACCTAGTCTCCACTGAGGGTTCTTCAATAGCCAAGATGACTTGGGAAAGCCAGAATTATGTCCTGGAATGTCAAGAGGAGAGGGGGACCTATACTCATCTGGAGGAGCAATGGGTACCATCATGCACTTGGCCAAATTGATGCTACTACTGTTGCCACTATGCACTCTTGCCAGATCTTGTGCAAGCACTGTCCAATCAGGTTTTAAGGAGAATTCAGGTAGCAATTAGCCCATTGAGACCATGGTATCAACATTGCGTCTGTTGCTGTTGCCTTTGGGTCTGGTCTCCATGAAACAAAAGTTGGGAGAAGGTGGGTCAGCCAGACTGCAAATAAGTCCATGGAATAAGGACCCCATGTCTGTTGGATAACTTGAAAAGCTGGACAAGACAGCTTTCACAAGTTCTTTGTAAATGTGCAATGAGATGCTAAATCTGCCTCCACATTCTCCTTGCCTGCTATATGCTGGGCTGTCAACCTCAACCCACGGTGCAGACACAGCCTCTATATCTTGGGAGTCACTGTCATCAGATAAAAGGCCTTGGAGCCATCCTGCTTGTTCAGGTACGCCATTGAGGTAGTGTTGTTCATTCTGACAAGTATGGATGAGTGCTGTAGTGAGGGGAAGATTTGTAGGGCAAGATGTACCACCTTCATTTCTTGCCAATTGATAGACATTGTGGCCTCCTGGTGGGACCAATATCTATAGATTGCCTTGTCCCCTAGTGCACATCTCCATCTGGTGCTGCTCGCATCAACAAAAAGAACATGCTTGTTTTGTTGTGATAGGCGTGATTGGTCATTCCATTGTGAGATATTGCATTCCCACTAGCAAAGTTCCCAAAGGCAGGTCTGAAGCAATGGCTGTGGTGTATCCTACCCTTTATTCTTCTTCACAGAGCCATTCTTGAACCACATCAAGTGTTGCGTGTAGAGTCTGGCCAGAAAGAGTGTGATCATGGCTGCCTGGATCCGCATTGTGAGACTGTGGACCAAACAAGGAGTTAGAGATTTGTGTTGTATCAGTTGTCATATTGATTATTGTAAATCCCTCAATTTGGCACCTGGAATTTTGGAAATTATGTTCTTGGTGTCCAAAAGATAACTCAAATGTTCCAGTTGTTGCGATGGTTAGAGCAGCAATTTCTTTATATTTAATATCCAGTCAAGAGAAGTGAGCTTGTTCATCAACATTTTGGTATGAGTTGCTGATAATAATCCAATCATCGAGATAGGCACTGACTTGTATTCCCAAGATTTGAGCCCATTCTAGTACTGGATGGGTCACTTTGATAAACAACTATGGGACGACTAATAGACTAAAAGAAGTTGTATGAAACTGGTAATCTTGACCCTCCCAACAAAAATGTAAGTATTTTCTTGATGCCTTGTGACCTAAGATATGAAGGAAGGCATTGGACAGATCCAAGGAAGTTAGGTAATCGTGTGGGCAGATCAATTTGCATATATTCTGCAGTGTCTCCATCTTGAAGTGAGGTATCTTGATGTGTTCATTTAACTTCTTGAGATTGAATACCAGTTGATGACCACCATTCCTCTTTGGTATCACAAACAACGGGCTGCTGAATCCACTGGAATTTGGCAGCACCTTCTCAATAGCTTTCTTGAGGATTAATTCCACAATCTCCTGTCTCAGAAAATGTTGTTGATTGTCTGATATTGGTACTGTTGGGTGATACTTGTTGGACAGTTTTGGCATCCTGTCAAAGTGAATGCAAAAACCTTCTCAAATAACACTATTCAGCCAGCTGCTGTTGGAAAGTCAGGCCCAGACATCAGCAAACTTACTTAGATAACCACCAATGGGAGCTTTTATTGTTGTTTGTTGTTGCTGCTGTAATTGTTTTAACTATATCATTGTACCAAAACGCCCATTACTGAAACGAAAACTCTAAATGAAGAAGGATATAGAAAATTAATGTGGTAATGACCAGCAAAAAAGATGATCAAAGAACAATAATATGTTTTACTTAGATTTTAAAAATCTTATTTTTTGCTATTTTAAATAAAAGATGATTACTAGCAATTATTCCTTCCCTATTTTGGGAGATCTTTGGCTTGACCTATAAATTGAAGTTTTCTTAACCTGCCTTCAAAGATAAAATCTTATTGTACATGACGTATAACAAGGAGATGACATTGTTACTAGTGTTGTTCATGTTGAGAGTTTGACCTATCTGAGAAAAAGAATTGTTGTGAAAGAAAGATAAAGGCTAAAAAATTTTCTATTGTCTATTATTAGTTTCATATCAATTAGTTTGACTTATTCATCTCAGACAATATTAATTTTGACTTGACATAGTTGTGTTGACAGCTTAATAGACAATGTTTCAGATTTTGTTTTTTTATCTCTACTTATAATATCTATGTCATCATTTTGAAGTTATTAAGTCTATTCAAATCTCAAAGCTACTATGGTGCTATTAGACTTAAGTATCAATGTTTTTGGATTTGTTTCAACTTTGTCATTTAAAATTCCACATAGTGATAGTATTTAATGTCCGATGGCTATAAAAAAATCAAAATTCATATATCTAGTCCTTAAAAAAATGCAAATAAAATTGATATATTTTGAAAAAAAAGTAAAGAATGATATAAAAATTATATCAAAGAGGAAAAATACAAATATATATATTTAAAAAGAGAGGATAAGAGTTTATTCCTTTTCTTCATCACAGTAATGAGAAATATATCTTCTTGAAATAAAGTTCTTTACAACATTGTGAGCTTGTTTTACATCTATATCTTGGCTATATGCTTCAATATAGTGCCAAGATCTGTTGTAGTATCTTCAGATGTGTGAGAGCTTTCCAGCATGATTGAGGAAAGTATGAATGTTTCTATCTAGAGACTTGTAACTGTAATTGCACTGAAGGCAAACTTCATGCTTTGCAGCACCCCAGTACCTCTTGATCCAATTACACTCACACTAGAACTTTGGATAAAGCTTGAATATGTGGCCAGACTTATCCACCAACTCATTGAGCACTGTCTTTTATGAGACAAAGTCAGATTGCGATGCTAGGAGATGGTGGGCACAGCACGGATTATCTTTTATTGCATCTTTGTTTTTACAGTTCAGCCTCCACTTTTTTGTTTGGTTATAGAGGTCTTTCTCCAGTCACAAAACACGCTCTTCTAGAATTGTATGAGCACTCTTCATGTACTTCATCTTTTTTATCACCCACTGTTTACTCTTCTTTGTAAATCACTTGTCTTTCTTGTAGTACATCGATTATATTTTTTTCAGGCCATCCTGAACAAAGATGGTTTCTCTCAATACACAAGAATTATCTTCTTCAACTTCTTTATTGCCCAAGTTGATCTTGTTTGCTATCTGAGCATTTTGACCAAATGTCTTATGATTTATACTTTGGTCAAATACAAATACAGCCTTGCATCCAGAGTGAAGAAGCTTGAACAAAGAAATGTTTTGCTCTCCAGCTGCTTCATCATATGAGCATCAGTCCAGTACCCATCTCTATCAGCTTCAGAATAGAATATCTTATGACTAGACTATGTGTTATTAGTCATTATACTATGATATACACATTTAAATTTACTAATCATTAGTGACATGCCAAGACTCTTCTTTCAAATTGAATTTTCACTCTCTACTAGCTACATTGCTTCTTTTCCATCATTTGAATAGAAAGTTGACTCGTCATGGGTGACAAGAACATGTTCTATTTCATTAGTTGATAGCTGTGACATAGTCACCTTATCATTCTTCCCAAAACTCACCATTTTTGACTTGTAAGATATCATTTGCTTAGCCCAAACTTGACGATAAGCAATAATATCTGCTCTTTTGTGGTTATCATAGTATATGTCTTTTGAGTTTTTTCTAAATAGATATCTCCATTCATGAAGATACTTCCAGATAGTATTTGTTGATATGTTCCCAGAAATTTTGAGCTTTCTTGAGAAGATGTCTTTATCAATAAACTTTTTCACTGAAATAATACTTCTGCTTTTAAGTTTTTGGCATTGGATTCATTTATGTACAGATGCCTTTAAATTCTTATCAGAAAAAAGTGAAACTCATTTGGAGTGCTTTCCTTGTTGATTTAAGGCAATTAACTGAAAATCCAAATACTTCTTGACATATTCCCTAATTACAGCTGAGCAATATATGTTTTTAAGCATCCATATTTCCATTGATGCTTTCTCTGAGGCTTTCATTGTCTTCAATCCTGAAAGTCTAAATTGTAGATAACTCTCAACTGACTTAAGCTTGCAAAATTCAAAAGCGTTAATAAGTTAAGAAGAAGCACCTGTATAAGTAAAAGACTGAAGTTCCTTCTTGACATCTTCATATGCAACTTTCATTATAGTCATCTTATTGGCAAATAATTTATAAGATTGGATTTTTAAGTCTTCACACAATTTAACTAAATTATTTTTTTGTTCTAATAAAGTTTATGTCTGTAAGATGATAGCTCCCCTTAGAATCTGAAGCTTCATTCTCTGCCTTTCTTTTTCTCTACTTAGTTGTTCTTGAGTTATTTTGGTAGGTACCATAAACCAACTTGTCAGCACTCTCACACCATCTAATTAGCTGGTTGAAATACACAGCTGAAGTAACTTCTTCAGAGAGTCCTTGAACATCTTTGTAATCAAAAACGATTTCTTTGTACTCAATCTCACACTATGCCAAAAAAAATAGGAGTTTTAGAGGTGGTTTCACAGGTGGTTCCGGAGGGGAAGCCAGGGTGCGTTTTGTGTCCTCCCCCCTTTTTTCCAACCCTGAGTTCATATGCATTTTAATACATCTCCGCTTACCGGTAGTTTTAATATTCTATTAATATATTGATAACCTTTTCTTTTGCTAATATTTGTCTTTCAATTGGACAAAACTTCTTTAAGTATAGTTGAAATATTATATACTATTGGTTACTACTAATTCATTATTCTTTTAATTTAGATTCTTTTAAATATTTCTTGCTTAATCATTGTTTTTATTGGATAAGACATAATTGCACTGTAGTGTATTTTATAAAAATATATTTTTATTGGTTTCTCAAATGGATATATTTTTTATTTATTGTTTTTATTGGTTACTTCACTATATAATTACATTTTATATATCACTTTTATTGGCTGTTATGATAGACATTACATTTTATACATCATTTTTATTGGTTATAAACAGTCAAATACATCATATACTTTCAATATTAACTATACTACTTTACACTGCAGTGGATAGTTACTTACAATTGCCTCCTTTGATGGCCTTTCCAGAGATGACTGACTCTTGCAATAGATGCCCAATTTTGATGGCATCTGGTGAAATCTATACCAACCCTCTTAAGCATGTTTGCATGTTTATTGCAAATCATTGTTCGATCACATGAAGATATGGATCCCCAGCTAGGACGAGGGCCAAGAGCTCATACAGAAGGAAGGGTAGCTAACTCATTACATACAAGTTTCGTACAGGTCCTGAGTGTTGCTTTTTTGGATGCTATAACCTTGATTCCAAGATGTTGACTCATCATTTAGTAAACATGTTCTAAAGGGACATTACAAATGTTGATCACAAGTTTGAAAATAAACCCACTTGAAGTCTATTGAAGTTAAAGTTAGTTTTCAGCAATACTGTTTTGAGTTGAACTTACATTAATAAACAAAAAGAGATTTTGCTTTGGAGATCCTTTGATCATTATTTCATTTCCAAGGCTGTTAATATCCATCTTAATTTGTTCTTGATTGGCACATAAGACAGATAACTGGAGCTGAATAGCTAGGAGTAAAGATTTGATGATGTTATCTGTGTCATTCATATTGCAAATATTGTTTACCTGAGAAAAAAGATGTTGTTGTGAAAATAAGGTATAAAGAAAAAAATTTTCAATTATCTATTATTAGTTTCATAGCAATATAGATTGAATCTATTGGGTTGGTTTCAGTGAATATCAATTTTGCTTACCATGCTTACATGACAACATGATATATATGTTTTACTTTTTTCTTCTGAGCTTATATTCAAGTTACTGCACCATTATTGTCTTCAAGTTAATCATTATAAAAGAGTTCAGACTTGAAAGTGAATATCTCTATTCTTACCCATACTTCAAAAGAATAAATTCAAATTAACAAAATGTCTACAATCACAAAGCTTTCCTACCATGAGTACAGTTTCCGCCACAAATGCTATACAAACAAGAAGCTTGTAGCCAAGTGTGAAGTTCAGTGCCTGGAAAAAGTTTATAAACACTGGGGATCAAGGAGAATACATAAAATTAAAGAGAGGATAAAAGATACTTTTTATTGATATGAATTGAATTGTCTTATATAGTTTTCTAAACTAATACTATGCATTATCTGAAGTAGTTATTATATTATATTTAAATAAAAGGAGAGTCATTATACTGCAGTTAATGCTTAGGAAGATGTTACTGCACATAAAGAGGTAATGCAGTTAACTATCTTCAGATTTTATGGATTTATCAAAATAATGTCGTTCCTGATCTGGGATGGTCTTCCTTTTACTATAGCAAAGTCAAAAGGTCAAACCCACTGGGGATTGGAGAGTATATGTAAAATCGAAGAGAGGATAAAAGGTCCTTTTTATTGATAGGAATTGAATTGTCTTATATAGTTTTCTAAACTAATACTGCGCATTATCCGCAGTAAACTATTATACTCTATTTAATTACAAGAGAAGTCCTTTTACTGCGGTTGATGCTCAGAAGATGTTACTGTGGTTAATCTTTACAAGACATTACTGCGGTTCGTTATCTATGAGGTATCTTTGACATACAGAACTGCTGCAGTCAATTATCCCGATTTCTCGGATTCATCAAAATAATGTCCGACATCACCCCCTCTCGAAACTGTTGATCGTCCTCGGTCAACTCTGGTAGACTCTATCATCGAGAACAGCAAGGTGGAAGAGGAATCTATGGCCAGATCACGTTGCATATTGTTACGAGCAGCGGTCGGGTGATACCAGGTGCAGTCGAAATCGTCGGATTTGGCTATTTTGAGGCGGTCAGCATGAACCCAAGAAGTATAAGGGACACCTTCCATTGTTGTGAGCTTGTATATATTCTTATCGAAATTTTTATCTACTACAATATATGGGCCCATCCAGTTATATTCTAGTCCAAATTTGTTTTCATGCCGCAACAACAAATGTTCACCGATTGCGAACTGATGAGGTTTCATGATCGAATCCCATCGTTCCTTGTCTTGTTGGCTGTTGGCGGTTACTCGAGCGTCAGCATTTTTGCGAGCCTGTTGGAGATTACGAAGAAAAGGGATAGCGCCATCGGATACGAGGGTCGGGTCGTCAGGGATAGATGTATCCATAAATGGACGTAGGGGATCGCCAGGAATACGAGGTTTGCGGCCATAAGTCAAGAAAAATGGACTGAACCCAGTTGTACGATGCTTTCTGATTCGGCAAGCCCAAAGTGCTGTTTCCAGATATTCGTCCCACCGGTGAATGGCACCATGTACATATTTACGTAACATCTGTTTAAGAACACCATTTAACCTTTCACATTTTCCATTAGTACGTGGGTGAAATGCTGAGGTTAATTTATGATGGAGCTTAATTTTCTTAATGTAAAAGCTCAAAATATGTGACATAAAGTTTGCACCACGATCTGTCAGAATTTCGTCTGGGCAACCAAAACGCATGACTATTTCTTCGTACAAAAAGTTGGCGATGGCTTCGCCCGTAGCAGCAGGAACAGCACGTGCAATTGGCCAATTCGTAGCGTAGTCGACGGCAACCAAAATCCATCGATTTCCGTTGATTGTAGTGGGAAGTTCTCCAATGAAGTCGAGATGCCAACGAGAGAAAGCAGGGGGGATATCCAATGGTTCCAAAGGGGCATGGTGTATGTTGCGTTCTGCGTTTGAGGCCAATTGACATTGATGACATTTCGATAACCATTCTTGAATTTGACTTCTCATGGCTGGCCACCACCAACGCTTCTTCATTAAATCATACACCGTTGTTTCTCCAGCATGTCCAAAACCATTGTGGAAATTATTTACTAAGTCTGCACGCTTGGCAAACAGTGCAAAACGAATTTCTTGTACCGTGTCACCTATTTTAACGAGACGGAAAACCTTTTGGTCGTGGACCACAAACTTATTGCGTTGCCGATGGAGTAATTCTTTTATGTCTTCTGGCCATTCATCTTTTTTTCATGCATAAAATTTTGGCCAGTCGGACGTTTGTGAGTCTGGTATGGTGTACAGGTATTCTGGTTCCATTGATTTAATTAATGTTGCATCGTATTCTGGGCCATCGAGACGAGAGAGCACATCAGGGACACCATTGTCTTTGCCCGGTTTGTATTGAATTATCGGGTCGTACAGCTCGAATTCAGAAATCCACCTTATCAGGCGAGGCGTGGGCTTAACCTGACTGCGAAAATACTTGAGTGGTAAGTGATCGGTGAATACAGTGAACGGTTTTCCTTCGATCATGCAGCGCCAAGTACGCAAGGCATGTAGAATACCGAGTAACTCGCGCTCTTGAGCAGGATACGATCTTTCGGCAGGGGAGAGTTTTTTCGATTCGAACGCTAATGGTTTCCAACTTCCGTTTTCGTCTTCTTGCATTAATACGGCACCAACACCAAAATCTGAAGCATCTGTTTCAATGCGGAATGGTTTATCTATGTCTGGGGCAAGTAATACAGGTGCAGTACTCATTTTCTCTTTTAGTAAATCGAAACTTTCCTGGCATGTCTCCGTCCAAACGATAGGCCGTCGTTTTGGTCCTGTCCCTTTAGTTAAGTCTGTTAAGGGCGCAGCGATTCCAGCAAACCCAGGGATGAAGCGGCGGTAGTGCTGTGCAAGGCCAATAAATTGTCTAACTTCTTGTACATTTGTTGGCAGTGTCCATTCTTTTATAGTCTTTACTTTGTCTGGCGATGGTAAGATGCCTTGCGCAGATACGTTGAATCCAAGGAAAGTTAGTTCGTTTTTGTTAAATTCGCATTTTTTAAGGTTGGCAATTAATTTCGCTTCACGTAGTCGGTTTAACACATGTCGTACATGTTCTTCGTGTTCTTCTGGTGTCGTGCTAAAGATTAGGATATCATCCAAATAGACTAAGGCAAACTTATCCAAACAATCTCCAAGAACTTTGTTCATAAGATGCTGAAACGTCGGTGGGGCATTGGTGAGACCAAAGGGAAGAACCAGAAACTCATATTGGCCATATCGGGTGTTAAAGGCGGTTTTTGGCACATCTGAGTCTTGAATTCTCACTTGATGGTAACCGCTTTTGAGGTCCAAACTGGTGAAATGGTTTGCTCCACGAAGGCGTTCCAAACACTCATCGATGCGTGGCAATGGATGGTTATTGCGGATAGTAACTTTGTTCAGGGCTCTGTAATCAACACACATGCGCATCTCACCATTTTTCTTTTTAACAAATAAAATTGGAGCACCCCATGGCGAAGAACTCGGACGAATTAAGCCGAGGTCTAGAAGTTCCTTTAGTTGTTGCTGTAATTCGTCGAGTTCTCGAGGGCTCATTTTGAATGGCGGTTTATTGACAGGGTAGGCATCTCCAGTGTTTATAACGTGTTGGACGTCACGGTTCGGCGGTAATCCAGGTAAACCGTCTTGGAAAACGTCCTCAAATTCTTTTACTAATTTCATCCAGTGTTCATCATTATGTATTTCTTTTTCTGTCTTAATGTGCAACAAAAAGCATTCGGCCTCCTCTCTCCTAGAGAGTTTCTCAATTTGTTTTGCAGATATCAGATAGTTTAGGTGAGGTTTAGTAGGACGGGGCCCATGAGGACGCAAAATAAATTCTTGTTCATCACGATGTAAAGACCAGCTATCGACATGCCAATCTGGGACGGGTTTAGCCATTTGCAACCAAGTGCGGCCAAGAATCAAGTCGAATTTAGTGGGAAATACAAAAGCATCGATGGTGTCAGTGTATCCATTTAAAGAGAGGTTTAATGTTGCCTTCTGATGGATCTTAATGCTGTGTCCTCCTGCAGTTTCGACTGATCGTCCGGGTATATCCAAAATGTGTGTGGCCAAATGGGCGATCTGGGGTGATACATAGTTTGCACTAGCACCACTATCAATTAACACCAGGATTTGTTGTCCGTCAAGTATAGCGGCGTATAAGGGCAAGTCTGTGTCCACGGCAGCATGGAGATCTTCTAAGAAATGTTGGTCAGCAGTGAGACAAGGGTCACAATTTTCTTCAGACATAGTCTCAGGCTCTTCATTGGTAACATTTGTATACTGTTCAGACACGTCTTTATTAATTTCTGGTTCACTAGTTTCGCTAATATTATTAGCCTGTGGGGAGGATTTTTCTTCCATTGAACACAACCGACCTCCCGTTACGGTTGTGTTTCGCGAAAACCCTGCTTCTTGCTACGTGCCTCATCTAACTGTCTAATCGCTGCTAATCGATCCCTACAGTTCCTCTTGAAGTGACCAACTTCGCCGCACCAATGGCAAGTAGCCACATTACGTTTCTGAGGGGGGCGAGATCGATAGTTATTACGGCAACCTTGAATCGCATCCAGGTCCATGGGCTCGGGACCACTGTACTGCTGTTGGTACGGCTGTTGGTACGTCTGTTGGTACGGTTGGGGGACGGGTGCGTAGTTGTTCTGTTGCCCCAAGTGGAGGCCACTGGCATATGCCAAAGCGATGTTGCAGGCATCGTCAACGTCGACAGGTCGGGCGGCAAGAACATTTCCTCGTATGGTGGGGTGAAGTCCGCGGACAAACTTGTCGAGGGCTTCTTCATCGTTCATTCCAGGCAACTCCAACTGGATGTCGTGGAACGCGTCAATGTACTCTGCGACCGTTCCTGTTTTGTATAGTCGAGCAAGGCGGTCCCTGGACGTCTGTAGTGAGTAGACTGGACGAAATTCTCCCGACAGAGCCATCTTGAACTCATCCCAGGTTGTTGGATGTTTGTCCTTTACTTCCATGCGTCTCCACCATGTGTCTGCTCTGTCACGCAACAGATTCACTGCAAATTCACAGGCTTTTGTTGCGGAAAAATTGTAGTATCTGGTGTAACGTTCGACTGCGCGCAGCCAACCATCCACTACTGTGGCAGAACGTTCTCCATGGAAGCAATCAGGTTGCTTGATTCGTTCAGCACGGGCCTCCTGCTGCACCGTGATTGCTTTCATTGCTTCGGCGACGGCAGCAGCAATTGCTTCGGCTGTTAGAGTGGCGGTTTGGGGGGCCATTGTTTCTTCTTGTTCTTGTTTGTTCTTTCCTGTTAAGGTTGCGGCTAGTTTTGTGGCTAGTTCGGTCCACTTCTGTTCTCGGGCAGGGGTCTTCTTAATACGCTGTTCTTCAGGGATATGAGGAACACGCCGATTCTTCTTGTAGTCGTTTACTAATTCGCTGGGTAACAAGTCCTGGACTCGTTCTTCAATCTCGAATTGGCTAAGGGTCTTCTTATCAAATATGTCTTGGTGTCTTTCAACCGGATTCATCAAAGGTCTTGTTAGAGGAAAAATAGCTTCAGCTACCAATTGTCGTTCCTGATCTGGGATGGTCTTCCTTTTACTATAGCAAAGTCAAAAGGTCAAACCCACTGGGGATCGGAGAGTATATGTAAAATCGAAGAGAGGATAAAAGGTCCTTTTTATTGATAGGAATTGAATTGTCTTATATAGTTTTCTAAACTAATACTGCGCATTATCCGCAGTAAACTATTATACTCTATTTAATTACAAGAGAAGTCCTTTTACTGCGGTTGATGCTCAGAAGATGTTACTGTGGTTAATCTTTACAAGACATTACTGCGGTTCGTTATCTATGAGGTATCTTTGACATACAGAACTGCTGCAGTCAATTATCCCGATTTCTCGGATTCATCAAAATAATGTCCGACAATAATGTCTAACAATTATTCTACAGTGAAAAAGTGAGGGACGAGCGACTCGAACGCCCAACCTTCAGATCTGGAGTCTGACGCACTACCATTTGTGCTAGCCCCCCGTAGCTGCTTTTATCACGTGTGTTGTAAACAAGTCTGGCGTTGACCAATTTCTGGTGAGGGATACCAGACAGTGGATTCCTTCAGTGGTTTGGTCCAGCGATAAGCCATGATGGGTGGTACTGGACTCATGGGCGTTGACATCGATGGTGAGTTGACCGAGTGACATGTCTTGAGGGATAAGAGTGGTCCCCCCCGGTTTCTTGGGAAATCTTGCTCCCGATACCCCTATACCCAAACCCCCCAATATAATCCTGTTCCTTAAAATTAAAATACCCATCTACATCATTACCTCAGAAACACCTGTCACCCACTAAAAACATTATACCTCTTTCCCCTAATTTTATACACTTCTTTATTGCCGACATTTATTTTACACTATTTTTTATTACATTTTATTAGATTTCATTATTATACTATTATTATATTTTTTACTTTACTTTACTACATCGTTATTATATTATTACTTTACTTCTATTCTACCTCACTATATTTTTACTTTATCTTTATTCAATTATTATATTTTTACTATATTTTTATTTTACTCTCTCTATAATTTTCTATTCTACTTCTACTATCAACACCAGTTATACGTAGTAAAAATTTTCACTTGACTTTCTTTTCTTTTTCTCAACAAATTATTTTAACCAAACATTTTTATTTATAAAAGGAACAATCTTTTCAATCAATAAAATCATCATTCTATCTTTGATCTTATTTATTTTTGCCTGTTATTATCATTGTTCTTCATTCATACACAGTGTCCTTGTTCTTTGGAGTGTTGTCTGTTGATTTTGATATATTTTATTTCTCTGTTTTCCCTTTTCTGTCTTTCTCAGATTTTGTTATTGTCACAATTTCCATTTTAATCTTCTCCCTATTTCTTCTACCTGTCTGTCACCAATTCTTACCTGTCAAATTACCCATTCTTTTCCATTCTTATTGTATTCTTCTTCTTGTATTTTGTAATTCACATTACATTTATTTGCCAAGTGATACTGTTACAATCCACAACAAATAAACATATCACGCATCACTTTTTAACACATGGTGTGGTGATCCAGACACTTGGATATTAGATTTATCATATATAAGAACATATTCATATTGGGATAGCGTAGTAGCTATCATCTTGTCAGTATAAAATTTATATAAATGATTAAGTAATCAGCCCAATAATTATTACAGTTAGTACTGTAGATAATATCTTAAAGATTGTTAAGATAATTATATCATACTGCTGAGTAAACTGTGTTGGATTGATATGGAGCTAATTTAGTAGGAAGTCCTAAAGCTCTAGTATAAAAGAGAAAAGAATAGCTAAGAGCTAAAGAAGTACGATTTATGACTTGATATAATAATTGTAACACTGACACTAGTTAAGCAGTAAATACACTCTAATAACCAAATATAGTAAAGGAAGAAAGCCTTAAGAAACTAAGACGTAATGACAAGAGCAGATTGTGTTTTCTTATAAAAAGGGACACTTTTTATTTATGAATAAAGACAACTTATATACAGTCTCAAAGTATTTCTATACGTCTCTATTATCAAATATTTTATTTTTCTATTGTTTCGTATCTGAAATACCACACGTGGTGTGGTAATTTTGTTGGCCTTAGTCCAAAAATCAAATTCTACTAAGTTCAGACATTCTTTTGAAAACCTCTTTTAATTTTTCTTCAAAATTTTAATTTCTTTCTTCCATTTTTATAAAATCGCCTTTTTCCAAAAACCAATTTTCTGAAAATTAAAATCTTTCCCCTTTATTTTTCTCAAAATTGTTTTCTCCCTTTTCTTTTTATTTTATTCCTGCATATTAAATGTAACGTTTTCTCTCAAACACTACTTTACCAAAATTGTTAACTGAATAGTTTTTCCCTTTATTTATAATATACTTCTTTCTGATTTTTTTTTCTTGTAGTTATATATTATAACTTCATCTATTTCTTCTTTCATGACGAAATATTTATATAGTTATTTTTCTTTATATTTTTATTTATGATTATCTCATTGAGTTTTATCTAGTCTATTTTTTGTCATATATTTTATCTATAAAGTAGTATAAATATATCTTTAAAAGCAATCAATAAACAACTATCAAATTTTTCTGATATAAGTTTTCTTCAAAGACACTATCTATTATTTCTGGTTTTTTTGTGAAATTTCTTCTGTTTTATTTATTTTTCTGTCAAGTCTTCATGGAAGATTGACCACCTCTTTTTATTTTATTATTTTGTTCCGATTTCTTCTTTTATTTATCTCTTAGTAAATTTATCATAGTAAATTTTCTTTTAGCTAAATTCTTTACTCTATTAAACATTTTTTTCTCATAGTTAACTCTTTAGAATTAGTATTATTTACTTCACTTCTTTTAGTTTAACTATTTCTCTAATCATTAAAATTATTTAGACTCTTATCTTAGTGTTAGTTTCCCTTTTTATTTCTTTAACTGATTGATTTGGTAACAAAGAGATTATTTTATCACCTCAATTTATCTAATATCAAACCCAAACTCTCAATTCCTCTTTTCAATTTCTTTTCTTATATACAATTATCTTTTCTTGTACATCTTGTACACACAACTACATATCACACACAATACTTTTGATACGAGGTGTTGTAAAAATAGTCAGCTCTCAACAAAATTTTAGTTGTTTAGCAGTGTGATGATGTTGCAGAATTCTTTGTAGTTCTAGAAAAATTATATTCTATTATTATTATTTTTTGATTTTCCAATGGCAGCCAAGACTGAACAGAAAGCAATTTTTCTATTCGTAGAGCAAAACACCAATAAGTACAACAAAAAAGTATCATCCTGTCAACAATAACTTTAGGCAACCACCACTGGAAAAAGTGTCTACTTTTACATATGTCAAGAAAATCTAATTTCGAGTGAGAGAAAATATAAAATTGCATCTCAGCCAGTTTTTGTGAATTAAATATTTGACAAGAGATGTAGTTAAAGAATACAAAAAAAAAATAAGAGATGTAGTCAATTTAATTGGCCATAGCAATTTGTGTAGCATCTGAGAAAAATACTAAGCCTAAATAAATAAAAAATAAACTACTTTGTGTTCCTTTTCTTTACTTTTAAACCCATAAATACATTTATCTTTTTTCATTAAAATGCCTCCCAGCCATATCTCAACCAAAAAGTTCAAATGCTACTGTCCAGTATGCAGAATTAAAGCAGGAGGATATAATACCGTATCTGCTCAAACACTTAAACATAATGAAAGAGATGAACAAATTGCAATCAGAGAGTAAACTAACAGATGTAAGAAAAACAATTATATTTTTATATTTTTATTTTTATTTTTATTTTTATTTTTAATATGATAATAATTGATACAATATATTAATTGAAATACAGAGAGTGATGTAGTCAAAGAAACACTTGAGATTGTCAGCCATAATGAAGTTCATTTTAAAGACAAAAGTAATGAATATGGCATGAATTATGTTTTTGGTAAAATAAAAACTTTTTTTATTCTTTATGATTGTTTTTGTCTAATATTCCCATTTTGATAGAATTGAATGACAGTGCAGAAGAGATAGAAACGCCTGCTCGGATAAGAGACTTACCTCTTTCTGAATCTGATGCTGTATTTAGTATTGAAGGCAACAAGTATGCAGCAAGCAATGATCTTGACAACAGAGAAAATGAGAGTGACAATGACATGAGTGATGATGAAGGTTTGTATAGTAAATTTTAAATAATGTCATCCCTGAGAAATAAAAAGAAAATTAATTGATTGTTCTTTTCTTTTCTTTTCTTTTTTTTTAAATTTTTTTTCTTTCAAGTCCGTCTCAGAATTGGGTTTGATCCACCATTTTATTGTAATTGCTATTACCTTATTTGTATACTTATACGTCTTCAATGAAGGTGCAGTGATTTTGATTTCTATTGTCAACAAGATTCTCAAATTGTTCAATGATTCATTCTGTCTTCCATTGAGCATTTCTGGGCTCAAGCAACTTTCAGGATTAAGCACATTAACAAAAGGGATTAAGAAGTATACTGCTTGTGGTGAATGTCATACAATCTACAGCAATGATGAATCTGTCCCAGTATATTACACGTCTCCTGTTTTTGGTAGTAACCTATTGTGTAAAACACCCTTATTCAAAAGTGGATCCGAGTCAACAATTCCAAAAAAGGCATATATATACCATTCGATTGTATCAGCATTGAAAATGTTTTTTTTTGTTGCCCTGGCTTTGAAAGTGCTATCAACTCTTGGAATTGTAGTCCAAAAGTAGATGGAATGATGTTTGACATATATAACAGCACTATATGAAACAGCTTGTTGGATGTCAATGGTCCCCCTTTTGTAAACAATGATCACTCTATAATGTTTACTCTCAATATCGATTGGTTTCAACCATTCAATGGGGTAACATATTCATTTGGAGCGATTTATCTTGCCATAAACAATCTTTCTCATAACATGTGTTTTAAGAAGGAAAATATTATCCTTGTTGAATTAATGTCAGGACCTAAAGAAGCAAGTAAATCAGACATTAACAACTATCTGAAGCCTCTTGTCAATGAACTGGAGTTATTATACAAAGGAATGAAAATCAGAACTCACCAACACCCAGAAAGTATCCCCATCCATGCTGCTCTTTTCATGGTCACATGTGATATCCCTGCTGCAAGAAAAGTATGTGGGTTCACATCTCACACCAGTACCAATGTATGTCATAAATGCAACTATAAATTCACCTGGTTAAATGGAACAAGCTCTGTCAATTATTCTGGATTTGATTTCTCTAAATGGCTCCATCGCACTAAGAATGATGATTGTAAGGATGCAGAGGTCTGGAGAAATGCAACCAAATCATCTGAGAGACAGTGTCTTGAAGTTGAAAATGGTGTTTGCTTGTGCGAACTGCATCGTCTCCAGTACTTTGATATTGTCTGCTGCACGATTGTCAACCTTATGTATAATCTGTTTCTCAGAACTGCCAAGAGAATGATGGATAGATGGGTTGCAGATGGAATAATTGACAACAAGAAACTTGCTGCCATGCAAAAATCTGTCGAGAAAATTGTGCTGCCTCCAGATTACATAATGTTGCAAAACAAGATTGGCAAGGGATTTCCTTACATGAAGGCTGACGAGTGAAAGTTGTGGTGCTTGGTATACTCTCCTGTTGTACTCAAGGGTGTGTTACCAAAAAAGAAATTCGACAACTGGATGCTATTTGTGAAGGCCTGTCAAATTCTGGTAATGTTTAGTATTTGCAAAAAAGACATCAAATCAGCACACACGCATCTACAACAATTCTGTTACAAGTGTGAGAGTTTATACAAACTCGATCTTCTCTCACCTAACATGCATTTGCATCTTCATCTTTGGCAAACCATCCTAGACTTTGGTTCCGTGTATAGCTACTGATTATTTAGTTTTGAGAGATACAACAGTATCTTAAAGAATATCCAGACAAATTGTAAGAGTAGATTTGAGCTAACATATATGAGAGGATTTGTGAAAGAGATGTACAAAGCAGATGTTGTTGATCACATTATAGGCATTGCAGATATTCACAGTTATTTTGATATTTTCAAAAAAATCATAAAAGCTAAAACACTAGGAACAGCAATAACATTCACAACATCAACATTAGCTCAACAACATTCGTTTTTTTTTCTTTTTCTCTTATTAAATTCATGGCTACAACACAAGATGAACCAAGAAGGATTAAAGGAAACAAGCCCCTACCATCAGCAACTTTTCCTTTGATAGTTAAATCTACATGAGTAATGCCAGAGCATGAGTACAACTGTCTTGTAGAATACTATCAAGTTGCCTACAATGACTATAATATTTCAAGCTGCAAAAAAGCAATGACCAGCCCAGCTTTTGTGAATGACAGAATTGAGGTACTCAAGTCAATTGTGATTCTTGGGCAAGTATACAAAGGATGCAATGGCAATGGACGTGGTTTGTATATCTAAGCTTTGTTTTAAGAAAATAGAACTAATGCACGTTATGGTTATGTTGGTGAAATTCAATACATCTTTGTACACACCTTCTCTCCATCAACAACCACTCTCTTATCAGCTAGCTACAACAACTAGCATACCTTTGCTTTTGTCAGATAGTTTAAAACAACATCAGATACACGAAGACAACCTGAAGGCATTGAAATCTACTATGACAACTTCTATAAATTAGATTTTCAAAGTATACTGCCCATCCATCATATACTTCTGCCAGTAGCAATCATTGACTACAAAACCAGACAAAATTTTAATAGGAAGATTGCAATTCCTTTGCCACAAAAAATTTATGCTTAATTGTCTTTTCTTTTTATATATTTTATTACTTTATTTATTTCATTCTATTTTACCTTGTTTATCAATATATTTATCTCTTTCCTTATTTCTATTTATTATCGTTTTTACTTTCAGTCTTGTTGTGTATAAATCAAGTATAAAGAATGCGCGTATGTGTGAATCAAAAAAAATTATTGTTTAATCGCCCAGGGAGGCAGTGACAAAATCAGCCAACATGGTACAGCAATATTTTTTTCTCCTCTCAAAAACCTGGGCATTCTTGGCTTTGCATTCCCTTTTGCTTTATGATCGGAATGCATGCTTTCATCAATCAAGCCCAGAAACTTGTTGAACTATATTTATTTTATTAATATTTTACTTCACTATGAGCATACCACAAGAAATAACTTACTTCATTACTTCTCCAGCTGGGACGGGCAACTTTCAACATATGCACTGGGAATCCAGGGAAAAGTTTCTCTGTGTCAGACTTTCTGTCCGACATAGCCCCTTTTTGGATAGCACTAAAAAAAGTCATCTTGGAATCTTCTTTAACCATGAGACCCATCTCCTTGTCTATCACCCTCCAGTATCTAGTGTAGATATTCTGGCAGCAAGTATGGATCTAAGAAAAAATAGTAAGATGAGTACAAAATATCTTAAATAAATAACATATTTTGTAATAACCTCTTTAATCCAGCTGGCAATTCTTGCCCTGCGGTTGTTGTCCACACTGTTATATTTTTAGAAAAGAAAGAAAAACAAAGTGCAGACGAGAAGTACGGTGAGACTTTGTTTATTGATGAAAAGAGAGATGATCTTCTATTGCTATTTGCTATGTGAGTTTATATAGACATTGCGTGTGTATTTAGGATAATGATATGAGTATATCATGTGATGTCTGTTTTCTTATATCATAGATAATATATTGTTAAGTTATTACCCACGCTCTTGTTTGAGTGATTAGTGATGTTGACTAAGGTGTGTGACCTTGTTATCGGTATATTCTTTATTTAATGATAGTGTGAGAAATAATGTATAATTGATACTGGTCGCTTATTCAATATGTCTTTGTCTTATTGTCTGTGCGCTCTATTTGAATCTATGATTATATTGGATACAACATTACCTCCCTCCAGGTTGGAACAACCATTTGAATTGCTTAGGGGAGTATCTGTACATGTATGAGAGCAAATGTCTTTATTTGCGTACGTGTTTGCTAAAGCGTGTAGGTTTTTGTGTTGGATGTGTATGCTTGTTATGTATAATTGTAGATTTATTGGTGGGTTTCTCTGGACCTCGTCTTTGCCAATATTTGTCAATTATGCTCAGATCGTTGAAATTGCTTGTGGGCTCCCAAGTGTCTTGATCTGGTGCATAGTTTTTCCAGCGCACTCTGTAAAGATAGTCGCCTTTTTCTTGACGATGATCAATGATGGCCTGTATCTCGTAAAAGCTATCTGGAGATATAACAGTATCTTGTGAGATCAGCTTTATCTGCGAAGGTGGGATGTTTCGTGATAGAAGTGCTCCCGTTTCGTCTTGCAAAATGTAGCTGCCTCCCTTTGTTCTGCCCTTGACTGTGAATGGTCCTTCATATCTTGGGTCCATCTTAGACTTTCTTAATATGTTCTTTATCATCATGTTGCTGTCGTTCAGGAACTCCATTATTATTTTATGGTCTTTGTCGTGTTTTCCTTTATCAGCAGCTTGTCTAGCTTTGATGCGTTTGCAGATTGCTGGGAATACAACAGTCTCCATTTGTTCAATTCTTTTTTTCATATCTGGTAGACTGTTAGGAGCGTTGTGCGTGCTCTCTGTTTTTCTGTAATCAGCAAAATCGTTTAGTTGTCTTGCAAACATTAGAGTGAATGGGCGTGTGCCATGTAGCTTAGCATGTTTGCTATTTATGGCTAGCTGTGTGCTTGGGATGTATATGTCCCAGTCTCGCTTTGCTCCCTGTGTTCTCTTGTTGATGACTTCCTTGGCTGTGTGTACCCATTTTTCAGCAACTCCATTTGCTCGCGGATGATAGGGTGTTACAAGCCGATGATCAATTCCTGCTGTATTTGTGAAAGTCTTGACGAGTTCGTTGACAAACTCGGTACCATTATCAGACTGTAAAACCTTGGGTAGGCCGAAGTCGCAAAAGATTTGAATGAGTTGTTTTGCAATTGTTAGAGATGTCTTATCTGGAATTGCGCGGAGTATGCAGAATCGGGAAAAGATGTCAACCATTACTAGCATGTAATGATTGCCGTTGTGCGAGGTGGTGTATGGGCCAGCTAAGTCTATGGCCCAGTGTTCACCTGGTTGACTGGCTGTAATAGGCTTCAGCGGATGATAGCCGTGTTTTGAGACATTGAACCATTGGCAATTCAAGCAGCGCTTTACTGTTTCTGTTGCCTCTTGCTTGAGATTAGTCCAGTGTAGTCCATCACTATGTATAGCGTTGACAATAGCGTCTGTACCAAAGTGGCCGAGTAGATGTGCTTGGTTGAGTAGATGCTGTCTGTCTTTGATAGGTGGTGTTATCATATCCCCTGTGTTGTGCATGCGTTGGATAGCATGTGTATTTTGTGTGTTCTTTATTCGATGATTCGTAGAGATTTCTACGGTTTTACCCTCCCCCAGCGGTTTTTCCGAGGTGAAAAGGCGCGATAAAACATCTGGCAATATATTGTCAATGCCAGGACGGTGGACTATGTCATAAGTATAGTCGCAGAGTACATCAAGCCAGTTTATCATCATAGGGTTGGCAATTTCTTGCGTGTGAAGGTACGTGAGAGCCTTGTGATCCGTGTACAATGTGAACTTGTTACCCCACAAGAACTTATGGAATTTAGTCAAAGCATAAATGATGCCCAAAAGTTCACGTTTGGTGACAGGATAGTTGCGTTCAGATTTGGAAAGTGACCGTGCCATAAAACCAATGTAGCGATATTGGTTGTCTATGATCTGATAGAGCATGGCACCAATACCTGTGTTGGAGGCGTCTGTGGCAACCAGAAATGGTTGGGTTGTGTCAGGGTGGCTTAGGACTGGTGCGTGTGTAAGTGCAATTTTGAGCTTGGAAAAAGCTTGCGTTTGTTCTTCTGTCCATAACCCGTGTAGTGAGTCAGCATTGCGTAGTTTGTCCAGAGGAGAAGACAGTTGCGACAAGTTGGGAATGTGCTCACGAAAATAGTTGACGAGACCCATGAAGCGTTGAATGTCTTTGCCAGACTTGGGTTGTGGCCACATGGTAGCATTGTGAACCTTGCGAGCATCAAGATCAATACCTCTAGTGCTTACAGTAAAACCCAGTAACGATACAGAAGTTTGTGCAAAGTGACATTTCTGCGGATTGAGAATGAGATTGACATCCGTGAGCTTTTGAATAGCCGTTTGGACGTGTTTAACATGGTCAGACATGTTAGTGGAAAAAACTACAATGTCGTCGACAAATGCAGTGACATATGGAGTATCGTGATAAATCAAATTGATTACTCGCTGAAACTTGGACGACAATGGCTTGAGACCAAAGGGACATCCTCGAAACATATACTGATTGCCTTCAAACGTGAATGTAGTCTTGTGTCTATCGTCTTCATGAATTTTGAATCGATGAAAGGCACTCTTGAGGTCTAGTGTAGTGAAGATTGTTGCACCCTGTAGCCTGTGAAAGAGTTCAGAGATGAGTGGCAAAGGGAATCTGTCGTCAGGTAGCAGAGTGTTGATGGCTCTGGGATCTAAGCAAGGACGCTTGCCTGTGGGATTACCAAACTCATCTTTTTTAGGAGCGAATGTAAGTAGGCTGTTCCACTTAGTATTGACGGGTGCCCTTTGTATGGTGCCATCAGTAAGCCATTGGTTTATATGTTTGGCCATCAGTGGAACAAGTTGTAAAGCAATAGGATATTGTCGTCTATAGACTACTTGACCTGGGGGCGTTGGTAGTCGTACAATAGATTCCTTAACTGTACAAAATGAAGTGATGGGTATGGCTTCATTGGCTTTAATAAAGGGTAGTAGAGCCTTCATGAATTGAGAATGTTCAGTGGGTGTACCAGCTGGTGAATTATTGGGCTTTTCTATTTCAGCTATGGGTGTAGGGGTCTGAGGTGTATTAGAACCGTACCAACTCTCTGCTAGTCCCAGTAAATGAATACCAATGCTTGGCATTAAATCTGTACCAATACTAACATCTATATTCTCAGCGAGATCCAAAACTTCAAAAGAATGTGTAATGTGTTTGTTGTTATAAAAATCTTTTATTGGTTTTATTACTCCTAGTCTATGAGCTATAGCGTTACTAGTGGCCAACACGATTTTCCCTTTGCGAGGAATTATTGACCACCCAAACTTGCTACAGAGCTTGGTGTTGACAGAGCTGATGGTGGCCCCAGTGTCTACCAGTGCCCATAGTTTTTCCTCTTCTAAAGAAATAGGAATGAGATAGGAGTGAGTAGACCGTTTACTGAGATCTATGTGAGTGCCCGTGTACTTACATGGGGAGCACTGTTCAAAGTCCATGTGCATGGACTGATCATCCTCAGATGTCAGCACATCTGAGGGAGAACTGTTGTCAGAGACAGTGTGGGCAGAACGGACGGCGAAGTGGGGAGCAGAGCCCCTGGGAGAGCCAGACGCAGAACTGGAAGAGCTGGAGGAACCAGCGACGGAAGAACAGCGATGTTTGTGGGACCAAACTTCACCGCACCAATGGCAAGGAGCAGAACCAACGTACTTGTTGATGTAGGGGGCTTTTTCAACCCGATTGCCCCCTTTTGCTGCCAGTGCGTTTTTGAGGATGCGGCAGTCTTTGGAGTCATGGCTGCCCTTGCCATGGAGCGAGCACCTCTTGCTGGAAGAGCGCTCACGGCTCTGTGTGGCTTCATGGGGAGAACCAGGGGAGTGGGCAGAAGAGGTGGCAGCAGACATGCGGGTCGTCTGTTCTGGGCTGAGATGGCAGCCTTTGGGCACAGGGTCGTTATGCAAGCTCATCAGAAAGACCTTGCTATAGATGGACCGGGCCAGGGAAGCAGCCTTGTCAATGGTGTCCCGTTTTTCCCTGGGCATGTTGACTTGTAGCAAGGAGACTTGTCTTGCCAGCTCGGGCAGAAGTGTGGCAGTGTATGCAATGGCTGCCTGCATGTTGTCTGCCACGTCAGCTTCCTGACGAACCCTTTGGTAATGGTCCGTGTAGTTGCTGACGGTTTCTGTAGGGCTCATTCTCATGAGCATCAGCTCATGTGTGAGCTGTACTTGACGCTCAAGGTCGTTGATTCCATATACCTTGATAAAGGCGTCGCGGACAAAGGACCAGGGAAGCTCGGGGGAACTACGAAGGTAGTTGTCATACCAGGAACGCTGTTCTCTTGACAGAACAATGGGGAGTAGACGGTGCCAGTCCACATTAAGGTCCAGACTGTATGAGTGGAGCACATCCTCAAATTTGTTCAGACACTCTTCAATGGACGAGTAGACCTTCTGGGTGTTGTCCCACTCGTTTCCTTGCCACTGAAGAACTGGTAGCTCGCGAGGTACAACACGGGATTGGGGAGCAACTTGCTCAGCGCGGGCAGGACCCGAACGAAGCAAATGGGTATGTGCTGACATGAGGATAGCCAGATCGCCTTCTGTGGCCGCAATTGTCAGCCTTATTTGATTCTTGGTGTCCTCAGGCTGGTTTTGTTCGATGGTATTGGCTAGGGCGATGGAAGCAGCAGCCAGGAGATCCCTAAGTCTGGTAATAGCCAACATGGACTTGTTGGCCTGTTCATTGCTTGCGATTTCACTTGTGTTGAGGCTGCCCTGAACACTGGGGGCGGGAGACTGGTTTTCGGAAGACATGTTTTGATTGTGATAAGAGTTCACCGTAAAAAATGTTATATTTTTAGAAAAGAAAGAAAAACAAAGTGCAGACGAGAAGTACGGTGAGACTTTATTTATTGATGAAAAGAGAGATGATCTTCTATTGCTATTTGCTATGTGAGTTTATATAGACATTGCGTGTGTATTTAGGATAATGATATGAGTATATCATGTGATGTCTGTTTTCTTATATCATAGATAATATATTGTTAAGTTATTACCCATGCTCTTGTTTGAGTGATTAGTGATGTTGACTAAGGTGTGTGACCTTGTTATTGGTATATTCTTTATTTAATGATAGTGTGAGAAATAATGTATAATTGATACTGGTTGCTTATTCAATATGTCTTTGTCTTATTGTCTGTGCGCTCTATTTGAATCTACAATTATGTTGGATACAACACACACGCTGCTCAGGCAATGTATGTGCTTTACAATGACAGTACCTATAGTTATTTTTTACCATTGATATTACCATGTCAGGCCAAAAGCTGATAGCTTAGGGTTGGGCATATGTTATGTATGAGGTAAAAATATGATATAATATAAAGCAAGTGTAGACAAGAGTATGGTGAGACTTTGTTTTATTAGAAGAAGTAAAAGAATCAGAAAAGAGATGCTATTCTATTGCTATTAGTATTGTGCATTTATATAGACATTGTATTTAGCTTGGTGATAATATGATAATATCATGTAATGTCTGCTTCTCTACAATTATCTTCTATGATTTAGTTCTTATGTTTTTAGTGTTATTGACTAGAGTCTTAGTATTTGTCTTAGTATGTTCTTTACATGATTTCCTTATATAAGGGAAGGTATATCTTTTAGTATCATTACTAGTTGTTGGTAACTCAATGTATATATTTATTGAGTGTTTGTACTTTTAATTTAAATCTACGATTATGTTGGATACAACAGCATAGATATACTCCCACAAGTACACAACAACAGCAACATTATTGAGATGGTCAACCTGCTCATCTATGTTTCATCTTCGTCTTGTTTCATTCTTGGCAATCTCAGTAGGATCATTATATCTGAAGTCCTTTTTCCAGATCTTCTCTCTGATCAAGGCCTAGATACTATATGTTAGATTATTATTCACTCCATAAGATTTAATATATTTACCAAAACTGTAACTTTTGTCTCTTCTTCAGACATTTGGTTGAAAGATGGGGTGTGGTGATCCAGACACTCGGATGTTGGATTTATCACATATAAGAACATATTCATATTGGGATAGCATAGTAGCTATCATCTTGTCAGTATAAAATATATATAAACGATTAAGTAATCAGCCCAATAATTATTACAGTTAGTACTGTAGATAATATCTTAAAGATTGTTAAGATAATTATATCATACTGCCAGGTAAACTGTGTCAGATCGATATGGAGCTAATTTAGTAGGAAGTCCTAAAGCTCTAGTATAAAAGAGAAAAGAATAGCTAAGAGCTAAAGAAGTACGATTTAGGACTTGATGTCATAATTGTAACACCGACACTAGTTAAGCAGTAAATACACTCTAATAACCAAATATAGTAAAGGAAGAAAGCCTTAAGAAACTAAGACGTAATGATAAGAGCAGATTGTGTTTTCTTATAAAAAGGGACATTTTTTATTTATGAATAAAGACAACTTATATACAGTCTCAAAGTATTTCTATACGTCTCTATTATCAAATATTTTATTTTTCTATTGTTTCATACCTGAAATACCACATGGGGCAGCAGATGGGGCAACTGCTGGGAGAACTTGTCTACTTGTGGATGTCAAAGACATAGCAATTGCACCAACTGTCTTGATGTTTCTTCTTTGGATGTCAACGAATTGACCAAATCTATTGTCCAGGGATTCAAGTATGGCACCCATGTTATCAAGGCGAGTTGACATCTCTGTCATGCACTGTTCTTAGGTAACAGCAGGTACAATAAGATGTTGCTCAACACAACCAACTGCAACCTGGGTAAGGCTATTTCTAGCATTAGATCTAGGGGTTCTAAGAGTAACGGGAGCCATTTTCTATACAAATATATGTTTCAAAATAAAACAAAAATATATTAAATTTTTTATTCTTACTCTTGTTATTTGCTTATACATTAAATATATTCATATGTGCATAGTAGAGTAAAAGTGTTGGAAGATTTGATTTTAGAGATCAAAATTGAGAAAGAGAATATTATGAAATGTGAAATAAAAAAGTTCTTTTATACTTTTATAATTAGACTTCTTGAAGACGTGATATGAAAATATGAACCATTTTCTGTTTTATATTTTTTCAATTTAATTTTCAGTATCTTTTTTTTTCAGAAGACAAAGATTTTTATTTTTAGACTCAATTTTTTTTTCTTTTTTTTCCTTTGTTTTTTTTTGTCTGCCTTTTTGCTTCTTCTCTCTTTATTTAACAGTTTTCCTTTTATTCATTCAATTAAATAAAGAAATGTGATGTATTTAAACTGGTCTACTATACTTAATTATTTTTGTTTTTGTTTTTGTTTTTATATTTCTCTTTTTTTAGATCTACTAACCTTCTAATAATTTTTGAAACACTGCTTTATTTATCAATAGGTCTATTCATATGGTTGGATATGTCTCACTCTTAAACATAAAGGTAAAACAAGTCAAACATGTTCTGGTTTTATATTAATTTGTTTTTCATCTGTTAGCAGATACATGTCCTGTATACGATTACACATGTCTACTGCGGCAATGTACTTGGTAAGCTTACAAAATTATATATGTGTTTTTATACTAATACTATATCTATTTGAATATATCACAGTATATGACAAGTTCATTCTTTCAATTTTGGAGAATTATCAGCATCATTTATTGAAGTCAGTATATCTCTTATATTAACAGCTATTATCAATGTTAAAATTATTCTTTATAGTTATTGTCTGTAATATATATACAACGATTATAACTCTGACATACTTGGTTGTAAGTATATGTATATTTCTTTAAATACAAAACATATTATTTAACTTTTTAATTAACTTTCTTTTTGTAGTAAATGGTAACAATTATATTTATATCAGATTCTTGACACTACTCTAGATTATTCTCATTTACCGTACTATTCTTATATTCACTATTATTATAAATTCTCTCTTTTTACTAATGGTACCCAAACTACCTAATCTCAAAATAGTTGAGAGCTATGTGTATACTATATTATTACGCTATGTAATTCAAGAGATTTTTTTTTTACAAAATAAACAAGCTCCATTTGTAAACTATTTCCCAGATACTGCTTTAAAGAAGTATAAGAAGACTATCTTTCAGTCAATCAAATGAGAGTACTAAAGTTTATCTGTAAAATAAGATCTAATAAAATTGATTAAAATCTGAAAAAATTATTACTTTCCTCTGAAGAAAGTATCAGTTTTACTTCTTTTTCTTACGCCTTCAAGACCCAATAGAATTGCTTAAAACCTGAGGAAAGTATTAATTTCCTCTGAAGAAAGTATCAGTTTCACTTCTTTTTCTTGCCTTTTTAAGAACAATGGAATTCTGTGCTATACATAAAAAAGAAAAAAGATCTATTTTCATTTTAATCTGCATTTCTGAGCTGGCATATTAAGGTAGTACTATATGACTTTTTTAGCATAATTCTTTCACATAAGATTAATGTCTTCATTTCTTAGATTTAATAAGAGCTATATCATAATGTCAAGAACACCCAAATCTCAAGTTTAATTAATTCTTTCACTTGGGATTTGTTACTCTTTCACATAGAGGAAACTGAACACTTTTTCCAGTATATCTCATTTGTAGTATAAGCTATAAGCCAATGATGCATGATATGTTTATTTGTTGTGGATTGTAACAGTATTACTTGGCAAATAAATGTAATGTGAATTACAAAATACAAGAAGAAGAATACAATAAGAATGGAAAAGAATAGGTAATTTGACAGGTAAGAATTGGTGACAGACAGATAAAAAGATAGAGAGAAGATTAAAATAGAAATTGTGACAATAACAAAGTCTGAGAAAAACAGAAAAGGGAAAACAGAGAAACAAAATATATCAAAATTGACAGACAACACTCCAAAGAACAAGAATACTGTGTATAAATGAAGAATAATGATAATAACAGGCAAAAATAAATAAGATCAAGGATAAAATGATGATTTTATTGATTGAAAAGGTTTTTTCTTTTATAAACAAAAATGTTTGGTTAAAATAATTTTTTGAGGAAAAGAAAAGAAAGTCAAGTGAAAATTTTTACCATATGTAACTGGTGTTAATAGTAGAAGCAGAATAGAAAATTATAGAGAGAGTAAAATAAAGGTATAATAAAAATATAATAATTGAATAAAGATAAAATAAAAATATAGTAAGGTAGAATAGAAGTAAAGTAATAATATAATAATAATGTAGTAAAGTAAAGTAAAAAATATAATAATAGTATAATAATGGAATCTAATAAAATATAATAAAAAATAGTGTAAAATAAATGTCAATAATAAAGAAATGTATAAAATTAGGGAAAAGAGGTATAATGTTTTTAGTGGGTGACAGATGTTTCTGAGGTGATGATGTAGATGGATATTTTAATTTTAAGGAATGAGATTATATTGGGAGGTTTGAGTATAGAGATATCAGGAGCAAGATTTCCCAAGAAACCTGGGGGGACCACTCTTATCCCTCAAGACATGTCACTCGGTCAACTCACCGTCGACGTCAACGCCCACAAGTCTAGTACCACCCATCAAGGCTCACCGCTGGACCAAATCACCGAAGGAATCCACCATCCAGTCTCCATCACCAGAAGCTGGCCAAATCTGTAAATATCTACAACACACGTGACAGCCAAATTGGCTTCCGTGGCGCAATTGGCAGCGCGTCTGACTGTTAATCAGGAGGTTGGTGGTTCGAGCCCACCCGGGAGCGTAATTTTTCGTTTTTGTTTTATTCGCGGCTAAAGTTATAGCCCTTGGTTTTTCTTTAATATCGTATAACTCCAACTGGGCAAAAAACAGTTAGCACTATAGCGTAGAGAATAATATCAATGAAATAAATAAAAATTAAAAGTAAAATAAAAATTTATTTTATTTTAATATGGTAAGCATAGATTTAAGACAAACGAGACGGGTGCCATGCGCATATCGATAAGAAATTGTGTAAGCGGTGACATATGAAAAATCGTATTTTTAAGGACATGCTTGCTGACCAACCCAAAGTTAACAAAAAAAACCTGATTAGTCCCACGTGAAAATCTGCCAGAGTTTCTCCCGAGTAGCCCGACTTGGGATTCAAACTCAACTGAGCTCACCCGTTTATTCAATCGTTATTTTTTTTTCTATTTTTTTCTTAGTTTTTTATTTTATTTCATTTCATTTTCTTAGTGATTCAATTCTTCAATTGTCTTTTATCTCTTCTTTCATTCTTCTATTTTTTTAAGTGATTAATTGAATTAATTACTCTTATTTATATACACCTTTTAAATTTTATTGTTAAATAATGCTTACTCCACCTACAACAGACAATCGTAGCCGGCCACACTCGCACTCACGATCGACATCGCCCATCCGTGCTGCACCCTACCACACCATGAAGAAGCCGCATCATGCTGTTATCAATTCGTCACAGAGCAAGTGGCAACAGCTAGTAGTTGGGGCCAGTTCAGCAGCCGGCACAACAGCAGCCGTTGTGAGCGAAGAATCGATGAAGTGCCTAAAGTACTGTCTCAGCTGGCTTCAATACGCCGTTCAACACATCGAGCAACAAATGACTCTTTTGCGCAACTTTCTTGTTTCGCTTGCAACCGCCCAATCTTCCTCTACATCTAATTTGTCGACATCGCTCTCAGCTCCCGGGCAGAAATCTAACTCACCTGCACTATCGTCAATAAAAAAGGACATTGTTGAGACACTACGCAAAGTAGTCGACGTTATCAGCCGCTATGCCGGAACTTCTTTACCCCAACACGCCAAAGTAGCTGTTCGCGGCTTTATCCTTAACTTACCCGGTCGATGGGTGAGTGTAATTCGCATAAGATTAAAGTATACATAAATAAATACTTAAATATATTTATCATTAATTATATTATATATGTATTCTATCTTTTACTTTTATTTAGGCAAGTCTAAATGATATTCACTCGACCGCCACTTCTCCTGCAAGTTCACCAATGCTTGGCCCTCGGACTCACGAAAGTTGTGACATGAACGGTCTTCCACGCGTTGGGAACAAACGTCAAGAAGAGACGGCCATTCGACTACTCACATTTGGCCAAGAGTCTGTTGACATGCTTCAATCGATCTCGAGTGTGTTTTCAGAAACTGTTGAGCGTGCAGAGCTCTGGCTTGATCGCCTTAGACTGGTGCGTGTTCCAGGCATCAGTGCAGCTGAACAGGACGACAAACAGCAACACCCGGACAACCAAAATAGCAACAGCAACAGTGATGATCTTGACAATGTACGGCTGCCACCTATTCGAACACTCGATCCACCAAATCACTATTCTTTTGATCGGACTGAAAAGATGGATTTGGATCACTAAAGGAAAAACCCAAAAACAAAACAAAAACAAAATTCCCTCAATCCCCCCTTCCCTTCCCTTCCCTTTTTTTCTTGTTTTCTTTTTACTGTTTCTTTTTTCCCATCTTTATTTCTACTACTACTATTATTATTATTTTGCTTTCGTCTATCACTCTTTCTCTCTCAATATTTCTCTTATCTCCATATCCACCTCTCGCATTCCCCATTACCACCTTATTTCCCACTCTTTATTTCTTTTGCTGTCTATTTCACATAATTCGCGTCCTCCTTTTCTTTCTATATTTTCCTGTCTTGCATAGTACTCAATATAATTGATATATTTATATATGTATATATAAAGTATGTAAATATATTCAAGTTGTGGCACCGAGAATATCTTCTATCCCCATATCAAACCGCTTTACTATCACATGAGTTTCAGATACCAGCCATTTTGGGGGGTAGGACAATCACAACACAGTACTTGGGATCTTTTATAGTTATAGTTACATTTACACTTATACTTATATTTATATTATAATTTAGTATTTAAAGAGATTAAAAGACATGTGAAGAAGGGCGGTCTGGGGTGATACACTCAGTGAATTATGAATAGGACGTTGCAGACTTGACATTTGCTTGCCTTTATTGTTCATTAATACTTTATTCTCTATATATATATTCTGGAGTATGTGCGCGGAGTGACTTGAAAAAAATAAAGGGTGTTGTACCTTGCGCATGGGCTTTGTATATATTAATATATGAGTTTTCATGTTGCTGCTGTTGTTATTTATTTATTTATTGATTGATTTAAACGTGTGTGTATGTGTGTGAAAATAAATACATAAATCATAAATCATAAAATAAAACAAATATAATCTTAACGGGTATAATGGTTGTGGTGATGGTAATAATAATATTTTTATTTTAAAACAACAAAAACAAAAGAAGAAATCAATCAAGAATAATTGAGATGGCAATTATACTCTACAGTCTACAGTCTAAATTCTACGCTCTAAACTCTACGCTCTAAATTCTACGCTCAATTCAATATCACTTTCATTTCTTTAATTAATAACTCAATCGGCTTTAGTAAAAGCGCGCGGGGAGTCATAGAGAACACCATCGTGAGTGTAGCTTTGAATCCTTCTATCAGCCTTGTTTCCACCGTACACAATCCACCCGCCACACTGTAGACTGATATGCACAGAAGGTCCAAGTGAGATACCATCGTCTTCTGTAATCTAAATAAAATAAATGAATACACGAATAAATGAGTAAATGAGTGCATGAGAACAAGGTGTCACATTTGCTTAGGACAGACAATATTGCAGCTTACCAAAAGTGAAGCTGTGGCATCCCTCTCTGGGCGGTCACAGCAATCTTCATTATCATATGGACAACATCCTTTGTCACCAGCGCTCATAGCAGTTCGCTTAAAAGAACTATTTTTTTAATAAAGAGAAATCAATATTATTATCAATGATCGACAGTTGAATATCAGTATCAATATCAGTATCAGTGTCATCTCGCCCTTTTATTTACTTACCTGCTGTAGCTTCCTAGTCTAACTTGATCAGCTTGAATGCTGATTGACGTGCCTTCAGAATCATCGTTGTAGACGCAATAACCATCAGTAGACTGTACGATGGCCCACAAGACGCACAGAACTTGTAACAGGTGATATAATTGCATTTTATCGAGTGAAAAATAAAATGTTATATATATAAAATAAAATGAATAAAGGAGAAAAGGAAGTTTTTTTTAAAGTATTTCAAGAACAAGTGAAACGATTATTAATATATATGTATATACGAATACTTTTGCAAAAGAAATCAAGAAATCAAGAAAGAAAGGGAAGATTGTTGGTGTATTTTGTTACTACATCTTTAAAGTCGTTTAATTTTTAAATGTGCTTTTATAAGACTCGTCTACTGAATGAATTGACGAGTAATTGAAGTGAGTTAGGAGTGAGAAGCAGCGGTTTCCTTTGTTCCCCATATATGGCTGCCCTATGCAATAAAAATACATAGACACACACAGATACACAATAAAATAAAATAAAATGAAATGAAAATAAAGTAAATATACTTCTTGCTTCTAGCCTTTGATTTAGCTTATCAAACCCAAATATTTACTAACCCAAAGGTTCGCCAACCCAATATATTTACCAACCCCAACCACATAATAAAATAAGCAGTTATTTCTACAAAAGGCAACAAGACAGCTACAAAACACACCGGCACACCCAAAATCCCATATACACTATGTTGAACAATAATAACAGTAACAGTGACAGAGTATATATATATATTATTGTTAATAGCTAACTATAATAACAATAAAGCAACAAAGGTTAATAAAAGGTAATAATATACCCTTGCAGCCAGGATAAACCTACATACATACATATATATATATACACACATTACAGCTATATTTCTGTGTCAATTTCATTTGATTTTGGATTCACAATATTTTTCTTATATCTTTAATTCTTGTGTTGTGTTATGTTGTGCTGCTTAGTACTTCTCAAGTAAGTCAATTAAGCAGTAATGGTGTGCAAATAAAGAGTAAGACACGCCCCACGCACTAAACAGATATAGACACAGGCACAGGCACACTGGTGAAAATGAAAATGAAAATGAAAATGAAAATGAGGCTAATAATAAATTGAACGAATACTTGTTCTCATATGCTCATGGAAGGATAGTTCAGCCGATAACAGATTGATATTCACTTGTAGAATTCTAATATATTGATTTTATTATTCGTTCCCTAGTGACTTTAACTTCTTTACTCTTGAAGACCCACTTGTAGATGCCTAATAAGTAAATATATAAATAAAATTAATTCATAATTCATGATTCATAAAATTAGTATATACAGATATACAACAAAGAAAAGAAAAGAAAAGAAAATAAAATGACAAATGGTATTTTTTTTTACCAATGGGGTCTTCTTCCTTTTTCTGTCTGACATTGGTCCATCATATTCATTCGAACTTCCAGCATCATCTGATGCATTTGAAGGGTTGGGTGATGATCCCAGTCTACAACAATAATTTATATAATTATTAATAACTATTAATAATTGTATCCAGTTATACAATTTACCTTCTACTAGCCACTCTGCCCGATTGTCTTCCGGCCAACCCCAAACATCTCTCTAAATGTGTTGCATATCTTGTGGACGCAATTGTACTCTCACAATTCATGCACTTGTAGGAAGGTAAGTTGTTGACATTGTAATGGTTTCCAAATATATCTGTATTGGGCCGCACAACTATAAAAATATTGATAAATAATAAAAATTCAGAGAAAAAAAATCATTAGGGGTAGCAAGCAGCGAAAAGCAGTGACGTCCAGTAACAGCCAGAAGCAGCAATATAATCGATTAGTCAAGTATAGCATAGGATAGAGCAAAAAAAATCGCTTGCTTTTCATTTTTTTCTTTATATGTATATCTATATGTATGTGCATATATATCAATGAAACAACATTAAAATACAATATATTACCATAGGACCGGCACCTTTAAGAATACACACACAAGCATACAAAGACATAAGAATGCCAGTATAAATAATGCGCCAATTGGTTCAGGGTTTTACGTAGCAGCAGCAGCAACAGCAACAGCAGCAGCAACAGCAGCAGCAACAGCAGCAGCAACAGTGATATAAGATAAAGTGAAAATAAGATATGGTTAATATTTGATTATATAAATATCTAATGATAGATTTACTTTGTTTGACACAGTTGACATGTCTCTAGAGAACGTTTTGTATCTCGGTGAACCTTAGACAGGACATCATAAATACATTCATCTATCAGATCACCAAACAATGCAAATGCCTAGACAATACAATATATAATCAATTAAGCAATCAACGAATCAATAGATCAATTACTGAATTAACGAATTAACGAAAGCTATTAATAAACACCCATCTAAATCTATGTATCTATCAATATAATCTAATACTATATTCCAATACAATATGCAATATCCAGTTCAATTCAATTAAAATCAAACTAAACCCAAATCAAATTCATACCAAAGTTGCTTTTGTATTTGGAATTTCCTTTGGACTGTCCTTGTCTCCCGACTCGCTTTCTCGAAGTAGTTTTGGAATGCTCTTTTGAAGTGTTGCATGTGTCTGTTGCAATTCATCAAGAGTCCGATTTCGATCGGCCAAGAGTCGCCGAAAGAGACTGCTAGGTGATGAACAAGCGTTGTGACGTAGTCGATGAATGCACAACTTACGCATTGCTTGCTTCACGTTGTTCTTCTGTAATTTGAGTCGAACTGTTGGACGTGTGGGAGTCGGAAGACGCTTTAGGTTTCTGCATGCTAATATTATTACTGCTGTTGTCGCTGTGCTGCTTATGCTGCTTATGCTGATGCTGTTGTTGCTGTTGTTTCTGGTGTTGTTTGTTTCTTGTCGGGTTAATTGTCCGATTGAATCTATGGTGTCTTGCTTGCTTGCTATTTATTTATTTATTTATTTATTTATTTATTTATTTATTTATTGCTTTTTAGCTGTTACACAATATCTGGAATTCGATTGCACAAAAAAAAACCACACACACACATTATATACACACGTATATACAGTATTATATAAAATGATAACAATTCATCTTGCGCAAATCAAATTGCTTTAGACTTTAAACCAACCAACCTCACTTTGGACGCACATACACACACGTACGAAAGACAGACAATATGATATATGTATATATGTACATATGCGTGTAAAGAATACGTTGTGTTAAGCTGTGTGTGAGTATGGGTCGACCGGAAGCCTGAGGAGATATATACAAACATGCGCACATGCACACACACATGCATACATATAAGTAAATTTGGGAGGAGAAAAGAAAGAAAGAAAAGGGGTATGAGGGTGTCCTAGTTTTGGTGGGAGTGTGGAGGTATACTCGATAGATAGTGTGTCACAACAGCAGCAAGACAGATAGCAGAGTAACTAAAGAATGCACTGCTTTCATTTCTTCTGTGTTTTTTTTAAAGCAGACAGTTGTTAATACCCAGATCAGTCTGTCCTCTGCAGCATCAAGAGCCAAAAAGACTGTAATGGGTTAAATGTTTGGGGTTGTGAGGAAATATTATAAAGACTGTTTAAACTAATACTCAATCAATCAATCAATCCTGGAATTAGTACCAGGTGTTGAACGAAGCAATGTTTAAAAAAGAGAGGAAACAAAAAGGCAGTCCTGAGGGCCTACACACACACACACCTATGCATCTATACATGTATATAAAGCAACATAACCCCACCATAAGGACCTCTTTTAAAGCATTTCTATAATAACTTATGCACAGAAGCCATGGTTTTAAGCTAATTTAATATATATATATGTGTGTGTGTGTGTGTTAGTTAGCTAGCTAATTACAACCTATACAAATGTACAGTTAGAATTTATAAAGCCAACGAATGTCAACATATATGTATATATTATTCTTAAAATGTGGATTTACTTTGGCCCACAGTAGTAAAAGATAAATAAAAATGAAGTAAAGTTGAAATTGAAAGTTATACAAAAAATTCGATGAAAAATAGTGCTTAATCAAAATTCAACCTTAAAACAACCATTTAAACCCTCGAAAAACTTGCAAAAATCTCCTACTAAAGTCGGCCTTTTATTTGAAGATTTATTTTTACCATTGTCTAGGCAACAGACATCAAGAAAGATGGCTATTTCTTTTTATTGGCTATTGGTTTTGTTGCTGTGGTTACCTTCACATGCGTATGGGTATGTTTGTTGCTGCGGCGCACTTCAACTCAGGGTCACGTCCAAACATCACATCACATCACAGCGCGTTAGGACATAAACGACGCGTCAGGGCATGATAAAAGCAAGCCACAAAAGATATCATATTATTCATATCAGAACAGTATATATATATATTGGGTACTGTTATTGGTAGATCTAAAAGAATACTTATTTATATTATAAAAGAAGTGCCACAGACAGATGGGAAGCACAGATCTGCCTATAATTTGCTCATTCCTTTTTTTGGCTTGGATACTTTTAGGTTTCTTTTTTACGCATCAGATCGATGGAAAGATAAGCGGCTTTTGTAAATATACAAAGAGAGAGAGATTAAGATGTTGTATACACAAAACATACTATAAACTTTGAGAAAATACACCCACCCATCCACCCACACAGACAAAAGTACGTTTGTATATTCCAGAATATAAATAAATTAATAACCCAAACCAATTCACAGATGTTATAAAAAAAGCAAAGCAAAGTAAAACAAAACAGGTTTGGGTAACAATTGAAAATCAAAGATTTCAATGGAACTGTGTACTAGAAGTGGCTTGTGTTCGTGCCGGAATTTAGCATTCGGTTTTCTGTTTGTATTTATTGATTGACAAGATCGAATATCGTAAAAGAATGTGGGAAATAAAAGGCAAAAAAGTTCAAGAATAAGATCAAGAATAAGGAAAAGGTGGTAGTGATAGTGAAAGCAATAGTAATGGTGACAATGACAATGCCAATGACAATAACCGTGACTGCGACCGCTACTGAGATTTCGATTCCGATTGTGATAGTGTTGGTAGTTGTATTGGTGGCAGCTATTGTTGTTATTGTTATTGTTGCTGCTGTAGTGGTTGCAGTATTGGTAGTATTGGCAGTAGTAATGATGACGGAATTCGTGGTTGTGGTGATAGCGATAGTGATGATTATGATTATGATTATGATTATGATGTTGATGATAATTTATAATTATCTTTTCCAAGTTTGTAGAGCCATGTATTCAATGGATCGTCACCTCCTGTTTCTTGGTGCTAGTCCCAAACTTGAACATTTTTCCAAGAGAGCTCTTGAATGAGCCTGTGGAGGATTTGGTTTTGTTTAACGTGCGTTTGTATGTATCCTAAATAAAGAGTAATAACAATAACAGTAGTAGTTATATTAGTAATACGCTTTTACATACTACACAAAACAAAGAAAGATAAAAGATAAATAGGAACAACTGAAAGGTATATTCCATATCAAAGACTCCTAATAAAGCTAAAGCACAGAAAAATAGAATAAAATAAAAAAAGCTTACCAAATAGGCAATCTGCGGCTTGTTGAACGCCCCTCTGCGCTTCTGTCGTACGAAGTCTACGGCATCTAATGGCTGCATTCCAAGTTCAATGAGGGCAATTGCAACAAGAGCAGGTGCACGTCCAAGCCCGGCTACACAATGAACGGCAATTGTTGGAGGAGAGTCTGGGTGCGCTTTAGCCACGCGGTCCTGGGCATCTAAGAGAGAGAGCCATTCACGGACAACAGTGGGAGGTGGCTAATGTACAACATAATAATTTTAAATATATATACATAAAGAATAAGGAGTGAATAAGATTTTTGGTTTGTTTAGATAATAGATATAAATATCTTACCACACCACCATCCTTGAAAGGTAAATCATGAACCTGGATTCCATGTTCAGCGAGTGTTGATGCACTGTATGTTTGTTGGCAGCACCGAACAATGTCGGTGACGTTAAATCGTTTGAATTCTTCTAGGTAGTATGGGAGGGTTGATTCGGTAGGACAGTCGAGGATGAGGAAGCGGAGTGGTGAATCAGGGACTTCGATGAGAGAAAGCATGCGACCGAGAGGTGAATTGGTACGAGTGTAGGTATTGACCATTATATAAAGCAAAGGATAAAAGAAGAAGAAGAAGAAGACGAGTAAAATATAGACAAAGAGATAGATAAATAAAGAAAGATGTTATTGGAATAGGGCAGTGTGTAAGTTATGATGATAATAAAGTATATATATTTATATATATATATATATTATTTATCCTTCTTCTGAAGTGTCTGCTGGGTACTGAGTTGTAGCAAAATATACACTGCTGCCGAGACGAATTACTTGTGGGAACAGGGTTGAGACGTTTAGAGAATTCGAAAAGGGGTGCATAAGTTGATTGAAAGAAGAGAAGAAATAAAAAGAGAGGAAATTCAAAATAATAAAATTCAAAATAAAATTCAAAATAAAAATTTGAATGTAAGACACAAAGATTTTTTTTTTTATTTTTATTTTTTGGGTCTCCTCAGTAAGCATTAAAAACAGAAAGGGAGAAAGGGAGAAAGGGAGAAAGAGGAGGGAAAGGTGGAGTTGATTTACCTTGAGCCCGGGACATCCGATCAAGTCTTATATATAAAGCACACAACGCTCGTGCATTGTCTGCAAAACGTCAACCACATGCTACAAACCACCCTAGTTTCAGCCACATTCTATGATCCCTTATATTATATAGTTAATGCATTGACAGCATATTCAGTATAATTCTCGCTCAAACAGCCCAAGATTTTAATAGTAATATTGTTTATATAAAGATGGAAAAAAACAGATGACTTTTATTCCTTGTATTTGTAAATGAGAATTAAACAAGGCTAAATTTCTGTCAAAAAGTAAAATATATAAAACATAAACAGACCCACAAAATAATAATAATCAATAAATAATAAATCAATTAACCAATCATTAATTCAATCAAAATAACACAAGGTTTGTCCATCATTTTTAAAGACCAAATGTAATTTTTTTTGAACATCTTCCATTTCCCTCACCCCCCTCTTGTTTATATATAGATAGCTATATCCCTATCTGTATAACCTACCCCTTATTCATCTTCTTTTCTATCTAGCTACTCATATATTTATATTTTACACTCTCTAAATTGCCGAAAAACAACAAAGCCTTGTAGCACCCACACCTAAAATATAAATATAAATAAATAAATAATTTTTTCTTGCTCAGATTCAAGTGCTAAAAGCCATAATTATGTACGGACACGTTCCTCACCTGCCTATTTGTCCACTTGTTTCATGTGTAAAATAAATAAGACCAAAAAACCAAAAGAACTTGTGTTTTTATTATTATTATAATGTTTTTTATTATAGATTGTTGGTCTATCCTTTATAGCCAACACGGTTTACTAGTTGGAATCCGCACGAGATCAGTATCAAATAGTTCAATAAACTGTTCATTCAGCAAGCGCACTTTTGGTCCTGCGTATCGTCTGTACTCCTCAAAGATAGCAGTCAAATTCCACCTCTGCAATTTCCTCAAACATCCCACAATTGTCCCTTGATATTTTGGGATTTTTTTTTGGGATTTTGGATATTTAAGCAAAAAAGAAGAAGAGAAAAAAAAAAAGATATACACAAATATATTTTATTTTATTTTATTTTCTTACATTATATAAAGCTACACCTTTTCCTTTTTCTTCTTCTACCTCTTTAAAACCACTAGCTTTAACTTCATTTTATTTAATTTGCTCACCTGTTCTGTGTCTTCCAAGATTACACATTATCATCATAGGGTAGTTCCTTGGATTCAGGATAAGATCCAATGCCTGCAGAACTGCCTCTTCCGTAATAGGATCCCATGCATTGACAGCCGAGACTACTCCCAAGTGGTGTAACTGAATTTCTTGATCGTCAATAAAGTCAAGACTTATATTGGAGCACAACACAATTAATAAAATCAACTTTTAATAATCTTTCAAAAATCTCACAATCTCTGGTTGGGTTCCTCTGGTGCAAGCCAAGCAATAGTTTTTAGACCAAGTTTTTCGAGGAACGGGAAATTTAGTTCATTCGGTTGTCCGGATCGATACAGATCCTCTTCAATCATTCCATAGTTCTACATCACACAATCAATAGTTTTCTTAGAATGATGATTACAAGAAACTTTAAACATGTAATACTTACCACAGGTGGAATAAAGTGTTGAGAGCTCATAGCAAGAATATTTACTCAATTTATAATATATATATATATATTCAAGAAACACACACGAGTACAAAAACAAAGATAGATTAAAAAAATTATCAAAGAAGATCAAAAGAAATAAGTACTGCTTATATGTTTATAAGTCTAAGTTGGCCGAGCTTCAGCTGGTTAAAGACTAGAAAAATGAAAGGTGAAAAGCGATAAAGAAAAAAATAGAGGCCAGACAGCCAGGTAAGCTTATCAGCTTACAAAGTTTCGTTCACGTCAAGACCCGTGCATTGTGACTGCGAGATGTCCAAAAATAAAAAATAATAAAATGAGCAAGCACATTAAGAACCGACACGATGTGCTAAAACAAGGTTCAAAGTTTTCCTCTCTCTCTCTCTCTCTCTCTCTCTCTCTCTCTCTATATATATATACATATATTTCTATCCCTTCTTATTATATTATTCATTATTAAACGGACGAAGAAAAAAGGAGAAGAAGAAATTAGAATACTTAATAATTAGTAATAGTAACAATTCATGTCTGTCTACGCGATCTACCAAGAGTTATTCCCACCGCAAACGGTGGAACATGCAGAAAGAGCTCATTTGACCTCACCTGATGCAATCAACCTCGTAGTTGCAAAAGCCTCTTTACTCCAGGTTTACGCTTTTGTAGAATACACTCCAGAATCCACACTGGATGACGAAGACGCCGACCAGGACATAAACCTGAGTGACAGCGACAAAGAAATTGAAAACGAACGTTCTAATGGAGATGAAGAACAAGTAAGTTCTCATTATTCCTATTTTGAATTCAATTGAATTCAATCGAACCGAATTCAATCGAATCGAATTGAATTAAATTAAATCGAATTGAATTGAATTGAATTGGATTGGATTGGATTGAATATATACGTAAATAAAAGTTGATTACTACAATATATATATATATATATATATTAGAATATTATTAGTATTAATATTAATTATATTAAAATACCAAAATATAATAATGTGTGAATGTAAATGATAATGTCATAGACTTTGGTTTACCCAAAACTCAAGCTTTTAAAAAAATCTCCCCTCGACACCACTAAAGGACGTCTAGAATTGGTAGCCCAATATAAACTGAATGGTAGTGTATCTGCAATGGGCGTTGTAAGAACCTCATCTACTCGTGGAAAGGCTGGCTGTGACAGCCTGTTACTTGGCTTTAACGATGCCAAGGTAAATAATAACAATAGTAATAGTAATAATAGTAATATTAATTATATTAATAATGATTATCGACAAACAACAAACAACAACCACCAAACGACAATCGACAATCGACAACCAATAAACGTGTATAATTCAAACTGGATGAACTGAAATATAAATATATAATTTATTTCTCTCTATCTCTTTCTTACTGTTTTTATAATATATATATATATATAAATTTGTTTATGTATTGGTGTACATTTGTGCTTTCATTGAGTAGATGTCCTTACTCGAATGGTCTCCAGAGACACACTCGATTGTCACTGTATCAATTCATTATTATGAGAGAGACGAAATGAAGGTAATCTTCTTCAAAATAGAAATCAAAATTAAATTAAATAAAACAATTAAAATTAAAAGAAGTGGAATATATATATATATATAATACAAATAGAATAGAAGTATAGAGTAGAGATTCATATTCCTATAATATACATATATGCTGTATATCTTAATAGTAATAGTAATAATGATAATAATTATGATAATTATGATAATTATTAAAGATAATTTCAATAATTTCAATAATATTAATAAAATATTTATATGTAATATCTATATATCTTTATATCTATATATGTATATACGTGTGTATGTGTTTATGTGAAAATGTATATAATCTAATCTAATCTAATAAAATATCATCTCATCACATCTCATTTCATATCATATCATATCATATAATAAAAATAATAATTAAAAAAACAACAACAACAATATATATATATGTATATGTATATGTATATGTATATGTATATGTATATATCTCGATACCTTCTTTCCCTCTCTCTCTTTTTTTTGTTATGTCTACAGAAAGAGTTCTTGACAAATCCATATCCTCCTGCGATCCATGTAGACCCACAGCAAAGATGTGCCTTGTTGAATTTCTATGACAACAAACTTGCAGTATTACCTTTTTGCCAGTCGGATAACCTTGATACATCAGCTTCTAATCCTGGAGACCAAGAAGACGAAGATCATGCACAGTGAGTCGAACAAGAAGAAAGAAAAATATATATATATATATATAGCACCATATCTACTTCTATATACATAAAGATAGAAATAATGCCTGGATAATTTGAAAAGTGTTATTGACCTTTTTGTATTTTTATAAATTCTGTCTTTGATTCTTTTTTTCATGTAGAAAGTGGCCTTATTCACCTAGTTTTGTAATAGAGCTAGAGAAAATAGATCCTCGGATCAGAAATGTCATTGATATGACATTCCTGTCAGGATATTATGAACCAACACTAGCAATCCTCTTCCAGCCTGAGCAGACATGGACAGGGTGAGTTTTGGCAATGCCTTTAATAACCAAGTCACCAGTACTATGATCTTTTTCTTTTCTTTTCTTTTTTTAAAAAAAGGACCTGCTTTCAAGAGTATCAATGTTAAAACAGAAGATAATGCATATAAATATATATACGAACGAATAATAATTATGGCTTATAATATGTAGACGATTGGCTACCACAAAAGATACGGTATCAATTGTAGTCATCTCACTCGATTTATCCGCAAAAGCATACCCTATCATCTATTCTCTCGATAATCTGCCTTATGACTGCCGTAGTCTGGTAGCATTGCCCAAACCCGTGGACGGTCTTCTGGTCATTGCTTCCAACGCTCTTCTTCATGTCTCCCAGGGTTCTCCTGGAGTGGGTGTAGCAGTGAACGGCTACACCAACAAAACTACCGAATTTCCGGGTATGATTTACGACGATGCATTGATTGAGCAGGGTTTGATGTTAGATGGCGCAAAGGCCCTCTCGATGGGCGGTAACAAGTGTCTCTTGTTCCTGCAGAACGGAGATTGGGTGGGAGTCCAGATGAAGATGGACGGCAACAAGGTCGTTGGCGTTTCGATGGACACAATCCACCACCCGCCTGTCTTGGGTCCTCAGGATTCTGGTGATGGGCACACGCCTGTCGCTTGTATCCCAACTTGCATTTCCAGCATAAAGGACGGGGAGTTCTTCTTTCTCGGAAGTCGTGTTGGAGACTCACTTCTAATCAAGTGGAAGAACGGCAGCGAACCAGGGTCCAAGCCAGTCTCGCCAGGTAAGAAAAACAAATATTCAATAGAAACAATACCCAAAGAAGTATGTATATACTTATAGATATACTTATATATGAAACTCTATTTAATTATCAGAAATCGACTGGACTTTCCGCGTATGCGATGCACTTCTCAACACAGGCCCAATTGTTGACATGACTGTAGGAGACATGGAAAGCAAAGATGTAAGATAACAGGCTCTATACTGTTCGCTTGTTTGTTTGTTTGTTTGTTTGTTTATTGATCCAAAACCACCTCCTTTTGCCTTTATTAATTTACTCCTGCCCTGTCATGAAACAAAAAGGCATCCGATGATATGATCGAAAAATCGACAGATTTCCCTGATCTCGAGCTTGTGAGTTGCTCTGGCTATGGCAAGAACGGTGCGCTCTGTGTATTCCAAGTAAGTTTTAACCCAATCATATACACACATACATCTATCCTATATAGCTTCTCTAATTTCACAATAACTGTATATATATATATATATGCATATTTGAAAATTACCAGCGCCACGTTCGACCCGAGACTACATTTTCATTTACCCAGTCGGATTGCCAGGCTGTCTGGTCAATAAAGTGTCGTAAAGAGCATTTCTTTGAGGGTGTTCAAGTAGGAGGAGGTGTCCAACTCACGCAGACAGGTTTGACACCAGAGGAAGGTACTGGTCACTGGGGAACAGTTGCTTCCGACGACGGCTTCAAGGACGCATTTGACAAATTCTTGTTTATCAGCAAGACCGAAAGCACACTCGTAAGGCATACAGATATATATATATTGACCCTTTCATATCAATAATAATATTTAACAACCTAAACAATTTTATCTTAGGTTCTAGCAGCAGGAGATGAACTATGTGAACTTGAAAGCAGTGATTTCCACACAACTGGACCTACAATTGCAGTCAGTACATTATTTGATCACACAAGAATTGTACAGATTCACTCCCATGGTGTTGTACTTTTATCTCCAGGTAAATGATAATGATAATAGTAGTAATCGAAATACTAACATACCAATATGTATATATATTAGACGGAAAGCTAGTACAAACTGTACCTGTAAAAGATTCAAAGATCGTAGATGCAAGTATTCACGACCCTTATATCCTTCTCACACTCGAGAATCAGACCATATTGGCACTCAAAGGTGATGCAGAAACAAGAGACATCATTTATGTTCAAGTTCCAGCGTCAATCAAGGTAAAGACCTTATACACAAACATATGCATCTACGTGTGTATGTATCGTGAAAAGAAGAGTGATAACAAACCTTTTATATAAATGTGTATATATTAGAATAAGGACGTTTTGGTAGCTAGTGTATTTGCCGATACATCTGGAATATTTGCCTCTGTGTCAGAAAAACTTGCTACAGTAGTCAAAAAGTCTCGCCCTGCTGGACATGAGAAGAAGAGAAAGGCATCCGAAGCATTTGGCACAACAAACACTAATAACAATGGTGCCACCACCACCACCGCCACCACTGCCAACGCCAATACCACGACAACCAAAAAAGCTAATATTGCTCCACCAGCTCCACCAACAGTGGAATTTGACGAAATAGATATGGATCTCTACGGTGATCAAAGTGAAGGCGAACCTGTCAAAACCACAGTAACAATAGCCGAAGATGAAATCATGACAGACTCTACAACTCAAATAGGCCAACAAGGACAAAACGAAGATGACGACGACGAAGATGACGACGACGACGAAGCTATGCTTTATGGCGATAGCGAGCCCATTAAAAAATATCCCGGGCTGTTTAACGAAGAAGTCGATGAAGTAAATGTGAGCGTCAAGGGTGGACTAGGCCAGATCGAGATGATCAGTTTCTGGTGCCTGATCTACACAGTCGAAGGCAACCTACAGCTCCACAGTCTCCCAGACTTTAAGGAATATTTTGTTTTCCCCCACTTTGACGTGCTCCCCAGTCTACTCACCGACTGTCCTGGTCACGAGCAAGAGCAAGTTCCACCTCATTTGCCTGCTCATCAAGACAATGGGTCTTTATCGATAAAGGAACTTATTATCACTGACATTGGAAAAGAGCGCAAGGACCCTCATTTAGTGGTAAGTCAAAAGAAGAAAAAAAGTGTATGAATCTCTTGAGAAAATTTTAAAGAGAGAGATAAAGATGATTTGATTGCGTGCATATGTCTGTACAAATACCAATACCCTCTCTCCTATTTTTGAATACAATGATGATAATAACAATTATAATCACACTTTTAGGCTCGTACATCAACAAACGATATAATAATCTACAAAGCCTTTGCATTCGTACCAGGGCTCGACTCCCAATCTGACCACACAACTCAAATAACCGAAGAAGCTGGCGATAGACTTGCTATCCGATTCTCTCGAGTACATCATGAATACGTTTCCCGCTACACCGAAGAGGATAATGATAACAGTAACAACAACAGCAAAAAATACAGCAAAAAGAACAAAAATTCTACTGGTGCTGCCGCTGATGATGACGACGACGAAGATGATGAGGAAGAGTCCGATGGACCAGAAATAAAGAAAGATGACCACGTCATGGGAACAGACCCTTTTGGCAGTGGTCTAAAAGAGTCCAAGGTTATTAAGCCACGCCGCCAACGTTTGCTGATACCTTTTAACGATGTAGCCGGTTATGCTGGTGTCTTTGTGGCCGGTCCACAGCCTGCCTGGCTGATGTGTTCCTGTAAAAGTTTTGTACGAGTTCACCCAATGAAGGCGGATCAAGCCGTAATTGGATTTACACAGTTCCACAATGTGAATTTGAAGCATGGATTTATTACTATTGATGCAGAGGTATTTTTTCTTTTTTTTTGATTTGTTATTCAAAAATAAGAATATTAATATTTTTAACTTTACTACTACTAGTCAACAGTTAGATTATGCGGTCTTCCTGTAGATAATGCAACATACGATATGGACTGGGTGATGCAAAGAATCCCACTAGGACAGACAGCTCACAAGATCCAATATGATCCCACCATGCGCGTGTACGCAGTACTTGTCTCAACTCCACAACCTGTTCGCCTGAGAAATGAAGAGGGCGCACCGGTTGACGGCAAAGAAGAAGAAGGTCGAGAACCCGGAGAATTTCTACCTTTAGTCGATCGCTTCTCGCTTCTAATGGTGTCGCCCGTAACATGGGAAACCGTCGACAGAATCGAGTTTGAAGAATATGAGCAAGGATTCTCGCTACAGTGTGTCGCACTTGAATCCAAGCAGACCAGTACAGGACGAAAGCATTTCATGACAGTCGGAACTGGGTTTTTGCGTGGTGAAGATACAGCCATGCGTGGATCAGTAAGTGGATTGCTATGTATATGTGAAAAATGTGGTATACTTACATATATATATATTATTCCAGATATATATATTTGATATCATTGAAGTCGTACCAGAGCCAAACAATCCTCAGACAAACCACCGTTACAAGCATCTTCACACCGAAGATGTCAAGGGTGCCGTTACAGCCATGTGTGATGTGAGCGGCCACTTAGTGTCATGTATTGGATCCAAAGTGATCATCTGGAGTTTCGAAGACAACGAGAGTCTTGTGGGTGTAGCCTTTATCGATGTCCAGATCTACGTGACCAGTCTGTGCTCGATCAAGAATTTTATATTGCTTGGCGATGCACAAAAATCCATATGGTTCCTTGGATTCCAGCTCGAGCCCGCAAAGTTGGTATTGTTGGGCAAAGACTACCAGGCATTTGAGGTTGCCTCGGTAAACTTTATTATCGATGATAAATCTCTCTTCCTCCTGGTCGGAGACACGGATGACAATCTCGATATTTATCAATATGCGCCTTTCAGTAAGTAAAGATACAAATCAATCGATATCTAGCCAAAAGTACAAATATCATATACTTGCTTTACATGTATTTACGAATCTAATTACTAACAATCCGTGTTTTTGCTTGTGTGTAGATCTACAGTCTTTTACAGGACACAAATTAATGCGCCGAGGTGATTTTCACGTGGGAGCCCAAGTCAAGACAATGGTACGATTGCCGCAAATCGTTCGCACTGAAAAGGGTCTTGAGTACAGCCGGAGACACTTTTGTCTGTGTGGTAAATAAATCTTCTTTTTATTTTACCTCTTTTTTATTTACTATCCATATATACGTTATTTAGGATCATTTAGTGGAAGTATTTCTGTGGTCTCGCCAATTCCCGAAAAGACATTCAAGCGGTTGAATACGTTGTATGGCCAGCTTGTGAATGGTATTCAGCATGTGGCAGGTCTAAACCCAAGAGCCTTCCGATTGATCAAAGGACCAAAACAAAAAATGGCCTCCAATCGCACCAAGGCTATTCTTGACGGTGATTTGGTGTTTGAGTTTGCCGGACTCTCAGTGAGCCAGCAGAAGGAAATGACTAAACAGATAGGAACAACTGTAGCAAAGATCAAGGAGGATCTTGTTGATGTTGACAGCAGTATTGATCACTTTTAAGCAACTTAACCCAGTCCAATCCTATCCAAATCAAATCAAACAATAAAAAATAAAATAAAAATACACCTTTTATATGAAAACAATTAACAAATTTATTTAATAAAATCAAATAAACTCCGCATTAATGAAGAAGAATAAGCAAGAGGGAGAGACAGAAGTAGTGTAGTGCAGTATAGAGCAGAGTGGGAAATGTACATATATATATAATGTGCTATGTGTTGTGGATTGAGTGATTGAGAGGAGTTGAGACGAATAAAAAAAATAAAAAAACAAAAACAGCTATGCCGGCCGAGGGTTTGTTCGGACAAACCGATGGCCGACCGAGCTTGGGTAAAACGAAAGCCCGCGTATCCATAATGCTCTCTCCTTTCCAATCATCCATCAGTCTTAATCACAATGGTGAGTTGAAGGAAGAGTTAATATAGATGGATTGACGAACATCGCTGCAGATTGAAGATTAGAGATAGAAAGAGAAAAAAGAAAAAATAAAGAGGGGTGAAAGCGGAAAGAGAGGGAGGAGTCTGTGGCCCACACAGACTAACACAATCGATCATCTGCATCTAGGATACCTCCAAGACCCCCGTTAAGCTCGCCAAGGTCACCAAGGTTCTCGGCCGCACTGGATCCCGTGGTGGTGTCACCCAGGTCCGCGTTGAATTCATGGACGATACCAACCGTAGCATTATCCGTAACGTTAAGGGTCCCGTTCGTGAGAACGACATCCTCTGTCTCTTGGAGTCCGAGCGTGAAGCCCGCCGTCTCCGCTAAAAAAAAAAGAACCAAAAAATATCAAAAAAATATCGAAAATAAGAATCACCAACTACGAACAACAAATTCAAGCAACAAATTAACAAATGCGATCCTGATTATAATTTCATTTCTTAAGACATTGCTTAGTTATTCTTGGACACCATTTTGATTTAATAAACGATGCTTTTGTCTGTGTGATAAAAAGAAATTGTTTATTACATTTGGAAATGAAGAGAAAACGAATTTAGATTATTATTACTGTTACTTTTACTATTACATTGGAATGATTTATTGGAGGAAAGCTTTCATGTCAAACTCGGATTTACCAGGTGTCTTGACTGCAACACCACGCTCAGTTACAATTGCAGAAATGAGCTCGCTGGGAGTAACATCAAAGCTGGGATTCCACACACCAACACCATGGGCTGCAGTACGCACAGTAGCAGGAATGTTCTTTCCCTCTAACAAACCAGTAATTGTGACCAACTCTTCAGCAGGACGCTGTTCAATTACAATATCTTTTCCACTCTTGGTTGACAGGTCAATTGAGGTGGAAGGGGCGGCGACGATGAAAAGGATATTGTGGTGCTTAGCAGTAATGGCAAGCTGGTAAGTACCGATCTTATTGGCAGTGTCTCCGTTGGCAGCCACACGGTCGGCACCGACGACAATTGCCTGTACACTGGGGTTCTGGTGCAACAAAGCAGATGCCATGGAATCACAGATCAGGGTAGCAGGGATATTTTCATATACAAGTTCATAAGCTGTCAAACGAGAACCTTGGTTGTATGGGCGAGTCTCGGTGCAGTAAGCGTGTTTCAATTGGCCGTTCTTGTGAAGATCACGAATAATACCAAGTGCAGTTCCCCACCCTGCTGTTGCCAAAGACCTAATTGGATTATATTTATGTATATATATAGTCATATTATTACTCTTATAAACACACACATATATATACACGTATATTTGGTAGCGAAGTATCTAATGACACGTGTTCTCTTCTGGATAGCTTAACTTACCCAGTGTTACAGTGAGTCAAGACACGAATGTCTTCCTTATTCTTACAGTTTTCGACAATAAAGGCAGCACCATGCTTTCCAATGTTCTTATTGTCCTGTACATCATCCACTAACATCTTCTCTGCAGCATTAATGTAAGCATCAGTAACCTCGGAAGGGCTAGTGGCCTTCTTGGCTGAATCCTGAATGACTACCGACAGCTTATGCGCAGCATCAAAAAGATTGACAGCAGTAGGACGGGATGTCTTGAGATACTCGAGTGAAGAGTTTAAAAACTCCACAGCCTGAGGGACAGTCTTGAACTCATGCTTAGCAGCGCGAGTAGCAACGTCGACAGCAAGCGAGAGGGCAGCTACAATGGCAATAGCAGGTGCGCCGCGGGTCTTCATGGTCTTGATGGCAGCATGACCATCTTGGATGTTGAGAATTGGTTCAAAGATAGTCTCATGGGGTAGAGCGAGTTGATCGAGAATCAAAAGGCTGCCAGGGGTATACTTGATGGCCTCGAGGGTTCTAGTTGCTAGGTGGACATTAGTGACTGTTTGTTGGTCTGAAGCTGTTCTTCAAAAACGTCCTCTTACCACTCATTGAATTAAATAGAAAAAGATCGACATTTTTACATTTTGACATATCCAAAAAGCTTCTTATTGAGATGGAAAAAAAACGTAGCGGAGATGACGCCTTTGTGACTGCTTAATCCGTTTCTTTATAAACACAAACGTTCCTGGGGTTTGTGGGAAGTTGAAGAAAGTCATCTGTCTAACCAAAAAAGATCCTCTTTTGGTTGTCCTTCCTTCACTACCACAAATACTAATATATAATCCAAATATTAAAAGCAATGGATATACACAATTTTGAAGAGTATCTTGACTTACGCGATCCACACGACACCAAACAAGACGTCGAACAGAGCCTAGAGGTCGTATCTGAGACCTCTACCCAGTTAGACACACTTCCCAATACCGATGATTGGGTATCGCATGAAAATATCATGGAAAATTCACTGGACCCAACCAATTCTATGGAACACTTTATTTTTCCAATGGATAGTAGTGGCTGGAATATTCTTTCCCAAACAGCAACAGACCAAACTCCCGACAACCTGCCAGGATTAAATTCGCAAACCCACTCTGGAATTCCAGCGTCACAAGATACAGCCACAAACACAACCACGCCTGCAAATCTGACTGACCTGTCCCAATTCCTCCCACCTAGTTTCCTCATGCATTCCGAGCAACAGAAAATTCTGCCTACAGAAATAACCACAACAGACACAACACCAACACCAACACCAGCACCAGCACCATCAACGCCATCAACACCAACACCGATAACACCAATATCAACAACAATAGCAACACCAGCACAATCACCACCACCACCGCAACCAACAACAACAACAGCAGCAGCAGCAGAAGTACCAGAACCAGTAACAACAACAACGACAACAACAGTAAAAACAACTCTACAAGAACAACCAGAAGAGACAAAAACAGAAAATACCGCGCAATCTTTGAATATAGAAAAACCATCTTCTTCGGCTGCACCAACTGAAAGTCCTAGTAATGGCACAATCACACTTGCTGAATTGTCACAACCTAATACTTTGCAAACTGAGACTGATAATGATGAAGGTGGTCGAATGATGACACGTCTTCGGAGACGGAGATCGACAGCACAGGAAAAAGGAATTGAGAAACCAGTTGTTGCTGTGGAGCCTAAAAGGAAGCGAACCAAGAAACTCTACTGTATATGTCAACAGCCCTATAACGGAGATCCTATGGTTCAATGCGGTCAATGCGAGGAATGGTATGTGTATATTATTAGGTTTATTGTGTGTACATACATACATACATACATACATACACAAACAAATCACTGTTACAGTTTATTAACATTAATGTGTTCAGGTTTCATTGTGCGTGCGTCGATCTTGATCCTGAAGAAGCAGAGGATCTTGACTGGGTTTGTGAGAAATGTAGTGAGAAAACAAAGGCTGCCAAAGAAGAAGCGGATTCTAAGGCAGCATCAGCAGAAATTTCTGCTGCTTCTTCTGTCGTCAATGCTACAAATACTGCAACTGCCAGTAAAGTTGTTGCCAAGGCTGCGACTGATGCTGCCGAAGGAAATTATACTATTAGAGAATCGAAATCTACTTTGCCTTCAACGGCTGTTTCTCCTGCATTATCCGATTCGAATGCTGGTAGTATTGTCCAAGATGAGGAGAAAGGTAAGAATTTTGCTTTATGTTTATTATTATATGGTGGGAGTATCCCAAAATTTTACATGGAGTACAAATGGGATAGCAGATATTATAGTAGTGAATGGTTAGAAAGAGAAAGAGAAAGAGAGAGTTGTTATACCTTCAGAAAATGCTATTTCTGGTGTATGGCACAAAATACAAAAATGAAATATCTTTTGCCAAAAACAAACAAGCAAACAAACAACCAAAGAAGACGTATGGACAAGAAGAAGGAAAGACATACTTTGAAACAACATCTTCTATATATTTTCCGTCCCCAAGCTCTTTACCTTGCCCCTGTCCTTCCCTATCCCCTTCCCTTCCCTCCTTCCCTCTCTCTCTCTCTCTCTCTTCCTTCTTCTCTTCCTTTACTCGCAATATAGTACTTATTTAAAGCGCGAAAACCAAAAGATAACAGGAAATCTCTGTTTCTGTTACCGCGTGTAATTGTATTTCTTTTTTACACTTTGCTTTGACCTATCGAACAAAGTGATTGTCTGCCCTTTTATATACATGTATATATGTACATATACATATTTCTTGCGATGTACATCGCAGAAGGTCTACTAAAGAAAAGGAGACTTCCCATGTTTACTACGTGTGGTAATTCACTTTCTTCTGTGGCAGACCTTCTTTTTTTGTATATATGCATATATGCATATATGTATATACATATATTCGTATGGGATCCTACCTTCTGTCTGTTGCCATGCGTTTGTCTGGAATATAAAAAAAGAAAATGACATGGACTTTGATAAAACAAATATATCTAGAAAGAAAGCTATATGCATAGTGTGAATAACACAATTATGGTCAAATAGAGGGGGAACCTCCACCATATTCTAACTAAAGTTACTCATCATTTGTATTTATTTCTTATCTTCTTATATTTTCTTTTATACATATACATCTATCAGTCAAAGAATCAAGGGAGAATGCAGCACTTGCTCAGGCAGAAAACAAGATATTGTTACCAAAACCAGTACCAGCTTTCCAAGAAAAGACCAGAAGAGTGCCAGAAAAGGTAAATTAAATTGAATTAACGTAAAAGTAAAAGTAAATAATTAATAATAACAATTAGTTGGTTGTTATATAAAAATTCGAAAAAACTGAATTTTTTTTAACTCTTATTTGTACATTAGACTTATGGCGGAAGACACCCACGTAATTTGACAAACCAAGCAAAATGCCTCTATCCACCTTGCCAAAATAGAACACGCGTAGATTCTTATTGTAGTGATATCTGTGCTCGCGTGGATGCCATGCGCCAAAAAGCCAATGTCTTTGAGTATAATCCCGAACTTGAAGAGCCGCGTATTAGCCAAAGACGTTCTAGAAGCATTTCTGGTACCTCTGGTACCTCTGGCACCTCTGGAACCACTGACATCACTGGCACAAATGTGCCCGAAAAATCCAACCTGCTTCTTACCCACCACAAGAAGCCTTCAATTAGCATCAGCACAAACTCTAGTGGACCAAACTCGCCTATATTTGAACTCCAATCACCGAACCAATCTACCACTGAAGAGAATCCTATCAGAAAGAACGTTGTCAAGAACATGACAACCATTCTCAAGTCTATCATGGATGCTGCCATTGAAAAAGAACCGACTCTTTTTGACTCCGAGTCTGATCAAGAATCCCAAGATAAGCAAGTCCAGGCCGAAAATGACGATGTGGCCACAAACGAGAAAGCTAGCAATGTGACCACGACTGCCTTGGAGTCTACAAGCAGCGGAGTTCCTGGATCCAGCCCTGTACCTGAGATAACGAGCTCAGAGGTCACAGACTCGAATACAATTACTCCAGATCGTATCCTGACAGATGCAACTGCCCCAGGGAAGGATGTCACAAAAAATAATGCTACTTCAAATGCCGCTGTACCTGACACGACCACGCCAGAGACGATCAGCAGCAACGGAAATGTTATTTCAGACACTACAAATATAGAAAAAAGCCCAGCAAAGTCAAGACCTACGCAAAATATGGCCGAGGAGCTGGCTAGTTCGATCGAAGAAGCCATGTATCTCCAATTGGGTGACCCGATCTCTCAAGCAAGTAAGCAACTGAAATGTGGCGAGAGGTACAAAGGAAAGTTCAGAACCTTGCTTTACAACCTCAAAGACAAGGCCAACGAAGTATTCCAGATCAGAGTTATTACCGGCGAACTTACTCCTGATGAACTCATCAAGATGTCTTCTGAAGACATGGCTAACCCTGAACTTAAATCGATGTCCGAGACCCTGCGCAAGAAGAGTATAAAGAACTCTGTTCTAAAGGTTCAGAATGTGCCTTTTATCAAAAAGACTCACAAGGGAGATATTATCATGATACCAAAAGGTGAAAATGAATATGGTGATGATTCAAGTAAAGCCAAAAAACTGGCCCAGGAGATGGTCATGGTTTACCAAAACAACGAGCGAACGAGTGAAGATGACACGACAGGAACCGAGTCTGATGTGTTCCCAGACAGCAGAAAGTCCAGTTTGAGCACAACACCTACGATACCAGCACGTCATGATCCTTTGGACGATATTCTGGCCCGTATTGGTGTCTCGACTGAGGGCATGCGGGAGGATTCTAATAAACGTGCAGGCGTAGGTCTTGTTGGATCTGACCGAAATAAGAAACGAAAATCAACGTTTGATGTCGAGAAGTTGCTGGGAGACGAAGATATTCAATTGGAGATTGGTAGTGACGATGAGGGAATCATTACCACGCGTCGTACAAGCGAGGGTGAGACTGTGCGTGTGGATAAGATGGAGGTTGACGAGACACCCAAATTGCCCAGTATTTGGAAAGGAAGGGTGAACATGCCCCAGGTTGCTGAATTTGAGGCAGTGGCGCGCCAGGTAGGAGGGCGTCCTCTCAGTGATGCCGAATGGGCTGATGTGCTCTCTCCTACCATGTGGATCGAGGGGCGGATACCACAGGACAGAGTGACGACCTATGTGTCCCAAACACAATATTCGTCTAGCCGAGAAATCATATTACTTGAAATTGAACCTTCAACATTACTGCCTGATGCAGCTAAAGAAGCCAAAGATTCCAATCTTAGGCAGTCGGATACACTCTTGAAATACTTTAATTCTCGGCAACGGTACGGTGTAGTAGGACACAACAAAACAAAGGTCAAGGACTTTTACCTTATTCCTCTTTATAAAACGAATGATATTCCCGATTGTCTTTACGTTGTCCGAATTGAAGAATCCAAGCGTGATTGCGATCTATTTCTTGGAGTTCTTGTTCTTACTAAACAATTAGAGCAGCGGCCGTTACCTATCCCAGTAGCTTACCAAAACCACCCTCCTTATGAACCCTAAGGATGTTATATTTCTCCATTCCACATACTCCTTCCTTTTTCCATCTCCTCATCTTTTTTTTTATTCTTCCTACTCTTCCTAATATTCCTCCCCCTCCCTCCCCTTAACTCGCGTAGTAGTAATAACTGTTATTTCTTAAAGACCAATAAACTTGTTCATTCGATAATCAAACAGTTAAATATTAAGCAAAGGTTTGAATCTTCTTGTTTCACGGCAACGGAAGTATGTTGATGCTTTCCGAAAGTTTAGGAATCTCGGCGCAAAATGAGAGACGATCATATGGTCTAAAAGGAACGGAGAAGCGAATTATCCGTTGCTTTCGCTTGGATCTTATTCGTAACATTTCTAGTTTTATGATTGTCACAAGATGTCAAGAGCCCATAATTTTATTCTTGCTATTTCTTTATTGATTAAAGCAAGACGATTATAAGACATCAAATATTGTTAATTTTTTTTAGCGTTTTAATTTAAAGGTTAATAGGTAAATGTAGGCTGAAAATGGATTTTAATGACTTGGAAACAGACTTCAAAGGAAAGGAAAAGAGAAAGAGGAGAATTATAGCGACCACTTAATTTTGACTTGATTTTTTTTTTGGATTTTTATTTTCAAATGCTATTAATGTAATATATGTTTATTCTTAGGGTTCTTCAAAATTTTGATTTCCCAATAGAGTCCAAACAAATGGAGAACCTAAATTGGTTCTGGCCGTTCGTTTTCGATAAGCCAGGCTGGTTACGTCGATCCTTTGTCACCTAGACGGAAGATCAACCGCGAGGGGGCGTACACTCTTTAAAAATACTAATAATAAAAAGGTGTACTTGTGTTTATGAAAATAGGTGCTACAGTGTAAAACATAAATATATATATATAAAAAAAGAATATGTGTCTCTGTGTCATCATTCTTATGGGAATTGCCCCCAAAATGAAGTTTACCCGACGGTCATTCAAGGCTTGGCAATCAAATGAAGACCAAAAAAAGAAAGAAAGAAAGAAAGAAAGATTTTCTTTGCGATCATCAAATGTGTGTACCTTTTGGTCTTTGAAGATCTTAAGACATACTCTAGAACAGGTTAATTGGGTCAGTCCAATTCAGCTAGTCTAAAGACTACATATATACTTTTGAATTAAATTTTGCCGTAGAAAGAAAATTCTACAAATCTACAATAATGTACATCTTTTCACAAGATACCTCCTTCTTTCCTTCTTTCCATTTTTTCTTTTCAAAGTAATAATAGTAATAGTTTTACCGAGAGTACAAAGAGATATTCTAGAGACTAGCTCACATCTTTATTCATATGTCTTATATAAGCACGATAGTCCAGAAACGTTTTAAAGATGACAGCAGGTTGGAGGTAAACAAATTGTATATATATATAAAAAGATACAAAAAATAATGCTTAATTGTTTAAATTTAAAGAGGTAAGGGGACCAGACTGTTTTCGGTGGTTCTGTGAGCATGGTTAATAAATCAATCAATCAATAAATGTAGTTTTTGTCCTTTTCTATAAATCCTGTAAACATTGTTTTTTTGTTTTTTTTTTTATTTAAAGTGATCAATTTTACTTTGTCACTTTCGATTGGTTTCTTTTGAATTAACTTGTAATTGGATCCAACCATATTCTTTATTGACCTTATTTTACTAGAAATAATATCTAGTAAGAATGAAAAAAAAAGAATTACAAAAAAATATACAGGCCTGTATTAGTCATGATTCATTGTTCTTTTCACTCTGGAGTACAGGTTGGCATGGGAGTCTTGTTATTTTTTATTTTAATATTTTTTTATTTGACTCGAGTCCCACATGCATCTCTCCCTTTTGTCCTACGTGGCACAAGTATACCCATGGATGCTGGTAACTGTCTACTTCTTTTCTATGATCACTGACGAAACCTTTACGGATCGCGAGGTAGTCAGTATAGCCAAAAGAAAAATAAAATAAGCCAAAGACATCATCATAATATTAATAATAACAATAACAATAATAATTTTATTATTATTTTTAACTTTTAGTCTGCCCATATCTTCAGCTGTACATTACATGCCTAAATCTCTAAATATATCTTTATAATAAAGGGGGGGGGGGGGGGGCTTTGAAGAAGTGTTTATGATGAGTAGGCAGATAATAGCAACAGCAATATCAGTCCTAGTATTGACATTAGCATTAGTATTAATACCAATACTAAAAATAATAAACATGTAATCATAAAAGAAAATAGCTAAAGAAATAAATAGCTACGAGTTACCAAACTAGGGTTGTTGTCAAGGCGATAAAAGAAAGAAAAGACAAAAAAGCGGGTAGAAACATTCTATAGTACTCTGTTTCCCTATTACGATCTTTCTCTTTCTCTTCACTGGTATACATAAAAGGTTATAAGTACATACTAACGCACACACACACACATATATATGTATATGTATATGTATATGTATATATGTATATATATATATAAATATTTATATAAATATATTTTGTACCTAAAAATCATAAAATCCAAAAAAAATAAAAAAAAAGTATTTAAATAGCCCAACCCAAAGCAAAATCAAGTCCCCGTTCCTGTCTTTATTTAACCCCCAATCTCATTCCACTCCACTTTTTCTGTGGCTTCCTCATCATTTTCTTCATTATTGTATATATACATTCATTCAACTATGCTAAGCAGTGATTCTACTTCTGTCAATTGTCTAGGTAAACTAAGAGTCTCATAATATAGAGCAATTTTACACACCCTAGCCAATTCAAAAAATAAAAATAAACCATTTATCATCTACCAACACTCGGACGTCTTTCTAACAATCTCTTATTCACAGCCGCCGGCATGCCGTGGCAGCGTAAAAAAAGCGCTCAATGGCCTTTTGTCCTCAACAAGTTACGATTTTATTCCCAATCCTCTCATTCTTCGGTGTCTATACCCATCTCAGTCGCATCCGAACAAGTCGAACCCGGAGCCGAAGCACCATCAGAACAACCAAAAGACGATAACATAGATCTCGAACCACCACACTACGATGATCCTATTCACCCCTGGACATCAATTTTCCCAGCTTACCTCTCACAGCGAACAGTAGAGCCAAGAGAGGAAGAGGGTAGAGAAGTCCTACCGGAATACGAATGCACTATCTTCAAGATGGGGTTTGTACGAGTGAAACGCGAAATGGAACGGCCCAAGGTTGAATCAAAAGACCGAGCATGGAAGTGAGTAAATTTTTTAACTATAGTTGTCATGGTTACCGATTATACTTTATTGGTAGTCATGGTGACCATTGTTTTTATGTATATACAGTATACATTACATATGTTTATTTTTATACTTTTATATGCACACACACGCTTGGCTTAGCTTAGTTTATGTATAATATCCAAGTAATCATTATTGGATCTTATTTCATTTTATTTCATTTGACGGATTTGACTCTTGCCATGTGGAAAATTCATTCAATTTCACTTAATTACTTCACTTTATCTTTTTTTACTACAAAAAGTATTATTATTTCTCCTTTGTACTCCCACACATTCATACTCACCTCTGACATTGTCAATTAGGAAGCTTTATCTAGTCTTATGGGGAACCACAATTCATGCCTACAAGATCGAGCCATACGAGGGAATGAAGCCAGTATGGTCTTATTCAATGCAATTGGCTGAGGCAGGCTCAGCGCCAGATTATCTCAAATACAGAAATGTGTTCCGACTACGAGTGAGCAATGGACCGCAAATGCTTATCAGATCATCATTGGAGGAAGAACAAGTGTTGTGGATCGAGCACCTTCAAGCGTCTGCAAATGTAAGCCCAGACCTTGACGTGCGTCCAATGCCACGGTTTATTACACTTACTACCCGCCGACGGAGAGGACGGGCGGCGCGCACTGCTGGACAGAGCGAACCTGTCGAGGCGTCATTGATATGAAAATAAAAAATAAAAAATAAAAAATCATATAAAAATCAAATAAATAAAAAAGAGAAAGGAAAAGAGGGGGTGCTCAGTTGCTTATTTTGGCGTGCCACATGGATAGAAATTAGGGGAGGGAGTCACGCACTTATGTGACGCGGCTTTGTAGGATGGGGGACCTTTTGGGTCTCTCCTTTTTCTGATGCCCTTTCTCCGTCTGCTTCTTTTTTTCATTTTTCTTTTTTAATCACTCTATACTCTTTTTAAAAATACCTTTTTTGGTCGTTTTTCCCACTATTTCACAAGGGTTTCTTTCAAAATAAAAGACTTGATCCTTCCGCAGTTGTAGATTACGCTGCCGCATCCTAAAAGCCTAAAAAAGCCCAAAGATTCCACAATTCCATCACAATGAACCCGAATCTGAATGGCCCAAATGGCTCACAGGCAATGGGAACACCTAATGGCATGGGAATCACAGCTGAATCCCAGCCAAATCCTAACTGGCGTGATGATATGAAAACAGAAGAAAGAGCTCATTTTGTATCTAGACTGTAAGTTATAAAACCAAATCTTTTTGCCATGCATGTCTTTTCGGCCTTGGCCTTTTTCGTCCTTGGCTTACGGCCAAGCACGCGCTCTCAGTTCACTTGACTTACAATAGTATTGTGGTGCAGTGGACAAGCTCTCCGACATTTGTCACCTACTACTTCAGAAAATGACATTCATCAAGCTTCAGTGAATTTTGAAGCCACTCTTCACACTAGAAGTACCAGCAAGGTAAGAATTGAAGAGGATGAGGGTGCAGCAAATCACCCGATGTGTCACGGCGGGATTTCTTGACTCGTTTCTTTTTTATTCCACTGGTTAGAATCAATATATTCTGGCCTATGCGCGAAAACTATATCAAATCAAATGTCAGGTTACAATGCAAAATCAGAGCCAAGCTAGTGCAGCTGGAAATCCTCCAACCATGGGTGAAAATGGCCAATTAACACCAAACATGGCTGGAGCAATACCTCAACAACAGATAAACCCAAATCCCCAACAACAGCCAATAGGCTCACCTCAAATACAGCAAACGCCACCACCACCACCACAACAACAGCAACAGCAACAGCAACAGCAACAGCAACAGCAACAGCAACAGCAACAGCAACAGCAACAGCAACAGCAACAGCAACAGCAACATCATCAACAACAGCATCAACAACAGCATCAACAACAGCAGCAACAACAGCAGCAACAACAGCAGCAACAACAGCAGCAACAACAGCAGCAACAACAGCAGCAACAACAGCAGCAACAACAGCAGCAACAACAGCAGCAACACCACCAACATCAACAGCAACAGCAACAACAGTTACAACAACAGCAATTGCAACAGCAACAACTTCAGATGTTAGCTTCTCCTTTAAATCCCAACCAACAACCTACAATTGTCGGACAGACACAGCTGAGGTCTAATGCTTATCAGCAGACAATGATGTCTCGACCGCAACAGCAACAGCAACAGCAACAGCAACAGCAACAGCAACAGCAACAGCAACAGCAACAGCAGCAACAGCAGCAACAGCCGCAACAACAGCAACAACAGCAACAACAGCAACAACAGCAACAACAGCAACAGCAGCCGCAACAACAGCAGCCACAGCCACAGCCACAGCCACAGCAACAGCAACAGCCACAGCCACAGCAACAACAACAGCAACAACAAAAGCAGCAGCAGCAATCTTCACCACAATTACCAGTACAACAACAAATAAAGGCGGCTGGTCAAGCCCAAAATGCTCAGATGTTGGCTATTCACCGGGCAACAACTGCTGCTACTGGTGCTGCTGTAGTAATGTCAGCACCAAATGGACAGACTTCCCAAACTGGACAGAATCCTCCTCAAGCCATGCCTATAAATGTGCATCAGGGCTTAGGAAACGGTGCTGTAAATGGCACCATCAACCCCTCTACCCTTCCACTGTCTCCTCAACAGCTACAAATGTTTATTGCTCGTCAGATAGCTATCCAGAATGCACAGGCACAAGCACAAGCCCAACACCAATCCCAAGGCCAACCCCAGGGTCAAAACCAACAGGCGGGGCCTCAGGGATTTGCAGGCGTAAACGCTACTTTGGCCACAATGGGTCTAACACAGCAACAGATGATCAGTATGGGCATACCTGCGGCGATAGCTAAAGCTAACGGAGGAAACATACAGAATACCAATTTCAGACCTCCCGGTAGCTTCGCGCCTTCAGCCTCACCTTTACAAGCTAACTCTTACCCTCCTGGAACTATGATGAAACAAACTTCTGTTCCACCAGGATCAGCTTCTATAGTTGCAAATTCACAACAGAAACAACCAACTTCTCAGGGACAACCTGCTCAACAACAAACCCAAGCACAGAATCAATCCCAGAACCAACAACAACAGCAAGCCCAGCAGCAAGCCCAACAGCAAGCTCAACAGCAAGCTCAACAGCAAGCGCAACAGCAAGCGCAACAGCAAGCGCAACAGCAAGCGCAACAGCAAGCTCAACAGCAAGCTCAACAGCAAGCTCAACAGCAAGCTCAACAGCAAGCTCAACAGCAAGCTCAACAGCAAGCTCAACAGCAAGCTCAACAGCAAGCTCAACAGCAAGCGCAACAGCAAGCTCACCAGCAAGCGCAACAGCAAGCGCAACAGCAAGCCCAGCAGCAAGCACAACCGCAACCAAATATGCTGGCGCAACAAAGCAATACTTTAACAAAAGGCCATCAAGGTCCGCAAATGGGTAATCATGACGTGTTAGGGCAACATATTCATCAGCAACAGCAACAGCAACAGCAACAGCAACAGCAACAGCAACAGCAACAGCAACAGCAACAGCAACAGCAACAGCAACAGCAGCAACAGCAACAGCAGCAACAGCAACAGCAACAGCAGCAACAGCAAAATGCAGCACAATCTCAACAAAATCAAGCTCAAACACCCACAAATCCAGCCTTGGCTGGAACTGGCCAACAGACGAATCAAGTTATGAGAGCAGCTGTAACTTTTCAACAGCGGAATAATGCAGCTGATGTTGTTCGTCAAGTAGATGAGGGCATTAGAACAAGTAGAGGTGAGAAACGGGTTTTTTTAGATTGATATCTTGAAGGAAAGAAAGAAAGCTTATATTTTATGTTTAGGGCGTACAGTATTTTTAGAGGATTTATCCGATCAGGAACAAGCTGCCATTCGCGATCAAATAACTCAAATGAAGCCTATGTACGACAAGCTTGATAATCTACTTCCCGTGTTCCTTGCTATGACATCAAATATGGAAGCTACCCGTCGTCTTATCTTGATGAAATATATGTTTGAAGACCAACTTAATATGATTCCTCAGAACAAATATGTTATAACTCTTGAAAACTTGCAGAAGTTAAAAGAGCAGTTCAGCGGTTATTTTTCTTGGGTCAGAAATGCAGTTGGTGCAGCTAATTTACAGCAACAACACATTATACAACAGCAACAACAGCAGCAACAACAGCAACAACAGCAACAACAGCAGTCGCAGATCAACGGTACACCTGTTCAACAACAAGGTCAAACTGGAGCAAGCTCAACACAATCCACCTCTACACCACAACAAAATCAACAGCAGGCTCAAATGGGATTAGGGCTTCTTCCAGTACATCTCCAACCACAGCAACCGCAAACTCAACAGCAGCAGCATCAAATTCAAACTCCTGTTTCTACTCCTAACCAAGCATTTACTGGAAGTGGTGCCCAGCAAGGAAAGGGGCAAGGTCAGCCTCCACAGCAGGGACAGCAAACACAACAGGCACAGCAAGCTCAACCTCAGCAACAACCTCAGCAACAACCACAGCAACAACCTCAGCAACAACCACAGCAACAACCTCAGCAAGCACAACAACAGGCACAACAGCAAGCACAACAGCAAGCACAACAACAGGCTCAACAGCAAGCACAACAACAGGCTCAACAGCAAGCACAACAACAGGCTCAACAGCAAGCACAACAACAGGCTCAACAGCAAGCACAACAACAGGCTCAACAACAAGCACAACACCAGGCTCAACAGCAAGCTCAACAGCAAGCGCAACAGCAAGCGCAACAGCAAGCACAACAGCAAGCGCAACAGCAAGCACAACAGCAAGCACAACAGCAAGCACAACAGCAAGCCCAGCAGCAAGCACAACAGCAAGCACAACAACAGGCACATCATCAGGCTCAACAGACGCAACTTGCTCAGCAACAGGCCCATGCTCGTATGGTTATTCAACAGCAACAGCAGCAACAAGCACAACAGTTAGCCCATCAGAAGGCTGCCCAAGCTCAAGCAGTTCAGGCCGCCCAAGCTCAGGCCCTAGCTCAGGCCCAAGCACAAGTGCAAGCAGTCCAGGCTCATGCACAGGCACAGGCACAGGCACAGGCACAGGCACAGGCAGCCCAGGCTCAAGCACAATCACAGACAGAGGTAAAAGTAGCTCAGACACAAGCACATACTCATATTCGCACAACAATAGGCACAGCAAAATCAGCAGAAACAGCATGGGCGACCTTTGACTTCCCAGAACATTGAAGCTCACCCTCAGCCTGGGTCAAGCCCATCTACAACTTCAAAAACTGTTAGCCAAACAAATATAAAACGTGCTAGTATTGATCTTAAGATGCCTACACCTAAAAAACAGCGAAGAACAAGTGGTCAATCTCCAACAGCTAATAAAGCCCAACAAAAGAAAGCACCGAATGATAAGGATATGGCTTTGAGTCCGTCCGCTTCAACTCCATCTTCTTCAGCAGCCACACCTAATAATCAATTTGTTTCGGTAGATGGCCCACGTAGTTCTACAGCAGGTAGCCCAGCTTCCCAAAACGCTGATCACATGAAGACGCCACAGCAGCAACATATTCAACCGCATCAAGCTCAACAGACACAACTTACCCAGCAACAGCAAGCGCAACAGCAAGCGCAACAGCAAGCGCAACAGCAAGCGCAACAGCAAGCGCAACAGCAAGCGCAAGCGCAACAGCAAGCACAACAGCAACAAGCACAACAGCAGCAAGCTCATCATCATCAACTGTTACAACAACAGGCATTACAACAACAGCAGGTAATACAGCAGCAAGCTCAACAAGCACAGCAAGCACAGCAAGCACAGCAAGCACAGCAACAACAAATGAATCATCAAAGTCCAACAAAAATATCCGAAGGAATGACACCAAATGCTACTATGGCTGCGAGCGCTCAGATGGGAATGGCAGCCAACCAAAGACAGGCACAGTCCGCAATGATTTATCAAGCAGCAATTTTAAGCGGAATATCTCCTCAGATTGTTAGTCTACTGCCTCCAAGGGCTCTTCAGTGTAGCTGGCTTCTTCAACAGGCTGCCCAAGGAAAGATTGGCCTTACAGAGAGTCAACAGCAACAGATTAGAACTCTTTTGAATGAACGAATTGATGCTGTAAAAGCCCAGTTAGCCCAAAATGGAAGTGAAGGTCTTTCCCCGCAGCAACAAGGGCAATCTGTACCACCACAGCAGCATGGTCACCCTACGCCGCCAGTACAGCCAGTACAGCCAGTACAGCCACAGCAGCCACAGCAGCCACAGCAGCCACAGCCAGTACAGCCAGTACAGCCAGTACAGCCGGTACAGCCAGTACAGCCGGTACAGCCGGTACAGCCGGTACAGCCAGTACAGCCAGTACAGCCAGTACAGCCGGTACAGCCGGTACAGCAAGCACAGCAAGCACAGCAAGCACAGCAAGCACAGCAAGCACAGCAAGCACAGCAAGCACAGCAAGCACAGCAAGCACAGCAAGCACAGCAAGCACAGCAAGCACAGCAAGCACAGCAAGCTCAACAAGTACAACAAGTACAACAAGTACAACAAGTACAGCAAGCACAGCAAGCACAGCAAGCACAGCAAGCACAGCAAGCACAGCAAGTACAACAAGGGCAACAACAAGGGCAACAACAAGGGCAACAACAAGGGCAACAACAAGCACAACAACAAGCACAACACGCACAACAACAAGCGCAACAAGCACAGAAGACACAACCACAGCAAGTACAGCAAGTACAGACACAACAAATGCAATCTCAACCGCAACAGCAAATTCAGCAGCAAGCTCAGCAGCAAATCCAACAGCAGACACTTTCTGCTTCGACTAGTTCTGTTGTCAATGCTGTTCCGGCTACTGTTGAACAGAAAGATAGTAAAGCTAAGGGATCAGTAAATGTAATTCAGGCAAAGATGAAATTTGAAATGCCAATTGAGACAATGCAGCAGTCGACTACCACAACTACGACTACAACGACTACTACGAACATGAGTAATTTGATGCAGGTACAGCCAAAATATGCTCAGACAACCAATAATTTAGGCAGCAATGTATCCGCAATGGCTATGAGACCATCGGCTATTTTGCGACCTGGAATGGGACCGGATGACATTATGTCAAACCCGATGCTGTTTACCAATGATGTGTTGAAGGATGTTGCTTCTATATTGGATCGCCCCGTGTCAGAGTTTAACCTTGAGCGACATCAGCTGGAAGTTGTGAGGGATGGCAAACACTGTACACTCGCATTTGATAACATTTCTTCGGCACTCAAGGAAGGCTACAAGGATGAAACCTTTGGAACCTCTGATTTCTCTCCTCCGTTCCATCGTGATACAACACCCGGCTTGATTCGTGAAGATGACACATCAACTTCGTGGTATGATGTTGGTATGGATGTTGATATTCTCGGTGTTTCGCAAATCATGGAGGGCTTTAGCTGGGGGGAAGATTACAACAGGCTTGATGATGAGGATATCGAGGAAGAACAAAACAAGATGCTTGACGAACGGGGAAGAATGTGTTTGGTGGGCTTGTAATAAGTAGAAAAAGCTCCACCTCTGTCACTCTTTATTTCATATTCATCTTGTTCTTTCTCTCTCTCTCTCTCTCTCCTGCTCTCCTTGAATTCTTCCTCCTTCTTCCTCCTTCTCTCCTCCTCCTCCTCCTCTTCTTCCTTCTTCTTTTGTTAGGAAAGAAGAAGAAGAAGAAGAAAAAAAAAGCATACCAAACACGGACATAATTTTCATCCACCTTTTCTGTAATTTCCAAACATCCATGCATCACCAAACAAAGGCACACTTTACACACTAACACATACACCTTACACACTCACATACACACTCACATACACATACATACAACTTTCCCCTCACACTCTTTTTACTTACTCTCTTCCTTCACCATGCATACATTATATATACACAATATTTTTTTTATAAAAAAAAATGCAGTACACAGTACATAGATAATATTTAAAGGTTTTTTTAATACAGCGCATTTTCACTCTATTATTATTCATCGTATATGAAATATAGTTAATGATCTACATCAACTGTAAATAAATTTTCTCTCTCTCTCTCTGTGTGTGTGTTACAATAGCCATATATATATTTTATCATAGTATATTTAAAGTAAGATGTGATGTGAGATGTGAATTGGTGGTTTATCTTTGTGTGTGGGAAAGTGTAATTTTTATTTGTTTTTTATTCTCTTACAACACCTTTAAACAATGTCAACCTTTCAACCTTTAGACCTATGTGAGTTTTTTGCCCCCCCCCCCCCACCCCCCCTTTTTTTTTTTTTTGCTTTTTTATGAAAACAAATCAAACAACAATCTAGTGGTAACCTTGGAAACTGTTTCTATATCTTTATTTTATTTTATTTTTTTAAAAAAAAAGCAAAACCTCGTTACCCTCAATCGACTTATTGGGGACGAGTTCGTCATTTCATTAATGTTACTGATCCTAGGTAAATGACTACGATGATGACATTCTTTTTTTTTTGGATTTATTTTCTAAATTTTGATCTC